AATCCTAAAAGTTAAATAAAGTATTTAAATAAATCTTAAAAAAATAGATATTATTATTAATTAAAAATTTAAAAACTTAATTAATACCTAAGCTATTTATTTATTTTTAAAGCTATATAACTTTATTTAAATATTTATATATTATATTAATAATATAGTTAAACCTTTAAACTATTTATTTAAAAAGGGTATATTGTTTAAAATAAATAATAAATAATAAAGAATATTTAAATTAATAAAAAAGCTAGCTTATAAAGTATTAATATTAACCTTCTTTTAGCTTAACTAACTTATTAAAGTTAAAACTAATACCTTTTAAAATATTATTAGTAGAGCTATTTAATAATAATAAGAAAATAATACTTAAAAGCTTATAGAATACTTTTTAAAGATTATATTATTAATTAAATAAGTTTATTTTATATAAAATAAAAAACTATTAACTATAATCTAAACTATAAAGCATAATTGCTTAAAGCTATTAAATATAAAGTTCTTTATAGGAATTAATTATTAAGCCCTATTATATTTTACTATTAAAAGAATCCTCTTTATAAAATAAGTAAAATAGGTAGATTTCTTATCTAACTTTAATATTACCTTTTAATATTAGCTTAACTAAAAGAATATAATAATAAATACGTTATTTTATAAAATAGTTAATCTATTAACTATTAAAGCTTATGAAGCTAAAGAATATAATATACCCCTAATCCTATTTAAAGCTCTAAAAGGGCCAATATCTGCTATAAAAAAGGAGGCAATAGCGCTATATAGTTCTGACCTAATAGATTTAATCCAACAAAAAAACGAAAAATAAGGTTTAAAATATAAAAACTATTGGTTAATTATCCTAAAGTAAACCTTTAACCTAAAGATTTATCTCCGGATAGCCCTAATTAAAAAAGCCTACTATTTAATAATTACCGCTTACCCTAAGTAAAATAAATATATTAAAATAATTAAACAGAATTACTATTAGCCCTTATTAAAATAAAATGTTTAAATATATATTTATAATTATTATAATTATTAATAAAATAAAATTTCTTAAAATAAAATACTTAAATTATTATATTTATTATTAATCCCTATAATTATTTAACGCTATATTATAATTAATAGGAAAGATATACCTTTAAATAAATATAGCTATAATTATATATAAGCATTTATTAATAAATTTAACTACTTATTAATTATAATACTTAATAAAAAAAATAATATAACGGAAAATATAATATATTAATATTATAAATATACCTATTGCTTTTTAAATTTTTTAAAGGTATAGATTTTAAATAATATAGGACCCTTTATTTTATACTTCTTAATAAAGATTAATAAGTTAACCTGTATTAAATATTAATATAGGAACACCTTTTACCCCTAAATATAAAAAGCTATAAAGTTTATAAATTAAAAATTAAATTAATAGTTATACTTTTATATTAATAAATATTAAAATAATTAAAACTTTTATTTATTTATATTAAATTTTATATAATAATTTTTAATATTTAATTATTAATATAATATTATTAAAGGTCCTAATAGGAACTAATATAAAGAACCCTTTATTATTACTTTTATTAAATACTATTAAGAAGATAGTACTTAAAAGGCTAGCCTAACAATTAATATAATAAACCTATAAAGTATAAAAGGTAGTTTATAAAGTAATAAAAGCTATATAAAAAAGATAAAAGGTATAGATAAATAAAAAGCAATGCTTAATAGACTTTTATATAGGAAATAAAGTCTTTTTAAAAAAGAAGGGCTTTATAATTAATAGCTTAATTATTTAATTAAACTTTTAATAAGTTAAACCCTTTAAAATATTTAAGAAAAAAGAATATAATTATATATTAAACCTTTTAAAGTTAATAAAAATAATTAATCTCTTTTATATAAATTAATTATATAAAGTAAATAAAGACCTATTACCTTAATAAACCTAACCATTATTAAAATTTAAAAACATTAAAGGAGGATTAAAATAAAAAGTTAAATAATTATTTAAGTTATAAATAATAAAGTATAATAAAACGTTATAATATTAAATTACTTAAAAAGGTTATAACCTTAATAATATTTAATACCTAATAGAAAATTTTAAAAACTTGCTAGTTAAAATATAAAAGTTCTATAAAAAACACCCTAGCATACTAGAACTACCCAAATAGCTAAGCAAATAGATAAGAGCTATAATAGTTAATAAATTTACTACCGACCACCTTAACGATAATATTGCTATATAAAATAGCATTATAATTAAAACTAGATGCTATAAATAATTCCTTAACCTATTTTATACCCGTGTTTTAGTTTTAATAGGGGGAAGTGTAATAAATATATTAAACATATATTATACCGGAATATTATATATATTATAAAGGGATATTATAAAAATATATAAAACTTATATTAATAAGGTTATATAACCTATAATAGCTATAGGTATATATATATTTTTATATATATTTATATTTTAATTTCATCTTTCCTTCCTTTTTTCCTTAGCTTAAAATCTTTATTTATAACATTAATATAGCTATACCCTAAACCCCCAATTATAATAGAAACTATATTTATTAAAGCTTAAATTATAAGGGTTTTAAACTTATTATTATTATAACTTACTTTTAATTATATTAAAATTATATTAAAATTATATTTATTAAAGCTTAAATTATAAAAGTTTTAAGCTTATTATTATTATAACCTACTTTTAATTATATTAAAATTATATTAAAATTATATTTATTAAAGCTTAAATTATAAAGGTTTTAAGCTTATTATTATTATAATCCATTTTTAATTATATTAAAACTATATTGGAATTATATTTATTAAAGCTTAAATTATAAAGGTTTTAAGCTTATTATTATTATAACCTACTTTTAACTATATTAAAACTATATTGGAACTATAGGTTATTAAGGTTTAATTTATAAAGGTTTTATATTTATTATTCTTTTTAATTTCATTTTTAAATAATACTTTTTATAATTTTATACCTTTTTATAAAGTTTAAAAGGGTTATATTATTATATAATAATAATTATATTACTATAATAAAACTTTAATATAATTATATTACTTAATAATAGTTTTTATATAATATTTATTATAAAAATATCTTATAATATATATAATAAATAAGTACTTTTAAAACTAATATACTTAGATTAATCTAACCTTTTTAGTTTTTTATATGGCGCATTGACCATAGGGGTAAGCTGCGCTGTGTAGGGAGGGGTGAGCCGCCCTACATCCTGTCTACTATATATATAGGTAGTACATACTTAGGTAGGTACCTAGGTACCTAGGTTAGGGTAAGTGCCGCTACTGCACTCAGGTACGTATACAGAGGTAGGTATTGCTCGCATACTGTGTTAGGTATTGAAACACTACTTACTGTAGATGAGATATCGCTTTCTGAGAATAGGTAGGGTAGCCGACGCCGGTATTCAAAATTATACCCACTCCTATGGTAAGTGTTTGGTGTTTGGTCACTTTGCCGGCAAGGATGGGCCGACCATAGGTAGGTATTACCAGTACGGAATACGGTAGCTCGATTAACCATAGCGTGCGCTTGCGAGCTATCCCTACCGAGCCCTACCTACCTCCTAGGTAGATATCACTCTCGAATATTAGGTAGTAGAGCGGACTCTGAGCGGACCTACAGTAGGTAGGTGTTTCACCTGATGCCACTGCGAGTGGCAACGTAAAATCCCACAGCGATGGTTCGCATGCGTCGCTGTGTTGTCTTCCTTTGGAGCCACGGGTTCTGCGAGGCGAAAACTTGTCTGATCGGGCCATTTGAATGAAGGCGAGGCCAAGATGGGAGGCTGGTTGATTACCTACCTAGGTATGAGGGGACTCGACGACGGCCTCTGGACGGCCAATACCTCTACGAGGAGTGCTGGGCCGGGGATACCGATCGAGGCAAACTGAGGCCTGTGTATTACACACAAGTCCCATTGTTCTCCAGCTTCCTGATGGTGGCGATTCGCATTCAGCTAAGTGCATGTTGATAGGCTGAAGTCCTATCTACTCGTGCCATATCTTGTGTGAAGGGTTGCCGCGTGCATGCGCGTACTATACTGTGAGTATGAGCGACGTGAGGGAGCCTACGCTAGACTAAATATCCCAAATGTGGCCAAAAGATGAACAAGAACTGATAAAAGTACCTAGTACCCGCCGCCTGACGTGGCATTGCATACATATGCCGCTTAACGTATTAAACCACCCAGAACAAATTAAAGCCCATTTACATACTTACGTACATAGTAGATATCACATAAATACTAGCTTAGGTATAGTAGAAGTCAGGAGGACACATTCATACTTGGTGAGACATTGCACTACTAGTTACTATGTACTTAGTATCTTAGCCCAATTTGTCGTGTCTCCATTCGCAGACTGTACGACACTATCTACTTATTGTAGTGTTTGCTAGTGGGTGTATCGAGATGGGGCACCAGCCACTCACTTTGTGAAAACCTCATCAAGCCTGTGGGGGGCCGCCGACCCGTCTCTACCTAGACAAGCCTGGGATGCCAAACCCGGCTTAGCATCCTCTTTTGAGTGGCGTCCTGGCAGATCCTGGATCTTCTGTGCTGGGACAGTACTGGGAGTAATAGGTTGCCCTCAGCTCGCGCTCGCCTGGATGTTGGGTTGTGTTGTCCAGCCGAAGGCCAGCTGCTCACTTTTATACTAACTAGTCCTACATAGTATGTTATGTTATTACCAGTCCCCACCTTCGTCGGGTGCCCTGTCTAAACAAAAACAACCTTGGATCTGAGGATATCGATTGTAGCTGGCCTGCTTACTTACCACTTACCGACCTATCTACCTAGTACACACATACATTTGCCATACCGCGCGTTGACGGCATAACCTGGGCGACTATTGTAGCTGGCGCTTCCCACTGCCGCTTAGCAGCAGTCCTCATAGACCTCATGGTTGAATCCCAATGAACAATAGTCGCTAAGATGATGTCCCGGGAGCATCATCGCCGGCGGAGTCCTGAGAGCTCTCGCCGCCGGCGCAAAGAACGCCGCGACTCAAGAGAGCAACTCCAAAGCCACCCCATTCCGGCTCCCATCCCGCTCTATGGAGACATGTCCTCGCAATCACACCAACAGCCATTCCAGCCGCCGTATCAACAATCATTCCAAGACTCTTACTCGGCACCGTATCAGTCGCCATACCAACATGAACCCCCTCTAGCGCGCGATCCTGACCGCGACCCTGACCGCGACCGCAACCGCGATCGCACTCTCTCAACCTCCTACTCTTCTACCTCCTCTACCTCCTCCACCTCCTCGTCGCTCGTGAACATCTCACAGCCCTCCAAGAAGTTCGGAATTGGCTCGTTCTTCTCTACCAGTGCACGAAAACACCGCCGGCGTGTTAAAAAGAAACGCAGCAAAATCCTGCGCTTTGGCAATTCGTCGTCCTCATCCGTCGGCTCGGACCTTGCCTATGGCAGGGGCTATATCGATCGGCGCGGGAGCCGCGATTTCAGCCCCCCAACCGAGCAGCGGCCTTCAGGAAGAGATAATGACCCAGCGTGGCCCCGGCCTCCGAAGCGCGCACAGACCGACGAAGAGATTATTGAGCTGGGCCGAAAGTTTGCTGAGCTTGCGAGACAGCAGAATGCTGAAGACCTTCGAGCTGCAGGACGAACGCGCCCGTCGACATTTGCTAGTGCCGCTACCGCGCTTAATCAGTTTCGCCGAACCAATAGCGGGAAATCTAACAAGGGAATAGGGAACTCTAAACCGCACCAAGACTCCTCCTCAGATGACTCGGATTGGGAGTCCGCTTCATCAGACGATGAGTCAAGCGAGGGTGATAGCGACAACGGTCTAGCGTACGGCTCAACCCACCACTTGTCTAGTGTTTCGGGGAGGCCATCCCACTTAGGCTCATCTCATCGACCTACGCAAACGTATTCCCAAGGCATTCCATTAAATCGTAAACCTTCGCTCGTTGATCCCAAGCTATTTGGACCAGTTAATTCCCTCCGGGGGTTTGTCCAGACACCTTGTGGCTTCGACCGCGTGGATCGCAATACAGTTGAGGATACACGTCCGCACTATGAATCATCGATCGCACCGGGTGAAAGTGTTGGGTCGGCTGAAAGCCGTCCCATGCAATATGTCTATCCTATTCCGACTTCTGACCCATCTCATTTTGACGCAGGACGCGGATCTGTTGTTTCTGCGCAACAAATGCCCTCTCGCTCTAGGCCTGCCCCCGTGCCAATTCAGCAACCAAAACCGATAGCTCCAGTTTACAGTAAAGTCTTCGACTCTGTTGAAACAGACCCAAAGTACTCAAGTAGGTCGTCAGCCAGGGCTGCGGCATCAACCGGCGGAATTGGGGTTCCCGCCGCTACGATTAAGGCCCCTTTGAGCTCGGATGCAGCCATAGGCGCGTTGCTGAGGGCCGCTCGAAAGGCCGATGAGGATGAAATCCAAAAACCTCGTTCGGATGATTTACAATTGAGGCTTAAACGCGGCGGTGATAAAGGGCTTCAAGAAGAATATAAGAAACACGATGATCGTGAAGTTCTGCCTGGTATAGCTCCTGAAAAATTGTATGGACAAGACCTTGAAGCTACCCATAACGGCAAGAAAGACAGGCGCTACCGAGAGCAAAAGCAGTTTGACCCTGAACAGGATTTCAAAAGGGAGGACCGCCGTCTTGATAACGGTGATCCGACAAGTGACCAGGTGGCAAGTCAAAGAGGGACGCGCAAGGAAAAGTCCCGCGAGTATCAGAGTGGTGTATATGCACCGAAAACTGATGTCTCAGTACCTTCACAAGATCCTGGCATTCAGCGACCGAAGGATGCGATCGACCCATTTCAATATCAGGTTGCAGATGACGCTTTCCCAACACCACGTCATGGCACGCCGACAAGACCGTTGACACCCGTGATTATGACCGTGGAACGTGAGCCCGACTTCTCTAAGTTTGATAATTATGACCCGTATGAGCGATTAAGTCGCAAAGACTCTTTCGAACGCGAGCTTCAAGATGCACAGAATGCATACAAAGCTGCGGAGCAGGCAACTGTTCCCACAAGTAAAGCCGCTTTTGCCGCTGCTGCCGCAGCCGAGATAGCTACACGTCGGTTCAAGCGTTCCACTAAGAGGGACGTCGGTTCTCCGGGTCATTCGCAGGATTCAACCTCTTCGACTCGACCTAAGGACCCCGTGCTTGATGATGCTGACCGAGCTTACCGTGAAGCGAGAATTGCGCGTAGGATCCGAGAACAAGAAGAGAGGTCTCGAAGCAATTCTCCCGACTCAGTGGTCGATAAATGGAAAGAGGACAGATGTACCGCAACCCCGAGCCAAGTCGAGACACCTCCGGCAATGGATCACCCGAAGCAAAAGAGTCCTTTTGATGGACCTAATGCTGATGTTCGAATCGACAATGTGTTGGAACATCCTAGAGATCTTGCTCGTTTCCGGGTCTCCGAGTCTCGGCGTCGGTCATTAACGTTCCCCATGTTCAGCGCAAGAGATCCTTCTGCTGAACGTGAGCGCCCGATGCTGAATCTCGTACGACCAACTCCAGCGCCTTCACCGATGCCCGAGAAGCAGCAACTACGGACTATTGAATTGCCGTCGTCCATAACGGAAGCCGAAACTACTTCTTTGCCTTCTGCCAAAAGCGACGAGGTAGTTTCAGCTTCTTCGGTAGCACCCTCTAAAGCTGTGACATGGGGCGAGAACGAGACAAAACATTATATAGTTGAGAATTCTGAGCAGGAAGACGATTTGTACTCCGGCACAAAGATTGCCACCCCTGCAGTCACCCCTAGATCTCCAGCTGACAAGAAGGGCTGGGCTACTGTAGCTGCGGCTGCTTTTGGTGTTGGTACCGGGATTGTTGCCTCGTCAGTTTCCAACTCTGCGGTAGACATAGGTGCTAGTTCTGATCGTACCGAATCCGAACATTCTCGCCAATTATCTAAGAGGAATCCTTCATCCAAGTTTGACGATCTGTATGATGAACCGCCAATCCCTGGGCCAAAACCATCAAGCCCAAGAATAGGTCAGGTGCCAGGGCGTTTTGCTGAGGACCCAGTGTTCATGGCGAATATTGCGGCTGGACTTGAAGGCAGTGGGTTCGATCCTAATATCATCATTGATGATGCGAGATTTCACCGCCGCGATTCCCCTCCAGGATCGAATGAACCACTTGCTCGACATGTTGAGCTGGGTGAAGCTACTGATCGATTCAGCAAACCCACGGTGCCCCAACCTACGGAGTCCACGAAGTCTGAAGATCATGAAAGGGTCGTAGATGATTCTGCTGTAGCTCCACAGGAGCGGAGCGTATCTGGCAAAGACAAGAAGAAGAAAAAGAAGGCTAAGAGAGCGTCTGTTGCTGATGAGCCGGAACCATCAACAACTAACACCCGGGAGCTATCACAAGAAAGTTCATATATGATGATAGAGCCTGAAGCAGACTCTATGTTAGCTCTTGAAGCCCAGGAGAAAGGGGCCAAAGTGGACGCTGATGACATAGTACCCGAGCCTGTCATAAGGGACAACGTTTTGGCAGACTGGGATTCACAAAGAGAAGGGACCAGGAAGCCGAGTCGTGACTCCTCACCTTCTCGCCACGCCCCGCTCGACAGGGATACTGTAGAGCGCTCCAAGAGTTTTGTTGATTCTAGTAGTAGTCTACGGAATGACAGCGCTGCAGCCGTTGAAGAAGAATGGGTGGATCTGCCCAAAAAGGAGAGAAAAAAGAAGAAGTCTAAGCGCGATTCAACTACACGTGAACAATCTTCTGTTTCTCGATCCCTACCTCGTCCAGGAGATTATGTCGAGGGTCCCGAGCAGACATTGTCGGAAGTTTCGTTTACTGACACGGCCTTGGGATCAGCTCATCCTAAAGCAGATCTGGTGGAAGAGGGAGCCAAACGTAGGAGTGCACCTGGCGGGTTCCCTGAATATGAAGATTTGTATGTTCAAAGCCCACCCGATAGAGAAAGAGAGTTGTCCGCATTTACGGACAAACAAGTAAGCAATAGCTCAGGCTTCTTTGGTCGCCTCAAGTCATCCATGGGATTCAGCGAAGGGAAAGATCAACCCCAGGTACAAAACAAGGAGGCAAATTCTTTTTTAGATAATGCCGGCGCTCTTGGCACAAGTGCCGGCCTAACGGGCTCTGCGATTGCCCTTGCGTATCAAAAACTCACTGCAAATGCCGCCCATACTACGCCAGAGGCAGGTTTACAAGGAGAAGCAGAGGCAACTGAAAGGCGCCCCAACTCACCTGATGAGACTGCACTCATCGACCCCGAAATCGTGGAGCGGGAAATACGACCAGCCATTGATCCTACATACGGTGATTTGCTACCCTTGCCCCCGAGTAGATCGATCTCTCCGGTCCCTGACCTTGATGAGGCGATACCGCCCCTTCCAGAGAGTCGGCCTGGAACCCCTGAGGATGAGCGAGAACGGCTTCTATTAGCTCAGAAATCTACTCATATCCGTCGTCGCAGCGAAACTCCACTCCGAGTGAAGACACCTAGCCAAAGTGCGATTCCTCTTCAGTTTCGGCTAGCCCAAAGAACTACCCCGGCGTCTCCGGGCGTCCAGAAACCATCTCCTTCAGCTTCCCCAATCTCAGCGACACAGGAAACTGGTAGTGTTCCGAGGAGACCACGGCCTATGTCTTGGGAAAGTACGAGGACGTTTAAGCCACTGCTCTTAGTAGAGAGAACATCACGTGAGTCGGTCGTCACGCCGACTTCCCTTCATGAAGAGATAGAGCCAGGCGACATTCAAGATGAGCCTCAACATGCATCTTCGCCAACGATTAGTCATGCAGTAACTCCTCGTGATGATCTACATGATAGCAGTTTGGCACGAGAAGCAACGGCCAGATCGCCGGAATCACCTCAGTTACCTCCCCTGCAACCAGTAGAGAAGGCCGAGAGTCCCACCACAATCCCTGATCCTGTTGATCCTGTATCTAAGAATCGGAGCTCCTATCTTCTTTACTCGAGCCCACCAGGCCATCAAAACTCCGATAATACTGATGCACCCGAAGGCTCTCCCTCTTTAAGGGCTGCCAAACGACACATGGCTCTCGGTGAAGTTAAAGAGGATACTGTGGATGACATACCTGAGGATTATTTGTTAACGACGGCCGCAGATGGTTTCGCTACAGAGGCATTTGTTGATGACGTTCTCGAAGATGACGACATCGAATTTCTAGAAACACCGCCGGAAACTAAGAATCGTAGTATCTTAGATTTGATTCCTGTAGGAGTATTCTCAGGACTTGGTAAGAGAGGAGCTACTACCGAAATGGACACTCAACGTAAGGTGCCTAGTGAAGGTGTCCCTGTCGCTATCAAGAAGGCTGAAGAGGGGAAGAGTGAGAAGGACGATTTTCGTGAAATCAAATCACTGGCAAAAGCTTCAGCCGTCGAAGCATCTGCGGATCCAGAAGTACCCTTGAGCAGTATTACCTTGGACTCTTCTGTCAAGATGGGGGAAGAGGACGATGCAATTTCTTCGATGAGGCTTTCCAAGAAAGGCAAGGAGAGGAGCCTATCGCTTCCAGCGCAAGACGAGAATACCACTGGGCCATCACTCCCGGTGGAAGACACACAAGATGAGTTTTTTGACGCTCCTACAGGACGGATTGCAGATGAGCTCCCAATTGAAAAAGCCGAGTCTGATAGCTTGAGTGGCTCTGTTGTGATTCCTAACAATGAAGTCGCTGAAATATCCGTCAAGGCACCTAAGGAACTGTCCCCCAATTCTGCCACAGAAGCCGACGAAGCTGCTGTTGAAGCCCCTGCTCAAGAGACACTCGTCAATATTGCTAAAGAAATCCCAGAGTTTTCGGTCGAACTCGGATTCCAAGCACCTGCTGAAGCCTTGACTGAGGCCACACTTGAAACCCCTGTTAAAAGCCCAACTGAAGTTGAGTCCTCCACTCAAGCAGTCCACTCTGACGAACTGGCCATCACTACGAAAAAGGGAAAGAAAAAGAAGAAGCGCAAGTCCCAGATTCAAGAACTGGAAGCAGAAGAGAAGTCTTACTTGACCATATCTGAAGGTGATGCTGTGGTCCCCGCAACCGGCGAAGACGCCATAATCGAAGGCTCTACTTCAACTCATGAAGAAATGGGCCCGGAAATAGTAACGTCCCTAGCAACCCCAGAAACAACTAAGGACAAAACCGAAAATATAGCCTTTGCCCAGGAAGAAGCTACTGTTACTCCTATTCTAGATGCGACAACGCCAAACGAACAACGATCCTTGGATGTGGGCCAAGATAATTCAAACCCCGTGGATAAGACTACATCAGAGCATAGCTTCGAGCACGTTCAAGTCTTGCCTATCGAGGTTCAAGATGTATCGCACGAAACCAAAGAGGACTTTGCAGATACACCTCCCTCAAATGCCGCTGAAGAAGTGCCTGCTGCGACTTCGATCAAATCTAAGAAAAAGAAGAAGAAGAAGCAATCCCAAACGTTTGCGCCGGAGCAGAACATATCTGCCGTGGTAGATTCCCAGTCTCTCACCAACCTTGTAGGAGAAACTAAGCAGAGTGGAAATGAGCTGCTCCCATCAAAGCTTCCAGAGGAACCCGGTGCTGCGACTGAAGCAATACCTCCAACTCCCACTATGACGGTTGATGCTGCTAGCCTACCAATTGCTCCTACAGAGATCATCGAACCCTGCCCAAGTGCTACACCTGGTGAGCTTCACGAGCAGCCTGATCCGACGTTGAAAGTCTCTCAACCGCCAAGTGACATCATGGGGCCTACAACAGGAGAGGAACCTAGTTCAGAAGAAATAAAGTTCGATATCCATGAAATCGAAGGCGAGGCACGAATACGAACTAGCGAACCGACTTTAATGCCCTCAGAAGACCAGCGTGTGGACACTTCTCATCCGCCGGAGCTGAGCAGCGCGCTTGAAGCGCAGCTGGAGGTCAACCCACTTCCCGTGGAAGAAGTAACCCAAACAGCGAAGTCTACTGAGCCAGATGAACGTCCACTCGCCGAAACTGCCAATGAAGATTTGCATGATATCTCACCCAAGTCACTTGAGGCAGCTGAGTCGTCAAAGGACCAACAGGAAGCTGCCGATGACAGTCAGTTTTCGCCTTCAGATCGATTGACTGGCACTCAACCTTCTAAACCCCAGGACGAACCCGAAGAGCCAGGTGGTAAAAAGAAAAACAAAAAGAATAAAAAGAAGAAACAGAGTGCCTTAGACTCATCCGACCTTCAGGAAACGACTGATACTCCACCTAAAGCTGAAGACGTGCAGGACCAGTCTATGAAAGATCAGTCGGCAGTGAGCCAAGTTCCTGAAACGCTTCAAGCACTGCAAGGTACAGACGTCGATCCAAGTCAGGCAGAGGTTCCTTCTGGTGATGTCTTGCCTGAAGCCGGTAATTCAGCCTTGGATTCAAAGGAGGTCACCGGCGATGAAGATATTGCCAAACAGCTCGATGCTAGCTCAACACAACAGCTAGAAGAACCATCTAGACCTACAGAGGAAACATCGGAATTCCATAGTGAAGGTGCTGTTGACTCAACGAAATCTGCGATGCCGTCTCAGCCGGAACCAACCGCAGGTGCCTCCTTCTCAGAGCCCGCCACGCCAACAAAGAAGGGCAAGAAAAAAGGGAAGAAGAATCGGCAAAGTGCGGACCTGGGTGCTTTAGTAGAGACTGTTGATCCTTCTTCGGCTGTAGTAGATACGGTCGCTCAAACTCGTACTGACACCATGCAGCTAGGATCAGAGTCCAGTCTGTTAGTTACTGCTGATGGCGACTTACCAATGGAAAAAGAGACTGCTGAAGTTGACCCAGAAGTAGAGGTTTTGAACAAGGAGAAACCAGAGAATGACAAGAGGCGGGATCCCACTCAGTTCGACCTAGACAATAGCAGCGAGACCATGCCGGAGACAACGGATACTTCTAGTGCACAGCAAGATACAATCACTATACCGCAACCTGAAGAAGTATCACATATTGCGGTTGAACCAATAGTCGACAATGCTCGCCCTACTTCCCCAGAAGTGGTGAATGCTACAGGAGATGTGTCGCTGTCGCCGAAAAAATCGAAGAAGAAATCGAAGCGACCGAGTTTGGCTCTGGCGGAAGACGACGATACATCTGATCTCCCTGGGCCAATTCCGGAATCTGTGTCTCATTTCAAGGAAGCCTCTCATATACCGGAACAAGTTCAAGATGATGATGCCGATGTCAGTTCCACTTCGACATATCCCAAAAAATCAAAGAAGGACAAGAAAAAGAAGCGCCAAAGTGTTCAGTTTGTAGAGCCGATCGAGGAGTCACGGGAAACACCCAAAGAGGACACAAATATATTTGCTATGCCTGAAGTGACAGCCGAGCTGAAAGAATTACCTTTGGACACTTCTAGTCAAGTAACAACTCCCGCGGAGTCAGCAACTTCCCCGGTGGAAGTATCGCGCAACCTTGGTGAAGACGACAACGGTCATCTATTTCAGGAATCAACTGAAATACCGTCTCTAGGCCTTGACTCGTCTTTTGTCCCATTACCAGCTGATGGAGATGCTGGTACGGACCTGCTTCACGATGTGTCCACTCACTCCACCCCCCAAATTGTTCAGCTCGAGGAGAATCAGATGTCAGAACAACAAGAACACGAAGAAGCAGGGAGTGCAGGCCGGGGTCTCGAATCAGAGGAACAAAAGCATATTGATGCTTCGGTGCCTATTGAATCTCAAAGGGAAGGTGACACCCACAAATCCATCGAAGCCCAGGTTGAGATGATGCAGCCAGATACTATATCTAATGTCCCAGTTGAAACGGATAGCCTAATGGTTGCAGAGGACAAACCCCCAGCCGAGGCCATGCCAGTAGTTGAGGAATCTGTTTCAGCCACCACCAACAATGAAGGTTCTGTAGTGTCCAAGAAAAGTAAAAAAGAGAAGAAGAAGCGCAAAGGAAAGTCACAGGAGAATCAAGAGTCTATCTCTGATGCTACACCCAAGGCAGAGAACCAGAAAACCCCCGAAGTTCCTTCAGCAAATACAACTGAGACTGAGCAAGGTGAGCCAGCAGAATCTAAAGATCAGGCCCTTGCCGGCGAAACAGTTGTTGACGAACCACGCCCTGAAGAGAGAATAGTCGGTGCACCAATTATCGAAGAACCAGTCAATGAACCAGCGGGCATTGATGAGCCCGCAACTGAAGAGCTCATTGTCAGAGAGACACTCAGTGAAGAACCAATTAGTGACAAAACGGACAGTGACAAATCAATTGTCAAGGAGCCTATCCTTGAAGGAACGATTGTCGACCGCTCATCTGTTCAAGCACCAGTCGTTGGGGAATCTATCGATGACAAGTTAGCTATGGAATCAACGGTGGACGAGACCGCCCCTGATCTTGCAACGAAGAAAAGCAAAAAGAGTAAGAAAAAGGCCAAGAAGAATAGCAAGATCATGGAAGATGAACCAACTCGAATCTCCGATTTGACCCTGAGTTCTGTTGTCGATGATGGGGCGACGAGTCGAGAGTACACAATAGACCCGCCCCAATCTGCTGCACAGGAAGGAACTGAGGATCTCCCGAAGTCACCCAATAAGTCGATTCTGCCCATGGGTGACCAGGAAGTGCCATTAGAAGCGTCTTCCATCACTTTACCCTCTGCACTGACCGATCAGAGTCAATCAGGCCAAGATAATCAAACTGAGAACACGGGGATGCCTTGGGTGGACGAAACAACTCTCACAGAACCCGTCGCAAGTAATATCAACGCTGTTGAGCCATCAGTATTAACCGTTCCAGAACCAGCGCAGCTTTTAGATGCGCTGGTTACCGAGGCACAGTCTGAGCCCATCGTCCCTGGCAAGTCCAAGAAAGATAAGAAAAAGAAGAAACGAGATAGCCAGCTTTCGGAAAACGAAAATACCGAGCCCGTGGTTGATGTTGTAAACCCCACTGGGATAATTGAGCAGACGACAGCCGCGTTGTTGCCAGGCACCCCAGAAAATACTGTATTGGCTGATTGCTCCGAACCACAAATCCAGAAAGTAGATTCTCCTCTTGAACACGAACCAGTCTCTGTGGTACCAACCATATCAATCGAGCCTGAAAGTTCTACTAACCCGTTGATGCCTGTGGAGCAGTCTTCGGAGCAGCCACCTACCGATGGCAGAGTAATTTCGGAGGTTACTGAGAAGTCTTTGGCTGTGGAGACTGAGGGAGACAAAACAGAACAGGGGAATCCGCCTGGTGAAGAACCGTTTTCCCAGAAGCCGGGGGAACAAGCTGTAGATGAACACGTCGCAGTCCAACTAAGTGAAGGGAGTAGTTCAACCGTATTACCACCGCCCGCAGAGTCGAATGGTGATGATACGGGTAAGTCAGCCTCCGACAAAAAGACCAAAAAAGACAAGAAAGACAAGAAAAAGAAGAAAAAGAAGCAGGACACACCAGCCGACGAGGAGGCTCGTTTGGCATCTACTGAACCTACACAACCCGCTTCTGATCTTCAAGAACAGAATGACATCAATCTTTCCACGGAGCCTGGCATTACCATCACTACTGACGTACCACTCAAGTCTCACGACAACCTAGTCGAGGTGACTAATCTCGATGATATGTCTAGCCATACTACAGCTGAACCGAGTAACGAAGAGAAGCAGAGAGAGAAGCAAACTAGTTTGGCGAACGTCGAGATTTCTTCAGAGCCACAGCCAGCACCTATACAAAGCGTCTCTGCCGACCAAGAGGAAACTCACTTTGACTTCCCACAAAGGCTCGAAAAGCCACTCGCCGAGGAACTTCCCAAGATAGAAGATACTCAAAACATTCAGTCTCCCCTAACCGAGACCAAGGAAGAGAAAAACGCCACCGATGAGGGAGAAGAGATGCCACGTGAAGAAGAAAAAGAACTTGCAGATCCTAAGCCGGATGAGACGGAACAACCTGACATTTCGAATGCCATCCCTTTTGAGGCCGCTGAAAACTCTATCACAGTTGCGGGTGACTCTAAACATTTAGTTGCCACGCACAGTGAAACTATCCCAGAAGCCAGCTTCATCTCCAAGGATGACGACGCCTCAAAAGCCGAAAATGCCACTGTCGATGACGATGTATCCCAAGACAACAGTGCCCCTGGGACTGGGGATAGCCTTCATGATGCAGGTGCTACTCAAAGCGATGTCGTTGCTCAAGCACAGAGTGGTCGTCAGGATGAGGGCGCCAGTCAAGGCCAGCCTCTTGAGAGTGAGCATACTATTAAGGAAGAGACTACGCTTGACCCTGAATCTCTCACTCATAACCAGCCTTTGGATGACCCACCCCCAACGAAGAAAGGCAAGAAGAACAAGAAGAAGAAGAAGCAGTCTGTTTCCCAGATTGAGGAGCTCTCCGAGGACATTCGAGCTAAGGATGCTTCTTCGTCAGTAACTACCGATGTTGTTGAACCCGCTGAGGATAAGACACCACTGTCAGCATCTGCACCTCATAATGAGGTCGACCCGATAGAACCTGGACCAGAAATGACGGATATCTCTAGAGATGACGGAGTCTCTGCGGACCAACTGGCTGATGACTTAGCTGCGAGGGCGGATGCTCTTCTGACTGAGCCTTTGGCTTCCGAGTCTTCGAATGAGATTGGCCTCACTGATCCTGCTCCAATAGAGAATGATGAGAAGGGCACTTCCAGTAACGAGCTTTCCGAGGAAGGGCTAGCCGGAGAGTCAGCTGCTGGTACAATTGATGCTTCAGTGAACGATCCGCTAATTCCTAAGTCTTCGAACGAGGATAGCCCTATCCTGCCTACTACGAAGAATAGCAGAAAGGACAAGAAAAAGAAAAAGCAAGCTACATCGCAGGAAGATGAATCAGCTCAGCAGGCACCACCTGCAGAAGCTTCACCTAAAATACAAGAGCCGACAGTACAGCTAGAGCTACCACAGGAAGATATATCGCAAGGATCCTCGCCAAACGATGACATATCCAAGGAAGTGCAGCCCGAGAACGAACAAGTCCAAATGGAGGTGTCTCACACTATTGAGGATACACTTAGCCCAGAAGAGTCAAAAGAGACCGAACTTCCGACCGAGGTAAAGCGCACGTCCTCTTCAGAACCTGCCACTGTTATCGAACTAGAGGCACAGACAAGAGATGAAACAATCAAAAGTGATAACCCTCCAAATGACGAAGTCTTAGACCCCAGCCCTCCCAAGAAGAGCAAAAAGGACAGAAAGAAAAAGAAGAAAACCAGTTCCTTGGATCCTGAGGCCCCGCTACGGGCGGAGTCATCACAACCTGAAGGCGACCAAGCACCTGAAGTTGCAGAGTCTGTTCTTCAAGCCAAATCATTACAGGAAGCTGAAGCCCCTCCAGGCGCTGGCCCTCACAATGTCCAGGATGGCGACCTAGTCCATTTGACTCCAGCTGAGAAGAGCAAGGGCGAGAAAGAACAGCCACCACTAGAAGCACAATCAACTCAAGACACTGTTGAACGCTCAGCTGAATTTGCTCTCATTGACCACCCTGGCGCAAGTCAACCCATTGAAGCCTCTCTCCCTAATGTATCGGGGATGGCAGAAGTTATGGAGCCCTCGGCTACTGAAGATGTCCAGCTGCAATCAAGTCAAGACCCCGAGGTATCACAAACGTCATTAGCTGAAGCCTCGCAAAATGACGGACTATTTGGAACTACGCCTAGTGTAAAGAGCAAGAAAAGTAAGAAAAAGAAACGCGCCAACACTATAGAAGCTGAGCCCGAGCCCAAAGTAGATTCAAAAGACGAGATAGAATCGAGCGCTTGGCCTACTGAGACTCTTGAGTTGCCAGAGGGTCAGAATGTTGTCCTATCAAAAGAAGAGTCAAGTATGCAAGCTACGGACGCCCAGGGCACTGTATCCGAGACAAATAAGGCTCTCCATCATGAATCAATAGCAAACTCAACCGTTGATTTTGATACTAGCGCTCAAGCGTTGGACACAGCTTCCAGGAAAGAGACAAGCTCTTTGAAGCCCGAGGAGGCGAGAGAGTTGACTACTGAGCTTAAGGCCAGTGAAGCTCCGACGGAAACTGTTGCCGGAAGTGCAACAGAAGCTACATTTCCTAAAGATCAACAGACTACAACCCAGGTTATCGAGAACGAGCCACTTGAAGAGGTAGCGTTAGATACAGCACCGGCAATTGGTAATCTCGACTCGCCACCATTGCAGAGAACAGAGACTGTACAGCTAGAGGAAACAACCCCCGCGGTGAATGATGAAACGGAAACCGTACCGAGTAAGAAGTCGAAGAAGGATAAGAAGAAGAAGAAGCGAGCCAGCCAGGTCAGCTGGGAACTAGGACCAGAGGCTGAGATTGAGGATCTACCGGAACAGCAGCAGTCAGAGCGGACTTTTGACGAACAGCCAACGACGACTGACAGTACGGACATGCGTGACAGTGGCAAACCAGCGGAAGACCTGTTTTCCGAGTTAAAGTCAGAAAAGGTTTCTAAGAATCAGCGTCTAAGCCAAATGGATTGGGAACTGGAACCAAACAGTGGAATAGCAATCGAAGAGCTAAAACCCTTGCCCTCCACAGAACAGGGACAACACGACGACATGCTGCTTGATCATCAATCTCTTGCCGGGGACACAGAAACGAGCTTAAAACACTCTATCAACCTTGACGACACTTTCCTTGAAACCGCCTCTAGCAAAAAGTCGAATAAGAAAAAGAAAGCCAGCCAACCAGATGGTGATACCGAAACTCCAACCCCCGTTACGTCAGCATCAGCAACGGATCAACTACTCGTCGATAAAACCACAAGAGATAAAGGTCTTGAGCTGATTGACACTCTATCGGCTGCAGCTGCAGAACCAGTGCAATTTGAAGTGAGCGCAGACTTTCTTCCCCATGAGATTGACTCAGAGTCTAAAATAGACAAGCACAAGGCGAAGAAGCAATCGATTGCAAAAACTCATGATCCTGAACCTGTTGCCAAAGAAGACCCTGGAGACCTTGGAGAAAGCACAAAAACTAGCGATGATATCGATGCTTCTGAGCACCCATTTCCAGTCCAAGATATCCCTGATGCTTTTCAACCGCCTAGTGTTCCCTCTGAGCAAGACTCAGCCAAAGAGAAATCTCGTGATCTCTTTGCTGACGAAATGCAGCCACCAGTCAGCCAACCTCACGACGACGATTTAAGCCAGAGCCTGCCTGTAATGACTAATATTACTGAAGATGGGTCAACCAATACAGATACAATCCCTCCGCATGACAAGTCATCTGACACGCAGAATGCAATGATACCCCCCAGCTTGCTAGAAGGGGACTTCAAAGAGATAGCTAGAATGAGCCAAGCTGACGAAGTGGCTGATAGAAGCGGCAGTTCTCAGGACATACCCCAAGGGATTCCCGAGCCTCCGATCAAGACATCTAGAAAAGAGAAAAGAAAGGCAAAGAACGCCCAAGCACTAGGCGTCTCTGCCGCGGTCTCTAGTGTAAACCCTGGGGTCAACTTTCAATCGTGGGATTGGTCTAACATTGACAATAAGACACAGCCCGAGACTCGTGTTCCCGAAACAGTCTCAGCTCAGGGAGATCTTCCCCAGACAGAATCTCAAGCAATTATGCAGCCAAGTCACGAGACTGAAGTACCAACCCAGCAGGGGCAGGAACGAGAACCAAATTTAGATTATCTTGGTAGCACTCAGCCAGCAACAGGTGAACCTAAACCTGAAATTGAATCTCAACCCAAGCCCGAGTTCCAAGTTGAACCTGAAACCCCCCCTATCTCTCGAAAGAAGCTAAAAAGGGACAAAAAGAAGAAAGAAATCAGTCAATCAGAGTCAAACCAATCCTCCGAGTCGCGAACTTCGCGAGCACAAGAATCTGTAGATGGTAGCGAGTCACACGCCGTAGTTCTCGAGTCATCATCTCGAGATACCGAAGTTATGGATCCGCAGGACGATGGTAGGGCCTCGTCCGGTAAAAAGAAGAGCAAGAAGGATAAGAAACGTGGCAAATCACTCGTGGAAGACACTCTTTCAGAATCACAGACTATAATCGATGGGCCTCAAAACGTGGCACCCCCCCAGCAGCCGAGTGTCAATGAATCTCTACACGAAGAAGGCGAAAATCTTAAAACGCAAAATTCCTCCACAACCCAAGTACCCATCCAACCACAGGACCAGCCTGTTATCACCAGCGATGAAGCGGTGGAAATGTCACGGAACGTAATAGATGCTCTCGAGGCCAGTGCATCAGCGGGTTTCGAGCAGCGACCGCGGACTCCTCCACCAGATGACCAAGCCCGTATTATCGTAGATATGTCTCCGGCACAACTGAGTAGCCACATCGAACATGACCGTCCTTTCGATCAATCAACTCAGCCAGACAAAAAAATACGTACTCGTCTTGTAGAAGATGATACAATTCTGACGGAACCTCTTTCTGCCATTATGCCTGGACCGTTGGCTCCTATCTCTGAAGTATTGAATACCCAGTCCAGAGGTGCAGTGGCTGGAGATATTCCTTCAGTACTGGAGGTACCTATCGAACCTGAACCCATGCAGGTCAATGATCCTCAAACGAGTTCTAAAGAGAAGGAAATCGAAAATCCGGTTTTGGTTCACAACGACAACAGATCAGCGCTGGAAGAATCCCCTATAAAGAAGTCTGATAGAAAAAAGAAGAGGAAGAAAGGCCAAGTTGACGAGGATCAAAGCGCTGGCACAGCAATTGGAGCTGGTGTTGAAGTTGGAGTCGTCGAACTGGCAGAGCAACTTGGTGAACCGAAGGAGGTAGTAGCGGAGAAAAGGTCAAAACATGTTGAGGAGAGGAAACAAAATGACGACCAGACATCCGTGCACAAGACACCAGAAGAATCTAGACTAGATACTGATCCTAGTGTCTCCAGGACTGAACCGAGTACTTGGGCAGAAGGACAGACTAGCGAAACGCCTCGAGAAGTAGTTAGCCCTGCAGAAGATCGGAAAGTGGTTGAACTTACCAATCTGGAATATCCTGATATAGTCGGTACCATTGTTGAGAACACAACAAGCCCCGGCGAAGTCGTATCTGAGCTTTCAAAGCCGTCTACTGTGGATGACGCTGGTACACAGAAAAAACACACCAGCGTAGTCGATGCCCAAGACAATTTGGACCGGAATACATCAGAACAGATGAAAACCTATCATCAATCACCCCTACATGCTGAGGCGAGGGATGCACGCGAAGAATCTACCCTACCTCTACAACCCCCACCACGAACGCCTAGTGCATTAGACTACCCTCGAAGCTTACCGCCTGTCGAAGAGGAGACTCGTGAGGACCTTGAAAAGGAGTTACGATTGGGGGTTGAAAACAAAATCCATACAGAGCTAGAAGCAAACAGGGATAGCGGGTTCATTACCAGCTCTCCAAATCCTCAACGACATAGTCTTGATCTTGATGATGCAGGCCAACGCGACAGTGGCGTTCACATGCGTGACTGGACAGCAGCGACTCCATCGAACCCTGGTGTGAAAACAGTGGGCTCTGAGGAGAGCAACACCCGAATAGCGCCGGATGTCATTGATAAAGACAACAACAGCTCACAAACACCGCAACCGCATGAGCGACGTTCACGACGATCCCTATTTGACAACGAAACGCCAAAGCTGGACACACCTACACAAGGCAGAGGATGGGAGCGAGGCAACACACCAGAGAAGCCAGCTGAAGACGAGCCGCTGAAGCGGACGACGACGACACCGTCAACATTACGAGCAGCGAAATACCAAGAGCTCACATCCTCCAGAGACGCCAGCGCGGCTCTGCAAGGACACACACCGCAGCACCAAACACCAAGAAGCGTTTCGGACAACACCAGCATGCACGATGTCAAGCGACAATCGACACCGCTGATGGAAAGCGCGGCTCGACGATCGACGTCGAACACGGGCATCTCACGGCTTCGGACACCAGAGCTGGCCAAGTTTCGGACTGAGAGCCCTAGCAGCCACAGCGTGCACAGCGTCCGGAGCATCCGCAGCCTGCGGTCATCGGGCGCCAACACACCCCCCCTTCTGCGACGGGTGGATCGGCGAATGAGCGGTGACCTGCGATCCCTGAGCCACAGCTCCCCCACTCCCAGCCTCCACAGCTCCACCTCGGCCAGGAACAAAGACACCGACAGAGACACCGCCAAAGATGCTGCTGCTTCCTCTGACCGCCACGCTCTCCCAAGCACCATCACCCCCATTGCCAACGAAGGCCGTGTCCGCGCTAAGGACATGACCGACGTCTATGTAGGTCCATTTATCTCTTTCTGATCTAGCCCTGCCCTCTTTGCTCGCTGTATAGTTGCCAATCGGGCTGTTGTGCCCTTTTCCGCCCTTTTTTTGCCGTTTTTCTGGTTGCCTGTTTCCATCCCTAGCTCTTATGGCACGAGTAAGAATTGGCAGACGATGCATCCGTTCGCTACCATCAATTCATTCGCTAAGATCAAATTCAATAACAAATTGAACAAATACAAGAAAATACTCTACCGAAAATTGCTAACTAAATGCCTCATCCAGGATGGCTATGGCGAGGGCCGCATCGGATCCCCGCGGTCACCCACCCGACCCCCCAGCATGCGTCGTCGACAGAGCATGCAAGTCCTCGAGCTTGAGGCCAGAGTCGAGCAACTTCTCGCCGAAAATCGTGCCCTTGCTGATGCCCGGACCCAGGCCGAGCAGAGTCTGAGCTATCGCAACACGTCGGCCATTACCGATCGTGACGCCGAGATCGAAAGCCTCAAAGCCTCGCTGCAATGGCTGCAAAATGAGGTCACCCGACTGACCGAGGTCAACGAGGGTCTGCAGAGCGCCAACAGCCTCCTCGCCCTGCAGCACAATGAAAAGTATACCCGGCTTGAATCACAACACACCACGGCCACTCGAGAATTGGAGGAACATCGCGGTGCCAAGGACCAATTCACCCAGACTATACAAGCCAAAGATGCCGAGATCCAAGAGCTCCGCAATCAGCTAGAAGCCACCAAGGAGCAGATTCGGGAAATGAAGCAGCAGATCCTTGCAACCAAGCCTCCTGATGCTGACTTCCTTCGCCTCAAGGATGAGGATCACTTCGATCACCGGTGCCAGCAGTTATGTTCGCATGTGCAACAATGGGTCCTCCGCTTCTCCAAGTTCTCTGACATGCGGGCTTGCCGACTTACGAGCGAGATCAATGACGAGAAGATCATCGACAGATTGGACAATACAATATTAGACGGTTCAGATGTCGATGACTATCTGAGCGATCGGGTCGCCCGCCGCGATATTTTCATGTCCATGACTATGAACATGATTTGGGAGTTTGTCTTCACCCGTTACCTTTTTGGTATGGATCGAGAACAGAGACAGAAACTCAAGTCACTCGAGAAAATTCTGACCGACGTTGGGCCAACCCATGCTGTCCGCCAATGGCGCGCCATCACCCTAACACTCCTCTCCAGGCGCCCTGCCTTCGGCGACCAGCGCAATCAAGATACCGAAGCAGTGGTGCAAGCCATTCTTCAAACACTCTCCATGATTCTACCACCGCCATCCAACTTGGAATCTCAGATTCAATCCCAACTACGCCGCGTTATGCGCGAAGCTGTCGACCTATCAATCGAAATGCGCACACAACGAGCAGAATTCATGATGCTCCCACCACTACAACCGGAGTATGACGCCAACGGCGAACTCACGCAGACAGTAACATTCAATGCAGCGCTTATGCACGAGCGATCAGGTGATTCGTCCACCACAGACGAGGCGTACGAGGCCCAGGGCGCCGTTGTCCGCTGCGTACTCTTCCCTCTTGTCGTCAAGAAGGGCGATGATAATGGCATTGGGGACGATGAGATTGTCGTTTCTCCTGCCCAAGTGCTTGTGGCCAAGCCGCGACGTTCTGCAATCAGAATGGTGACTCCATCGTCCGACGCGGGCGGTGCTTCTCTATTGAATTACGGGGCACCTTCAAACATATCAGCAACTATGCCTGATGCCCCTTTGACCCCAGAGTATACCTAGTGAGGTTATTATGGACCTGACAAAACAAGGCAGAAAACTACAGAGTGAATAATTGGAGCATCACGATGTGGATGTTTCCTTGGAGGAAAAAAAAAAACTTTCGACTTCATACTTTTTTTTTCTAATCTTGATGGCCGGCGTATTGATGGCGTATTGGGCTTGGAATTTGATTGATTGATACCTAGGCGGAGTTCAGGAATGCCTTTTATTCTCTGTCTATGTTCACATTTGTCCTTGCATGTCATGACTTGACTTGTTGGTTCTTGAGAGCATCGGGATTATTATGAGCTATGACACCGACCAGTCCGGTCATATTTGTAATTCATTAGGCAAAATAAAAAGAAACTTCTGGTTTCGGTTATGAAACATGAGGGAGTCCCTAGAGTATGTGCTATTTACGTATTCAGAAGTGATGATCAGAAAGCAATGACAGAAGGCGAAACCCAGACTTTAATAACAACAACAACCCGATGCGACCGATCTAGTGTGGTATAAGCCACCTAGGTTTTTGATACTCCTAAGGTCAAATCCCCCCACCTTTCCTCAATACAGGGTCTTCGAACTTTAGATTAGTCTTGACAGCGGTTTATCATTTTGGCCATATACATTACACGGCATCATGGCGGCATATACTCGCCCATCTGGCTGTAAATTTGTAAAATGAAGGGAGAAGGGGAGGTGAACATTACGATCACCATACACTCAACCATAAAGTAGAAAGGGAGTACGGCGATAAGAAGCGTTGGAGGGGTTAGGAGCAAGAGCAAGTCTGCTTATCGTAGAGGGTATAGATACTTGGGAGGTCAATGAGCTTTGTGAGTAAAAGTGACAATAACAGATGGTTTATTGGCCCAGCAATCTTCCTGCTTTATAAAGTGCAGCGACCTCCATTTATAATGCTGAATTTTGGGTCATGATATCCTTGTATGGACAATTCACCTGTCTGCACGTCGTTGGGGAAGAGTGCGTACATTGTATCCTAATAAGAAGTCGTGGTTGTTAGTAAGATAGAAAGAAAGGAAAGAAAACATTGCTACTTACCCAGTCTATACTATCCATGATATCATTGCCCTGTGATATATGAGAATCAAGAGCGCCACCAGCACCAGCAACAGCTGCTGCAGTACCCCCTTTTATCGTTGCTGCCATTGCCGGTGCTGGTGCCGTTGACGGTATCGTCACTCCTATAGGTGGCGCAAGGCTTGAAGAGTCGCTGTCGTGGGGACTCCCTGCATTTGGTGGTAGACTCCAGAGGACTTGACCATCAGATACGCCCGCAAAGACCATATGTGGTCTCGTCGATGGTCCCACGGATGTGTAGCCTGGCTCTGCCTTCATGCCCCCGTTCGCACCGGCACAGAGTGGAATGTGACTTCCACAGGCGGTCGAGTGCTGATTCTGATGCTGAGGCTGAGGCTGAGGCTGAGGTTGAGGTTGAGGTTGATATTCGGGGTGAAGCACCGGCACGGGCTGCTGTTGTTGTGTCGCTTGGTGTTGCGGCTGATGACCTGGCGATGGCGAGTTGGTCCCTGCCACTGCATTGGTTGAGACTGCTGCTCGAGCAGTGGTACTGGGGCCCCGCATCTTACGTTTGCGCATATACACGGCGGTACGACTCGATATCTCACTCAGTAGGTTCATGCACTTCGTTTCTGGGGGCAGCTTGTGGTCTAGGTCGAAGACATAGTCCAGACATGACCAGATACGGTCTGCCTCGCGGCTCTGAGGACGAAAGTACACTTCAGTGGCAAGCAGTATCGCGATCTGGAACTGGAAGTAGGCGCCCATGTACCACGCCCAGTCCTGGAATAGAGGATTGGTCTCTACTTGTATTGCCAGCTCAATCACCATTATACCCGACGTGATCAGCAGGTGGCTCAGCCGTGGTGGCATCGGGTGCGACGCGTTGGCATAGTACGGGTGTAGCACCATGACATGCAGCCGGTAGGTCAGCAGATACATGATACACTTTGCGTAGCGCTGTTGTGGCAATGATACGTCGAGCAAAGGGTCATACTTCTCCGACATGCGTCGCCGGAAGTTCTCGATCTTGGTCAGCACGGCAGTCAAGGTAGTGCGCCTGGTCTCGAGTCGCCGTCGGTCCACCCAGACGGCACGCATCATCTCGTTGATTTCGAACCGGATCAGTGCCAACGTATTAGTCGTCCATGCGTCCGACGGCTCTAGTGGTGGCGCACCAGATGCTGCTGCCAAATCCTCTTCATTGCAGTTTATAGGCAGTTTCGTGTCGTAATCTTCTCGGCGAATCACAGGTTTTGGGCCCTGTGCTTCACACGTCCGGATGTCGAGAAAGCAGAGCTGATGCCAGACGAGACGCCGTACATGTGTCTCCAAAGGCGTCAGCCCATAGGTTTCGCCGTCACGGTGCAGGCCCATGCACTCAGCCATGCGAACGGCAGCGCCCACGAGGACTGAATGAGCCCGTGACACCTCTGCCCTACATAATGGTATCTATGTTTATGGTATTAGGCTTGAGGTCGGATTGAGAAATTGAAGGAATATAAAAAAAAACCAGCTCACCATGTAGATGATAAACGCCTGCATGGTTTCTACTCTTGTAGTCCGCAAGAAATTGGCTTTGCTGAGAGCTGTTTCGGTACCAATCTTAAGGCTCGCAACCCAGTTAGCCTTAAAATAGCCACCCAGCTCGTGAAATACAACGTCCTCCCTCATGCTGACGAGGCCGCTGAACATAGTCGCGAAGATAATAGCCTGCATGGCGGGTCGTGGCTCAAAGCCCGCAGTAATCTCTTCCCAGAACGCGGCATATACGCCTTCCATCGAAGGCCAGTGCGAGCAAGGCGCTATGGGATGGACCGCACGGAAGTATCGAGCCATAAGACGGTCCGCGACATGCCGGGGTGGCAGAAACTGCAGGAGGTTGGGTGGCTCGCCAACTTGGCCGAAAAAGAAGCCGCTTGTTGGCACTATGTGTTGGTTTGTAGGCTTCAAGAAATCGGGTAGGGGTGATTCCGATATGCTATCTGGGACATCCTCAAATACGGGCATCTGGCCCCTTGGAAGTAGACGAGGCGGGTGGCCAACAGGGCGCTGCGAGATTCCTGCTAAGATCTAGGTCACAGTCTATGTCAGGCCATCATGCATCTTCAGGATGCGAAGACTAGGGAGTGCGCATACCTCTTCAGATAGTCGTGGTCTCGAGAGTCCACCTATCCTCTCAGTAATACGCATTTTCCCAATTTGAACGCCAAGGTCTATCATGTCGTCAGCGCCTTCATCTGCATCATCTTCGTACGTCAGGTCGAGAGCGACCAGAGGCGTAGCCTCCAGGTCGTGCTCATCATCATAGTTGTCTTCTACTTCATCAGCGAGAATGCGTTGCTGCAAAGTGCTCCTAGACGCAGTGAAATTGGTTACATCACGTTCCAGCTGTCGCTCCAAAGTGCTTTGCTTCTCTTTGATCTCAGCGAGGCGCATCTGACTCGCCTCGTCCAGGCGAGGCCCAATGTATAGGCAGTCCCGTGTGGCCTTGACACAGTTGGTACATGTCGGCGACGTCTTACTGCACTTAAGCTTGCGTTTCCTGCACTATGGTTTGATGTCAATGTTAAAATTCATATTTTCTGAGATTTAAGGTGATGCGAGGCTCTCGAAAGGTACCCGTCTGAGAAATGGCGAGCCGTGGCGAGGAACAAGCTACCTCCCGTACGATGGTGAAAGCGATACCAGGTCCATGGGATAAACCAAAATAGCTGGTTGTCACTCACCTCTAGACAAGAGTTGATCATACGGTTGCGCCGCCGGATAGGCTTGGGTTGAACACTCGGCCGTGAAATAGAGCTGGGCTCTTTGTTACTTGCCATGCTGTCTATATGGTCCATGTTGGATAATATTCGCCTCGTCTACTGCTGTCGTGTTGAAATAACGCGCCCGCACGACCTTTCCTAACTGCTTCTGCTTTTGCCTGTGCTTTGGTCTCTGCTTCTGTTCTTTGATGCGTTGCTCGTGTTAATCTTTTGCCGATGGCGTGGATGGCGCTGTTCCTGATGCTCTCATAGGCTGGTGTCTCGACCGCCCCTCCTTAATCTCATCTCAGGTTGAGATATCGCGGCGCCTACGAACCCACGGAGACGGGACCAGTGAGATTAGCAGTACGAGCAGCAACCCACGCCGGATCGAGTATTCGATGATATGTCTCGTATTATCCTTCAAAGTAAAATACGAACGTATCCTACATAATTAGAAGGGACAGGAGAAAACTCGCCAGTCGCTGCATTTCCTCGGAGTATATAAGGACAATCTAAGCACGCAGCAAAGCAAGGTAGCCTGTCACTACGAAATCAGGGATCGGTGCGTTGATACCGGAGTGCACCGAAGGGGCTTCGTTGAGGTAATACCAACGATCCCCTTGCTTGGCCTGACAGAAATACGCGCTCTATCAGCATCGGTGTGGTCTTTGACAGCGCGTTTGCTACCTCGAAATCAATGCTGGCCAGAATTTCATGTTTAGACGAGTATAGCATGCACTATATCCCTCGTTCTGCCAATCCAAACGCCCTCTCATTCCAAGTTGAACGAGGAAAACATGCTCGTCCAAGTGAGACACGAGGCGCTGGTGAGCGGCGATTCTCGGGGAACGTGACAAGGAATATGGCGCGCCGAGTGCCAGCACTGTCAGTCAGGTCATTCCTGGGTTAGTGCACTTCCTGCTAACAATAGGCGGGCGACAAGTGGAGAGTCGGAATCCCCTGCCCCTCAAATCTACTGCTACTGCGGTGCAACGATGGTGCATTGCTGCTGCGAGTGGCCTCCCCGGGTTCATGGTAACACGGAAGGGGTTTGGCCTAATTCTGCTGGGATAGAGCGAGCGCGCGAGATTCGAAAGAAACCCCCCCCGGCAAACACCGGCAGGAGACAGCGAAGCACAGTTGTCGGCCAGCGAGGGAGCCAAAGTCGATCCTGTGGTGTGGCTCCCTGTTCGCAGCCACTCGCTCACAGAAGGATGATGGCAATCTCATAACGGCCGGCCATTGACGATCCGACTTATCCCAGCAAAGGCTGGCCCCAAGGACCGTCTCCCTGGGACTGGACTGACCACAATGGCGGTCAAAGATCTACGGCCATGTCATGAGCGAGGTAGGGAGCCCTACTGAACGGGAGACAATCAGGGCGATCTGGACGATGGTGTGTTTACGCTACGTCCGACTATGTAGCTCGACAGGACGATAGGCGTCGATATCAGTTGTGTCTCAGGTCTCGCGTCATGTTGTACCGGATCGAGATAAGGTCAGAGTGCCTCCGCTTCCTCCACCTCGAGCCGTATGGGAGCTTCTGCGCGCGTCCACTGCCCCAGGGGGCTCGATTGTCCTGAGACCCGAGTCTGTGTAACCGCGTACTACGTCAAAGTCAGTCATCACCATTTGTCTTGGCGAGTATCTAGCTGTAGGACACCCTTCATTACCAGCCCTCCTTTGGCCACCTTCCACTTCCAAGTTGTCTTTGAAACCTAGTAGAGCAAAGGCTGTGAGCCTTAGTGTTCGATATAGTTTGTATTACTCTCGATTGTTATATACATGGGAGCTATCGTAGATAGAATGTTTGGCGCCTCTGACTGGCCCGGGACCATTCCATCCCGGTGTTTGTCACCTGAGACCGAAGTTGGACCTCCTCCGCCGTTGCATCGCCAACCCTGCTTGTAAGGCTACCCCACGACCGAGATGTTTGTGAATGATATACAGAGCATACCGTAATCGTGAGGTAATTCCTGGCCCATTATCTTTGAGCTGTCTTGTCAAATGGTGGGTGAAGGCCCGCAAAAAGGGCAAAGAGGGTTGTTTCCCGTGCCTTCGTATGTTGGCGTAGCAACTTAACATCAGAGATAAGGCTTTTCGCTCGCTGATGTGTGGCGATAATGCACTCACAATGCCCACGGCAACTAGCTTATTGATATGGCTCTGGGCTGCCGCCCTGCGAGGGCTTTGCCGCCCTATCCTGGTAGTCCAGCCTGTTTTGAAATGGAGTGCATTATAAAGTTTTCTATGGTTGAAACCAGGCGCCCAGCTGAGAATTTCTAGTGCTTTAAAGCCAAACCTAGATTCCCAGAAAGACAACTGGTTTCTCGTACTCTCTTCAAAGAGACAGAGGATTTCAACAGCAGCTGACGGCCTTCGCATGCCTAGTGCCATCTTCGCCAGCCGAGGCGGTCCCCTCCGAATATGACCGACTCCTTTAACTAGTGAAATTATATGTGTCTCACGGCCAATAGCATGCAGAAACTTGCTAAATTGCTTAGCAAGAATAAATTGGCGGGACTTCCAGAGCAAAGCGCCAAGTACAGAGTAAGTCTCCGTACGCCATAGAATAATGTTGTGCAGCTCTATATATCGCTCGAGCGGAGCCTGAGCATTGGCCCACAACAAAAACAACTGACAGACCTCGAAGTCTGTCAGAGGACGGGCAACCGATCCAGCTTCTAGGGCGACACAGGCCTGGGAAAGGTAAGCCCTATCTACACCTGGCAGTCGCGCAAGAAGCTGAAGCCAGCCGTAGCGAGCCTCTGTATAATCGATACCGGCAACGCTTTTATACCCTACGACCATTTTGGTGACCTCGTCCAAGTAGAAGCGATGTTCAGGTTCTCCAAGACTATACAGAGATATGGCCATCTTTCGAGTCTGTCGAGTTTTCGTTGGTAGCGCGGTAACTTGCCCCAAAGCCTTGAGAAAGGCATCCAGGTTTTCCAACATGCCCGGGAAAACAGCGTCTATGCATGACTTTGGAATGCAAGCCATGGCCTTTGCAAACACACGTACAGTATTCATCTGAACAGTGCTCATTTCATGGAGGATGCTGTTCCACGCAACGTAGTCAAACGTTGTTGTATTAGCAATCTGCCTCTTGGAGAGGCCCTCTATCGTTGCGTCGAGAAGACGGAGCTTGAGCTGATCAGTCCTCCTTGCGCTAAAGACGTCAATGAACTCCGTGCTCAAGCACTCACTGATGCCTGTCAGAATCTGGGTAATGGCCTCGCCATTAAACAGCCCATCTGATAAAGCTTGGTGCCAGCTATCACAGAACTTGGAGAAGGACGGCCACGGATTTTTTACCTCATCCGACCCGGGAAGAGATAACGAATTTAAAGCCGCTGCGATGACGTCTAGGGGAGTATGCTTAGCACCCCATGAGACCGAGGGCAATATCTCTGCCACTCCACTTAGAATAACGTTTTCGGCCAGCAGTATCCGATCGGGAGTTTCGAGATGGTCTGTAGCATCGTCACGTGGAGGAGATAGTGATCGCAATCGACTCAATGCAGCGTCGAAAAGTCGGCGCGTCTTTGGGACATTCACGTTCTGCCGGCGCCTTGCATCGGGTAGCGTTGGAGGTGACCATTTCCACTGTGTTAGGTCGACCAGGTTTGCCAAGTCCCATACCGGCGCGGAGGAATGCGACTGTCCAAAGTGCAATTCTCCCATATGTCTTTTCGCCAGACGTTTCCTATGCTCCATGGGGCCAGGGACGGAGGACCCATAGCGCGCGCCTGAGTAGAATGTCGCAGCATATCGCTCGAAGGTCGAGGCAAGTAGACTCTCGGGCACCCATATACTGTCATGATGAGGCCGTAAATGACGACGAACGGCCTGGTAGCATTGCGAACTGGACGGCACGGCCATGGACGCGAGCCCTTAACAGAGGGCGATCCCCCTCTCCTAAGCAATCTATTTCGCTAAAGGCGGTTTTAGGAAGTCCATTGAATGTACAAGGTGCAGAATTAGGAGATTGATGTTGGGACACAGCAGCGGGAAAATACTATTAATGTGCAAAACCCGGTCGCTGGTCTGCGGCAGCCAAGGGGGGAAATCGAGTGCCCTACCTACGTAGGTACCTACATAGGTACCTACATAAGTACATTGTACATATGTATGTACGTACCTAGTTGCCTGCTGGTTGCTTCTCTAACCAGGAACTACATAGGTATTTAAATGTACCCACTACATAGTATCCATGTATCTAAGTGCCCTATGTAGGTTGGATCCTACATGGGTATGTCGCTTTTCTTCTTGCGCGGGGCTTGCTAAATGCCCCTACCTACCCAAGTATGATGGTGATGCTTTCTCTTCCACCGAGGTCCTCCGAGTACAAGCAAACCGCCAACATTAATCCCACACTATGGCTCACGATTTCCCTCCTCTGAAGAACGATCTGGTCCTAAGGACAGCCTGGGGTGCGTCACCCCGAGTAATTTGAGTGGCCCTAGCTGTCGCTGAGTGTGGCCGCAGGTCAAAATGTAGAACGCGCACCCATCTGGATCATGAGACAAGGTATATGCCGCCGCCAATTGGATCGCACTCGCTGCTATAGTCCTACCTGGCTAACAGTCGCGAAGCCGGCCGCTACCTTCCCGAGTACCATGAAGCCAAAGGCAACCGCGATTTTTTCGAATGCTGCCGCGATCCCGAAGTCGCCTCCACCCTGACCCTACAGCCTATTGAGCGCTTTGCCGGTCTCCTCGATGCCTCCATCATCTTCTCCGATATCCTCGTCATTCCGCAGGCTATGGGCATGGTCGTTGAAATGGTTGACAAAAAGGGCCCCCATTTTCCCGATCCTCTAAAATCACCCGACGATGGCCAGTACACCAGCGTCCTCGACAAGCATGTCGATGTCGCAGCCGAGCTTGACTATGTATACAAAGCGATAACGTTAACTAGGAAGAAGTTGGACGGCCGCGTACCACTAATTGGGTTTTGTGGCGCCCCTTGGACCCTATTCTGTTACATGGTAGAGGGTGGTGGTACGAAACTGTTTGTCGAGAGCAAAAAATGGATATACAAGTACCCGCGTGAGACGTGCGCCATGCTACAGAAAATATCCGAGATCTGTGTTGAGTATCTTGCATTACAGGTTCAAGCTGGGGCTCAGGTATACATTATCCAAGTAGCTCGTGGGTGGTCGGAGCTAACATTGGGGTTCAGATGATCCAGGTCTTCGACTCGTGGGCAGGAGAGCTATCGCCTGCTACGTTCAAGAAGTTCAGCGAGCCTTACCTTGCCTATATCGCTCAGAAGCTGCCAAGTAAGCTGGCTGATATGGGTTTAGAAGTTGTCCCTATGATTGTGTTTCCGAAAGGCGCAAACCAATCACTTGACTCTGCTTGCAATCTAGGTTACAATGTCGTAGGTCTAGATTGGCTTGTAGATCCAGCCGATGCGGTCAAGATTCGGGGAGATCGCAAGATTGTATTTCAAGGAAACGCTGATCCCGGTGTCCTCTATGGCTCTAAAGAATCCATATCAGAGACTGTCAAGTCCATGGTGGAAGGCTTCGGAGGCGGCAAAGGTGGCTGGATCGCCAACCTTGGGCATGGTATCACACCTTTTGTTAAGCCAGATGATCTTAAATTCTATCTGGAAGAGATACAACGCCTGACCAGCAAGTAAAATCTGAAAGAAACAAAAGCTCTTGTAAATAGACATCAAGCTCTCGGATGTTCATCCTTCCGGGAAGCTTCGGTTCAGGTCTAGACGGCTCCTAAATCAAAATTAGAAGAACCGCATTTATGAAATTTAAGCTCAGTACGCTTACCAAGATATCTGCCACAACGGCTTACCATTCAAACTCCTACACACCCCCTGACTCTGGACATTATCTGGAGCCACATCAGCCCAACCAATGTATGCATCATCATTGTAGTCTCCCAAATGATCTCTCAAAAGCTTGACCGCTACAGCCTTCGCGATACCTCTTCCGCGATAGGGCTCTTCGCAGTGCAAGCTGCTCAGCGAGGAATCCGGGCCTAGACCCTCGACATTAATCTTCCACCTCCATTTGGAAAAAGAGTAGCACATACCGAGAAAAGCCCACGCAACTGGCGTCCCATTATTTGTATATAATGCCGTGCTTGGTAATAACTTCATTGTGCGCCTGCATTACAAGTCGCAACCAGTGAGCTATGTACCCATTGCTCCATGGGGACAACTTGGCTTCAAACAAACAGATTAAGGGGGGTCGGGGGTTCAGACATACTCTCTTCTTGGAATATTTGTTCGCGAGATGGTAAACGCAATATCCTCCCGTCGAACAACATCCCAAACCCATCGGTGCCCATTAACAGTCCCGATGTCGTCAGTCAAATCAGCATCGGGCAGCTTGGCAATCTCAAAGATCCACTTGTCGTAAAGGCCTGTCGAAACAAGGTCCATACCCACGTCAGGCGCCGCGAGCCGTTTTCTCAGGATTTCATTCAGGTTGCCGACCAAGACAGTAGGATACTCACGCTCGTTCGCGCGCGTAGTCCCAGGGGCAAAATAGAGGTCTTGCTGGCGCTTGACTTCGTGGAGGAGGGCAACGGCACTGGCGATATCTTCTCGTTCTCGTCCCAGCTCTTCGTCGTCACCTTCTTCGTGGCTCGTACCCCATCTCTCTTTGGCCCGGATACCCATCTCATCCTGGGTACTTGATATTCCGCTCAAACGTCCTTCCATCGATGAGTAGATCCATAACTCCGTCTCTGGACCTCGAGAGAAATCCAGATACGCAGCGGCAAAAGGGGGTGCCTTTCCATTCACCCTCAGTTCTCTATGATCTTTCCCAGCATTCTCGTCAATTCTCGGTTCTGCTTCGACTCCGTCGTCATGCGCAGAACAAGTAGACAAGTACTCTTCCAGTGTAAGTGGCGAACACCAGAGAATCCTCGCGTGCTCCGAAATGCCACCGGGGAACCCCGCCGCAAACCGCAGTCTCCGCACTAGAGGCAGCGAAACAAGGGGATGGGAGTGTTCGAGAACCTTGACGAGAACCTCCGGCGGCTTTGCGTATACGGCTACTTTGGCAGCCATAGTAGATCAGTCAATCGATTCCCCTATTCTTCCTCCTCCTTACCAACGAAGTTATCAAGCTCTCTTCCCTATCCTCTAAGTGCTTTTACACGTTTAGACTACACGGTATTGTCTTTAGCAGATCCGATTTAAGATGTTAATACGCATCCACGCCCGCGAGCTGAGGTATTTGTCGTGGGCCAATATGTAAACAAGACAAGAGACCGAGAATCTTAGCGGACGGGTTCGGAGGGGTTTCAAAATGCCGAAGACCAGCCGTCGCGATAGATCAACATGCAATTAGCCAATGTGAGGCCACTCTCACTTCACTCATCTCACAGAAAAAGAGGAGAAGAAAAAAAAGAAAGGGAATATAAGGAAACTAAAGCTCCAAGCCACGAATATAACGGGTTAAATTTATCTCTCATTTGAAAGAGTTACTATACCGTATGTAATCAATCACGAGCATCGATTCTCTTCGTCAGCAAATGAGTCACGACATCCCCCGGCACCGGAGGCTCGCAAATTGGCAAGATCGTGAAGACGTCTACAAAAAACCCTGGATGTTCATCACGGACGGAGTCTACTTGGTAATAATGCTCAAGAAGCAATCACCACTTATTTATAGCTATTGCCCCGCTCCCATTCATGATTTCATAGAAATACCTACCACAACACGTAGCTGCCTGCCTCATTCTTCGTCCCTCGCCAATCCATAAAGCCATGAAACAACAGACCTTTAAAGTAGTGTAACAGCACCGAATAAACGGAAATTCATGGCAGACCCGCCTATCAGAGCTTCCATCAGATGATTGGAATTAGGAGCCGAAAACAGCAATAGAAGTAACTCACTCTTCCATCGCTAGGTTGACCTCAACGTGTAAATTCCAAATGCGTTAAAACCTAGCCATCCATGTACTACCGCGTGCCATTCGTGGTCTTTCCTTGCCGCCGGGAGGTACGGCCTTTGGAAGAAGTAGATACCACTGTAATGTTCCTCTTCATCGACTCCTATGTCCGTTTGAAGAAGTCTTTGGCCTTGGCAGCTAGGCTACCGGCCGTCCTACCGGGTTGTTGTTTCTTGTTAGTGTCGGCTGTAGGGACATCATCCACAGCAGCGGACTCATCGAGGCCACTGGGTTTCGGGTCGGGTGATTCGCTCTTAGCGACGTTGGCCGCGCCGCCTCGGCCAACATGTTGTTGGGTGGTGCTGAGTCGTCGCTCGACTCTACCGTGGGTAGTGCGTTAGCCTCCATCTCTAGTAGAATATCTGCTCTATTGCCTGTCCTAACTCGAACCAATTCTGGGCGGCCCCAATGACCCGGCCGTGGGTATCGCATATCATGCTTCTCGCATTGCGTTGTCGTGGTAGAAATGGTACTTACGGAGCAACATCCTGGCGTGCGCGTGTCTCGACAGGATCTACGTTTGGCTTCATGTTGCCGGAACCACCACGACCGGTGGTGATAATGGGTGTCTTAAGAGTAGGAGTCTGTAGGTCGGAGGGCTCAATACGAGGAGATTTGGTCGCATCGGCGATATTGCCTGCGCCACCACGGCCAGTGGATGTCAGATTAGACATGCTTCGACTGTCGTGAAGGTATGTAGAGGGCCTTTTCGCTCCCCTTCTTTTGGTGAATCAAGATGCTAGCTAGTTAGGACATTGCGACTAGTTGTGGCTCGGTGTTTCCGGCGCCTGAATGGGAGACTACTTACCTTCCTACGAGCCGTTCTGATATGCTTATTTCTTGCAGGGGGGAGGATGACGACGATCGATCGATAGGAGTCGATGTTGCGAATTTGTGATAGACGGGTATGTATGTTTAGTTTCAGTTCTTCACCATCAAAGTCCCCGGGCGTTACTCGACATGGGATAGAATAGCAAGTCAAGAGAGCGGCTACCGACACGTTTGATATGGAGGCTGGAATGAGAGCTGGGGGGGTATAGCAAGAAGGGGTAGGAAGGAGTATAGCACGGTTTTTAAACTACATAAAAACTCGATAACATAGGGTACTCTGTAGGTAGTCACGAGGCAACCGCAACCGCCCAAAAGTCGGCGGCGCTGAGACGGGTTGCGTGCCCAGCTGTCCCAGCCCGGTTCGGGACAGAACTATCTAAGTTAAGTAGCCACCGCTTTGTCCTAAGATGTATGTGCCCCATCTACATATGTAGGTAGGTATATAATCTATTTTCGATTTTGTTTTAGACAACCTTGCAGACACCGCATTCCGATCCAGGTAGCCAGCTAAGACATAAGGATTGCATCATTTCCAACCTCTCTGAGCCCACGTTGATCCCACGCATCCGCGCCGCGTTAGGATAAGGCAAGGCCTTGACAACCGGATATACTTACTGCCTACCTACATTACCTAGATGCCACTGACTACTAACCTAGAGTATTTTACTATATGACATCTAACACCTCTTATCGCACGGGTTGCCCAAGATCTGCTCTAGGCCGCCTGACATTGGTCCGCTGCCCGCTGGACACACCACAGCAGCAGCCTGAACAACAACTACGGCAGTAGCGGTTCCACATTGCTAGGTAGGGCATACAGTAGGTGTCGCTAACTGTAGTAGGGCTCGGTAGACACTTCGAGGGCACTCAAGTCGAGAATTTACATATACATCTCTGTACCTAGTGTACCTGGTAAGTGGGCATCTTTGGGGTCGTAAAGATAGAGTAATGAAGACGTAATGGAAATGATTGCCGCCATGACCCAGTCCTAAAACCCCGGTCTACAGTACTCCCTCTACTAGTAGTAGCCGCTTGCCGGATTTCATCAGATCTGGGCGATTTGGGCGGGGTCTCTGGCGATAAATTGAAGGTTCACGGCTTCAAACCCTCACTTGAGTGCGAGACACGGGAGAGGACTAGCTCTCGTCCCCTCGATACTCCATCTACAAGCACCATCTAACCGATGGTCCCCCCGGCCTCAAATCACCTGTGAGGTACATGTGTATGTATTATAGAAGCTTTATGAGCCTTCATCTCTGACGCATTAAACGTAGTCAGTAGGGATGGATGAAGTTGGAACAAGGCTGCCAACATTTAAATTAGGCCATATCCAGCCTCACCTGGGTTCTGGTTAGTGAGCCTCTCAATTCAGGTGTTAATTGGCTGACACATGTAAGTGTAAATATATCCCGTTAAGTCCTACCTACCTACCTACCTGATATTCATTACATTATTTACCTACACTAGCTCCAATCCAATAAATATATATATATGTATATTTAAATATTCATATATGGATCACTTCAAGATACATAGATTGTTAGTCAAGCCGTCGGTGCTATCAAAATACCCGCAAATCAGACACAGACACATGAACCTAATCAGTCAATCAATCAATGGGGTCAATCAAATCGATATCGCATCCCTGCTCGGGCATCATTCGTCCCGTCTCGCACATCAAACAGAGGCGAATCACAAACTCTCGACCCACATGCCCGGAATCTTGTTGCTACCACCCATGACACACAAACCTACATACAGTACCACATAGATACTCGCTGTCGGCCCAAAGGCTGTGCGGCTCCGGCTCTTTGGGTGTCCCGCGCTACTGGACCTTTACCTATATGCGCGGAGGAAGTGTTTGGTGACACGATGCAGGAAGCCGACTTGATGCAAGGTCATGGCTGTTTCATGCTCATCACCCGGGGGGTAACCCCATCCAAGCAATAAATAGTGACATCAAATATCAGCTTTGCACCGTATACGGAATTGGACTTTGATTGTACAAATTTCATCGCAATCGCTTATATATAATAAGGTCGTATGGCCTATTGGGGCCTCTCGATAAACACGGATTGTAACGCCTGTGATATCCCTGTCTTCGCACCGAAACGTTGTCTACTATAATTCCGATCATGGTTACAATCGCTGCCCAGATCTCTATTTAACCCTGCCGCAAGGCTTTGTCGTTCTTGCAAAAAGTGGTAGATCTTGGTTGCTGCTAGCTCCACCTTTTCTCGCGCTTTACGATACGTCCGTGGTGGCATTTCCGTCGAGACCAGAATCACTATTCTTCTTCGTCGTCAGAGCCACGGCCGCCTTTTCCTGCTTTTCCCTCCTGATCCTTCCTGATCGGAATCTTGACTCCTTGGAGAGCGAAAGTTTTGCTGAGCTGGGTGCTCTCGCACACACCCGGGAATTTCTTTGCGGAATAAACTTGGAATTTCTCACTAAATGCATAAGCCAGGACAGGTGCCCTGCCCCTGTTCAAGAGTTCGGCATCGCTGCCGCCGTTTGACGCCGCGCCGAGACGTCTGAGGTTGATGAAAGAAAACCGTAACCTGTGTTAAGTGAGACTATGAGACTTATTTCCTCCCTAGAGTCTTAGTATAGAATTGGTGCAATGACTTACCTAAACCACCCTTCGGTTCGTACACTGAGATCTTGCAAGATAAACCAGATGCCAATCTTGTCAGATGGGTCTTGTAGCCGTGAAGCACTAGCTGCAAGACTACCGATAAGGTTCCGTGTGTACATGCCGCTGTTGGGTTGTTGTTGTCCCATCAGACGGCCCTGGGCCATGGCACCAGCAGACATATCGTGGGAATACCGAGGACCATACATAGCTTGTGAGGGCAACGGTGCCACGCCTGCCATGTCTCTGTAGCCCCCTTGAGGGTACCCATACGGCTGCACTTGTTGCGGATAGGAATATTGTCCTGTTCGGGGTTTAAAACTATATCTAAAACAGAGGGAAGGGGTTTGAGGGATTCACCTACCTTGAGAATATGGATCTGGCTGGTAAGGTCCCATTTGATGAGGATAGGGTGCATTGGGATTCTGCGCAAAGTCGCGATTAGATGGCACAATGGCCTGGAAGCCGTAAACACCAGCTTGCCCTCCTTCGACAACCTCCCGGAACGACGAAGGATGTGTCGATGAAATCGACGGTGACTGTTGTGAATGTTTCACGAGATTTACTTCTTTCGCACCGTCTTCGGACCATAAGTCCACGTGAAGAACATAGTGTTGGTGCTCAACCTCGCTAACGAAACATAAGCCACTTGAGACATTGAATTTCGTTGGTAGTTTCACAACTTACTTGCAATCAACTTCCTTACCGCTAACTTTATCCATGACCACAAGTCTAATACAAGGCGGCGGGGTTATTGGCCGTCGATCCTGAGCGAGTTTAGCCCCGTCTGGCTCTCATAGGTTGTTTGAGGGGGACTTGCCTTATCTCCGAAACCACACATGCGTGCTCTTAATGGTTGCTGAACCACTTCCAATCTGTCATAGGCATACGGTCAACAGCAGTTTTGGTTTGCACTCTAATCAGAGGCTGTTGTAAGACAGTGGCTTGACACGGACGGATTAGTAGCTTACCTATATTTTCTGGTACCATCGCTACCCTCTCGTGGTTCTAAGTTAACAGAACTCGACTCCTCTGCCTCGGACTGGGTAGTAGTTTGGGTCGAGGGTTGGTTTCCCATGCCGTTTTCGGACGCGCCGAGCTCGGCAGTTCGGTCTCTAGGGCCGGAGTTGGAGCCGGAGCCTGGGCCGGGGCCAGGGCCAGGACCAGGTATGGATGGAGGCATTATATTAGCGCGAGGGGGAGGCATGTTCGGGCGGTGGGGGTTTGCCATGGGATCTTGATAGTAGCTGGTCGAGGGCATGGGAGGCGGCAGTGTAGCGTAGCCAGGATGCTGAGGCGGTGCGCCAGCCATGTCAGGCTGATGGTGGTAAGCCGGTGGAGCTGGATATCCTGAAGCCATGATCCGTGTGTCCAACACCCTCCACGATCGCTTCTCGAAATTGATCCAAAACCCAGCAATCGACACAAGCCCAATTCAAGATAGAGTCTAGAGCTAGCGCGGGGTACTGTTATCCCAAGCGTCTCTCCTTGGCCAGGAGTTGTGAAGCAATGGGGCCCAAGTTTTGGTATCGAAGATCAGCCAAGAGAGATGGATATGTTTCTATTGCTAAAGGGGCTGCAGCGATGGCTGATATTCCACAGGAACCCCTCGAAGAAAGATAATGGGCGATGTAGCCGCTTACCGCGGTCGCGTAATGAGCTATGAAGTGATAGGAATATTCTGGGAAACCGAATCGCACTCTGGACTTCGCTTTAGCGCCTGTCCGGTTTATATTTGGCGGGCAAGAAGGGCAGACGAGGTGAAAGGGCGGCCATGAGCTCTTGACCATGTTCTTTGCAGGTCAAGAAGAGGGAAAAAAAGATGGACGTCAGTCGCAATATATTATTCCCAGAGGGGTAGGTATGTGGGTGGTAAGTGTGCATGGGTTGGCGCAAAGGAGAGACTGCAGGTGACAGGATGCCCAAATGTGCAGGGGAGTGTACCTGGGTACGGGCGTACCTCCTCCTACCCACCTGCTCCTCCTCAGGTACATACCTATGTACATAGTACCACCTGTATACGGTAGGTTAGGTACATTGCATATACCTACATAGAGTACTGGATACATACACGTACCATACCTACCTACCTAGAGAGTATTATAAAAGCTCACCTACATGTAGATAGGTATCTAAATATTACAGGTAGATGCATACCTACATAGGTAGGTGTTGTGTACCCTTACTCCTACTTAAGTATGCAGACTTAGGTAAATCACCTAGCAGGTACCTAGGTAGCAGAAACCTACAGCAGCTGTAGTGGACTGTACAATGAGGATAAGACTACCGGTACTTACAGTATGACAGAACACCAAGAGCTCTGCTGGGGCAATTGAATGAGGGGATACAGGGGTACGCCCTTGACGAGACTAGCGGCGGCGGGTTAGTGGGCGCAGAGAAGGAGGTGCAGAGAGGTGCCTGGGGGGGTTCTGGCTGGGTCTGACCGGGGGAGAGTGGCCTTGCAGTAATGGGAAGCTTGTCTGGAAAAGGGAACGCGTGCTTGAACGCGCCCTCCACAGCCGATTGGAGCTCACAACAACACAACACAGACAACTTGAAGTTCCAAGCATCGAGTCCACCCTACAACCCTTGCAAGTTGCACTGCTACCTGTACACGCACATGTACATGTCACAGTAGACAATAGTCCTAGGTATGTAAACACAGAATGTGCCTATTGTACTTGAACAAACTTGCAGTCGTGTAGCAGAGGTCAGGTAAGTACCTAATTAAATAGACAGCGCCTATTGTCGGTACTTAAACCAAATATACATACCTAGGTAGTGTAGACAGCTGCCTTTCTTTACACTTAATACCATACCTACATTATGCTGCGTATAACTAGTTTATATAGTATACTATCTATATAAGCGTATACTTAGATGTATAGATATCCTAGGTATGTTAAGGTTAATATGAAGTCTATAGTAGGGCAACAAGAGTGGTATAAGACATACTACTATAAGTAGGTTAGCTGGGCAAATTTATATCTACAGGGTGAGGTGACTCGGTACAGACTTGGTATTCGGTGGTACAATCCGTCCAGGATGGGTTGACGCGCTGCATCCGCGATCCATCCATGGTGGCTTGATAAGCTACCTACCTACCTAGGTAGGTCCTCTCCAAGTACGATTCGACTGTGCATGATAGTACACTTGAAAGCACATATCAATAGGTAATGACAATAAGGAATGTAACATTGTGTTTTCTAGCTGCTTGTAAACATCAATATCTTAGGTAGACCGTGCATATTCTTATTGTGGGTTTTAGGTATATACCTACCTGTATTTACATTATGTACCTATCGACGGAGCTAGGTGTCACCTGATGCTACCTAGGTACATACCTAGGGCAGGTATACAATTTAACAAGATGACCCCTTTTGTCAATATGGTAACCGTGTGGCTTAAGCTGAAGAGCTGAGTTGTTTCATACAATTCAAAAGGCTCATTCCCTGTGGTGGTTGTACATGTATGTATTCAGACAAGCCGACGACGACAACAATGATGAGACGAAATATACCAGAGCTACAATACATTAGCGCAGCACACCATCCATTTCCTGTTGGTGCATGGTTCCATTCTGTCTGTCAAACAAGTATCCTGGTTCAAAGAAGTTGGGGCTGCCCCCTTTTGAAAGCATACCTACAAGATACGTAGGAATCTCCCAAGACACTTAGTACAGGCCTTGTGCAGGAGGTATGACGGAGCTAGATGGAGTTTGTACGCGCGCTTATTTCTCTCATGTTCCTTAAATTAAAAGAATTCTTTTGGATGGGTGGTGTACAGTAGATGTCGTGAAACTTAACCTATAGTAGGAGATTGACTGACTATTAGTGGTAAAATGTTAGGTTACATCGTTCATCTACAGCAGAGCTATTTCATAGCTCTACAATACAGTACAGCTCAATACATACTTCGTACTTGAGTAGTCCCTCATAGGCAGATGACGAGAGTCGTCCCATCGTCTTCACGCCATCGGGGCAGAATTCCCCCAGTCAATGCCTAGTCTAGCGAGGCGGTAACGCAGGTAGCAAGTGCTAATCCATCTACTATGTACTACCGTATGTAAGTCAAAGTTTCTACGTCAATCAGGTATGGTATATGGGTAGGGCATAATCGTTATGCTTCTAACCTGATATCAGGGCACATTCCGATCGCCTCTTTCCTACAGTACCTACCTGTCGAGCCTGTTAAGCCAGGAATAAAGCAATCCCTACTATAGGTAGTTGGTGGCCTCGTCATGTACGCCTCTCCTCTCCATAGACTGCAATTTCGGTTTGGCCCGGGGTTCTGGACAGCTAACTAGGGAAAACTGGATGATGTAAGGTGCATAAGGATAACAACGGTCAAGTATGATAGGCGCGGTTACATTATGTATCACACTCAGACGCATGTTTGCCGATAGGCGAGAGGATTCGCTCTGATGGTCTCCTACATTTTCGGCACTGACGTAGTAGGTGGGTATAGCGATTCGGTAACCGATGTCCTGCCGTCTTGAAAGCTCGCCGAGGGTTGGGGGGAGTCTGGGGGGAAGGTAACGAGAAAAGTGTACTAGTATTTCAGCGCAAGAGGGATTGAAGGCAAGGAATCGTGTTTCATCCCAGCTCGCTAGCTAACGGACCTTGCGTGGTCTGAGTGGATGTGCGGACCGAAGATCGTGATCGGACCATCATCTCTGTACCGGTGTTGCATGCCGCCATCCAAGCCTCGCTGTATTAGGAAGTCTATCATGAAATAGATCTACAGAGTACCGGTAGTTTTAGAACACGCACCGTGTGGGATTGAGGAAAGTTTTGCGAATTTGTTAGCCGACAGCAAGGGCGGGACGGCGCCTAGATAGGTACACGAACATCTGCTCGTTCAGTCAGGTCCACAAACACCCATCCTTACCTACCCTCCCGCCTTAGCTCCCGTGCCATTGCAGACTACGTAAGTATCTACCTAGGTACTTCCATCAAAGTAGCCTCACCACGTCCGAGCCTTGCTGACATAAGGCTGTTCGTTCCCCTGGTAGGCATAACAACCTCCCAGAATCACTGCCAACTGCCTCGGAACCTCATTTCCTGCACTGTAAGTAATGTAAGGTGCTTCAAGCAGAATTCAAGCACTTGGTAGATCGATCTGAAGGCATTGGCGATGCTGTTCCGTGTACATGTTTCGGCTCGAGGTTCTAACCTGCACTAGGTAGTATCAGTGCATGTATTACTTGCTAGCCGCAGATGAGCTAGCCAGTTCTCGCCAGTGTAGCATCGATCCAATTTGGCGGTGGGGTATGAAGAGCGTACATAATACATTAAAGTAATCTCTGTTGGGCGGACAGAGGCGGACTCCAAACAATTAACTAATACCTACCTAGTGTGCCGAGCCTTGTCTTGCCGAGCCTTGCCGGCACAGCATCTCTGTGCCCTCCTTTACTACTATGTACCTAGCTCGACTAGCAAGCAAGTGTGTTGAATAATTTGTTTCCTGCCGCCTGTCTGCCCTGAAACATATGGCGGAGCCCGGGGCGCCCAATAGCCAGACTATCGGGTCGTCGCTGTGTTGCTTACTACCGAACAACACAGCCACACATGTCCGCCTAGCCTAACCTGTGATACAGTCCCCTCAAGCGAATCCTTATTCACTTTCAAGCCTGGTTTCTTGGCATGTTTTCTTGGAACACCTCCGTTTCTCGGCTCTTTGTTGTCGTCATCACTGTCTATTTGAAGGCCTGGGGTCTCTGTCGTACCTAGGTACTCACTCCTAGATTACCCTAGGTGGCTACACAATCATAGAGGTTGGTATCATGTAAGGATTCAAGGTCATAATTAATTTACAATCTAAGTATGAGCTGGTATCAAACCTCCAACTCACAGTTGCCATGGAAGAAATAGAATAGTCGAAGGACCCTTGGCAGCTGAGCAGAAAACGAAGAGCCATCATACCTGTGACACGAGACAAGGGATTTAGTATGTACTGTAGCAAAGACACTGCAGATGGTGTAACTACGCAGCTGGCTGAATAACATGTCCATTAAGATGAGATACTCGCTCTGCGCACCAGTCTCTGCATATGTCAACACAGCCTGAGGCGTCCATGCTGTAACATTATTTGCATATCAACGCCTAAGTAGGATCATAAACCAAGTGAGTGGACTAGATGAGGACTTTTACTTTGGACATGACTGCCCAGCTATAATGGTCTCATTATAACACGAAATAAAATTCTCTGCCAAGGACATGCTGCCCAGGTTCCAGTGAGTCTGGTCCTACATCCCTTGCCACCATTCCATTCCTCCAAATAAACGGACTCTTCTCATATCGTCGGGCCTTCGAACCTTGAGCTTTGCCTCTGGTTCAAATTTCACAAGCACAAAGGAGATAAGAAGTGAATGGGCTCACACGTACAACGTAAGCGAGCAGCATAATGTAGGGCCCCAACGACCCTGTCTACCTTTCCGTCCTCAATGGAAGACTGAACGCCGTGTAAATGTTATGTGCCAAGAGTATGTCTGCTGTATGGAAGCCAGTGAGGATATAGGTGAAACCCCCGGCCACCGTAGAGTTTCCCTGCGGAAGAAATGAATTTGAAGTAACACGAAACTGTCGACCACCTTTTCATTGCTGAGATCCCATTTTCTTCTCCCCTACAACCCCATTGAGTATCGTATCCCATTTCGTCGTACACAAGACATTGAACGCCGAACTTTCCCGAATACCTCGTAGTTTTGTAATAACTGAGCACGGAGTAAATCGTGGTATAGAAACAAACCTCGGGACCTCTGCTAGATGATATTGTGTGGGAAATTAAGATCAAACAAAAAAAAAAAAAAAAGAGATCGAGTTTTCAGTTTCAGGAAGAGGTAAATGTGTCGTCCATAATTAGTGAATAAGATACGACCGTGCCAGTAATTGTTGGGCAGGTGGTTGACGTAGCATAAATTCGATTATGACTGAGGACCTAGTCATCTGCTAGCTTAGCAAAATGCTTTGACCATAACCAGCCAACTAAGTTATTAGGATCATCTTGGTTTTTGGCGAGCCAAAGTTCGCCCTTTTCGGCAATGACATCAAAAATCTAGATAAGCCTTAGTACTTTCTGTGCGCCAATTTTGTTTAAGCTGGGAGATTGCGTACCTCGCCTGCTTGATACGTGAGGTAGGGATAGCCGGCCTCATGTTTAGTAGTATGTATGTTGAATTCGAAGAGTGAAGCGGCAAGCCAGAGGACATTATATCCATTAATGGGCTGACGTTCGCGGGAGGAAGCTCGAGAGGAGACTTGAGATCGTCGCAGATGAGGCTCCTGTGTATCCGACATGGGAAGGGCAGATTGGAAAAGGCCCGAGAAACGGTGACTCTCTGACCCCTGGTAAGGTGAGGGTTGCGCTGAGTTGGAGTAGCCCCTCCCTTGTGAGTTTGACTCCGCACTCTGCCTGACTAGGCCGTTGGAGTCGTGGCTCTGACTAGTGCCCGGTCGGGCTGGCGGCGTGCCTATTGATCGAGAGATCAAGGGGAATTCAGGAGCTTTGGGCGAATCGGAAGGTGGGCGTGTATGTCCATTGACGCCGGTATAATAGTCTCGATAATACTGGTTGGGGCTTGATGTCGAAGGTATAGATGGTGAAGCCGCGAACTGGCCGCTGTGGCGTTTTACGAAATCAGGTGTTGGTAGACTCGGGGCTATATCGCTATTCAAAGATAACCCACGGTGACGGGGAGACCGCTCTGCGGGCCGGAGTCGGAATCTTGAAGACACTTCATCAACGCTAGTCGAGTGTGATGGCCGACCTTTGGAGGCTGGGTTGATTATTCCAATTGCGTTGATCTGTTCATCTTGGAATTTATAATCCTGGAAGAAGGTTGAAACAATGTCTGAGAACTCTGGAATACTATTGGTGTCCTCGAGAACCATCTTAACCTTCTCCTTCCATATAGAATACCACTGAGCTTGAATATTGACGAAGTTTCCAAGGCAAATATTGCCAACCTTTTCAGTAAGCGATGAAAGTTTGGGGAGTTCCTTCTTCAAAGCTTCATTTAGTGCTTCGTATTGCTCGACGAGGTCTGACAATTGCTTGTCGACTTTCTTGCCGCTCTTTTGAAGCTGGACAAATTTTTCATAGTCAACGCGGCGCTTGGATCTTTTTTTCATCGCAAGGGATGGGTTGCTATATGATTTGATGACAAGCTCAAAAGGCTCAATGACTTGTTTTCGCACTTGTGAGAGCTATGAAATGATGTCAATATTGTGATGACGAGGTTTTCGACCGGAATGCTACTTACATGCTGCTCCAAAGCAATCTTCTCAAGGTCTCTCATAGACACGTTAAAGCGAACCCACTTGCTTTCAATCTCGGGATGAGGTGAGGGCTGGATGCGCATGACTAATTCCATGGAAGAAAGATATTGTAGGAATTCATGGACATGTTCTGTAACTTGTCTGGTGTAGAACTCGACATCTCTCAGAACGACCTGTAGACGAAGGTAGTCATCTCCGAATTTCTCATGTAGCTTGAGGTACTCGGCATCTTCCGAGGGTTTATTGCTTGCGGGTTGTAATCTGTCAACCCTCTTGCCAAATGCCCTCGCGAAGCCGACTTTGACATCAGATTCCTTACGTCTTCGGCTAACGATCTGCCCGACCAATTCGAAGTTCTTTTTAGTCTTGTTGATCTCCTCAATGGCATTTTCTACGGCCACTTTCGCGGCCTCTAGAGATGTACGATCCGGATGGTCGGCAGGCGTCTCATGAAGCAGTTGGATAAGCAAATTCGGATACTTCGTTATCCTTTGCATCGGTTTGATGAGCAGCGAATCCAGATTCCAGGCTCTTGTCAGCTCTCTTGCCACCTCGTTGCACTCATTCAACCAAACTTGAACTGTTGGGTCCTCCTGAATTTGAATTAGTTGCTTCGATGCATGATCACTATTCTTGAGGAAAGTTTCGTGGACTTGTTTCATGTTTTCGATGTTGCGAGTGAAAATCGGGCCTAATAGAGTCTCCCGATCCTTATCATCGTTCACTTGGGCAGAGGCGGCCGTGGGCGCTCTTGTTAGAGTTGGACCATCGCCAGAACCGACTGCGTCTTTGTGCACATGACGATGTGTCCGAGGTACGTATACACTCGAGACTCCCTCTTTTAGTTCAACTAGGAACGCAGAATGAAATTGAATGATCTTGTCCGTATTGCGGAAAATGAGCTTGATGGTCTTGTCGTCAAGTTTTGGGCAAGCTTCGGCTGTGCCCTTATATATCTCCTCAACGATGTTCATGTCTCTAATAAAGAAAGTCTCGGTGTCTATGAGCTCTTTGATGGTTTCAAGACGGGTAAATAGTCGTTTTCTTTCCTTCGCAGGAAGATCAATTGTTTGTTCAACATTGATGCTCTCTACAAGGGTTTGTTGGCTTGTCAATTGAGAGGAATTGAATTGTGGCTCATGGTCTTCGGAAGTGGTGAACGATCCTTGATCAATGGATCGCGAAGCTGAATCCGTGGGGGCAAAGCAATCGCTGTCCCGTTTGAGTGAATCAACCAGAACTAGCCTTTGATCGTCCTTTTCATTATCCACATAGCTGTTAGGTCTCGTATCATCATAGTATTCGCTTGGCGGTGCGGAGGTCATCACATCATGGAAAGAAGCGTCATCAGAAGGTGGAGGAGGGGGAGCGTGACTAGGAAGCACTGGAATAGCAGCTGAGCCCATACTATTCTTAGAACTCAAAATTGCTGCGCCGAACTCCTCACCTGTATCAATCTCTGGGAGCTGATGTTGCGACTCATATACGTCTGGTTCCTGATAAGTGCCACGGGGGGATACATCGCGACTGCGCATAATTGCCATTGAGGTATGGTTGAAGCGGTACGACTCCGATCTCGATTCCGTTTCCGAATCAGCAAGCTCCTCTCGCCATGTAAATGCTACTCTCTGAGAGTCATGATCTATCGGGTTGTACCCTGAGCTTGAGTCCTGACTATTCATAGAGAAATCAGTCCACACAGATGTTTGACTTGCCCGGTTTATGGATTCAGATGTGCGCGGGACAGTCAAGCTGGTGTATGTCGCTAGTGTGCTTTCGGAATCAAGAGAATAGACCGGATTGTCTGACTCTTGTTGAACGCTAGTCATTTTATCAACCTCCGCATCACCATATACCTTGGAGTCAGTGAAACTTTGTAGTTGTCCTTGATGGTTAATTGTAGGACCGACAAAGAATTCAGCAATCTCACTAAGGCCTGAACTCGGCTCTGTCTGTTCAGCAGTCGTCTGAGTCAGATTCGTATCGGGGATCGTAATGGATCCGATATATACATGATCCTGTTCATTACTGCTTTCGGCATCTTGTTGCTCGGGAGCCGAAGCAGTCTCGATGGTTGGAGGTGGGAAATCAGCATCACCCCCAAGTATCGTTACTTTCGTTTCGTAGAATGGTGAATGCAAAGGCTTGGCTTCGTATGCCTCTTGATCCGTAGTAGATGCTCCCTGGCTTGAGTTGACACCACCGTTAGGCTCAGACACATCACCTGGTGTAGTCAACAATTCTGTCGAAGTATCCAGTGCTATTTTGATAGATAAGTCATCATCAGCGGCAGGTTCGTCGTCGAATGGAGACCGATATTCTGACTTTTGGCTAATGGTTTGGTGATAGCCATTAATGCCACCTGGGCCTTCAGTGTTAACCATGGGAAATTCTTGTACTGGTGGATCCGTCTGTGGTTCTGCATCAAATTCTGTGGTGTTTGATACTGCTGAAGGAGGCGCTTCATCGTCTCCAGTAACTTCCGCACCAGGAAAGCTTCCGGGCATACCAAGCATTGCGGAATCCATCTCACATCCCGTATTAGCGGAAGAAATAGGCACCTCATTAACCCCAACCTTTGTCATTACAGTCTGTAACGGTGGAAGGCCTGATGTATCCGCCTCCGCCGTTCCAGTTTTCTCTATTATTAATTCGGGTGTGATCGTCCGCACACCTACAGGTTTCGTGGCTGCAATAATTTCGTCAGGCTCTACCAATTTTATCTGCACTTCTTCTTCATGTTTTAGAGCTTCAGCAGCAGCCAATGCCCTAGCTTCTTCCTCTGCTTTCCTTTTCTTTTCTTGAGCAGCCTTCCTAGACACTGCTCGAGCCTCGTTTTCTCGAAGAGATTTGGTATATGAAAGCTTGATCTGTTCCCTCCGTGATTCGTAGTCTATCGGGCCCAATGAGATTTTTCTTCGGCGCGTAGCTGGTTCGTTTCCTTTTGCATTGGCCTTGGGATCTCTCTTACTTGGAGATTTGTCCCTTTCGATTGCCTTCACTCTTGAACTTATGGTAGACGCTGATGAGACTGGTTGCCGAGGTCGTGAACTTCTAAGTGGGGGTGATAATTTCGGTAGAGGTGCTGATATATAGGCATTAAGCCTGGTGCTTCCGTTAGCAGATATCGCACCTGGTCTATTTTGGCGTTTGATGGCCGGTGTTGCCAATGGTGAGGGTGTTTTGGCTCCTTGATTCTGAGTGGCATTGATTTTTTTGCCGTGAGGAAAAGGTTTCCTAACGGTAGAAGGCGAATTAGACCGCGTTGAATTTGGACTGGATGAGCTCGAAGGGGTACTATATTTGCGAACAGAAACAGGTATTCTAGAGGTTGAGGGTGAAACTGAGGTATCTAAGGTGGGTTTCGGTCGTGAGGACCGAGTAGCCTTAGACTGCTGTTGAACTGGATTCGTGAAACCCAGCTCGCTCCGCGATCGAACGTGTTTTGGGGCGTTATGTATTACATCCGCATCGACGGCACCTGTGCCTCCCGGATCACCTGCCACACTTCGATACCAATCACTTGGCGAGGAAGGCTCCGCATCAGTGTGTGAAAAGCTTCGCTGACGACGCCCGAGGGCACTATTGGCATTTGAGGCAGAAGCTTTTGCAGCAGGTATGCCATCAATTCCGTGGCCGGCTAGCCCAGCATGTAACTCAGCAGGCTTTACTTCCCCAAAAAGCAGACTACGGGATTGAGGCAACGCCGGAACGGAATCTGAGGAAGGCACAGGAGCCAAATTGGTCATCGACTTTGAAGCTTGTGAAGAGGCACTAACGGTACTTCGAGGTTTAGCTATGCGATTTGCAAAGGATTGAGAACTGCTAGATGGGTTATTATCGGGCCCAGTTCGTCGCCGTTGTGTAGGCCGCCTCGCTGGCGATGTTGAGGTCGATGTACCCACGGAAGATCCACTAGCGGACGACCGGCCGGTGGCGTAAGATGGTTGACCGTTAGATCCGGACCGCGATGTCTCTCGAGATGGGATGCGTGGAGTTGTTTTACGAGGGGTGCTAGTGGTCGTATGTGTAGCACCTTGGTCGAATTTCTTCGTCAAATCTTTCACGCTAGGTTTGTGTAGACTGCGGTTGTTCCACGTGTTTGGAGCGGCAGGTCTTGATCTTCCGGTGCTAGTGGATACGCCTTCTTCTACAGGAGCTGATACAGAGCGGACAGATGGTCTCACGCCAGGACGTACCGGCCTGGAAGCCGGGCCGCTTCCGTTAGATCGCAACGGGGCATCTCGACTATGCCTCGGAGGGGGCAAGGTCGAAGCCATCAAGCCGTCGAGATGAATTCGGTAGAAGTCGTCGGGGTTGAAGAGACCGTTGGACTCAATGCTCGCCGCCGCGTTTGCATGGATGGCGTCTTGATTGTGTGCGGCATGAGACTCGAGCAGGGAGTCATCGAGGGTGATCGATGTGGCCGTAGCTGTGAGAGAGGTGGCACTAGGGGCACCGACAGCGGCGGTGCCAGGTGATTGAGGATGAGGATCAGGGAAGAATATTTGTTGTGGCAAGAAATCGCGGCTGTGGGCGTGATCGTGAGCATGGGCGTGGGCGTTGGTATGGTCATGGGTGTGATCATGCCCGTTCTCGTGCTTCTGCCCGAACGGGTAGTAGTGTTGATGGGGACGCTGATGGTGGTATCGCAGAGGACGCCTGGGGGTAGACGACGGGGCTCCAAAATTGCGGGTGGGCAACGTCGCACCAAGGCAGCGGTCCTCGTCTTCACGATTGCCGGCGTCCATTCTGGCGGCGGCCAGGACAGTGTGACGGCGACCATTAATGGGTCATGTACAGCACGTCGCAGGTCAGGCAAAAACGAGCGGACGGCCGAGCCACAAATCGCGTTTGATGCTACACACGTTGTCGAATAAGCACTGACGGCTAGGGGATTCATGGGCCTCAAGCTTTTGGTTGGAGGCTTACAAGGTTCGGTCGAGTGCCAATGCGAATATGCCAGTGCCAATCAATGGGTCAACGGGACGGAGGGCCAATGGAGCAGCCAACGATACAGCAGCCACTGATCACGTATGTGCTGGGCGTGGGTGTGTAGAGGTGGGGGGGGACCATGCGCACCAGGTGTGCTATGGACACCATGGGCAGCCAGCTTGGAACATGCGGAAGGTTTTCAGGAATTTCTAAATGCATCAAGTTGCAAGTCTGTCGAGGATGATGTCTAGAAGGGTGGAAGGAAGGCCAGAAGCATTGATGGTGAGTCGCAAGGCCCCACTAGCGGTGCCTGCACTAGGTAGGGCATTGCCTGGAGGTTTAGCACATTTACTTACCTAGATAGGTGCTGCCCACCTAGAAAGTTACTCAGCTAGGTTAGATACTCAGCGCCACTCTCGTCTATTGTTCGCTACTCAAGTGCCTATCTACTTAAGTACCCTTCCAGTTGTACCTACCCGTGGGATAAGAAGAGGGTACTTACTGCATACCTGTAGTTGGGTAAGATATTTTACCTGCCTAGGTACTGTAGGAGGTATGCTCGGTATGTAGGTATCTACACTGCCTAATGCACAATGAGTAAGTACCTACCTAACCTACCAACATGTACTCACATACTTACCTACATATATGTACATTCGGTAGCGTACATCGGACATATGTAAGTACTAACCTTAAATCTAGTATACTACCTACTTAGGACGTATAAGTAGGTAAGACCTACCTGCTGCAGATGTCGAGCCTCTCTTGACGCAGTCTGGGAGTGTCCCCAAATCACTTCTGCTCTTCAAAAAGGCACTTCCCAATTGAGTAGCGAACCGTGTGCATGTGAGTCAGATTGGAAGCAGAAGCGGTCTCCTATGTTCCGGAGATGGGGGAAAGGTAGGATACGGTAGCTGCGACCTACTAAGTAGCAGATTTTTAGACTAAGAAGGCGTAGGTACCTTCTAAGGTGGGCAGAGAATGTTTGGTGGTCAGCTTTGGTGTGGATAAGATGCGCTGGCCTATGCACGATGAACTGTTAGGCATTTGGATAGGGTACGAACCCAGTAGTACTTCTACTTCACAAATAGTCCCCAATTCCTCATGAGTTGAGCTCGGTAGCTTAAGTCGTGCTTAAGAGGCAGTACGCACAGCAATTACTGATGGTACATGCAAAGTGAAGATTAATGAGGGGGGAAGAAAGAACCTTAATAAAATAGAAAGTAAACATGAAAAACCGGGGTGGGGGGTTCGAGCTTATAGTTGTACTGGACCTCCTAGACAGACCGTTGAACCTGCAGGTGACGTACCTACAGCTAGGTAGAGGTATAAGTATGTTGAGATTATTGTCGTTGGCCCACTCACGACAAACGCCTTAACGGAACATTTTGGCTTTGGCGGGAAATCTTGCAGTGACTGTATGTGTCTGTTGTGCATCTCCCTCCTATCTACATACTGTATGTACCATGTAGGTAGGTTACCGACCTGAAAGAAGGTCCCTACGATGTAGGTATGCTCTCTGGACAAAAATGTAGTTAACAACTCATCGTATATACTGTACCTACTTAAGCTTCATGGAAAGACACAGGTAGGCCTTGCCCTGGATACAATACCAGGGTGGGAGGGACGAGTCCCGTTTTCTAGCCCTATGTAGGTACTTGAGATGGCCCTGTCCTCCCATCTTCAAAACACGTTGTGTGTGGGCAACATGTCTGGAGGACATGAGACGATAACCCCTACGCATGGAAACAAAAAAAACCGGCAAACGCTCGTCTACGCAGATATGGCATCTCCTGATCCGAAGTGTGATATACTTCGTAGATGGATTAGTCCAAGAAACCAGGATCGTGAAGTGACGAGGGTACCCAATCTGTTACGAGGCCCCGACAGATTGAACAACTGGCAATGGGATCATGCATATTTTCTGACTACGGTGCATGGCTCATCAAACTGCAGTGACTGTCCCTCGTCAAGCCTTTCACCTTCATGACAACGCATCCATCTACATTGTACCTAGTCTACGAAGTAGGGGGTTATAAATACTGTAAGTAGGGAAGAGAAGGGCAGACAGAGCGAGGGTGAGACAGGGGGTTGGGTCATGTTGGCAGCCTATCCGTGGGCGCGGAGACTGGGAAACGGTGCTGACTATCAGCCAATGTATTACTGGCAGTACTCGGCTAACTGGACAGAATGGGTGTGAGATGGGTATATGATGATATCGACATTCCAGTCACCATGATCGCCCGCCATCTGGGGGATAATGCCACCTGGCGATCCAGACATGAATAAATGAAGTGGCGGCGCCCTCTGCGGGGTTCGAAATCCGATGCCTATCTATCTACCTTACTTATGTAGGTAGGTAGGTAGGTAGGTAGCCAGGATAATTGGAAAGGTTACCAGCTTCCAGGCTTTCATCACGAACTACCTACCTAGTATTAGTAGTGTACATACGCAGATAACTTCAACTTTGCTGCCGCAGTGGCATTACTAAGTACATGTATGTAAGTACCTAAGTGAACCACTGGCAGATATCTAACCTACCTAGGTAGGTACTTAGGTACATAGGTAGTACTGTATGTGCATGTAGGAACCCTTTCGATTTAATTTAGTGTGCATATTCGAGACAATCTCCTGGCGCCCGGCTGGTTACCGGCCAGTAGTGCAATTGCATTGCATCCGAATAACCTTACAGCGCCGCCTCCGCGTTTGGAACACACACGTGTAGATGAATGGCTGATGCTCTCGAAAAAGGGGGTGGATATCCGTGCTGACCGGATACACGACACTGCAACTATGAACGGTTTCCCAAGGTCGGGATCATGACAGCTATTGGCCAATTGCCAAGATGTTTGATAGTGTTGTGTCCAACGAGCTCTTTTTGCAGCCTAGCTTGAGGCTAGCGGACGGTGCCCGACCTACGATCCGGGCCACCAAGGCGTGGCCCTGGCATGATTGAAAAGGGGGATTCGGACCTGTATACTTGGACGATTGAGTCTTGACCGCACCGCTGCCACGCATGCACGGGCTAGGACGAAGAGGGTGTTCTGATGTTTGGCCAAGCCAGACTGGTTTAGGGAGGCTTGCTTAGCCGTTGAATGAATTGACCGTGTATAGCGCCGGGACTGAAACCACCTACTTAGTCCATATCAAGCAGTCCGTACATACTACCTAGGTATGTATAAAGGTGTCTGAGGTGTTCTCCGTATAGCAGTAAGACTAGTTTACAATGTTAGTTTCGAGATTAGATGGCATACCTAGATGCATAGCTGTAAAGAATACCTACCTAGGTAAAGACTTTGTTCCTTCTCCATGGAAAGGCCGGCATTGACATTGGCGTTTGTTTTTGCTGGCTTGCTATTGGCTCGCTGGGCGTGGAGTTCCATACCAAGATACCTACCCGTATACATAGTACCTAGGTAGGTATCTCTTGTAGGAATGAATACATACCTAAGCAACAGCCGTGTCGATCTCAGTAATCAACTGCCCATGTACAGAACAATTCCTTACAGTTGTCATACCGACAAAGATCAGCTCATCGTCGACTTTGTACACTGCACTACATACATAGGTATGTAGGCATCTGCAGATACCTAACTAACTACCTAGTCATACTAACAAGGACCGTGGTTTCAGGTAAAATGCCAGTATTGAAGCAGGTACTACCTCGTAAGTAGTGTAAGGAACTGCGGGTACCATGTTAGTCGTGAACTGGGATGCACCTAGGTCAAGCCCAGTAACCGAAGGACCAGCACTAGTGGTCCAAGCAGAAACAAACAGGCTCTAGAGCAGACACGTACATGACAACCAGAGTTCAGATATCTGATCAGCCTTGATCTCATCTTCGTCGCGTGCATGCTGAAGGCTTACACCAGTCGCTCAGTCACCCGTGCCTAGAGAAGAACCATATACTGCATGAGCATCGCGTCTTGCGCCGCAGCCTTCGCGAGGTGCTATCTTCCTCCTATAAAATTCGGTAACAATGCCACGTCCTAGGAAGCGAAAACGCGCTGCTTCTACAGGCGAGGGCACTGTCAATGGCTCGCTATGCACCAAGAAGAAGATGAAGGAGCAGACTGATAGTCAATCCTTGATCTCGCAATGTCGGCATCCTGTTCTCAGCCAGTATTACCCGCATGTCCAAAGTCTACGCGAATATGTTATAGCACAGCTGCCGCCTGCTTCCAGGATCAGGCGGAGGAAAATATCCGCTGTTGGTATTATCAACATGTCCCGTAACGCGCACTTGTCAGACACGGAGCGGTCTCTCGGGACTTTGCTGGATACCACACTTATTGGACACTCGAATCCCATGACCGAAGAAGCGGCTCGTCATCTGGACGAATGGAAGACTTTCTCTCAAAGAGGCGACGACTCCTACCAGACTCTTTCCAATGGCGTTGCCGGCTTTATTGAATCGCAGGCCCTGGTAAGCGAGTGTAATCTCACGGCTTTTCAGCACAAGGACTAAAATAGATATCCAACTTGTAACTCTGTAAGTAACTAATCAGCGACTACCAGATCGTGGAATACGTTGTAAGGACCATTTTCATTAGAGACAAGTCTGCCAAGTGGCCTGATCACCTCCTATGCAATGGCTTTCGTCGAAATGGGGCCTTGGGACTGCGAACTGTCAGACCGAACCCTTATGTGGAAGCATTGCAGCAGTCCCCTTGGCCTCAGCTTCTATCTCTTCTAGGCGATTCAGGAGAGCGTATCATGATAGACTTGCTTCTAAACGGTGATATATTCATATCTGTCGATACAGGTACGAATAATATCTGCCAAGTGAGTGGTATGTTCTTCCTATACATGACACCTTCCAACAAGTACTTATACCAAAGGTAGGAAGGCCACTATCTAATATCCCTCTATACCGGCCGTTACCAGCTCATGAAAAAGGCAATACACCTAAAAATTCTACAGAGCTTGTTTTTGTGCGAAGTAGAATGTTTTATGCAAGGCCTGCCCTGAATGCTCGAGGACAGGTTCAATTTGGTCTGAGGCACATCCGTAAGGAATATGAGCTAGAAGCATCCAGGCACAGCTAATAGCACCTGCAGATGTACTAAATCGATGTCCTATTCAGCAGCTAGACAAAGTACAAGACATGCGCATACGAACGCGGTTGGCCCAACAGAATGAAATTCATACATTGAAAGTGATGATGTACATGTTCCCTAGACAATTCGGGCTTCATAACATCTTCACTAGCAAAGTCGACATGAAAGAAACGTCGCAACGATTTAAGGACTACACTCTGCGAGAGGAAGAAATTGTTGAGAAGTTCGGCCGGCTTGAGGATAGTGGTGTTCAAGTGAAAATCCCCAAGCGACTCCGAGGGAACGCAAGAAATTTGATCAATAAACTTCAGGCTCTCCATAGAAGCTGCTCATATGCCCAGCTTTTGCAGCATTATTGTCCTGTATGTGTCATAGGGTTCATCTTAGTCACTACTAACACCAAAAGCTTCCTCTCATAACGGATGAACCAGAAGTTCGGCCAGCATCTGATAAGAACAGAGGGCAAGTGCGGAAACAAGGGAAGAGCAAGTTGAAACGGATCATGCAGCGCCAGAAATCAATTCGCCTACCGCGAAGGAACCCGGATACTCCGATCACAGAATTGGCCACGCCGTCCACAGAGGTGGCGTCATTTTGCCAAGCAGTTCTGAAGACACTGGTCCCGACAGATTTCTGGGGCTGCGGCTTGGACGCGAGCAACAACGAACGCCAATTCTTGAAGAAAGTTGATATGTTCATCTCTCTCAGGCGTTTCGAAGTCATGTCTCTATGGGACTTGAGCCAGGGCATCAAGGTTAGTACCCAACATTTTTGCATCGCCACTAACCGAAACTGACATGTGCTAGATAACCAACATCGAATGGCTCGCACCTCACCGGCTCATGGCTAACAAAACATCATTGACTGATATGCAGAAACGCTGGGAACTATTCAATGAGTTTCTTTACTTTCTCATCGATTCTATCTTGGTACCCCTCATTCGAAGCAATTTCTACGTTACGGAGTCAAGTGCAGATAAGTATCGTGTTTTCTTTTTCCGCCACGATATTTGGCGGTCTCTTGTGGAGCCTGCTATGATAACTCTGAAAGGGAAGATGCTAGAGGAGATCAGCCTCGTAGAAGCCCAAAGCATACTAGAGTCACGACACCTAGGATTCAGTCATATCAGGCTACTTCCTAAAGGTACGCAAATGAGACCAATTGCAAATTTGCGTAAGAGAATGCCTATCCGCGGACGCTCCAAGGAGCTAGATTTAGGCATTAACAAGATTCTGGCACCTGCACAAACAGTTCTTAAGCTTGAAAAGGTAGGGCTCTCTGATAGGCAGGGTTGTCGCGGCTAACAATTCCAATCTTAGGTCATCAATCCAGACAAATTGGGCTCATCTTTGTTTTCCGTCGGTGATATTTACAAGCGGTTGCGGCCTTTCAAAGATAGCTTTTCTACCTTGCCTGCACACTTCTACTTTGCAAAAGTGGATGTACAGGCAGCTTTTGACACAATTCCCCAAGCAGCCATTGTCGGCCTACTGAATTCTATACCCCAGCAACGTCAGTATCGAATAATGAAGTACCTCGAAGTAAGTCCCAGCACCGCCGCTCGGCAAAATTGTGCAAGCTGGAAAGCAAACCCTATGAAGAAGTGGCCATCTGTAGCTATTAAACACGATGATGCTTCAACTTTCATCAACCAGTTAGAGAGTGGACGAAACGCGACGAAACGCAATACCGTGTTTGTTGGTCTCTACCAGAAGCAATACGAAACAAGTGAACTTCTTCAGCTAGTTGCATCTCATATCCAACAGAATCTCATCAAGGTTGGCAAAAAATACTACCGCCAAAGGCAGGGCATTCCACAAGGATCTGTTTTATCCTCCATGCTCTGCAATTACTTCTACGCAGATCTCGAGACTCATGTCCTTTCGTTCCTCGACTCAGCTGACTGCTTACTCCTGCGACTCATCGATGACTTCTTGCTTATCACGACCGATAAACATAAGGCAGTTCGCCTGGTTGAAGTCCTCCATGGTGGTGTGCCGGAATACGGCATCAGTGTCAACCCTCAGAAAAGCCTAGTCAACTTTGATCTTGTAGTCAATGACCAAGCGATTCCTAAAGTAAAATACGGCGAAGACTTCCCATACTGTGGTACTCTGATTAATACTAGAACGCTCGAACTCAGCCGTAGTTCAAATAAGGGCGAGGATCAGGGTAAGCTTTATATCCAGATATATTGTTCCACGTCACACTAAGTTGTCCAGTCATATACAATTCGCTTACCGTCGAGTTCAGTCGGAACCCTGGCCAAACTTTCCAGCGCAAGGTCCTCAGTAGGTGCCCGCCTCATTACTTATAGCGCACAAACATTGACCCCTGTCTCGCTAGACGCTTTCAAGATCCAAAGTCACCTAATGTTCTTCGACGTTGGACTAAACTCTGGGCTAGTGGTGCTAAACAACTTATACAAGGCGTTCGTGGAAACATCTACCAAGATGTGGGCATATCTACGTTGCTTACCAGCGCCAAAGCAACCTCCTTCAACTTATATAATCAGTAAGTGGATGAGCTCGTGTAAATAATAATAAATAAGGAATCTGCTAATTCAAGATTGAAGAAACCATTAAAAAGCTGGTTGACACAGCATATGTTCTCCTTGTAAGCAGGACGAGAAGACTTCGATACCCGGGCTACGTATGTGATGTAAAAAAATGCGAAGTATTCTGGTGAGTCCATTCTAATGATTCATGATGCAAACATCGGAATTGACAATAAATGCGAAGGCTAGCGTACAACGCATTTCTTCAAGTATTGAGCCGTAAGCAGTCGAATTACAGCCAAACTCTAGCCTGGCTAAGAGCGGAAATACTACAATTAAGTATGCTGAAGAATATTCGGCATGCTCGTGTACAGGACATCGTGTAGAGTTGAGTGCTTAGGCCTCCTAAGAGCACCATCTCCTCTATCAGTCTAATTGTATCGCCATACATTTCACATACATGGATGCAACAGCTCCAAGATTCAGTCCACTATTTGGCCCCACAGACTGCAACTGAGCGAACAGTTACAGCCACATTCCTTAGTGGATTTCGGTATAAAACTGAAAGCTTAATCAAATTTTACATAAATAGCCCCATTACTAAAATGATATTAAAACATCTATATAGAACTCCGCAGAAGAGGAAGAGAAACCAAAAAGGAAAGGTACTATATTGAATTTTCGCCAAAAGAATAAGCAAGAGCAACGCTTTTGAATTTAACATGATCTGAAGGTATACTGTCAGGTCTCCCTGGGAATCGAACCCAGATTAGCGGAATCAGAATCCGCTGTGATAGCCATTACACTAGGAAACCAGGTAGATGGATGGATTGGTTAATATTAGATGGTTTTATACCAGATTCAACGATGATGAGTTAGTTATCTTCCAAATATCTGAAAACAAATATGGTACATATCTGCATTCAAGATGTCTGTCTACTCGATTCACTGTTGTGCGATGTACACTATCAGTAAAGTTGTGAAAATTCATCTTCCTTTATATTCAAATGAAGGTTAACAAAGCTAATAGTCTGATTGGAAGAAATTTGAATGCGACAACCTATTGAATTCTTAACTAGCTACGATCGAATGCATAAGGGAACTGCGATAAGAGAGAAAAAAAGATCTTATATCTATCTATACGCCATTTCCGTGATCTTAGCTCGATGCCTCTATTCCATTCCACGCTCATATCTCCCTAAAACCTAAGCATTGCCAGCTGCTCGCACACTTTTGAGGCTATTTTCTACCAGATCTAAAGCCGTTAAACAGCAATGCCCGTTTCCCACCATCTATTCCAAGAGCCCCAATGCCATCTGGGTAAGGAGTCCTTATCATACCGCCACACACGTCTATCAACACCTAGTCCAGCAGCCCTAGAAAAGGAGACGGGGACTGGCTCCCAAAGCCAGATACCGCAACGTCCGAAATCGTCCAGGAGCGTCCAACCAGTAGCCAGGAGCCAGAGGAATGTAAATGCTACGTTGCCAAGACGACGCAACCAAAGTGGTAACCTTTCAATCCTGCGTTGTAGCCCGCGAGAAAGCATAGTTTGCAACACCATTCCCAAACCAGAGAGCGCAAAGAAGATAGGCGGGCCCCAGTAGTACGTCGTAGGCACTGAGGTATAACTGCCAGCGGCACTATTATTCGTTGGAGTCAGTGGTTACTCTTGAAGGTAAGACAGGGCTAGGTTTTGGGACTTATGTGTACTTCTGAGACACGCATGTGGCTCTAGCAGGAGATTATGGCCTCTATGAGCGTCTAAAATAGGAAGAAGAAAAGACTCAAGGGGTAGCATACTGGATCATTCCCGACTGGACAAAAGCCATGATAGCGCTTACAGCAGGGGTAATCAGAGTAGATACACCGCCGTGTCTTCGAGGAGATGGTAAGTAACCAAGGCGAAGCAGCCACTTAGTGGGCGCAGAGAACCCGACCCGGAACGTCTGATCTATAGTTCACTGGGATTAGTGGTTATGCTTCGGGTGAAATAAATAAACGAAGTATGGTGAGCGTTGCATGCGCCTGGGAAATTCTGATGGCCCTAAAAGGGTTATTTGCCACCTGTTATTTGCTATGATAGCAAGAAAATGACTCTGGGGAATACATACGCCACCACGCGCCCCAAAAACCAGACAGTCCTCGATCCGTCACCTGCGAGAATGAGCCTGTGAAGGACGGTAAATGCCAGGGATGAGCACGAAATCCCAGTATAGGAGGGCAGTAGAGGGCGAGAAGCATAGCACCAAAACTCCATACGTCTGTTCTCCCAAGACGAGTCAGTACAGTACCATAATACACATTTTCTGTGATAGTACAGGTCATGGTGGTCATTATTCAGAATAGAATCTCACATACTGTAGCAAAAGTTAGCTCTAGCAGATAATACAAACTCCAGGTCTTTATACGTACCATTGCAGTGCAAAAATCACCGCGACGAAGCCGAGAGTTGTGCGCTGAAGAAAGAGGAGCGCGGGGTGAAGGGAGGCAAGATGTGGCGGAAGGGGGTGGTCGTGCTCCGGCCCGGCAACGAAGTACGGATCACTTGTCATCAGGGCTGCGCAAACATCGACAATAATGTAGCTCGGCAAGAAATCGACGAACAAGCGGGAAAGAACCAATTTCCGTCGTGAGACAGTCCGTTCGTAGCCTTGCTTACTCCTGCTGTTCACACGCCCATGTTAGTGACCACCCGACAGAGTAACAAATCAGTGCATGTTTCGAAAGCATGTAGTAGCAATGGCAACTGGACCCGTCTGCAAGAGAAAGTGAAAGGAATGGATCCTGGAGACTAACTGGGAGCCATATTCCAGCGGTAGCTGATAAGGGCCGATGGTAGGAGGCGGCTTATACGGAGGCAGACAAGAAGGGGCAGATTCCCACCCTTTGCGAATCTCAGCATCGTGATATATGTCCGTGACTGCTAGTTGTACTCACCGGTTAGGCGGAATGTGCTGACGATATCAAATACCCAGTCAAGACGAGTCAGGAATGAGGCGTTGGCGGGATACTCTTGCCAGTAATACTCATATTCCTCTTCCCGTGCGCGTCTATAAAGTTCAAGAGCCGCATCCTGGTCCAGTGGTGGATTCTTGTCACTATTATTAAGACGGATTATTCTTTTCACCAAGGCCTCCTCATCCCCTGCTTGATCTCCGTTCTCCTGAACTGGTTGTGATTCCCTGTGCCTCATCCCTGTTGTCGGTGTAATTCCGTTACCATGTACACTTATTGGTGTATTGGCAGCGGAGCCAGCTGGTCTCGAGCTGAACGCATTTCTATCAATTTCTGAAATAGCAACTTCTTGGCTGTTGAGCTTTCTGACGGCCGACGCTCCCTTTTCTAGCGATGCTGGTAGCCGATCGGCTACCCGGTCATTACGCAGCCTGTCGATGGGCTGGGATACCTTCAATCTTTCGACCCGTCTGGCATCCCACTGCGGTCTTGTCCATACCAGTAGATAAAAGTTCCAGATAGTGCCCCACGAGGCTATTATTCCAACGCCATAGCTCGCAGCAAAATTAGGGCTCTTCACATGCTTGATCATATAAACATGAAATGCGCAGACGAGAGCTAGAACAAGCCATCTTGCACGATACAGCCACGGTCTGTTCTTGTGCGGAATAGCTAGATACAATGTGGGAATAATCCAGTACGCGGTTAAGTGCAGTGGGAAAATGAGTGGTGTCGCCTGCACATCGGCACGCAGCTTGGCCCGGTAAAACTCCCGGTATGCGCTTGCTAAGTCCGGCAAGTGAGCTGCATGTTGTATCGACTGCTGCGGAACCTGCAATGACATAGCGAAAAGCAAAATTATGATTTCGATCCTTCGTGAACGAATATTGAAAATGAAATGTGACTTCCAGCACGTGGTTCAGCCCTGCATTGCTAGCCGATTGTTTGCGAATTCAGATATACATAGACAGCTGAACTATCCTATTATCAATGAATCTAGTCTAGCGCAAGCCAAGAGACGGAATTAGCGAGGAAAAAATTACGAGGAGAAGGGAAAAGAAAGAAAAAGGTTGATAGCATGTAGGTATGATCAAACTGCAAAACGTACTGCTCAAACTCATGGTAACCTACTAAGTGGCCAAGCAAAGTCGACTGCGCTGGCCCTATTTGTGCCACACTAAGCATCTTGTGACGACCGCATCCAATCTATGATTGACTCCTTGAAGAACGCTAGTGGAGCTCGAGGTGATGACGTCAATACCCAATTACTACCTTTTCGCGCGTGTTCTACTGAAAACCTCAAAATTGTGTAGGTATGGGGTGATAACTGGTATGTTGGCGTCTTCGGAATAGAGCAGGCAGATAGGTGGTAACAATTTTTCTATGGCCGCCGTGAGGGGTAGCAATAGATAGAATGCTGCCCTTCGATGCGCGTGGCAAGGATAATCTGTTGATATCTTGATCACTTTCGAGATTTTGCCCATTTACACAATACTTCAAGTGGTAGGGGGGAATCATCGGCTGCTCAGTCATGGAACTCAGACGGTTGACGAGAAGTAAACCCTTCCTATTGAATCGTTAGACAAGTGAACAGGGTAATAGAGAACACGGCAGTTGGACGTCTGGTGCATTTTTGGTCTTCTGAAACATTCAACTTAGTTTAAATTTATTAATTTTTCGGCAGGCATACATTGGCTGTTAAATCGCCATGGATCGTAAAGATGGGAGGTCGCTAAGTATTGAGAATGACCGATATCGCTCGCCTAGAAGACTACAAACGTGCCTCAATACCCGGCATAAAGTCCGCCTTTGCCTTTTCCTTGGGCTCACAACTTCAGACGGTTGGGCTGACCCGTTCAGATCATGAACGTATCTGGACCTTCGCCAAAATGATGCGCTGTAGAACCCAACCAGTAAGCCACTTCACTGTCTGCCAAAGCACCCAAAGGAGAAAGATAGCTAGAGTTCCCAGGGCGAACAGCACCGAGTCTCGCACAGCGAATGCATTTGCCGCTTCTGCCCTAAGAAGCTTCTTCTGCTTCGTGTGGTAAAACCAATTTTTTGCTTCCTTTGGAGACTCAGCATGTTTGTCCCGAACGTTTCTATGCGGGAAAGCATGCGTCGACTGAGATGATGACGAAGTCTGGTAATTGTCCACCCATTCATATGGAGAGGAGTTTTGCTCGTATAAGAGCCTGGATAACCAGGTTCGATCACTGCTGTCTCTTATCTTCCTTTCGGGCTGACGATAGCGTTGCGCTCGGTTACGGCTGTCTACAAGGTACAGAGATACGAGGAACGTGATGAAGTTTACAGGTGTTGCTATAGCCTGTACGTGATTGGTGTCAGCGAGTTTATCATCCTATTGTAAGGTGTGAATGAGTGACATGGGCGCGTATACATAGTTAGATGACGATATGTGCAATGGATAAAGAGGGCTTAGTTCATATTCACCTGGTAGATCTTTGACGGCCATTTAAGTTCACCACTCCTTGCGCGCAAGGATATGTTCGTCGTAGGTGTAGTAGTAGCATTCATGGTTATATCGGTATATAGAGATTTAAAAGCATAAAGGTAGGTAGTAGTACCAGTCTTATCCTGTCAAGAGGGGTGCTAGGTAGAGGCCTGGTGGTAATACCTAGGTAACACGATATATCACTGGTAAGAACCCATACTGAATCTGATGCAAAGATAGATGATTGAGCGGCTGTGTTGACAAGCAGGGGAGCATGAAAGAAAGAAGATACAGCACCTGAATGGACAAGTTAAGTGTTGAGATCTAGGATACATAAGCATAAGACGTTTGGGGAGTGTCTGATCTGATCTGAAATTCAGGGTCCACAGCCCAGTCAAGCCGGCATGCGGATGCATTTAACGTGATGTAACCGTCTGCTAGGTATCCCGAGAGGGAGACCCCATAATATAACATCATCGACCCATGCGCCTAGTTGCTCATCCTTGAAAACCTCCGAAATTCGCGGCCAAACACTTCGCGCTTCGTTTTGTCGGAATATAATTATAGCTTCATCATTCTACTCTGATTTGGTTGACGTTTGTTTTGTTATAGTTAGGGACAACTTCAAGTCTTTCCGTGGATATTGCTGAATTAAATCTCATGGCGACTCACTACCCTAGTCGCGACTATTTTTAATGTCTAGTACCAGGATGTCATGGGCTCCGATTTTACTCAATTCGTCCATGATAGGCGCGATTCTCTTCTTTTCTACCATGACGCTGACAGCGACCCACCCCTCCTCATCTAGCGATGTGACTGTTGGGGCTCTCTTCCCAGGAGCGATCTTAGTAGCTTCTGCAAGGGTGCTCCTCTGGATATTATACTGACACAAAACGTATTTGTTTGCTGCTATTACACCGCGAATACGCTGTGCAATAAGCTCGACAAGTTCCGGGTTACTCGGGTTCCGCGACTTGATTAAAATAGCACTGGATTCGACCACAGTGTCGATTGGTTTCAGTCCAGCGGCTTTCATGGTCTCGCCAGATTCTAACCATGTCAGCTGATTCTCGGCCGGATGACCACACACAGATTCGATTGACACTTACCGACAAGGTCGACGATACCATCAGCCACACCGAGAGCGCAAGCCGCTTCGACACTACCACTTAGTTCAATAATCTGGGTTCGCAGTTTATTGGTGAATTCTGCAGGTTGGTCTGCCTGCGCATTTGCAGAGTCCACTTCCAGTTCTAAGTTGGCGAAGTATTTTTGCGCGAGATGGACGAAACTGGTACCAATGTTCTTCCCGATGAGATCCTTAGGCGAATTATAGGCGCCATTCTGCGGGACTTGTACTTGGAGCTTACACGCGCCAAATCCGAGTTCCAACACTGTCTCGCAGCCTGAGCCGCTCCCGTTATGGGCGACTTCTTGTTCCATGGTTATCTCGCCTGAGAACCGCCTTGCACGATAAAGAGCACGCACCCCTGCGTCGTGCTCTTGAACTTGGTCCAGGCCGGTGATTCCCAGGTCGACCTGACCCTCCCCAACGAAAGTAGGTATATCAGCCGCGGGGAGGAAGATCAGAGCGATGGGTAGATTCTTGACTAATGCTATGTCAAGCCGGTTTTCTCTCCTGAATTGGATATCGGCGCCCTCAAGGAGGTTTAGTGCAGCTTGGTTCAAACGACCCTCTTTTATACGAGTTAGCCATTTGGTCATTATCGCACCTCGACTACAAGCAACGAGACTCACTCTTTGGCACGGCGAATAGAAGTCGCCCTTCAAGGCTGGTGTTTGCAGAGTCTGAGTCAGCCACATCGCCGACTTGTTCGAGTTTTGCTAAAAACATATCTGCAAAGGTTGACAGAGGGAGCCACGAACTGGTTTACTAAATCCATGGTGCTTTATTGTCCGAGAGCCGGGCGAAACGAGAAGGAGATTGGTGCGTGACACAGCGCAGATTAACCCGAGGTTCTCTCTGTAACAACAGGAGGAGTACGATGGTGGACGGAATGGGAGAAGAGCCAATTGAGATATTGTTCAAACGACCAGCATGTGCGAGATGTGACAGCTATAGTATAGTATGGGCTGTTTCGCTTTTATCCCACCTATCCTCTGGTTTGGAAGATTATTTTTACTCGTAACCCCACGTTCCTAGATCGGAGCGGTTTCTCAGTTGACCTCATGGCTTGCAGGGGAGGGGCAGTCACGCTAGGAGGTACCTACTACAGTACTAGCAGGCTCGCCAGGGTACCTATGTAGGTACCTACTTAGGCAAGTACCGGTGCACTAATATGCACACTATGTACAGTAGTAGCGGCTAGGGAGCTATCTGGGCTACGCTTGCAGGTGTACGTGTAGGTACCTAGGCACCGACATATGTTGGTATACACCTCCAATAGGTAATGTAGTTACATTTTAATCACCACCCTAATTACATACGCTTTTGATGGTCCTCTAATTCAGCTCGGTTTGAATTATCAGACACTAATAACAGTTGATGTGTACACTACCACCTAAGATACGTTATTAAGCACCTAAAGACCATTGGCGATGGAGGTACCTAGGTAGCTGCTGTATCGCGATAGGGTGAAGCCACAGTGGATCATTCCAGGAACGAACCCCTGATTCTAGGGATTACAGGTACTTGCTTCAAGTTATCATCCAATTTCATCATCATAGGAACTCCCACTCGGCCTTCATCGAAACATTCCACAAGCTCATCTTGTGATGGAACTTGGATGGATTGGGGTCGCATTCTCCTCCAAAGGAAGAATAATAGCTTGATTCTAGTAGACCATCTCGCCGCCTTCCGCAACATCCAAGCTCATCGCCCAAGTCGATCGATATACCGGTAGAGTATCAAACGACGATACGCCGTTGCACACCTCCAGTCTCCAGAATCATGTCTCGATGGCTTGGGCAACCCTTAGTCAAGGGGAGCTCAGAGGCCTCTCGAATGGCATTCTTAACATTGAGTACCATCGGCATCACGTACGTACGCATCACTACTCCCGCTTACGAGAAATCGCACCAAGCTAATTGCTTCCCCAGGTTTGTATGGGGCGTTGAACAGACGTACTGCACCCCGTATCTTCTTTCTCTCGGGTTAACGAAGAGCAAAACTTCCCTCGTGTGGATCGCCGGCCCATTGTCGGGACTTGTCGTGCAGCCTATCGTTGGTACCATCGCAGACAGATCGACTTCGAGATGGGGACGACGGCGGCCCTTTATTCTGACGGGAGCCATTATATCAGCGTTGTTTCTACTGCTTTTGGGTTTTACAGAGGACATTATGGGGTTTTTCGTTGAAGACAAGAAGTCAGTACAGCACATGACCGTTTCCGCGGCTGTGCTAGCTATAGTGAGTAGTTCTTTTTACCCTCTTCTCTTACAACCCCTATCTATGTCTAGAGGTCCATAGTGTCTAGCCAGAGTAGGCTCGTACTAGCATAGTTTGACTGCTCCACAAGTCTTTGTGTTTGTTTCGACCGACAATTGCTGACACTTGCTGACGCAGTACGCGGTCGATTTCTCTATTAATGCAGGTCCGTTCTATGTATTCGTGAATTAACCAAAATATAAGAGCTTGGTCTAACGTCAAAGCAGTGATGAGCGCTGCAAGGAGTTTAGTCGTTGACACTCTCCCTATCGAAAAGCAACAGACTGGATCCGCTTGGGGTATGCTATCCAGCGAGGGCCCCTCGATTAGTTGTCGTTGCTAATACTGTGAACAGGAAGCAGGATGTCAGCAATAGGACATGGGATGGCATTTGCAACTGGGGCGATTGACCTTCCGTCGTTACTTGGAAAATCACTCGGTGAGACACAATTCAAACAACTGACAGTTCTTGCTGCGCTTGGCCTAGTCGGTACATGTGGTGTGACATGTTGGGCTGTGACAGAAAGAGTACTGCTCTCTCCACCAAAATCAAATAAGCAGGATGGGCTCTATCAGGTCGCTAGTCATATCTGGTCGACGATTGTGCATCTGCCTCCACGCATTAGAGCAATTTGTATGGCGCAATTCTGGGCATGGATAGGATGGTTTCCATTCCTATTTTATAGTACCACGTGGATTGGCGAGACGTATTTTCGCTATGATGCCCCCCATGACGCGAAACAGTCTAAAGATGCATTGGGAGAGGTTGGCCGGGCCGGTAGCCAGGCATTCATTATCTATTCCGTCATCACATTTTTTGGCTCTTGGTTTCTCCCTATCGTCATTAGGTCACCTGACGACCACAGTTACACTCAACGACCGCCGCAGAGTCTCAGAGGCATCGTTGAAAAGCTCAATAAATACAAGCCTGATCTCTTGACAGCCTGGATCTGTGCCCACGCGACATTTGCAGCCGCAATGCTGTTTGCGCCCTTCGCGAGAAGCTTCAAGTTTGCCGCCACTCTTGTTTGTATATGTGGACTGTACGTTTCGACTTGGCCCTTTTTCTGAACTAGCTAACCCGTCCACAGCCCTTGGAATATTGCATCGTGGGCGCCACATGCTTTTTTGGGCATGGAAGTGAACAGACTGAGTAGCGGAGAGGGCGCAGCTTCTCGGCGTTTATCTAATGCTTCAATGGAAATGGCAGATATGAACGGCAATGTGTCCCACGTGTCTCTTTTACACGACGATTCGCATACAACAAAATCAAGCTCCGCGGGAGAACCGTCTGGTGTCTATTTCGGTATCCTCAACATCTATACTACGATCCCACAGTTCATAGGGACGATCATATCAACAATTGTGTTTGGTATACTGGAGCCTGGCAAGAGTCCCGAACTTGCCCATGGCGCACACCCCGATGAGCATCACAATACGTATGTAAACCACCGCTGTTATTTTCTTCCTGCTCTAGTTACTCCCGGAGGCCATAGTTGTGCACTAGGGGCACAAGTGTGTCCCGAGAGTGTACAGAACTCCCTAAACTTCTACCTGAAAGAGTAATTACTGACTCCGGCGGTTGTAGTGATGGGCCAAATGGAGTGGCCGTTTGTCTCTTTATTGGCGCATTAAGTGCCATTGCTGCCATATTTGCAACAAGAAAATTAAAGTTTATGTAATCCCGATTTCATTTTGTAATGGCGTTCGGCATGCTTGTTGGACCAGATTAGGTGTTCTAATCATGTGGGAACAACCAACTGTGGAATGAGTAGTAGACACTTGGTGTGTAGGTACTATATAATAGAGGCTTGATAGATTAGAGGTTCGCGTGCATGAGTTCGGCGCTACAAAGGGAACCCATCTTACGGTCAAGATAATTGCTCATCTAACCAAAGTGATGGCTACCTTAGTTGCTTGTCTCTAACAACCTACTGTAGGTATATGTAAAATTGACCATGTTGTTCCTTACCTACATTACGTACCTAGGCTCTTCTACTTAAGGTATCCATGGATGTACATATAAGTACATACTTAGCACTGAGTAGTACATGCGTGACTTCCCCACCTTGCAAGGTTGTGCCTTATGCCAACCAAGGCGAGTTTACTTAGTAAGGGCTCTACAACAACCAAAAGCGGCTTTCACAAAATCTACTTTGCACTGCTTGCCAATTATATTGCTGCCTTTTGGCCACCTTACAGACTCTCAAGATGGTAAGCGGCATTTCACTCTAGTCGCTTTTGTCTCCGCAGCGGAACTGCAACTCACAATGCCTAGGCCCCCGTAGCTCCTTCAAAACGGCGCTCTCTACGAGCAAAGCTCGCAGCGAAAACGGGTGCAGAGCCCCATGCGCCACGCAAAGCGCCACGACCTGACGCTGTCGCGCCATCGTTCGACGGATTCACGAGCTCGAAGAAAGACAAGCGCATCATAAAGCGCTCGGCGCTTATCTCGCGAATCGAGAAGACACACCGTAAGCCACTGAAGCGTCGACGCCCAGGCAAGAAGCTTGTTGCGAACCTCGAGTCCTTGGCCGACGCCCTGCCCGACTTGCTGGCTGATGGCGAGACATCGGAGGGGCTCCGGCAGCTCCGAGAGGGCAAGATCAGACACAAGAGTCTGAAGATGAGAAAGGGAGCACTGAAGAAGAAGGAGAAGATTGTCAAGGGCGAGATGGATCGTTTCACCTATAGTCTTGCGAGACTGAATACCATGGGTGCTGCCAATGTGGACTCGAATATGCAGATTGAAGGGCAGGCTGTAGCTGAGGTTAAGCAAGCGCCGTCTCAATCGCAGGCACCTCCCTCGGGCTCCACTACGTCGACAGCAGGAAGGTGGGCTGCTTTGAGAGGCTTTATTTCCTCGACTATGGAGCAGAATCCCGCCTTCGTTGGGAAGCAAGATGGGCAATGAGACTACATGAATTTGCCAGCGATAATATTATCTATCAAGAAGGAGAAAACCGTCCCCCAAGGCGCATATTGTAGGGGCAAAAGGTTTGGGTTTTCTTCCTATCATCGCTGCTACTTAGTACTAATCTCGTGGTTGTAGAGCGGGCGCATCTTGCATTGGGGCGAGTGAGGCCATGAGCAGAACGAAGAGATACTTAAGCCGCATGACTATGTGTGAGCGCATTTGCTCAGCTTGTGGCCCTCTACTTCGCCCTCATCGCACACTTGAACGTCGTATATATGGATTGCCTTGGCCCTCCGGTGGGAGTGTATCATCACAGTTTCTGGTACATTAGGTAGAAGACCAGGTATTTATGTTCCCTGCTCGAGGGAACTAGGTGCTTTAGCCGATTTACAGAAAGTGCCTGGCTCATAGCTATTACCATGATAAAGCGCGTAGTGGTTCGCTGTGAGAAGATGAACACATGATGGAATAAAATAAAGAAGCAAACAGAAGTGGCCTGGCGAAATCCGTGGAGGTTAAGGGGCTATTAGAGGAATCGATTTGTAGTAATACCCACATGACGCACTTTTGGGATATGTGGTATTGTTTTATACCTGAAATTTCAGCTGTTCGCTGTAATAGTGTAGTGGTTATCATTCTAGCCTTCCAAGCTTGAGACCGGCGTTCGATTCGCCGTTACAGCAATTGTGTACAAATCAACTTTTTGCAACCACCATCTGTGATTCTTATCTCAATAGGCTTTTCTCCATCTCCTCATTATGTGATTGATCTATTATGATGCAGACTACAGTATGACAATACGAATGGCAATATGATCTAACTTGAATCTTAATACTAAAGTTAATGGTAAATCTTGGCTCAGTGCAATCCAATTCAATTACTGCTTTTATACTTATGCCATGCTTACTTACTTACATACAATGGCTGGAGGACGCGGGTCTGCATGATTCTGATACCTCGAAGTATCGTATTTTCCGCTGTTGTACTCCGTAGATGTTGGTTTCACGGGAGAAAGCATATATCATATGCTTCACATGGTACTGGGTATTTTAGGTGGCACTTTGTGCATATCACCAGAGACTTCTCTTTGTCTCACCATCCAGCCACTATTATATATGGTGAATGGGACGATAGCACGTGCTGTAGGATACCGGTACATGCGGTATTTCCTCGTGTCCACCCCCACAATATAGTCTATCTCTCTCTCTTTTTCCCGTCTTTTATTCCCCTCTTACTCTCTCTATCATAGGGGCATTCCCCGCTAAGCCTGCGTAAGCACTGCTGTCTCTCAAATACCTACCTATACCTATCTAGGTACAGTTAGCTCTCTAAGTGCCTGCCTACAGCCCCGGATATTTGGAGCCAAGACCTAAGATCTTGATTGCATCACAATCCGCCACGCTCTCTACCATCGTCACTCCCTCGGCCGTCATCCCATAGCCTCAGTCCCCAACCCAAACGCCAACAAGCCCAACTCTCTTTGCAATTCATCCATTCCTTGCTTCGCTCTTTTTTATTTTTATCTTTTTCTTGTTCGCGATATTTTCTTACTTGGACTCGGGCTGTCTTGTTCATTAACGTCTCCCGGGCAGATCCTACGAATCACTGTACATTGCGACAGCGTTAATGACAAATTCCACTTCCTCCCACTCGCCCTCCCGCTTTTAAAAAGTCTACGGTGATTATCGAAGACGCTCATTGCGTGGTCCGCACCCACCTCTAAACTCTCGCCCTCCATCGCTTTCGTATAATCCGCATTTGGATCAACGTTATCGACGCATTATTTAGCTGTTGCATATTGATCACCATTGTCAACATTCTTGTCTACATCCACGCGCGCCTACGCATACACAGTACATCCAAGCTCTCTTAATGCCGTTCCGCGAAAGAATCGCGCGGCGGCTGAATGACAGCGTGAGTCCTCGCAAGCAATGTCCCGCCATACTCTCAGCCCAATCTTACCGGACTTATAGTTATCGCCTTCACCTTCGCCGTCCCAGCCATACCTGTCATGTAGGTCGCATAAGAACCGCATCTGATCATGTAGCCAAGCTAACTCTTGCTAAGATTATGATATACTTCGTATGTCACATTTACCTTCTACGACCCTCCTATACATACGACTAATGCATACACTCCAGTGACATATGAAGATGTGAAAGCCCTAAGAGGCGACTGGCTCACAGACAATGTACGTGTTCCTATTTTGGGCTTACTGGTATAACTCAAGTCAGCTTATGTTTAACTTCAGAATATTGCGTTTTGGGAAGAGTTTCTGGAGCGCGAAGTGCTTTCAAAATACCCACAAGCCCATATCGTACTTCTTCGACCCTCAATGACCTTTCTGTTGATGAAAAATAAGGATACCGAAAGCGTGCGGGCTGCTCTGCCGAACTTCAGCGGTATCACACACATATTTTTACCTATTAATGACAATCGAAATGTGAACCAGGCGGAAGGGGGGACCCATTGGTCCCTTCTACTAGTGAGCATAATTGACGGCGTGGCTTTCCATTATGACTCTTGCGATGGCTCCAACAACAACGAGGCATGGGAAGCCACTTGCAGGCTGTCTCGGGTTCTTGGCAGGCCTATACGTTTTCATCGTTTACTTGAGTGTCCTCAGCAAGAAAATGGAAGCGACTGCGGTGTCTACGTCTGTATCATCATGCGCCATCTATTAGTTAAGCGCCTTCTTGCTGTTAACGCCGGAGAAAAAATCTCAATGAGCATGGCGCACAAGGCAATAGACAGCGGCGGTGCAAGGAAAGAAATGTTGAAGATCATTGAGAACTTGCGCAAAGAAGGAGAGAGGCGGCGGCATACACCAGGTCATACCCCTCCCCGAATTGACTAATAGCGGCCCTCTCTCGTTACGTTAACTTAGGAACTCCAATGTGCATCATCTAATACTGCATTCAAATGCCGCCCTCCGCATCGTCCGGCTTTCACTTAGAGAGCAACTCTGCCTCTATATTTGTGTTAATTAATCAGCATACTCTACTGCATCTTTGTTAACAGTACTTGCAATGACAACCAGCTGCGTTGTATTACTCCCAAATATCACCGGGTAGGAATACAGAACCGTTATTCACATTAAACAGACGCTGCGGTCCAGAGAGTCTAGAGAAAGGGTGTCTTCAAATGGAACAGCTTGCGCCCTCTACTGGACAATGAAGGCTCTTTCGGTTCTTGCATGGACGACTAAGAGTCTGGAGACAAATAGAAGCCGCGGAACTGATTACTTTATGACTTTGGATCCAGTCATGATATTTGTTTGCAAAAGCACCAGCCTCTGAATTACGCAAATACTAAAATATAATGTCCTGATTAATTTCTCAACATGCCATTTGCAGTCCGGGTAATCGTCATAGTGCTTGTACTTTGTCACAGCTATAACGCTTTCCTGGGGGTTTTGAAAGATATTTCATGATTGCTGCCTGTGCCAATACACTCACAAAGCGAAAGTCTAGGTATGTGACGTTATGAGGCAATGAATTGATAGATACATTGTGTGATGATGTACTATCACACCCCATTGCGACTACGTCGTCCCTATGGTGAGTTGGTCCACTCACATAAGCAAGCGCCAAGCACCGAGAAGCACGGCAGCAAAACCCGTGCACACGCCCATGAGCCATTGTAATGTCTGAAACTTGACCTGCTCGAGCTTCTCGCGGAGGGCGGCGACCTCCTGCTCAATCTTAGTCTCGGTCTCCTTGATTTGGAGCTCCTGCTGCGAAGCTTCCTCGCGGATACGGCCCTTCTCCAGGTTCAGGTCCAGACGTACCGAAGCCTGGGTGCGTCCTATCTCGTCGCGCAACCGCGAGTTCAGCTTCGTGATGTCGTTAGTCAGGCGCTCGTGTGCCGCCCGCGTTGTGTTGGACTCGGTGTTGTCGGCGGACAACAGCTCTGAGCGCAGCTTTGCGAAGTCAACCTTTTGCGTGTATGTGGCTTTTGCGGCGTCCTCACGCAGAACCATTGTGCGCGTTAAGTTCCGGATACTGAATAAATAAAACCATTAATGTGCGAGACAAAACGGGAGGAGTTTAATTCATTGTATAAATACTGCGACTGCTATTGCCGTCGTCGTCGAAGGCTTACCTTTCTTCTATCACATCGTTCAATACCTTCATCATCGCTACCGACTGGTCCTCCGTGAAACCCTCGCTCTGCAGTCGCTGGACGAACTTGAGTGTGTCAAAGTGGTGGTCTCTTCCCCGGGACGATGTGGCGCTGAACGAGCGTCGCAGCAACAGGTGTTGCTGTATAATTGACAGTTTCCCATTATGGCCTTTTGAAATCGTGCGCAGCGGTGATGGGCGCTTTGTGTGAAATGTCGCTCTCCCGGGACGCTGAGGTGTAGACTGTGGTGCTGGAGCGAATCTTGCGCCGCACAATGCGCTTGGTGTCGATTGGATGGGCACGGTCCAGCTCAGTCGAGGGAGGAGAAACCTGGGTAGTGAATACACGGCTGTTCCAGCAATGCTGGCCATCTTTGCTAGAGGTAGAGTAGTCAATAGATTTCGTTGGGATTGTTGACTGCGGCCATCGGCTTATGAAGCTGGGGCGATCTCCAACAAGGAACAGGAGCAACAAGAGCTAGGTAGACCTTCCTAGGTTAAGACGACTTCCTAGGAAGTCGATACCTAGGGGTGATTGAGTAAAGTGGCTTAGCACAAAGGAAAGGTGGCTGGTGTGGCATCTTCGTGGGGGAAAACCCCATATAACCAATCACCTCGAAAAATTTCCTTGCTTGTTTCTTTTCTCCTTTCTCATCCAAAATTAACAACGCAAAAAACCAACATTCTCGAGAGATGCATTATTTGATGCGAGGTTACCTACTGGTGTCCCAAGACCATTGATTGACTCTTGAACAGAATGGAGAACAAATCCCATCGAACAATCTTGGGTGCGGTGCTTCCCTGTCTTCTTTTGAGGGCGATGGGGAGGATCGCAATGATTGAGCGTACATGCTACTAATGAGGCACAATGTCAAATTGAATAAACAAGAGAGTTGGCCGCGGCGGGTGGTTTGGTCCCGTCTGCTTATGGCCTTTCTCTCTCTCTCTCCCTCTCTCTCTGTATTTCTTTATAAGCGCAGGCGCCGAATAGAATTGGTGCGTTCGTGCCTGACCTTTAATATTCTTTTACTCAAGGTCAAATGTGACAAAAGTAGTACGCTGCTGAGCGCAATAGTAGGTGGTTAGAACCAGAATTGCGCTACCAAGGCGTATTGTTTCAAAAGCAAGCATAGCTACTCTGTGCGTGGCAGGCTTGCATGTGTGAATATGCCTCGCCCCTCACCTGCTGGTCTCACGTTTGAAGCAAACGCCGGCTGAGCTGAGTCATTAGGTCGGATGAGTCACCGTTCATCCTGATCCTGAAGTTTGTTGGGAATTGTCGAGATGTGAGGTGCGCCGTTGCCCTGTCCTCTGTCCTCTGATCGGCGGCGCGGCTACAACTGCTAAGAACGCTAGACTGGGAGCCTTAGCCAATCAGAGTAAGAAAGTTCGAAGCTTTGATAGGTGCCTAGGTACTTAAGTAGGTACTTATAATTGGCTGTACTTAAGATCTCATGTGCATGCAATCTGTGATCGAAGCGCCAGTTGAGGCATTCAGTTCCAAGTTCAGTGCACCTGTAGTCTCTGCGCGTGTCATCAATTTAGTCGCCAATTTACATACATACCCCAGTGTTGTCAAGCCATGGCTGGAACGTCTGAAGCAGCATTCGAGCCGACTATTTGTTAGTGGTACTTTGTAGGTAGGCGACTGTAGGTACTTATTATTACTGCAGCAATAGCTGGCTAAAAACAGTAAGTGAGCAATACCTGTATCTACCAAGCTCTCGGGTCAGTCTCCCCGCACTCGTCATCAGCTATTCGAAACACGTACCTGCCTACCTATGTACATAGATAGTGGCCGTCACGCGTTCAAGGAGATAGTAGATTTACAGATATCATCAATCTCCAAATTTGACAAGAGGTCGTGACCATTGATGATCTCCTACATACACTACCTAGGTACTTACAGTAGGTAGTAGTCGACAGACTTGTACTGGACTGTAATTGTCTTTCTTATCTATAGGTAGTACCTAGTATTAGTTAGGTACTTACTAGTAGTGCCGCAGCTACCTCTTAGCGGGACTAGCTAGACGGTGCGATACTAGGTACCTCTGTATGCTATACTAGAACAGCTTTAGCTATGTGTCTATCAGCAGTCCGATGCGGCGAAAGGTTGCTCAGTTTGATCAGTTTATTTACATGTATCCATGTTTGTTTTGTAAGGGCAATTATATGGTTGTTGGTTTCATTCAAAGACGCAAGTAAGCCTTTCAGTTCCACGAGACACAGGGCCCTCTGATATATAGCAGAATATTTTCAGTATTCGTTGAAGAGAATTGCTTGATTAATAGCTACATAGTAGGTAGATCAGCAGGATTAGTCTGTCAAAATAAATCCGCTATACATCGAATCTGGCGCAAGAAGAACGAACCCTACGGTATCTTTTTTTTTAATCCCTCCCTTTTCCTTTTCTTTCCAGTCCCGATTGAAAGCCCCGAAATAGGCGAGATGCGGTTGGCTACAGCACACCCCTCCAGCCCCACAGGCTCCGGTGATCGCAGCTTGCACAGTCTCTGTAGTGCGAATTGGGAATTTTTTGTCTCTTATCTGGTTTATCAAGGCGGTCCTGTGACTGGGACACTGGGTAGCATGAGGTTGTGCGACGGGCCATGAGAGTCAGAGCAACCCTCAGGCTTGGATTTAATAAAGTATACTACCCCAGGACCGGCTCCCAACATTCTTGCCGCGCTGTCACTTCCCTCCGCCATCGTCTCTGCCGCCTCCGCCGCCTCCATCTCCCAAGGCGCTCAATCGATTCTCCATCTGGGAGCTGGGGCGCTCAATTGCCGTCTGGCAAACCCATCGCCGTGAAACGCTTCCCATCACCCCCCTCCTACAGACCCCTCCAAGACCGCTGCCATGGCCTTCTCTACCAAGATGGCCGGCAGGGCCCCTGCTCTGCTCCGTCATGGTCGACGACTGCCTGCTACATTGTCTCGAAGGACACTCACTGCCGTGTCTCTGCACACCCCTACGCCGCTGCTGTCCACCACGCAGACGAGTAGCTCAATACAGAAGCGGAACTTTTGTCTTACTCGCGCTCGGTGCAATGCTTCCGTCGCCGACGTCCAGCAGGCTCCAAACCCGAAGGCTTACCTGGAGAGCGGTGTTATCAGACCGAAAGACATCGTCAATGTGAAGAAGGTCTTGGTCATTGGCAGCGGCGGCTTGGCTATAGGGCAGGCTGGCGAGTTTGACTATTCGGGTACGTCGCGCTCGTCATCATCGGTGTTCTAGTTCAATAGAACGACCCCCAGATCTAAATCTGTAGCGTGATTATATTGATCATATAATTATAGGCTCCCAAGCTCTGAAGGCCCTAAAAGAGGCTGGTGTCGCCTCAGTCCTTATCAACCCCAACATTGCCACCATTCAGACCAACCACACACTCGCCGACGAGATTTATTACCTTCCAGTGACCCCGGAATATGTATCATACGTTATTGAGAGGGAAAAGCCAGATGGTATCTTCCTTTCCTTTGGTGGGCAGACCGCGCTCAACCTGGGTGTGCAGATGCAGCGCATGGGTCTGTTTGAAAAATACGGTGTCAAGGTCCTTGGCACAAGTGTGCATACTCTAGAGTTAAGCGAAGACCGTGATCTCTTCGCCAAAGCCTTGAACGAGATCAACATCCCTATTGCTAAGTCAATCGCTGTCGGGACAGTAGAAGACGCTCTCGATGCTGCTAATAAGGTGGGCTATCCCATAATCGTCCGTGCTGCTTATGCCCTCGGTGGTCTGGGCTCCGGTTTTGCCAATAACGAGGAAGAGCTACGAAACATGGCTGCTCGGTCTTTGACGTTATCACCACAAATTCTAGTCGAGAAGTCCCTGAAAGGCTGGAAGGAGGTGGAGTACGAAGTCGTCCGTGATGCCAATAACAACTGTATCACTGTCTGCAACATGGAGAATTTCGACCCCTTAGGTACCCATACCGGCGACTCGATCGTCGTTGCACCCAGTCAGACTTTGAGCGACGAGGAGTATCACATGCTCCGTTCGGCCGCCATCAAGATCGTGCGCCATCTTGGGGTTGTAGGCGAGTGTAACGTTCAGTACGCCCTCCAGCCAGATGGCCTGGATTATCGAGTGATTGAAGTGAATGCCCGTCTATCCCGGTCATCGGCTCTAGCTTCAAAGGCTACCGGCTATCCCCTTGCCTACACGGCTGCAAAAATTGGTCTTGGGCACAGCTTACCTGAGCTCCCGAACGCGGTCACCAAAACAACAACTGCCAACTTCGAACCTTCGCTCGATTATATCGTAACAAAGATTCCTCGTTGGGATCTGTCGAAATTTCAGCATGTCAAGCGTGATATCGGTAGTGCTATGAAGTCAGTCGGAGAAGTCATGGCTATTGGCCGTACTTTTGAAGAGTCTTTCCAGAAGGCCATTCGCCAGGTTGACCCCAAATTTGTTGGCTTCCAAGGCGACAAGTTCGACGACCTTGACTATGAGCTTTCCCATCCTACTGACCGAAGGTGGCTGGCAGTTGGCCAAGCCATGCTACATAAGGGCTACACAGTCGATAGAATCCATGAACTTAGCAAGATTGACAAGTGGTTTTTGCACAAGCTCCAAAATCTGGTTGATTGCACCAAGGAAATGGAAGCCGTTGGCAGTCTTGAGGGACTTAAGAAGGAACTTGTTCTCAAAGCCAAAAAAATGGGTTTCTCGGACAAACAAATTGCTAATGCAGTTAAGAGTGATGAGGACTCGGTTCGCGCGCTTCGATTAAGCATGGGCATCCGGCCCTGGGTAAAGAAGATCGACACTCTCGCAGCTGAGTTTCCTGCTCATACCAACTACCTTTACACAACCTACAATGGTAGTTCACATGATGTGACTTTCGAGGATAAGGGTACTGTTATACTCGGCAGCGGCGTGTATCGAATCGGTAGCTCTGTCGAGTTTGATTGGTGCGCTGTCAGCGCTACACAAGCCTTGAGGAAGATGGGCCAGAAGACAGTCATGATCAATGTAAGTTGGACTGTTTTCTTCTTTTCTCTCAACTAAGTGCACTTTGCACGGAGGTAGACACTGGGTACTGTCCTTCTCCTGACAGAACATCGAAAAAGTGGTTCTTTCTTTCCCTCAATTTATCATGACGGGTTGGCTGGGACAGCCAGTCTCATTATTTGCATGATGGTTTTACTGACTTCCGTTAAAGTATAACCCCGAGACCTACAGTACCGATTTCGACACGGCCGACAAACTTTACTTTGAAGAGTTGAGCTATGAACGAGTTATGGATATATATGAGCTCGAGAGCGCTTCAGGCGTTGTGGTTTCCGTTGGTGGCCAGCTACCACAGAACATTGCCCTTCGTCTACAAGAAACTGGGAAAGCAAATGTTCTAGGGACAAACCCCCAGGATATTGATAAGGCCGAAGACCGACAAAAATTCTCGGAAATTCTAGACAGCATTGGAGTGGATCAGCCTGCCTGGAAAGAACTCACTTCTGTGGCCGAAGCTGAGAGATTTGCCCAAGATGTTGGCTATCCCGTTCTCGTCCGCCCTAGTTACGTACTTTCAGGCGCTGCTATGACGGTTATCCGCAGCCAAGAGGACCTCAAAGACAAACTTGAGGCCGCCAGCAACGTCTCTCCTGACCATCCGGTGGTTATCACCAAATTTATCGAGGGTGCGCAAGAGATTGATGTTGATGGTGTTGCGTCCGAAGGCAAACTTATTGTCCACGCCGTCAGCGAACATGTTGAGCAAGCCGGTGTCCACTCAGGTGACGCTACCTTGATTCTGCCCCCTGTTAACCTCGACGACAACACTATGGGTCGTCTAAAGGAGATTGCTGAGAAGGTTGCTAAGGCCTGGAAGATCACTGGCCCCTTCAATATGCAAATAATCAAGGCCGAAAATCCGGAAGGAGGCGAACCGATGTTAAAGGTCATTGAATGCAACCTGCGCGCTTCTCGTTCGTTCCCTTTCGTTAGTAAAGTCCTTGGTACAAACTTCATTGATGTTGCTACAAAGGCTCTCGTTGGTAAGAATGTGCCTGAGCCTAAGGATCTGATGGCCGTCAAGCGAGATTACCTAGCCACCAAGGTTCCTCAGTTCTCTTGGACTCGTCTCGCCGGCGCCGATCCATTTCTCGGGGTAGAAATGGCTAGCACGGGAGAGATGGCTTGCTTCGGCACCAACCTTGTCGAAGCGTACTGGACATCACTTCAATCTACTATGAACTTCCGTATGCCCGAGCCTGGTGAGGGTATACTTTTTGGTGGTGATGTCTCGAAGAAATGGCTTACCACCGTCGCTGATTATCTCTCACCTCTTGGTTACAAATTTTACGCTGCTAGTGATGACGTTAAGCAGCATCTAGAGTCGACAACCAAAGACAAGGTCCAAGTGGACATAATAGAGTTCCCCAAGGAAGATAAGCGTGCACTTCGTGAAGTCTTCCAGAAGTATGACATCCGCGGAGTCTTTAACCTAGCTCTCGCTCGTGGCAAGACTACGATGGATGTTGATTACGTTATGCGCCGAAACGCTGTTGACTTTGGTGTGCCGTTGTTTATGGAGCCTCAGGTATGTTTCCATTCAGTCCTTCTCTCGCAGAATAACCACTAATCCCTCTCACAGACCGCTATGCTTTTTGCTCAGTGCATGAATGAGAAGTTGCCCCGAAAGGAGGGCATCCCATCGGAAGTTCGCTCATGGTCTGATTTTATTGGCGGGAAGCCATTGTAAAATACGCATCACATACCCATATCCACCCATACTATCAACCTGGCCTGCTGATGGTCTTTCTCTTATCCATCATCGAATGAACAGTCGCGGCTAATACGATCCTAAATCTTGAAATCCGATCACGCGCGGTTACAGGCTACCGATAGAGTTCTCTAACGAATTTCAGTTCTAACTCAGTAAGGAGTGTTGTGTTTCACTGATCCTTGGTTAAAGGGGCAACAGGAGAAAACGGCGAGGAAAAGTTACAAAATGTTCCAAAAAAGGGAGTACGTTAGTCTCCCAATCTTTTCTATACCATATAACTAGTTTCGGCTCACGGCAAAGAGAAAAGCAACCTCTCATGCGCATGATTTGATATCTCTGGGCATATGTCTACTAGTGGTTTTAGTGTACATGGAATGAAACGAAACGAAACGAGGATTATATTACATTAATAATGGAAGTTGACCTTTCTCTGACACATGGCATTCTCTTCTCGTCTCCTATGCTGGCAAGTTCTTCTGATTTTCGAGGATTTGAGAAGCTACTTAGTTACCAGGCAACACTTGGGTATTAATGATACGAGAAGAGTTTATGCAATACTATAAGTTTCTTGTCTACCTGCGTTCGTCCTTAAATCCACTACAGCCGGTAAGTATCTATGGAGGAAAATGTATGTCCCCAAGCTATGCCACCGTAATGCTCCAAATACCACAAAATATTGAATGCACAATGCTAGCCAGGTGTACCATTAGACACAGATGGCAGAGCAGGAGAAGGATTCATGCTCATTCCTATAATGTATGGCGCAAATAGCTACGAACATGGCTTTAACCTCTATAGATAGCGGTTTGAGCCGCCACTCCGTTTCTTTGACGAGGAAAAATCCTAGTAAGCGTCTTCTGAGGTTGCCACCCAAGTGGTAATGCGCATCGCGGAACTCCCATATTCGTAAGGCAATAGGGAATCCTATGGTCGGAGTTTGGTTCTTCTGTATGACGAATTATGTCCAACATACCATTCTTAGTAGTTGTGACTAGCGGAGAATTTCCCCGTCCTCTGAGGTCCACTCCTTAACACCTGACTGTTGGATATCAAAGGTTTTCAAACCGGGTACGGTCGTATATAGGTCGATTCCCATTTCGTTCACTCAGCCTAACGGCAGCAAAACGCTTAGCAAGCGGTTCCCCAGACCTTTGTGAGACGGCGGTGGAGGTGGAAGTAATACAAGATGACGGTGTTGTAGAGGTAGCTGAAGAACTTGACGTGGCCCCGCCGTTCGCTTGAGCGCCGGGCGCGTTGTCTTCGTTGCCACTTGATGAACGAAAGCGTTTCTTAGAAATTTTCTCACCAGTCGCTTGCAAAATAGTTTCTAGCGTTTGCCAGCCAGGCATTGAGAAGAGCTGATAGATCCCAGTAAGGTCATGGGTTGTCACGGATCTACAAAGGTGGGCTTCCTCTTCCTGACATGCGAAAGCAGTCAGCCACAAGCTTGATAATTCATTGGTACACTGCTGAACTGCACCATTGGCTTACCTTGGATAGGACACTCATCCCATGGATGTAGTTAAGCAGATGAAAATCTGATATGGAACTTAGCTGGTTGTCTCCGCCCGCTCGCAGGGTCTTGGCAACATCACTGGGCTGCTGACTTTCACCCATGATCTCGCGGTTCTCGATGGGGAAATTGGGTGTACTAAATAAGGGTTTAGGTTCGGCAGGAAATCCATGCGTTAATGTCACAACCAAATATTCTACTGGGAAGGCCGGCTTGGCATTTTCCTGAACATTTGCTCCATACTCGTTGATCTTGCGGTAGAAAACCTCCGGGATATAGCGGGTACGGCTTGATGATCCATCGTCTTCCTCCTCTTCCCGAACGAGCATGACACCTGGGTCAGCGGAAGGCTCAATTAGATCTGCACGGACCATTTCCATCGCTTCATTCGACACTTGATAGGATGAAATGGCAATCTGCCCTGTCTCATCGCCTGAAATTATGCATGTGACGAAGTTGGAGCCAAATCTGCCCGTGTCACTCCATTTAGTCGGCTTGAGGTGTTGACTCTGGAGTCGAGCGGCAAAGCATATTTCAAGGGAGGAGAGGTAATAGGAGTCGGCGTGTCTCTTGCAAATTACGCTGCCGTCGCCAACTCCTGCATCTAGTAAATCAGTAAAGATGACACCAACCTGCTCAAGACCGCAGAGCTCGGCAACCTTGTTAACCTCTGACTCATTTCCCCAGGTATTTAACGAGACACCATCGACTTCGTCTACCTGGGGTACTTCATAAATGGCCTCTACGACCGCCTTAATGCCGAGAGGCACCTCGGTGTACTCGGCATACCGCCCGAAAAGATAACCCACTCGCTGAGCACCAGTCTTCCGCCAAGCATCAATAAAAGTGTTGACAAGCTCAAATGAAGCAAATTCCACGTGATCGACATTCCGGAAAGGTTGGGGCTGCAGGGTAATGGCGCTGGGCTGGCATTTGGTACAGATGCCTTCAGGCCATTGAGGGTGACCCGAAGGACAATCCCGCTTGACCCTGAAGTAGGGTTCCTTCAAAGGAGGTATGAATGAGCTACCCAGCTCTGGCTTGTTCGTGGCCGAGTTTATTTTGCGCAAATACGAGTGAAAGGATAGATATTTGATCTTTTTTTCTGCAAGATATTGGGCGTTGAAAGGATCAAGCGGCATACAGTAGTCACACATGCCTTTAGGACCGTGCTTGCACATACGGTCTCGGCCGCGGGGGATCTTCCCGTCTTTCCTGTCGAGCCGGTCGTCAAGAGCTGATTGCCTCACAACTTCCCAGGGGTTTTTAATGGTTTTGCTAGGCGACGTTACAGGTGGCGGATCGATGGGTATATTCTCTGAGGGTAGAATAGGTTTCCCATTCAGTCGGTTAGTTGAGGCAAGAGCCTGAGAGGATGTGGATGCTCCATTGGTATGACCGTTGACATCTTTACCCAGATGCTCATAGTTGATGAAGATAAGGTCACCGTGGCTGTAGACTATAGTGTTAGCAGTTGGGAGTCTCAAGGGAGAAATAGTCATGCGATCGAAGTGGTGGTTGGGGGGAGCTCCTGTAGGCAGAGACATCAAAGGAGGAGCCGTGAGGGGCACCTAGGCTTACTTCAACCCGATCTGATCCAGCTTGACTTTGGCTATGTCTTTAAGCCTCCTCGAGTCCTTCGCTTGTGGGTTAGGGGACATGGTGATGGTATTCGCATCGACCGTCGACGGCAACTGTGCCACCAGCTATGGAGATGTTGGTTGGTTAGAGAATTTACGACGCCCAGCTATATGGCGGCAGCCATGGAAAATCTGAGCGTACCTGACGACCTAAATCTCCGATGCTATCATTTTGGTCTATATTGATACGGATCATGCCATCTGGCCCTCGAAGTCGGAGTAGCATGGCGATGTGCGCGTTTCGGTGCGCGCTCTAGTACGAAATCCAGGGTTGATTCCAGGGTCAAGGTGGTGGCGGTTCGAGGTCGCGGCGAAGCAAGAAGAGCGAGGCAAAGTGAGGCGAAGGTCGGAGAGAAGAGTAACAGGTGGCTCAGCCTGCCTATTATGTTCGAGTTGTAGTGAGAAATGTGTCCAGTCGAACAGGAGAGAAAGGCGAAGGACGACGTACTAGGACAACAAAGTAGAGAGAACTCGAGTGTAGATGTTCGAGCGACTACTACCACGTTCGAAGGCGTAGGCAGCTGAGGTGAGGTTAAGTCCTGCATGGAAGTACTACTGTATACCTAGGCTTTTCGAGTATCAGGCACTGATTTGCTGATGACGCACCGTGGGGTCTCTACCAGCCTTGAAGCTAATTAAGTACTTAGGTACCTACTTGTAGATAGATACCTAGGTACATAGATTATCGATAAATGCATATTACGAAGGGCAGCCTTGCTCTGTTACCTACATATGTACCTACCTACCTACATGGTACTCGGGGTCCTTGGCAGACCCAGAGACTTCACTTCTACAACTTCAATCCAATCCAATACAATCCAGTCAATCCAGTCAATCCATCACAATACCTCTACCATATATATATGTAGCGTATACCTATTATGTACCAAGTGTGGCGCGCACATACATGTACATTCCGTAAACCTCCTGCAAGTGCCATTGCGCTCAGTCTCCTCTTGTAGGCGTGGCGATAATTAGCCTGGAAACATACATATACCATCATGAAGCAGTCACCGAGCGGATTGGAAATCGCGGTTTGATCTATAGTGATTAATGTGCACAAGCTGGAGCCACCCGCTGCCTACTATTGCGGGTTGTCCTATCAATCCCAATCAATCATCGTGCCAGAGGTCAAAATGTTACGCAACACATCAAAACGAATCGACTTTTATATTTACGAGACCTAGCCTGATAACCCCCCAACTCCTCGGCAGTTCAAAGAAAACGCCTTCGCAAGGGCTCTCGATTATTGATGTAGAGAAGAAACAAGAAAGGGGCCATGCGTGAATGGGCCACCATCCGACTTCACCAAAGCCGTAGCTCCACCTCACTCGCCCGGGTCCTTTACACGTATCGCGATGCTCACGCTGCTTGCGCTCTGCTAGTCATCGGCTCCTCAAGTCACTGTTCCCCCTCCAAGACCTCCTAGCCTGTGACGAACCGCTTAGTTTACATGAAATTAAACACACGCTAAGCTATACTGTATATCTTAGCAATATATGCCTCCTCCCCTTTAGCACCGTGTTGGCGGAACTGCGTCCCGTGTGCTATGTTCCAGCCATACCGACCACCATACGGCATGCTCCAAAACGCCTCATGTTCTACCTTCTTCTAGCGCATTCATATCGGCCAACTACCCTGTGTGTTTAAGCACTCTTATCGGCCGTGATGGCTGCCGTTTCAGCTTCTGTTTCCGTGGTCTTCTATCAGTCTTGTTAGTTTGACCCACCATCTGGTGCTATCGAGCCGTCGCTAGGTGAACACGAACCTCTGTATCGGCAGCTTCTTCTTTGGTTTCGCTAGAAGTTTTATCCCCAGGCTCTGTGCTCTTAGCCTTTGATGATGTCTTCTCAAGATTGGTCTTGCTTTCTCCACTACTCTCCTTAACACCGTTGGCCGCGTCTTTAGAGGCTTTGCCAGCTGCACCAGTAGTTCCGTTAACACCGTTTGCGTTCGCCGAAGATGACCCTGCTGTAGGGGCTGGTCCACCATCGCTCGCCAAGAGTATATTCCACTTGTCTAAGAGTGTCTGAGACCGAGGCTTGAATCGGAATTCTTCCTCCTTCGGAATTGACTCGAGCTTCAGGATCGCTTTGAGCACCTTGTTGATCTTGGTCGCTCGAATGATGCTAACATCAAGATCGGGGAATGTCTCAAGTTTGGCTAAGAAGTCAGATACCTGCTTCATCTCATCCGGCACAGGCGATCCTTCACGAGGTAGAAGCCCTCTCTGAAGACGATGTCGCAGAAACAATATTTCTTTCTATAGCTAAGTCAGTAACTGACAGCAACATGGCCAATGAGCTAGGCTTACCTCCTTCCGAGCACGTCTTTCTTCAGGCGTCAACTCGGGCTCTTTGGGCGCCGCTGGCTCCTTCTCTTTCTTGTTATCTGCCTCCTTGCTGCCCTTAGACTTGGATTTTGCCTTAGCTGACTTGGCAGAGTCTTTGGTTGCGGGCGACTGGATGCCATTGGCAGTTTTAGGAGTTGAAGTACCGGTAAGTTTTATCTTCGGTTTCTTCACCGAATCGGACCGTTGGGGAGTCTGAGCAGCCTATCATGTCAGCGGTTGAAATACAAGACTACATGGATACCTACATTGCTCTCGTCTTCAGCTTTGCGTTTCTTCGACTTAGGCTTCTTCTCAGTAGACTCCTCAGCCTCGTTTTCGACATCGTCCATATCAACGTCGCCATCATCGTCGACCGCCTTGCTGGACTTCTTTGGGGTCTTGACTTTGGATTTCTTGGCCTCAGCTTTTGCGAGGCGCTGTTCCTCAAACTCACGGAGCACATTCTTGTAGTAGTCCAAGTCATGGCTCTCCGCGGCAAGCAGATGAGCAGCTTGCAAATCCTTGCGCATCTTGGTCGTTATTACATCAGCCACCGTGGTGGCATCGAGCTCGCTTAGATCCGTATTGGGAGTCCAAGAACTATGTAGAGTAGTTAGCACGTTTGCAAAATACAAAAACTACAGGGTATCCATACAACTCATTGGTGTGAAGGTACATAACTGGAAACGTGCGGTCTGCCACGCGTTTACCACCATCGGCGAAATCTTCTCGATATGTTCCATCTGGGCGAGAAGCTGTAACGGGTCTTGAGTTCAACATATTGTGCGGAAGCATGTCTTCCTCGCAAATGACAACAGGCCATGGGGGGAAGCCTTTTAGCTTGGCAAAGTAGTGGTCGCCGGGCTTTGCATCGAGATGTAGAACCTTAGCCTTCGAGGCTTTCCTATTGAGCTTCTTCCCCTTATCCGTCACACTAGTGGACTTGCGGCGTGGTTGCGACTTGGTAGTAGCTGGAGCAGAATCATTGATATCATTATCGCCAGCATCGGCAGCTGGTTCAGCGCCTTCCGTGGTTGGTTTGTCGTCTTCCTTTTGAATATGAACATCGGCCATGTTCTCGGGGGCGGAGGCCGCGACAGAGGGTTCGGGCTTGGAGGCTGGGACACCACAGTTAGCTTTTCTGATGAATTGAGCATAAATACCATAAGGGAAATTGGCACGAAATTTTCCGATCAAGAGACATTGATGGGTGTGCCGAAAGGTAGTCTCCGCGCCAATACGATTAAAGTTGACGCGTAAAACTAAAACTCAATGGGAACGTATATGCAAGTGTGAGAGGTATGGAATTGTATCATGGCATCTTACCTTCTTCTGACGTGGTCTTTTGATTCTCGGTGTTATCCGAAGCGTCAACCCCAGATTCATCAGTCTCAGGATTTTTCGTGACAGCAACGGGCGCGACGGAGTCGGGAGCCGAACTATCGGCAGCAGGAGCAGTACCGGCACCAGCACTCGATGGAGTTACTGTGGGTTGTACCACAGCAGGCTGCGCGGATGTGTCGTCAGACATAATGACTAGGTGCACTATGCTGACAATGTCGCAGGGGCGGTAAGAGCGGCCACGGGGATTGACAACAGGGCCGCGTAGTTGGATGATCAGTTTGCGACTTGATTTGCGATGGCAGGTATGGGTGTGGAATATGGGTGCAAGTGCGCGTGTTTGCGTCTAGGTCAGGTCAGGTGAGGTCAAGCCGCTATTGTTTCTGCTATTGCCTTTCAACGGTGCTGTTATGGATGCTGATATGGATGTTGGCATACAGGGATGGGAAGGGAGGTGCTGACGTCGATGGTTTGGGCCGCGGTGTTGACTGGCGTTGACTTTGTTGACTTCGTGTGGTGGTGGCGATGGGAAAGAGAGGGATTGTTAGGTAGGTGGGAGTAGATAGGTAAGGATAGCAGGCAGGTAGACCAGGTTAGGAAAAGACAGTGCGGAGGATTAATGGCCAGAGCAAGTAACCCAGTCAAGGCCGGATGCGAGAAAACGCGTCAGGTCAGATCAACTTTTCTAGTGGAGCCGGCGAATGGCGCCAAATAACAAGCAGAGCTTGGCAAAGGAGAAAAAAATAAGAGAGAGTCAAGAGCTCGATGACGCCGCAATTGAGCCACGCGCTACAGGCAGTAGCTGGCAGCCGGCTGCACCCCGAAGAATGTGCTGTTCTCTAAGTGACGGGCAGATGGCGGCTCGGTAGGAGGAGAGAACGAACCAAAATATTACACGAGAAAGGGTCGGCCGTATCGAGAGACAATAGATAACAGACAACAACAGCAGCAACAACAACAACAATGATGGCAGTAACAGCAGTAACAGCAGCAGGAGACTGGGAACTGGAAACTGGAGACTGGAGGTAGGCAGGCCGGATGGCGAGATGGAAATGGATGGCAGGAGAGGAAAGGCAGACAATGAATGGGGCCAGTGGAAGATGTAGAAGATGGCGCGCGCTCGTGCTCGTGCTCGTGCTCAGCGCCCAGCGTCCGCCCAAGGTAGGAGGTAGACAGGCAGGCAGGTTGGTAGGTAGGTAGTGTGCTCAATCGAACTTCACAGCCATACAAACAAAGTCGGTTCTTGGTTTAAGTCAAAGGAACGCCTTGTCGCGCAGCAAACAGGTGGACAAGGTGTGACAGACGGAACACCTACCGATACCTCAATCTATCTACTTCGCCTACTTTCTCGACCTTAATGCTTTACTGAGATAGCTTCGGACTAGTTGCGTTGCACGTGACCACCGTCGATATGACGCCGTTGCATTTGCTCTGGGGAAGGGGGGTGGCGCCCTTGGGCCTTTGGAGTACACGTAGGTAGACCGGCAGACAGGTAGGCCCAGGTACATGGGAGAGACAGTGGCAGAGAGCAGAGAGCAAAGAGGCAGAGGGAGCTGAGATCGAGCCAGGGTGAGTCAGCCAAGTTGGCACTACCTACTAAGTAGTAGTAACCGTCAGGCGTACGCCTTGCTTCGATGGCTTGCGAGGGATGTTGAGGTGATGCCAACGGTGATGCCACTGCTGCTGCGTTGAAATGGACTTGGACTTGGACGGTAGAAGCAAATGTGAACAACAGGAGCCCGAGTTCTATAGAGGCTACCTAGATGCTCACTCACTCTCCACGTCGGCATTTGGAGTTTCGCCTTCGTCTAGAGCTGTGCTTGCGTTGTTAGGTAACAAGGAGTTGCACACCTGTTGGGGGGGGTCTCACAAGAGCCAGAGGGCAAGCTAGGTTACACTCTACCAACCAGATGTGTACTTGTCTGTCCTTGCAACTCTTTTGTTTTCAAGTCACCGGCATCCGTTCTCATTAAAGTAACCCCATCGTACCCATACCCCCTCCCAGTCCATTCCAACTGACTAAAACTACTGCATAGCCAGATCGACTTGCTCCAATGACCGATCTGTGTCCGAATCTTTCACTTAGTGGGCCCAACTCCAGCGTGAACAGTCATAACCGTTGTGTAGGGGGCAGACTCTGCCTACTGCTCAGGGGGTCTAAGCCCGCAAATGGCCGGCACAATGGTTTGTTCTCATCTATTTCGGTTTTGTTTTTGTTTCCCTGTCCTAAGCAAGGATAGGGGCTGACCATATCCAACGCCAGCCTGCAGGGGCATTTGCCAAAATCCTGTTGTTCCGGAGACCTCATCCCTTCTTGTCCTCTATGTTGGGTCAAATACAAAGTAAGTTCAGTTACAAGATAAGTTGGGCAAGCCACACGTTGTTAGACACCCAATACTATACTACTCATCGTCCTCCTCATCCTCATCCTCGTCAACATCCATGCCCTCTGCTACCTCGATAGAGAATGTTGGTTCCTGATCCACGCCAATGTAGCTATCGCTCATTAGGAAGAGCTTGAGATCATGGTGGCCAGGTGTTGGCACCGTGTACTCGAGGCGCACCTTCAGCTGGCGCCCTATGGTAACCCTCTTGATAGCAAGAAGTGTTTTTGTGCTCTCTTCACCGACAACGAGCCACCAATTCTCCATCTTTTTAGTGGGATAGAAGGGAGCGTGGACTGTTGTGTCTACCTCGCCCTCTTCATCCTCAACCTCTCGCTCAATCTGCACATTCAAGTAAGCCGGCTCTCCCGCATGGATGCTGTTCTCGTCCAACACTTCAAACTCTAATGAGATGTCGGGATACTTTGTGTTAGTGAAAGCTGCAGCTTGCGCCAATTGGGTTTGTGACAACTCTAGTCGTTTCACAAAAGTTGAATAATCAGCATTCTCTTCTGGGTTCATTGCTTCCATGAAGTCGAATATATCGTTGATTCTGAAAGGATTCCTGTTAGTGAAACGGGTATACAGCGTAGCGAAGACAGATCACTTACCCGAACTCATTGGCTACTTTGACGACATCTGGAGAGAAGTGAGGGATCTGTTTCAGAGGGCTATCGCGATCCCACATTGCCTGGACCACCATCTGAGACATTTCCATGGCATTCATGGCATTAAGATGCCCATCTGACGAAAGGACGTCTACGGTCGCGCTAATAAGACTGAGTACCTTGGAAACTATCATCTCCTGGTCCTTTGACAAGTCGATAGGGAGTTGCATCCGAGAGAAATGAGCTTGCAGAAGTACGAATGCTTTAAAATGTGGAGAGTCATATGCTGGCTCCGACATCTTGATCGGCACTCTATCATATATACGCCGAAGCAAACTATCTTCATGACGCCGGATCTGAATGGATTCGAATTCTGCTGCCGACGTGACAATTTCGAGAATACCCTTCAGCTTCGTTTTCGCGCTGAGTGACAAGAGGAAGGTTTGCATCGTAATGTACGAAAGATTATAGTATGCTGCAATCATTGCCGCATTCTGAGGAGTCACAGAGCCGTCATCTTCGTCAAAGTCGATTATCTTGGATTCTGTGAGTTCCTTGATGGTTGTCTCAACTAGATCTGATAGATAATTACTCAGGCCATCATGAGTGGGACTGGTAAGACTATAATAGCTTGGATTTGCTAGGAGCCTACGATAGAAATACGTGAAGGTTGTCCAGTTAATGGCATCTTCAGTTGACTCGATCATTTTTGTACTGACTTCAGTGACGAATGCATCATGTACGTAGTTATGTAGATGCGACTCCACCGGTAGGGCTTCGTTGAGGAATTTTTTGAAGTATTCCCTCTTGACAGCTGAGGTCATGAGGACAGCGCGACTTCGACCGTTGGGGGAAGGGCGAAGCGCTTTGCCAAGCATCTGCAGCACTTCGCTCAGTTGATAATCAACATATCGATGTTCACGACCTTCGAAATACTGTGTACCCATCACGATCACTAAGTGTGCCGCGCAGTTAAGCTCCCAGCACGTATCACGAGAAGCAATCAGAAGTTGAATTGCACCCTGATTGTAAAGATGCATGACGATACGTTTGTCGTTCTGGCTAAGAGCCTCGTGGTAGTACCCAACGCCATGAGATAAGGCCTCAGCTAGAGCCTCTTCGTGAACACGCTCTAGAAGTGGTCGTAATTGGTCAACGTCCACATGAAGAAATCGATCTTCATCGTCATCGGCCAAACAAGCTGTCAGTACGTCTCGAGCAGTTGATCTCGTCTGCTTTCTGTTCGGCACGAACACTATGGCAGGCTGATCGGGTGACAGTTCTGTAATTGCAAGATAGGTGGGCTTTGCCATTGCGAGCATAAGCGACGGGAAATGGGGAATGGTATAAGACTGAAGTCGTAGTTCCAAGGGAACTGGTCGAACATGGGGACTAAAATTATAGATATCTTTCTTCTTTGCATCAATCCACTCGCCTAAGTCTCGAGCATTGGCAAGTGAAACACTCAAGCCAATAATTCTCATAGCTAAGTCGGCTGTAGTTCGAATGTAATGCATGCGAGATACGATAATCTCGTACACATAACCCAGTGTGCCTCCCAACAAATGAAGCTCATCAGCGATGAAGAGTTCAACGGTCAGAATGTTCTTACGTCGCTGCCATTGCCTCGAAAGGACATCCCACTGACTAGGTGTAGCCAGTATGAGATCACCTCTCTCAAGTAACTTAAGATCTGTTGCTGTCTCACCCGTAAGCTTCACGATTTCTTTGCCACCACGTAAATGGCTAAGGCGCTTCTGCCAGTCTTCGTGTCGAATATCAACAAGCTCTTGGAAGGGGGCGATGTAAACAGCTCGACCAATTTCTGGCTTGGACCATAATCTGAGAATGGCAAATTCCGCGCAAACAGTCTTACCACTTCCAGTAGGAGCACCGATGAGGACATTATCGTCTGCTCCATACAACGAAGTGAAAGTCTGAGTCTGAATCTTGTTGAAATAATTCCATCCATCGTACAAGCTCGAGTAATCCTTCGACTTCAGGGCTGCAACGGGAAGAGGCTGCAGGTCCAAAAGCTGTGTATGAGGCGGAAACTTCTCCGGTAGGATGAGTTTCTGAAACGATATCGGTAATCTAGTCTCAGAGTGCATCCATCTATCGGATACTACGGAAATGAAATAGTTCGGGGGCATTGGGTCCGTAATAGGGACGGTGAAGTCAACTAGATGTTCATTTGACTCTGATATGGCATAATCTTTGCGGAGAAGGAACTGGTCCTGGAACAGGATGTCTTCACCATCACAGTCTTCAACCATAATCCAAAAGCTCTCTGCTGTCCCATGGAATTCATCGTCCCAGATGAAGTTCGGGGTGATTGATAGCTCGATTCGGAGTACAGACCGAGTTATTGGCTGTGCCTGCGCTTGTACTTCAAGACGTGGGAATTTAGATACTAGATCGCACACTACGCGGCCAGCCTTAGGTATGCCAAGTAATTCGCCCATACGGGGGGGGTCAATATCAAAGTAGTTACTCCAAGAGACATCAATTCGCTCTGCTTTTGAGATGATCTCTCGCGAGCAACGAGGGCCAAACTGCCGAAGAGGGGTCATCGTCGGCCACATTCGCTTTTCTGCCATCTTGCACAGATCTAAGGCTATCCTGCAGACGCTGGACCATCCTTTCTGAAGCGTAATTTCGAATATCGCGCGCAGAATTCGGCCAGCCGACTGTGTGACATAGACCATATCAGCCATCAGAGCCAGACCATCAAGCTTAAGGCGAGAGATGTAAGCCTGTAAAAGAACATTGATCTTGGCGTGTGGTTCTTCGATGCTCTCCTTCACAGGAATTGGCACTCTGCCAAGCAGCTTTGCAAGCTCCAGCTTTTCGTCCTGGCGCACAGGAATGTACTTGAACTCAGCACTGAGTGCAAACACCCGAAAGAGTTCGATGGTGGTAATCGAAGGCTGAATCAGCTTGTTGTAGGTATCCATCGATCCGTAAGTGATGTAATAGTGAGAAGCAATTCTGCCCAGCTCAGTCGCTTTCAATTTGCCCGTCTTTTCGTCATAAGTAATCAGATTTGACTTCTTCAATACAGCCGCAGCAGAGTGTATGAGATCAACTCGTTTTTGCTCAAGAGCCTCATCATCCTCGTAATCAGCACCAACACTATACAGTCCTGGAGAACGAAGCATCCTGACGAAAAGATATGTGTAGCCAAGCCATTCAACTCCCTCGTCGCGACTACGGACGTTTCCTAGCACTATTTCTGCGTTCAAATTATCAACCAGCTTACTAGCAAACTGACTTTCAATAGGCAATTGCTGATTAAGTAAGGAAAGGTAATACTGCATCTCGTTTTGAGATGTAATGATGATACCCTCGCCGTATGTATCATACTGAGGACGTCCTGCACGGCCTAACATCTGAAGAACATCTTGAGGGCTCAATTCCACCCAACTACCCTTCTCGGGAGAGTAGACCTGGGTTCCTTTAATGATAACTGTGTGTGCTGGAAGATTCACACCCCAGGCAAGTGTCGCAGTGCACACAAGCACCTGGATGAGACCTCCGGCAAAGAGTCCCTCAACCTCATCACGATCAGCTCGATTCATACCTGCGTGGTGAATACCAAATCCATAGGGTAAGAGATCTTTCAGATCTGCATCAGCAATATCATTGGAAATCTCATTCAGTGCTTCCCTAGATCCGGAGTCATGCTTTAAAATCTGATTTATAGTTTCCAGCTCTAAAGCCTTATCTCGGATATAACGAGCTGTCTTCGCAGTCTCCTTACGAGAATGGACGAAAATAAGCATTTGGTTGTGATGTGTCCCAACGTGTTCGATGACCTTGTTGTATGTAATATCATTCATCGTCTTCAATTGCTTGATTGCCTTCTTATCAGTGACGCCAATAAACTCTTGCTTCAAGGGACAAGGACGGAAAGAGCCATCAAAGTGAAAAAGACCCTTGTTCGGGTCTACACGAAGGAAACTAGCGACGTCCCTGTAGTTTGGCAAAGTTGCTGACAGCCCAATCAGCCGCACGGGGTCGCCTGTCTGTTCAGTTTTCCGAATCGATCGACTGACGATACTCTCAAGGACAGGTCCACGATCGTCATGCAGTAGATGAATTTCATCAATGATAATTAGGCGCACAAGGTTGGTATAAGTCAAATCTGTCGCCTTTCTCGTGATCACATCCCACTTTTCGGGAGTAGTGACGATAACTTGAGTCTCAGTAACCTGTTGTTTAGTGAGTTGACGATCACCCGTCAATTCGGATACCGTGATACCAAAGGGTTTGAGCCGTGCACCGAAATTACCAACCTGCTCTTGAACCAAGGCTTTCAAGGGCGCGATATAAACAATCTTGAATGAGTCGAGGTCGATGTCTCCCGTTTGTGGGTTTCTATGTTTTCCGAGTTCACGTAGAATCGTTAGCATGGCAACATTAGTCTTGCCACTGCCAGTTGGTGCACAAATTAGCATGTTACCATCATCCTCAAACGCTGATGGATAACACTTTGACTGTATTTTGTTAAGAGCTTGCGCCGAACTGAAAGGTCCACGTGCCCACTCAGGCATATCTGTGATAGGGATGCTGACATCATCTGGTTGGTTGCGCTTCTTCGGTGCCGGGACGTGAATCTCTTCGTAGCCTTTGAATGTTCTCTTAGTTGAGCCTTCTGGCAAACGGACTTTTGGATTTGTCATGAGGTGATTTCCCTGGTCGAAGACCAGGTTTTCCAGATTGATAAGTTTGCGAGGCTGAAGGCCGCCTACAAGCTGCCCCTCTGCCCGCTCAGCTTTAGGCGCAGTGTCGAGAGAGTCGTGCATATCAATGTCCATCTTGATTTCCATCTTCTTTTTAGCATCGCTGGTCTTCTTTCCCCGTAGTTCATCGAGTATCCATCGAAGACCCTCAGAAGCCATCTCTCGTTCAATGACTCCACGGTTTTCGTCATCCTCCGCTCTGGCAAGTCGCGTGAGCCATACAATTTTTTCACGGTTTTCGATGAGTTTTTGCACAATCTCATGGTGCTCATAATCAAACAACTCCATTAAGTCATTCTCAATCTCTCTTAAAGGTTTCTCTTCACCTCCGGGTTCATCAGGCTCGCCAGCGAGTATACGTAGGGCATCAGCTGTTTTGTCGTGCTGAATATGAGCATCCGCATAAAGGCTGCCTATCTCTCTTTGCAACCAATATGCATCGATGTCGCGAGCGGGGATATAGTTCTTCTCATGTAACGCGGATTTCTTGCTTTTGGTGGTGTCCGGATCAATAACCATAGCGTCACTATCAGCTACGACGCCTTCTTCCTCCCTGCGGGCCTCTTTTCTATCACCGTTCACTGCGCTCTCTTCCATGCCAGAGATGTTTTCGTCATCGTCGTCCAGAGCAGCATCATCGTCCGAGGACTCATCCCGAACTTCGGTCGCCATGGCTGCGTCTTCATCTTCATCTTCTTCATCAAAGACAACAGCGACACCTTGGCGATCATCTAATTCGCCATCTGGTTCATCCCTGTCAGCGCGAGTATCTACCTCCTCGTCATCGTTTTGGGTATCATAATCCGTGATCTTCTTTCCAAGATTCACCAGTTCATTGAACTGCTTCGGGTTCAAACTCGACCCTATTAAGTCGTCAATCTCCTTTTTCTTCTCTATATCTTTCATATCTTCGTCTTTGAGGTACTCGAGTACAGCATCGGCAGCGCTAAGGACAACCTCATGGGAGACATCTCCGATGTTACTGGCAACGAGGTGCAGTATCAGATCGTAGGTCGCGCGTGTAGCGGGAGTGCGTGGCTGATATCGAAGTCCCTCGACCAGTAGATCTGCCTGCCCAAGAATACCAGTGCCTTTTAGATGAGCAGCATCATTTCTGTGTTTCCGTTGCTCGCGGGCCAAGATATCCTGCCCCTCTCGCGCGTCGCCTCTCTCTACAGCGAGCGCACCTGTCCTTTTCTTCGCTTTAGGTGCGTTGTCGCGCGTAATGCGAGAGCCCATGTCGTTCACATTGAGCCTACCGGCTAGGGATTCGGGATCGCCGGTAGCTTCGTCGGTACGTCGCGTGATGAAACGGCGGTCCGCCTGGAGAACCAGGTTGGACATAGCCGAGTACTTGTACTGCGACACATCTCTGTGGTGGTCCGCCATCGCGAATTCTAGCAGATGTTATGGAAGGGGCTTCAAGGGAGTCTGAACAGTAGCGCAAGATGGTGTATGGCAATATCGACAGGTTGATGGCTGGTCCTGTTCGTAAATGGACGTGGGCGCCGTTGGAAAAAGCGTTCAAGTCATCTGAAGACTACACGCTGCAACTCGCTGCCTTCGTGAGGTCGTGGTATAGAATGGGCGATGGATTATCGGGGACGGATATTTGGCGAGTTCATCACGTCTCAACAGCAAGTACAGAAAATTTAAGATCAATGGACTCTCTCATCATCCAGGTAGCAACAAGCCGGCTAGCTAAGCTAAACGGTGGAAGTATCTGTGGTTCTGGGGACGCGTATAAGCCAATCATAAGCGAACCTTGCCACTGTAGTTTCCGCTTCTGATTGGCTTAGAACGTTGATAATTCAACATAGGTAGCTGCCTACATATGTACACAGCATGTAGGTACCTGGTACTTACATGTAGGTGTGTACATTCTTAGCATCCAGGTACCTAGTGGATCCGAGGTCTGTAGGTCTGGACCTAACCTACCTTATTCGAGAAACCAGGAGGTACATGCATACACCGAGTAGGTAGTTGGTATCCAAAGAAAAAGGAGGTTAGAAGGGGTCGGGTTTGGTTTCTCGTGTTTTCTATTGCTAATTTTTCCAAGGACGCACTACCAAGGCGTAGCGCGTGTTAATAATCGAGAAATCGTCATGAACGCGACACAGGGTGAAGAACATGCAGCGAAACGAGCTCAGGAGGCTCTAGGGCGGCTTTTGCGCCCCAGGAGCGAACTCATAGCAGAGAGACGGGTCATGGCTCAAGACTTGGCTAAAGATCTAGGGCAGGAACATCTGAGCAGTCCTATGTTTCTCGTCGACCCAGACGAAGCCATATCCTCGTCAAGTACACTCCAAGAGAGGCAGAGAGTGTTCGTTGAGTCCTTACAAAGGAATGTCGAGCTGCAAAGAGAACTGTCGAGGCTACGGGCCGAACACAGAACTGGCTTTTCTGCTACTAGTCCTGCTTCCTCCTCGACTCGAGCGAATGCTGAGAGAAGACTGCTCGAGGAGCAGCTAGAATGCAGTAGGCTAGAGAGAGAGCATCAGAAGCTTGAAGCGTTCAAAAAGTCGTATGAAGAGTTCAACGGTCGATCAGCTGCAACTCCAGAGTTTCTTGATCCCAATGTCATGTTCAGCAACTGTGCACCCTTCCCGGATCTTCCCAAGAATCTTATTGAAGGGTTTACAAAAAACGAGGAGGCGCCGCATCAAGAGGCTGAAGAAATGGTCTTGCGACTTCGTAAAGCTACATTTCGTGAGAAATTAATCCTCGAGTATGAGCAGCAGCAGCTGAACGAATTGAAAGTAAATCATTCTCATAGTCTCGGTAACTCGTCTCCCGAAGCACAGATGGCCGCCTTGAATGCAGTCAAAACCTCGCTTGTGAATTGGATAGAGAACATGCTGAGCAAAGCCGGCGAAGGCGAATCAGGAGATGGAAATGGTTCATCAAAAAATAACGGAAACGAGGACCTGGATCGTGAAACACAGCGAGTCAATATTGAAAAGGAGTATAATCGCCATATCGAGCTACGCAAGCAGATAATGGCTTCCGTTTCCTTGTTGGGCAAATCCAAGAAAGCAACAGGGCACGAGGATGTATCAAGGCCTCCTCCTGCTCCGGTAACATCAGCGCCAATCGCTCCCGAGCCACAGACTTATCTGCTGATACCTTATCTTGAGAGACTTCAATCGCTTTCCCAAGAGCAAAGGGGGTTAGTTCAAGAGAAAGCACACATCAACACCACGATTTCACGACAACAACAAGATACCAACAAAGCATTGCGCCGTCTCGCACAAGATAGCAAGCTATTATCGAAATATCCACAGGCGAAACCTGAAAATTTACTCGCAGGCATAAGCTTCTCTAAAGCAACAAAGAGTGCTTCCATCACGGACCAGATTCGGCCCTGGCTATTCGCAGCAGATTCGGCCAAAATTGTCACGCTGGAAGCCGCTGCAGAGGCAGTTGACAGGGGTCAGATGCCTCTCGAAGATGCAATGCAGGCGCTGCATCAAGTATCTCTGCTCCAAGACAAGGGGCCGCTTCAGGCGCCAGAGGACGGCGATGCAGAATTCGCAAAGGAAGATGAAATAAGTGGCACCATCGGCGAGGTACGTGCTGGCAAGAAACGTGCCAGCAAGAAGCCTACAATGGATAGGCCCAAGAGTATATGGTCAATTCTTGATGGAAACCTAGGCCTTATTAATGAGTGATATTGATGAGAGTCTGCATACATCAACATGAGCGTCATAAAGAGCTATCTTAATCTCTTTAGTTCTTTGCTTCATAACTGCAGAGATTCTATAGATATTCGAAGCATCCATATTCATTTCTGTAATTAATTGGCCTTCTTGCTCCAATTTGTCATAACAGCATGAGGTATATTAGAATTCGCCAGATCCCCAAATCGTCATTGCAGGGCTGACGAATATGCGCAAATGCAATTTACCATTGATAAAGTAGCCAAATTATCCACAATGATTCATCGCAATCGCTTCCAAACACAGCCTGTAGAATCTATATGTCTCTCGTACTTTTATTCGAGAACAATTCACACAAATTCAAAACGTGTAGGAGATTATCTCATCATGTGGTATTTACTTAAGCAGGTGCCAGCGAAGTAGCTCTAGGTCAAACTCAGTCAGGCACGCTACCAGGCACCACTGATCCAGCGACACCTTGAGATGCTGTGTCCCCTATTTCACGTTCATTCTAATATCTTCGTGTTTCACGGTGCTAGTCTGGTCTCTTCATCCTTTCCCTCCAAGGATATTTGATATCCGTAAGGCTAGATCTAAGATAGATAGATGCTCATCTGCGCCATCAACTAGCCGTTTATCGACTTCGGAGAACACAAGAGTGATCTTGTTTTTGCCCAGATCTGGAATGAGTTCGTCGTTGATCACGGCTTGATAAAGCTATTCGAAGTGGTCAAAGCCCAATCTAAACAGAATTTCGGCGCGATTTGATCTTACCTGTGTGATGACCTGACTAGCACTCCAGCCATCCGCCACCAGTTCCTCCACAACTTTGGCAATGGCTTGGTAGGTTGCGCCCGCTGACCTCGGTTGCATGGCCTTCTGCAATTTCTCAATCGTTGAGCCCGGTATTACACCAGCAATATCCTCGACAATCTTGACAGAGACAACCTTGGGTGTATCGTCATCTACGTCCATCTTATCCTCACCATCGTCGTCGCTTTTCTCTACAGCACCTACTAGCCGCGCCGCGCTCTGTAAAAAGGTGATAGCCTTTCGCAGGTCACCCTCACTACACCGAATAAGCGCATCCACCGCGCCATCCTCGAGGTTGACGCCTTCTTTCTCGGCAATTTCCTGGAGCCGTTTCCGTGCGTTGCCCTGGTCTAGGCTCTTAAAGCGGAACTTGCTGCAACGACTAGCAAGTGGGTCGATGATGCGCGTGACGTAGTTGCAGATGAGACAGAAACGAGTGATCTTACTGTATGTCTCCATGGTTCGGCGGAGGGCGCTCTGGGCATCTTGTGTCATGCTGTCCGCTTCGTCAAGGATAATGATCTTGAAGGGCGGGCAAGGGTAGCGGTCTCGATAGCCCGCAGGTGGGTTTGTAAGTTGCATTCGCGCAAAGTCTTTTACTTTCTCTCGAACAATACTTATGCCGCGCTCGTCAGAAGCGTTCAACTCGAGCACTCGCGCTTTCATCATCTCGGGTCCGTATAGCTCTTTCGCGAGAGCTAAGATCGTCGAGGTCTTGCCGGTCCCGGGGGGACCATAGAATAGCATGTGAGGAAGCTGAAGTTGTGTCAATATCAAGAAGTCCAGAGATAGAAGATCCAGGGAGGTTCACATTGGACGCTTGTAGTGTCCTCTGCAGGACATTGACAGTGTGATCTTGTGCTGTGACATCGCTGAGGGTTTTAGGTCGGCTATATGAAGCTGTCAGTCTACCATCATCTCACGACCGCAGCAACATTACAACGGCCCAGCGCACGGATCCAGAGCAACTCACTACTTCTCTACCCAGGGTTGTTTCTTGGCTGCCTGTTTTGGCTCGCTGGCTTTTGAAGTTGAGGCCCCGTTTGTAGCGGCAGCTTTCCGCGCCTTAAGATCAAAGAAGCTGGCCATCCTTAATAGCGATTAGCTTCGTGTGCAGTGCTATTAGGGGCTTAAGAAACTGAAGTTCCTCAAGCATGCACAAAGTTGCGTTGATGTTGTAAATTCACATCGTTCTATCAGTGGTATCGTCCATTGTACAATTAGTGCAGGCGCAATTGCGAAGAGACGCGTTCTTACGCGTAAAGTGCCCTCAGCCACATGCGTTTGTGTGGCTCAAGCTCTACACTAGCTTGAGCCACAAAAATGAATTTCCCCACTGCTGTTGCTCGCCATTTCGTCATCATGCATTTGAATCTTGCAAGTACTCTGGTGCTTTGAGACTCGACAAATCCGTGGCATTCATCAATTCTGTCATCTGATTACCTACGCACTTATGTACTAATGTTAATATACACGGGCTCATATTCATAGTTGAACAACTTATAGGTATCAGTCACAATACTATGCAATACAATTTCGGTACATACCAATGCCAATTTCCCAAGAGTTCAACAGATGTTCATTCAGCAGATAACGCACCAAAACACCATCAGAATGCATTCGCGTTCATAAACCCAGTAACTTCGCACAACAACAAGCCCTCCAAAACTAAATATTACCTGCTAAATAATTTCACCCGTGCACTAGCTGTCTCAATCTCTTCTCAATGATGTTACGCCCCTCGGACGTTCTCCAAACCTGATGAGGTGCGTTGTTGACAATGTCCCAATGTTGTAGGTTACGGGTGAGATTGCTGAGATCTCTCTGCTTCTCCTCCCATTTGCTGTCTTGACGGATCTGGATACCAGAGCTGACTAGTGTAAGTGGCACGCCTTTTGCTTGGATAGCTCGGCTACTAGCCACGTCACGTTTCGATAATGTGTCAGCTACCAAGTTTTCCTGTAATTTGGCAAATATGTATTTGCCGGTCTGATATGCGGCTCGCCCAAACACACGGTCTTCTTTCGTTCGGCCCCTGAACACAGCTCCAGGCACTGCAATTCGCCAAAGTCAGTAATTACTTTTTTAGGTAAAACGGGAGCTGGTTTGGAAGTTATATATATATGATCTCAAGACATGCTTGCCCTTCAATAGGCAACGATTGCCTCCACGAGCATCCAAGATGGGAAAAAATGACTCCAGGGGTAGCATACCGCGATCAATTCCTAATGGCGAGATGATGCCTCGAAACCACAAGAGGAAACCCCGTCTGGAAGTGCCAACGTCGTTGAGAAACTCTTCGTGTAACGGGTCGATGAGTAGCAAGCCCTTGATATTCTTGCCATGGCGCGAAGAAAGAATTCGGGAATATATGGATCCAATCCCAGCACTCATGAAGACTATAGTTGTTAGTAAATTTTCAAGTGTTTATCTGGTGGATTACCAACCCCAAGGGCCTTCCTCTCCAGCTCTCGTCAACGCTTCGTCAACAGCCTCAACAGCCATTCCCGCAGAGAGGGGTGACGGCGCGGCATCACTCTAATCTCGTTAGTAGAAACCCTGGCGCTGTGTCAACAATACTCACCCAGGCAAATCCGGGACGATCTACGAAGCAATAACGACTGAATTGAACACGCCGGAGTCAGCAAATGCCAGATAAGTCCGCTCGTATTTCGGGAGTATGCAGGAGAAAATGAGGCCCGGAACCTGTCCAGAGAGGAGATAAATGGCACCAGAGAACTAACCTGATCGATCCATTCATAATGGCATTATTTGCAAAGTCCCATAGCCCATCTTCAACAGGTCCTTCACCTCCTTCGAGTAACACCGTCGGTAACTTTGCGCCCTTGTTATCTGTATGGTTTCCGTGACAGTAAACGTGTAGCTTGTACTTGTTACCATCAACCCAATAGCGCTTTCCAGGTGCCTCCAAACCAGCATCAAGCGCTCGGAGAAACAGTGTGCAGCCCATGAAGAATACGACGATGGCGAGTATCACCATGAAGATGGTTGATACTAAAACGGCAAGCCACTCGCCCACTGTGCGTCGAGTTTCGGCTCGTCCCGTTAACCGTTCTTCCTCCTCATATTTTCCCCATTCGACGAGCCGATCGGTGCTGAGCGTCCAGATTGCCGTAACAAAAGCCCCTGATAACTCATATCAGCACGCGAGCAAACGACACCAGATGGGATCAACGAGGAAATCTTTGTGTTTTCTCGACTTACACAAAACACTAGCTATACCAACCCACCCTTCCTCGTATCTTGTCTGCTGTACTGAAATTAAGATAATCACATTGATGAGAAGAAGGATGCTTATGGCAATGCTTGCAATCCTCACAGCTCTGGAAGGCACTGCGAAGAATACAAGGGTGAACAACAAGTTGGCAAGTGCCAGACTAGCATAGCTAAATGGGAAGAACCCTGAACCACGAGTGTAAAAGCCCGGAGGAGTGATGAATGTCGAGACTAGAAGGATAATCCACCAGGCAAAGGCGATGAGAGTTAAAAGAATGGTGAAATATCGGGTGACTCGGATGCTCCAGAGGTTATATGGCGAGACCTACAGATGGCATTTAGTACTGTCTTCATCATCATTTTTGTTAGTGATATATTTGTACCGCTGGGTCATCCGGACTCAAATAAGTCGCACTTTCAACCCGGTTGGGCAAAAGCCGGGTGTGCTCATTGGGGAGTGCCGAGTCGCGTTCATTATTGATCGAATTTCTCGCGGACGCGCAGTCCGAGCTACCGTTGTTTCGCTCTTCGTGGGAGCCCCAAATGCCCTTCATAACGGCAACAGATTATTGACTCGAGCGGGGAAACAACCGAGAACGTTCGGGCTCAGTTGACTGACACAGAGCGACAGTGGCGTTGTATATATTCAAGAGTGCACGATGTAGAGATGGTGATTTAGAGGCAGCACTAAGGTTCTTGGTATGTCGGGATGACGACAAGGTAAAGTAACCGGCAGTTTATCACTACTTTCATTCAAGACCAGGTGGTTACAGCTCGGATTAAATGTTGCCCAATCCATGATCCTTTTTCCTCAGCTCCTGCTTAAGCCATTGGAGTCACCTGAGAGACATATAATTACGACTACGAAAGAAGCTCGTCTACAGGGAATCTGGAGAATTTGCTCCGGCTCGTCTTGGTTGGTATGCAACACACATGCGATTTTCAGTATCTCATGTCATTGCCTTTTAACCATTACGTCACCACTGGTATTCTTGAGCTTGTCTCCGCTCCAGAGAGGTTCTGCCATATCCAGATGCAATGCAGGCGATCGACCCATCAGTTATACTAATCCCCAATGCGGTATCGACCACCTGTATCTCTACGAGGCGATTCGTTATTGTTGTTGTCACCATCCTTGGTTATGATCACCTGCCCGTCCACTACGTATTAATTGTAACTAGGCGAGGCTATCTGACAATTATTAGGGACCACCCCTTCAGACCTCCCCACCTATACCACCTGCTTAACCACCTACACCTACTTATACAACCACTTATTCAGCTACGAATTTAAAGCTATTTCGAATATAATTTACCTATCTACTCCTCTATAACGCTATTTAACGAAGCCTATTAGTATACCTATATAAATGGGACTTTTAACCCGAAGGGGTTCTGAAGGGGTGGTCCCTAGTAATTGTCAGATAGCCTCGCTAGGCTACCTAGGTAGGTAGACTAGTAGTATTCACACCAATGTATAATGCTTTAAAGGCGGCCACACCTACATATTAAACTTTTACAATGCTTAACATTTGGCTTAACTGTGACTAATTCATTTGCTTCAAGTCCCATTTCCATTACTAAGCGAAGCAAATTTATATAGATATAAAGTGGCTACCTAGTTATGTGTAAATCTCAGATCAGCTCAACCGCTGGGTTAACTGAAGCAAAAGAGCAATGGCAGTTGAAATGACGCTATTTATCCTCCACCAGGAGTAACGGTATATATTATATACAGCACAAAGATACAATTGAGACAGTTACACTGATGTCGCTCAAAGTTTCTCTTTCTTTTCACTTTCGTGCCCCAACATTACTCTCCATTTTTTGTCGTACTCGCGGTCACTGTGCTCGTCGAGGAATAATGGGTTGTGATCGATTGCGATCCCTGAGATGGTCCTGTCTGAGCCTTCTTGCGCTGAATGGCTTTCTGTAGAACAACCTCTTCAGGCTCTGGCCCACGGCCTCCGGGCTTGATGGCTTCCGGTGGCAACGAAGCAACGGGTAGGTGGAGTTTGGCATTAGCTAGTGGATCATTGAGAGCAATGCCAGCCTTATGATATGTCTCCTTCTTATATTTTATCAACGCCTGTGTGGAGGGCTCCGATACTGAAATCCATTCCTTTAACTGTGAAAACCATCGCTTCCTCCCTTCCTTGCCTCTGGGCTTGTGTGACTTTGAGGCACCATCTTCACATTTCCGGTCTTCAGACAGCTCCTTCGAGCCAGGACCAATACGATGCCGGCCGGGAGCACTGTCTCCTGAGTTAGGGGAGTCCATACTTATAATATAAGCATCAGACAGATCGTATGGCACAGGTGTAGCCTTTTCTGGGCTATGTAAAGTCCCTTCGGTTATGTTTCCTGTAGGGAATGCGGGATGCTCACTGGGTTCAATGGTCTCATTTGTAGAACGTGCAAGCCTAGTATCGACCAAGGGTATACCCGAACTAGACATAGGACGTTCGAGACTACCAGACCGGGTGAGAAGTCGAGATGCGTCGAAGGATGAAGATGTCTTATGATGCCCGAGCGAACTGCGTCTCAGTTTCGTAGTAGAATTGCGCTTCTGGGGAAATACGTGATAGCCAACCAATTGATTTATGGGGACCTTTGAACCGTTATCCTTAGGTACGCCTTTTTCTACGCTCTTCTAGAGACGAGAACTGGGCTGAAACTGAGAGGATGTTCGGTGTTGTCTTTTTTGCACCACAGGCCGGTGATCAATCGATGTTTTGATGTTGGACTCAGTGTTGGAGTTCTCATCAATGTCGACTAGTCTTCTATATGGAGTACGGTCTGTAGTGTAAAAGAAGGGGTCTTCGAACCCAGCAGTTCTGTCCTGACGTGTGCAGGGTCTGGTATTAAGTGAGAAATTACATATCTCTCCTAGCTGATCCCAGGTAGACGGTTGCTCTTCCCATACCGTGGGAGTAGAAAGCGGTGAGTTGGTGTTTGCGACGTTAGTTGGATAAGAAAAGTTTCGCAAAATAGGTGGTGCAAGATTCTGTGGCCCAAATCCAAATTGCCGATTTACGACACTGTCGTTCCGTGGCGATTCAAGAACCGGAAGTTTTGGCTTTCTGAAATGTTCAACAAACCCTACCATTGTACGGGATGGGGCACAGAGGCAGCTGATGTGAAATATAAGCAAAATGCCCTTGTGTGTCTCATCACTAACACGGTAGATGGCAAGAAAGTCAGAATGAATGACCCCATAAATGTTGTATCGCAGCGATTAGGGCCTCGAGCTCACTCGTACGCATGAATAGAAGCCCACTAAGTATTGAGACCTGACAGGCTGTGTGGACGGCGTCAATATAGGAAGATTAGCTTAGGTCCTCACATCACCAGGCTTGACGAGCCTGTCAGAAAGCGATTATGTCTTTTGGCGGTCGGCGCAAGGCTCTTTGAGGGTAGAAAATGAAGACGCGGAAGAAAGTGGTAGATTCTGAGGTCCGAACGAGGGAACTTGGTGGAGACGAGGACCCAGCTGTTCAACGCAACCGAGAGTGTGGGAAGCAACAATCGACCACGGGAAGGCGTAGGTATCGTAAGCCTCTTGCCGCAACAGTCTGCTGCCACTGGCACTTACCTTGAAGGGTTGCCCAGCAGAACAAACTTGCACCTGAAGAGCTTGATTGGTATAAGTACTTACATATGTAGGTAGTACTAGTCAGGTACCTATGGAAGATCTAGGTAAAGAGGTCTAGGCTCTTATGAGTTCGGGGCGGTTACAGCAATGTAATGATGTGCAGGTACTATATAGATACATCCATGGATACATCGAGTACATCAAGTTGTCTAGGATAATGTGGTGCTCTTCGCTTCTGATTTTCATTTTCTCATCTACTGGTAGGGAGTCACCGTTAGCTCGTGACAAATCAGTACCAATATTAGCTGAACTTGCAAAACAACAACCCACGTGTGCTTAGCTAGGCGCTAGAAATCCGAGATACCTACCATACCCCCGAGACTTACCTACATATGTAGGTACCTACTTATAGTAGGTAGTATGTAATTCACTGGTGGCGTCTGAGCGCAACAGCGCGTAGGCGATCTTCCACCAATATTTTCTAGTTGTTTCGACCAATACATGTAGGTACCTCAAGACATGCTCGGCATGAGGCCACAGAAAATTGTTGGCTTAATGGAGCGATGCTCGCGAAAAATGGCGTGGTCAGCTCGCTGAAGCATAATGGTTCGGTAACAACAGATCCAGGCAACTCGTACTAAATATGTAGGCGAGGTAGGTAGGCACTTCTCTGTCAAACTTCCCCGTCTCTACCCGCCACCGGATCTTGGATCTAGCCATGTTGTATACAGTATAGCGCGATCGATCGGCCATGCTAATCTTGTACGGGGTACCTACTTCAAAACCATACTTAGTACATAGCACCCCCGGTCCTGCACTCGCATTTACTACCTGTGATGATTTATTTGAGGTACATAGTAGTATCGACTGCAGGGCTAAGCATTGTTCTAAGTATTTAGAGTAGGTATGTGGCCGTAGTCTGACTGGTCCTCAAAAGTTGCGTAGCACCTAGGTAGGTCAGATAGGTGAACCAGCAAACTTGGGGCAGCAGCTCTCGGGGCGAACGAGACAGTCATTCATTCATATGTACTGTATAAACACGGTACTCTTGTGTGATTTTCGTCGTACGAAGTACAGCGGACAAGGGAGCCGCTGCCAATCGGGCCTTTATCCGATATCAATCGCCCGCTAAATACCTACTTATGTATCTGCTTCAGCCCCTTGACACTATCATCACATACCTACAAAGGCAGATACGGCCCCTCAGTATGCCAAGAATCGACCAGAATCAACCAAATATATCATTACGTCCCCTCATTACATAGTACACTCAGATACACTCATCCAGCAATGCATCCACAGATAGTTTCACGCTAATATCTACCAAAGAGCCTCAAATATTAAGCGCCTGACTTGACAACCCGGCAGTAGACCTGGGTTGAATCCGCTAGTTATTTAAGGCCCTCGCCGCTTCAATATCTCATCGCGCCACCCCACGCAACTCATCTTGATCGGCATCCTCCAGGCGGCCGCGCCATCAATGGCAGGCCCTCCCCTCAGCACAGAGGCAGCCGCCTCGAAGCTCTCGCAGCAGCAGCAGTTATCGACGAACCGGCCGTCGGTCCCAGCTCCAAGCAGCAGCAACCCACCAGCAAGACCTTTACAATCTACGACACCCATACCAGTTCCACTTCCCATAACCTCTATTTCACGGGAGCAGCCGCAGCCGCAGCAGCAGCCCCAAATCCCTTCGCGCTCCTCGTCGCCAGTGCGCCCGACATATAGTCCGATCACACCACCTTTGAAGGCCACCACGTTCCCGCCGCGACCAACGCACACCCACAGCTCGCACGTCGACGCAACCGCCGCGCCAGCACCAGCGCCAGCGCCGATAGATTTCGACTCGAATCCGGATGTACTTGCGCTCAAATCTGCCATCTCTATCCTGCAGATGCAGCGCAGGAAAGCAGAGAAAGATATGGCGACGCTAGACAGGGTGAAACGCACCGCGCTCGCCGAGCCCGAAGCCTTCGTCCGTGACCTGACGGCCGGGCGGATACATGTCGAGGGAGAAAACCCATTCGCTAGCAGCGCAAAAGACGAAGATAGCGACAGCAACGATGAGGATGATAATGATGGGGATGACTCTATCCAAAAGAAGAAAGATGCGAAGCACTTCCCAGCCCAACCAGAAATGGCATCAGCATCAGAGAAGCCTAGTACGAAAGCAGTACCGCAATGGGTTTCGATTCCGAAGCCGCAGAATATAGTCCGCTGCCCACCCATCAACTGGTCTCAGTATGCCGTAGTTGGTGAGTCACTAGACAAGCTGCACAACGAGCAAGTCCAGCGTCCAGCGCAAGGTGCACCAGCCGTGTTAACGCCCGACGGCCGTTTCGAGTTCAAGGGTGGTGGCGATGGGAAGCAAGAGCGGTACATCGGCGTCGCGGCGCCCTATGCGCCTGGTAAAGACAAGATCGATGCGAAGTCGGGAACGACACCCTTGAAACGGTGATCACGCGCGTAGCATGTCTATGCAATATATGGCGACGAAGCGATTTTGGGTTGGGAGATCGGGCTTTCATCGTCGACTGCCCCTGTGTTTTGTGCAATAATATGAGGTGAATAATGAGGAATGGTCATCATGTTATGGCTATCAAGACATGTTCGAATGCTCCAATATGAACTAGAGCGCCTCTCTGTCATCAACAAGAAGAAGAGATGAGATAAGACGAGACAAAGTCAGAGCCATGAATAATGATAGATGCTGAGTTCTGAGGTGCTAGGCGCAATAGGGGCTTGTATCAAATGAATTTCTGTTCAATCTATGTATGAGACGAGAGTGCTTATATTGCGTAAAACACTGCATTAATTGGTAGGACTAGGCATTCGCATAGTTCTCATAGCACGTAGTGTTTCGGCTGTACATACATCATTTTCATATACACTATTGGTCGTCTCAATAGGTACCTTCGAAACCTTCGCCATTTCTGTTCAAACCAACTGGATCTTGTATGTCAATAGCCACTGGTGATATAATACGTACAAATTCCAAATGCTAAGAGGGATGTGAATGGTCTTATTAAGACTGCCATCAGATGTCTCGCGAGCGAGGAAATAGACCAGCTACAGGAGATTCGTCACTCACGAGAGCCCATGCACAAATGTACACACCTCAGGAAACATAAGTGTACACGTCTCAGCTAATTTATGGCAGCCTCGCCGAGCTTCAGCCGATCTTCCCACCGACGCCTTGCTTTGAATGCACACTTCCAGAAAATGCACCCCCATCAACGATCGGGGACCATGCTATTTCCACCACTAACCGTGAAATCCCAGCCCAGGGTTTAAAAGTCCTCCATACTCCGCTGAACAGATCTGCGTAGTTTTCTATTGTAGATTTTCCTACCCTCGGCCCCTCCCCAATACAGCCTGTGTGCTTCGGGGTGGACCTGTGTCCTGGGATCATATGGGGGGTTCTCTTCCTCCAGCGCATTGAAAATAGCCTCGATGTGTTGCTTAACGTCCTCGCATCGATTAGCGTTAGGAATGTAACATAAAATACCATCCGACGTGACTCGATGATGGAAAACAGGCGTAAGAAATCTAACTCGAGGCTGCTCATCAGGAAAACGAGGGCTAAAGTGAAGTTTGATCCTGAACATGCCGCCATCAAAGTTGGTCATCGGCCGTCCGAAGTAAGTTATCACCCATACAAATGGGTTACCGTTTTCTAACTCCACGTTGTGCGGAACGTCATCCCTCTTGAAGGATTCCTTGATCTGATCAAACTGGCGGGAAAGATTCACTGGGACGGTGGTGTCCTTGTTCTTAGCTGACAGTCCTTCTGTTGCCCATCTATCAAGCTCCGCATTGAGAGAAATCTTGATGTTCTGCAAGCGCTTCTCCAATTCGGTATAGTTAAACTTTCCTTCCATTGCATTACTGCCTCCTTCGAATGGCATACGGGTGAATACTTGGCCATCCTTCACATCTTTTTTTGCGTCTTTCATGGCTTCAAGATAGGTATCATAGTACCATAGAAACCGACGCTTATACAAATCTTTGAACGGTTCCCATATTGCACTCGAATCATCTAGATCAAGGCCATCAGTTTGCGGGTCGTATTCAATAGGCGTAGCAGGTGAATCATTCGCCGAGGTAATGCCGAGGATGTCCTCAAGCTTCTGGATAACAGAAATGCGCAGGGTCTCATGTCGAATCTATTGGCAATACATTAGCTGCTGTGAATGAATTGAGTGTTACGCCGTAATTACTTTTGCTACGTAATCCCGCTGATTAGCTTTATCCGAAGTATCATTTGCGTGCTCGAAACCAGGCTCATTTTCATAAGGATTCGAGGACATAAGACTCTGGATAGAAAGTAAAATGGACTCTAAGCCTTGGGCGGCTGACCATTCTTCGCCAGGTTCACCTCGCCATGTGCTATGATGATATTAGACAGTGGGCATGTGAGCGAGACGTGGGAGAAGCCGTAGATACCCAAGAATAGAACTGTAGAACACCATATACTTTAGCTAGGTCCAAGAAGGATTGGCAAAATCGGCTCTCACAGGCAAACTTTTCCGCTGGAATAAATGTTCGGATTGAAACGACAACGACCACCATTGGTCGTGGTACAGGTGACCGTGGGCGACTTGCGGGGGTATTCTAGAGTAGAATACGATCAGCAGGTCCGCTCAGGAGACGACGGAGGGTCAGCACGAGAACGCAAGTACCTTTGTGAAATTTAAAGGAGAACTAGTAGATTGCACACTTGTTAGTCCTCCTGATAGCGCAAACAAAGAAAAAGCGGATTCTAGTAGGTTTGGAGACGAACCTCGAAGAAGCCGAACTCGTATGGTGTCTCGTGGGGACCAATAATCATAGCCTTGACGTTACGCACATCACGATCACGGAAGGCGACGGCAAGAGCTGGAGGTCAGAGGGCACAGGTTAGAGCCATGGTCTATTGGCATCTTGGAAGGTGTCCTTACACAAGTCCGAGTTCTTCTGAATCTCACCAATCTCCTAGAAATACGGGAAGGTTAGCCTACCTATTCCTTGACCACCCTCGCCCTTGTGAACAGCAGGGGTAGGGGCAAGCTTGGTATGATGACGACCTACCTTAGTGATACGAATGATGGACTGGTCTGCCATTGCTACGATGCAGTTAGATAGGCCAGGCGAGACGCCTCATCGAAGGGCCCGGAACGTGTTGGGGGCGGCGTATAAGTCGGCGGGCAATAGTGGGGAACTTGTCAATGTGAGCCTGAAGGACGGGATGTGCTACCTATGCTGTGAAGACGGCGAGAGAAAGACGTGAAGACGGCAGGTCTGAACAATCCAACTAGTCCTAGCAGGAGGCGTTTTAAGTGATGGCGAGGGAATCAAGGCACGCGCGCAGCTGGGTATAGAAGGTCGTACAAGAAGGCAATAGGTCCAGCTGAGCTCGACTTGGGAGTTAGCAATGCTTTTGGCTCCCAAGGTTGCTTGCTTGCCAGTAGGTATCTGCCTGTGTACTCAAAGGTACCTAAGGTAGGTACAGTATGAACTGTAGGGTAGCCAGGGTGGGTAGGTACCTAGGCTGGATGAAGGTGGGGTTGCGTCTATATGTACCTACCAATTCAAGTTCCTCTAGTATGTACCACCAAGTTCCAGCCAAGTACTTACATACATATGTAGGTACCGATGTAGATACCTGATACCTACTTCGTACATTAGGTACCTACCTAGTGATATCAGCAAGGTGTAACGCTGGAACGTTCGATTACCTACTTACCTACTCGCCAGGTACATAAGGTACAGTACGCATACCTACCTTTATACCAAAATAGGTAGTCGCGAGTATCCGGTAGGAGTTTGGCGAAACCCAGCCTTACCTAAGCCAACCAGAGGAGGAAATACGGAAATCTGGGGGAAGCACCCACTACCGACGGCACGATTGGATCTAGGAACGGATACCGGGCAGGCCCACGAGCAATGGTTACCCAGGTAGGTAGAGCAGTGTAGAGCAAATGCAGGCTGGATGGATGCACATACTTATATAGTACAGTCGGGAGGTAGGTACCTACCTACCTACCTAGGTATTCACATCTATGAATGCAGCACTCCAATTAAGAGTTTAGGTGCTTGAATCCACGAAGTAAGGTGCCCGTGCCCGTCCAGGCGCAGATAGTAAAAGGTAGGCAGTAGATACCTTATCTAGGTATTAGATCTCATTTCTGGCCCTATGTATGTAGCCAGGGCCCATCCTTTTGAGGGTCCTCACAAGTACATAGTACTCCGTACTTGCAGAGAGAGCCGTTCTGCTGGATCCAATAGGGGATAGATTCCGTCACTGACTGGTGGATACGAATACGAAATTCAAGACGAACCCTAGATTACGGTCTGTAGCTTGTCTGTCCTCAGGGACTCAATTGGAAGTGACATTCCTCACTTTCGAGAGCTGAAAATACACCTCTTTGCTCTTCGCATCCAAGTTCAACTGATCGTCCCTCGAACTGTTTCCGTCGAATCGCCCTTGCCATCTTGCACACTGCCCAACAATGGCTTCTTCCCTCGAGCAGCCTGTGCTTGGCCGCGTCCTCGTCATCGGCGGGTGCGGTTTCCTGGGCCACCACGTCGTGAACCTCCTGCTGCGTGACTGGAAGTGCGAAGTCTCCGTCATCGATCTCAAGTGCCAGCGAAACAGGCGCCCTGCTAGCGATGGCGTTGTATATGTCGAGGCCGACATCACCGACAGCGACAGCCTCCTGAAGGCATTCGGCCGCCTCAAGCCCGATGTTGTCATCCACACTGCCTCACCGCCCGCGCAAGGTGCTGGTGCCATCTCAAATGAAATTTTCTACAAGGTCAATGTCGAAGGCACGCGTGCTGTGATTGCGGCCTGTCAAAAGAACGAAGTTAAGGCCCTTGTCTACACAAGTTCCGCCAGCGTCATAAGCGACAATAAATCCGATCTTGTCAATGCGAACGAGGAATATCCCGTCATACGCGGTAAACTACAGTCTGAATACTATTCAGAAACCAAGGTGAGTCTACCTGGCTCGACTTGCGCCCCCATATCACTGTTGCGAAAGCAGAAAGTTAGACCGCAGCATACTAATCACCCTTCTCGACAGGCTCATGCAGAACAACTTGTACTAGAAGCCAACAGCACACAGGAAGGGGAGCTTCTAACGACCGCCATCCGACCATCGGGCATTTTTGGCGAGGGCGACATGCAGCTAGTGCACCATGCAATAGGGGTATACCGCGGCGGCAATGACAAGGTGCAGGTGGGCCTGAACACCAACATGTTCGATTTCACATACGTCGAGAACGTAGCACACGCACATTTACTAGCAGCCCGTGCTCTGCTTGTCACACACGCGTCCAAAACGAAGCCTCTCGACCACGAAAAAGTCGATGGTGAGGCCTTCCTCGTGAGTAATGGTAGCCCCGTATATTTCTGGGACATGATGCGCTCTATTTGGCGGGAGGCGGGCTCACCGCGTGGGACGGATCATGCCTGGGTTATGAGCCGCGACGTGGGCCTCATATTAGGCTACCTGAGCGAGTGCTTCGCAGGTCTCCTTCGCCGTCAGCCTACCCTCACTCGCCAGCGCATTATCTATAGTACTATGACCCGTTACTACGACATTGCTAAAGCCCGACGGCGGCTCGGCTATGAACCCCTTGTTAGTCTCAACGATGGCGTAAAGCGCACCGTACGTTGGACGCTCGAGCAGGAAAACTTAATAAAGGTATGAAAAGGCGTTATGACAATATGTGATGGAACTATAAAGGATAGAAAAGGTAGTCGTTTACATGACTGCATTTTGTGGATGAGGACGACAAAACTGTCCTCTATTTGTTTTTCCCTTACGCAAGCTTGCCCAGCATATAATCATCACTTCATGGGCTTTCTGTGCGTGCCGCACACAGCTCCTTGTGTAATTAGGTCGTATATACAACTTGATAAAATTCTAATTAGCTAGGGCGTATCGCCCAAATGCACTGATGAACAAGATAGTAGTGTCACTTGTGTGAGAGAAAATTGGATGGGCTGTGCTTCTTTCAAGTACCATTGTGGTACTCTTGTTGCAGTGTCTAGCTAACCGTACAGCGCGATGGTCCTCTGCCTTGAGCACATGGGTTGAGTAAACTTGTCGAGATCCAACCTGAGCCATTGCGCTCAAATAGATTAGATGGCGAAGCTTCATTGCCTCTTAGGCTTCATTTAGGAGGACCCTCAGCTTGACAAGGAAAAGGCAGCGCACCTATCAAAGCTTCTGGTACTTCAGGCTCCTCCTAGACTTTGCCCAGGTTAAGATTTTGTGATGTAGTTCGGGTTCATAAGAGAGGTACGAATTATACATCAATCTTGCAACCCAAGCTAGGTTTGAACAAAACTGTGACTACGCTACTCCAAACAAACGCTGCCAGCCCGTAGGGAACGGGGTGTGATCCCAGAAGCAAAACGCGTCTCTTGAAGAAAGTCAATATGGGATTTACCCGGCGTTCAAACCTCTCTGAGCAGGACTAGAAAGCGAATTGAAAAGTGCGACCACTCAAGTATGAATTAAGATTCGCAACGCCGGCCGTAAATGCTCATTTTTAATTTCCGCGTGGGTTTCATGCAGGGTCGTCATGACACATCAGCATTAGCTCGAAGTCAACGGTTGCTATGCTCGACAAATAACGTCCATACAGGTAATTGATGGTGCGATGCTTGGAATGTATATACGCGGCGGAATCAATACTTTTAGCCCGTCGCAAGAGAATTATTTGGTTTACTCCATCCAGAGTTACGCCACTCCTTGCGTTGACTAAGATCTGCCTGGGGTGTCCCGCTTCGTTCATACTGTTCAGGGTGGGTAATATCATTGTCGGGATGTCGCCATTGTGGAGGCGGAGTACCTTGGGTATTTGTGAAAGGAATGGTGGGTTCTTGGAGTAGAGTTGGGTCTGTGTCGACCCGTGTGGCCATAGCCCTTCTGTGACTTTCTTGTCTCGAACCAAACTCTGCACCATCAAGCTTCATGCCGCCATTTGGGCCGCGACCTTCGATCCGTTTCAAAATCTCCTTCGTTGTGATATCACCGTTGTTACTGAACAAGCTCGAGTCACTGAGTATCCCCATGATTTCAGCAGGAACCTAAAATTCAACGTCAGTTAAAATCTATAGGAAATGAAGACAGCAGCAACTGACCATGCACATCTCCTCATTTGATTGAATAAGCTCTTCGACACACGAAACGACAGTCATGGGTTCATCAGAAAAGCTTGCACTCTTGGTGTTCATGCGAAGAATATTTGGAGCAATTACTCGGGCAAGATTGTGGACGTCCATCCTCGATCCCGTATCTTCATCCACTTGGTGGAAGGTTGCAACCCATTTGAAAAAGGTAAATAAGACCTCTAGCGTGTCTCGGTGGGTCTGCGGCAAAAGACAAAAGGCCATGTGAAGACATTGTCTCCTTTTGTCGGGGTCATTTATTTTTGTTGCTGCGATCCATACTCTATAGAGCTTGAATGTCATTAAAGGTTCGGGAAGGTCGCGTAGATATCGTTTGAGAAGGGCTGCAAGCTGGTGAGGTGACTCATCGTTCCATCTAATGACATCACAGCCATCCCTATCTATGGCTGCGACTTGTTCAGTGAGCTTCTTAATGTTGCCACTCTTCCTGAAAACACCCTCGATGGAGAGATCTTTGTTTTTGAGAGCTATAATGGTATCCTCAATGATGGCAGGTATTCGAAGAGCGCCAGGGCCAACGCCATCAGTAGAATCGGCTCCGTCTCGCTCGAGAATAATCTCCAAGGGAACGCCAAATACACCTTTTTTCTTAGCGCTCTTGCGGGTATCGTTTTTACCAAACGCCTTGCCGAACTTATTCCAGAATGTGGGCGGTTTCCTCGCTTCAATAAGTCCGAGAAGTTCTTCAAGAGTGAATTCTTGCTCCAGCATTGGTTGCATCGTTAACACTGCGACGTGGCGAACAATGAAGTACTCTAATCCAGACAACTCGGAGAAGAATTTTCTAGCACCCCTCTGCTCACCTAGGGTTTTAAAATCAGCATCTCTGCCACCAGATAAGGTTCGTTGGTGGCCGCCGTATATTGGCTCAGTAGTAGCTGATCTGAAGAGTTCTTGGCGTGTGGGCTTGTTGGGCTGTTGCTCTCGGGCTTGCTCTGCAGCGACAATTCGAGGAATATCATCTAAAGTCAAAGCATCCTGGTGTCCGAAATATTGCTCCGTTGTGCCCCCTGGCCCGGTCTCTCGCTCTTCGTCAATTTGTAACGCCTTGTTCCGCAGATCTCCATCTGCACCCGTGGAGCCAGGATGTACCGAATGTCCGTCTGGGCCATCCATGATCCTCGACGTCCGAGCTTTCCTAAAATTTGATGACAAATGCTTGTCAAATCGTGTGCTTCTAAGCCTGCGTACATCATTGAGAGTGTTCTCGTAAGACGACTCCCTCTCGAGACGCTCCCCATCGTTAAATGACTTTGACCGCGAGTCGGATCGAAGCAGAACTGTTCCATTTTCGAGTGACGGTCTGCCACCGTCGTGATCCTGATCATTTGTACCGTATTGCAGCGCACCGTTGTTTCGGAGTATCTCAAGTAAGCGCGCCAAGGCTACCTTCAATAGAAAGATGTATTGTTGAAGCTTCGAGGTTCGTTCGAAAGACTGCCCATGTTCACCAAACTGTGCTTCGCAGTCGACACAGATAATTCCTTTTTCCCGATGCAAACGAGCCAGATCAAGAGTCTTACCTAACTCGCGACCACATCGCCCGCAAGATACACAACCTAAGTGCCACCGTTTGTCGCCACTTAAGGCACATTCATCCTCTATAGGCTTGCGGCACAATGTACACTGGTCTGAATCGTTTGCAGACAACCCGGACATACCGAGAGTTATCTGCAACGAATCATCATCGCTTTTCATCGATTCTAGTATACCGAGATCTCCAAGAAATTGAAACAGCCCATCTGATGAGCCTTGCTCACGTTCAAGCCTGAGGGTACCCTGGAGACAAATTCTTATGAGGAGTTTGAGATAATGGGCAAGCCCAGTAACGAGGGACAACAGTTCTTGTGTGACGCCTATTTTCCATATGTTTGGTTCTTGTGTTTTGGACAATAATGAAAAAAAAGAAACGACCTTCTTGCAAAGTAGTTTCGCTTCCCGGCCATATGACAAAGCTAGATAGCTTCAGTAAACGACAGTCAAAATGCCAATTGTGGGGCCTACAAACCTTTCATGTCCAGCCTTTTGAGAGTCTCATCAAGGCGGTCGGCAGACTGGAATAGAATTTCCACATGAAGAATAAATCTCTTGGCAACGAAAACACCATCAATATACGAGCCGTTGCTGACATGAAGCAGCATATCAGAAATACACGCAGCAGATGATTCTTCAAAGGTCGATAGGACGCTCCAAATTCGATAAACCTTATCCTCCATGATTTCCTCCCTTTGACGCACAAGCTCCCGGCTCTCAGCATCTGGCGCTTCAGGCGGCTGTTCTTCGTTGCCATCAGGCGGCGCCAAGCGTACATTCCAAAACTTATGAATCATATAGCACTCGGGGTGCCAATGTTGGTTCTGGCCATTGCGATAAATCTCCACGAATTGCTTCAAGATAGCCGTGTGGCAGCCATTACATCGTTGGGCGAATTGCGTTGAATAGTGATAATGGCAGTAAACATCACCATCGTGTTCATAGTAGCTATCCTGGGCCCCAAAGACAGTTGAGCATAGACAGCATGTGAAATGTTCCACATGATACTTTCGGTCAAGGGCGGTGATGTAGGAACCACGTAGAGCGCCACCACACTGATGGCAAAGAAGATTAAGTCTACGAAAGTAGTCGGTTTCGCACAATGGATACTGCCCGCCTGAATTTTCGTCGTCGGCCGGGAAGAACTTAGAAGCAACAATCTGGTCACAATCCTGGATTCATAAAGTTAATGCAGGGTCCTGCCATGCGACAGTCAATTCATCTACTCACATGGCACTTGAAGCACTCTAAATGAAATGTCGCTTCCAAAGCCCGCACGAACTGGCCTGTCAAAGGCTCACCACATTTCGCACATATACGAAGCGACCCGCTTGCTGATCTTCCATTACGTGCCCTAGATCTACTTCGCTCACCGCTCCTCCGTGGATCACTATGGGCACTGAGGGTGGGCGAGCCTGTTGGTCGTGTCGGTACAGGATATCCTCCGTTTGAGTATGAAGGACTAGGCGTCATGTTCGGCCGATCGTGATCGAGCTGATAACTACCGTCGTTGGCAAGAGGGGGGTGAGCGTGGACCCGATCTGAGGAGAGACCGCCTCCATAATCAGGACCCATCATGGCGGCCAAACCAACAGCTGGTTAGATGTACGAATTCTTGAGTCTAAGGGAGCGTCGTCGGCGTGTCTTGGGGGGTTCTATTGTCTAGGCGAAAGGATCAAACGCTCGGCATGCAGTAGAAAGATGGTCGCGTTGTTCAACGTCAGACATTGGGATTTGGCGATAAAGGCCTGGGGTCTTCGAAAGATACGTGTGACGCAAATACGAAGACCAAAGCTAGGGAGACCGAAATACGAGGACAGAATAAAACCAGACGTTCAGTTCGCAGGAAGCAATAGGCGACGTAGAGGAATATTGCAGAGACAGGCTCAACAGGGAGTTGGAGCTGAGCCTGTGTCCTAAGTCCCGAGAGTAGGTAGGTAGGTAGGTAGTAGAAGACAAATGCGGGCTCTGAGTGTGCGCTATAATGGGTAATAGGCGGAAAAGAGGCACAAGGAACAAGGCGAAGCAAATGATTAAGGCTAGTATTATTTGACCGGTCAACTTATTGCCTCGGTTCAGGCTGTGCTGGCGCAACGTTAGGCTGGGCGATACCTGTGAGATTAATTGATCGTCGTCAACAAGAGAATTGTTATAAGGAATGGGAAGAAGCCCTCAGTTGTCGAAGGATATGGTAGGCGGATGACAAGGAGACAGGCGGGATTCATAGGGCCCTTGTAGTGTAGGATAGCCCCGTAGGGAATTTGAAGGAGAGGGGAGATCCCAGTAGGTACTCCTAAGTAAGTAGGTAGGTACCCATAAATGTCGCTAGGTATGTGCCTAGGTGCCTAAATTGGGAGCTGCTGCCCTAAAGATGCAGTTGATACCTCCACTACTAGTGATGCCCAAGTCCAAGACCATCGTACTTAAGTAAGGTGCCCTACTCTGACTCAGGAGGTATACTTCAGTACGCATCTAACCTCCCTGGGTAGGTACTAAGTCGCAAAGGTGTTAACTACTGTAGGTAAAATAAGGTACCTGGAGCAGCTCTTGAGGATATAAGGATGTACACTGGATAGTCTCTTACCTATAGGTACTAGGCTGTAGGTATTGTTTGAGTACAAAGATATCAATCATTTCAGTAGTGGACGGGTGTATCAGGTTTAAAAGATTATATTGTGTTGTATGCGTTGTTGTGTTGGTATGCATTAAGCTGGATTCCTGAAATTTGCCGCTTTGCACAACTAAACCTCAAAAGTAACAACAATCCAACAAGAGTCGGAAGTGGGCAGATTTAAGTGAACATGACATATCCGTACATAAGTAACTACCTAAATAATATAGACGGGAGCGGTTGCTCAACAGTTCAATATCCCATTGATATTATCTAGGACTCCCTACCAGATACAATAGATAGGTATTTCGCATCATGCTCATTTTTGTCTATGCATTGCTGACATTCGCGTTTCCTCAGGTGCCCGTAACCCCAAGGTACACTCAACAGGGAAGTCTCGAAGGGGCTTGCTTGCTCAAGTTGTCTTGGTTTGGAGTTCCTCCCTCCCAGATATCTATGCCGCTGGTTCTAGCATATGGGCAACCCTATAATACCCGTGGATGGAAGAGCAACCGGACACGGAAATCCTTGTGCATATTGGGGCACCGAGCCGAGCAATTCATGATGCTTTATACCGATCGTTAGCGGCCGCTTACTTGGCCTTTGAACCTACAGAAACCACTCATATTTACTCATGTAGAGGCCAAAATGGTAGGAGCCAAAGTGGCACGTCAGGGTCAAGGGGCGCCAATGATGCCGAATCCTCCATTATGCCACTAGATGAGCGAATCCAATCCTTCCGCTCACCTCAAGTCTCATTCAAGAGCGTGGTTGACAACGCCGACTCTCCACGAATGCATATGCGCCCACGAGAAATTTCTGACCGCCGCCTCATCCAACAAACTCCAATATCAGCAACACAAACATCATGGCAAACTCCTCCCAGTATCGTGCAAGATTCCCATCCTCTGAATCACGCGGGCTTCAGCTCCCTTACATCCCCAACCAGAGTCTTAGAGAGCTACCTTCAGTACTTTGAATCACCCTCGACATCTCCAAGACAAGCTTCGCAAAGCAGTAGATTGATAGATTTGCATGACTGTACACCCCGGTGTAGTTCTCGTCATTTCTCTCAGAGAAATCACGTGCCTCGTACACAACTGATACCATGTACCCCTCAACCCAAAAACACCGCAGAGCTACCATTTGCTAGAAATCAGGTGTCGGAGTCTCAAACCAGCAGGCACTCCATACCACAGTCGGAATCTCTGGTTGATAATGCTTTTAATGATACTATCATCGAGGAATCAGCATTTCTATCATCACCACGGCTGGCAACACTTATCAGGGCAGACTCTGAACCAGTCGCCAAACTACGACGGCTTGGGCCCGTTGCCAATCCGCATGCTCTAGCACGAGCATCGAGTGATATTGGTCCAGAGTCATCCACCAATCGCAAGCCCGGAGTGACGGTCAGTTTTTTGAGCAGCCACGGGTTCACATATGAGAGTTTAGAAATCCGTTCCCCAGAGCCGCTTACATCAGAGCTATTTATCGAATCTCAAGAGCTGATCACTCGAGGGTTAGAAAAGCTTGGCCACGATGTGGACCTACCCTTGCGTTTTCGACCATCAGAACAAAGAAGAGAGCTCAGACCCTCCGAGCGTGGTTATTGGCTTGTAGACTGCTCATCTTGGGAACCTCAGTTGAAACTTAATGCGTGGGCTTTCCTCGCAAACTATATCGGAACTGGTATGGCTGGATGGGGGATTTGGTGTAAGAGGGATCATGACTTTGAAGAGATAAGAACGTACTGCTGGGGATCAGTGGTAGCCCATATTTACTACGTTCTATGGCTTTCAAGTCACCGCGAGATCGTATTTACAGGATGTTGCTGGGTGGATGCGGATGGAGCTAGGGTCATTACAATGAGCCCCAGGAGCCACCCACAAAGCGAAAGGAATGATTGCATATAGTTTCACTGGCTGTCTCAAACATAAATTCTGTGAACTAGTAGAAAGAGGTATGTATTTGTTCAGAGAAGATTGAACAGTAATACCCCAATATTGAATCCATTGCACTAAATGCATAATCCATTTCAAATATTCCGCCCAAGGTACCTGCTCTGAAACTTATACAGTCCAGCCATTGATACACAGAATCATACAGATTCTCTGGCTGTACAGAAACTAGGTAGAAGGAGAAATCCCACTCAGAGAGACACTAGTGGACAAACGACAAGATGATGGAAAGGGAGCACAATTATTTTCCGAGCTAACGTAACCCTCCCGTGGGTGAACACACAATCTATAAATACAGGCGGACGTGTAGGCCTGCTGATTGTTACGGCCATGGGGATTTGCTCGTATTGGCTTACTTGTCGGAACGTACTGCGTCCACTGCCTTTTGATATGTCTCCTGCTGCATCTTGGCAGAATCTTCATACACCTAGGATACGGTTAGTTATGTGACATAAGGGAAACCAGTTTAGACCTACCTTGCGTTCCGCTGGGGTAAGCTTCTTCCACTCCTGTCCAATTCTCGCAGACGCGCCACTGGCCCTGCCAATACCTGCGAATTCGCCAGACGCCCATCGAGCCTTGGTGAACAGAGTAAAGGCTGAGATTGGTCTCTTGGGCCAACGCTCATCGCTGATGAGTTTGACGCTGCCTTTAGGGATGTTGTATTTTCTCTTCAGGGCTCTTCGAGCCAAGTTGGCATCGAAAATTTCCTGAGGCGTATGAGATTCAACCCACGCCTTGTAGCTCACCTCGTTTTGCGTCTTGGCCAACTCAGATTTAGATTTAAGTCGCTGAGTGAATTAGCGTGGCGATTTTACGGTTCTGTACTGTAGTTGACTAACCTGGAGCTCATCGGAGGATAGGGCTTTGAATTCTTGGGAAAACTCGCTGAATTTCTCAGACGTATTTGAACCCTTCGAACCTTGGATGCGTTCGGAGATAAAGGTCTGCCAGGGACCTACAGGCAGATTCTTTGGTTCTGCGAACAAGGCAGTCTCTCTCAAATCCCGACGGTCGTTGATTGCCTTTCTTTCAGCAGAGATTTTTGGCTTCTTCGGCTTTGGCTTCGGCTTGGCCGCAGATTTGGGCTTGGTCTTTTTGACAGGCTTTCTTTTTGCTTTTGGTTTGGCGGTGGCGGTGGATTTCTTTGCTGGCTTCTTGGTCGGGGTCTTCACAGCCCTAGATGGGGAGCCTTTCTTGGGACGGCCCCCAGTCGCAAATCCACGAAGAGTTTGTGGAAGACGTCTCTGGATACCAGGTACATTGAGTCGGACTCTGGCGGCAGCTTGCAAGATCACGAGGTTGGTGGAAGAAGTCGTGAGGGCGGCCGAAACCAGCCGTCTAGTCGCAGAGCGACCGATAGAGACGAGCATGACAGGCAGCCGGTGCGAAGTAGATGGGAGCTAGACAATAATTGGGAAGACGATGTCGAATCACCAAGCTGTGACGGTGCCAGGACAACTCGGCAGAGTCAATTGGCGATGTAGTTGTTTGCAAGACAATGTGCCGCACCAGTGGTACACAAACCTGAGAGAACCTGCGCGGCAGTCTCTCCAGCCCCGTGTTTTATCTCCCACGCGACCGAGTGGGAGCTCCTGGCACAAACCAACTAAGTTGGAGCTGGAGCTGTTGCGCTATTGCCCTAACTGGTGGCTGCTCTAGCCCCCACTCCGCCCACCTTCAACGCACTTTCAGCACTTTCATTTGATCAATGCGCTCATGCATGACTCACTGCAACACTGATAAAGTGCATTCCTACTGTACAGACTACATAGTGCATGAGGCAATACAGTAGTGCGAAGTAGGTATCTCGATACTCTCGAGTACTAGGGCATAAGCCACAGACACTGCAGCTATGGCTAAGAGGTCGGCTAAGCCACCTTCTGTAGCGCCAAAGTAGGTACATAGGTACTTGCCTCCACGAACAGTACCTAGGTAGGGAGTGGCCTGGATAAGATGTGTCAAGGATAGGGTGGTAGTTATTTTCATCCCATGGTACCTAGGTAGTCGAAATCGTTCTACATACCGCTATCGATCGGACGCCGCCTTGTACGAGCCCGTCTCAACGTTTCTAAATATCGCTTGTTCAGACTCGGGTTAAGCAGTTTGAACCCTCGAGCCTGTGCTTCTCGAGTTCTCTGGTAGCTCTCACCACAGTAGTGCGATCGAGCCGCACTATCAATAACCATGGCTCGGCTCAGAGACTCTCGCTCACCAACTCCAGCAGGCAGTCAGCACTCTTCAAAAAGAAGTCGCAGAGATGATGACAGAAGGGATCGAGATCGAGATCGCGACCGTCGCGACTATGGCCGCGATCAAAGGCGTCGGAGTCGCTCTCGAAGCCCTAATGATGTGAGCCTGCGTCAACCGTGTATGCACCTGCAGCTGTTTTCTAACAAGACATATGTGCAGCGTCGGTACCGCGAACGAGACAGGGAAATGGATCGGGATCGACACTATCGCCGCCGCGAACGCTCCTTAGACCGACGTGACGACGGCTACTACCGAGGAGCAAGGGACCGCCGACGCTCGCGCGACCGAGCTAGTAACCGCGAAAGAGACAGGTCTCTCGAAAATCAACGCAGGCGAAGCCGCGACCGCGACCGCAATGGAGACAGAGAGCATCGAAGCAGGCGAGACGAGTCCCGTGATCGAGGTAAAGGGCGCGAAGGTACTGCTGACTCCAACCGCAGCAGACGAGGCGATAGCCGTGAGCGTGGCCAAGTGACTCCTAGCCCTTCGAAGGCAAATCATCAAGTATGGATTGCTCATACCGCTGAACTACCTGGCAGATATGCTGACGTATTACAGGCCGATTCGGCGCCAGCACAACCAGCAGCTCAGACTGAGGCTGATAAAAAGGCTGAACGACTCGCTAGGCTAGCAGCGTGGAAAAAAAGGCACGAGGATAAGGAAAAGCAGAAGGAAGCTACACCGGGTGCCACCCGAAAGCTCCTTGCTGAGATGGATGAGAAAGCTAATGGGACGCCATCCAACTCAACACCAACTGGCGCTTCTCCAGCCCCAGCGTCTCCTGCAGACACACAGTCGATGTCTCCCGCAGCACAATACGCCGGTAAATTCGATCCTAAGGCAATTGCAAAGAAGTCAGCTTCGAAATCGCAACTCCCAAGCGGACCAGCAACGAAGTTGGGGGCTATTGTAACCCCTTCATCTACCAAACCATCCCCAACAATCAAAGTACCTAGTGGTGAGTTACTTCAACTCGATATAGCGAACCAGGTATCTGACAATGAGCCCATAGCTTCTGCTCTTCCGCAAACTAAGACTAGCGGGTTCGGTTTTCATAAGCAAAGCTTGGATGCCGATAAACCACATCAAAAACGGAAGTTGATGCTCGACGAGGAGGAAACCTCTGACCGTAAACTTGCAAAGCTACCATCATTTCCCCTTCCCCTTCCTGATGTTGATGATACGCCGTATGAGAATCAGGATGAAGATGACGATATAGATGCCGACAATTTCGCTGGTGACGAAGAAGAAGAAGCCGCTGCTGCTCGAGCCGCGCAAGAACGGAGAGAAGAGCGCATCGCACAGAAAAACGCTCAGCAAGATACAGAAATGCAAATGGATATCACAGAAGAGAGCTCGACCCTTGTTGTTAATCCGTCTACAGAAGACACAGCGACTAGTGAAGCAATGGAAGTGGAAAACGATGAAGAGGACGTCGATCCTCTAGATGCTTTTATGAATGATCTTGAAACCAAGCCCAAATTGGATACTACTCTTAAACAGAAGGAAGACTCAAGTAAACGCCCACAAGAACCTGAAGCATATTTCAGTGACGACGACTACGACTTTCGCAAAGAGAACGCCGATCCCAGCTCCTTCTTAGCCCTTGCCGCAAAAGCACGCAAGAAGAAAGATATACCGGTTCACGACTATAGCAAGCTTGACCTAGAGCCAATTCGAAAGAATTTCTGGGTTGAGCCTCAAGAATTGTCTGAAATGACTGAAGCTGAGCTTACTGATTTACGTCTCGAATTAGACGGTATCAAAGTTTCGGGTAAAGATGTGCCGAAACCTGTTCAAAAATGGTCTCAGTGTGCACTTTCACGAAAAACTCTTGATGTTATCGACAGCTTGGGATTTGATAAGCCAACACCTATCCAGATGCAGGCATTTCCTGCTATCATGTCTGGCCGAGATGTGATTGGTGTTGCTAAGACGGGATCGGGAAAAACACTCGCATTTCTATTGCCCATGTTCAGACACATTAAAGACCAATCCCCATTGAAGGAGAACGAAGGTCCCATTGGGCTGATCATGACTCCTACTCGCGAGTTGGCAACACAGATCCATCGTGATTGTAAACCTTTCCTTAAATCGATGAATCTCAGAGCCGTTTGTGCCTACGGCGGTGCTCCTATCAAAGATCATATTGCGGAGCTCAAGCGGGGTGCTGAGATCATTGTATGCACTCCAGGGCGAATGATCGATCTACTAGCAGCCAACCAAGGCCGTGTCACGAACTTGAGGAGAGTCAGTTACGTAGTTCTTGATGAGGCTGACAGAATGTTTGACATGGGATTTGAACCGCAAGTGATGAAAATATTTGCCAATATGAGACCAGATCGACAAACAATTTTATTTTCCGCCACTATGCCTCGTATCATGGATTCTCTAGCCAAGAAAGTTCTGAACAACCCTGTCGAAATCACCGTGGGAGGCAGAAGCGTGGTAGCGCCCGAAATTACTCAGATAATCGAAATTCGAGAGGAAAACACCAAGTTTCTGCGTCTTTTAGAGTTACTTGGCGAGCTCTATGATAAAGACGAGGATGCTCGCACTCTCATTTTTGTTGAGAGACAAGAAAAAGCGGACGATCTTCTCAAGGAACTTCTACGAAAAGGCTATCCCTGTATGTCTATTCATGGTGGCAAAGACCAGATAGACCGGGATTCGACGATTCAGGACTTCAAAGCTGGCGCCCTTCCAATATTGATTGCAACATCAGTGGCCGCTCGTGGCTTAGATGTGAAACAATTAAAGCTTGTTGTCAACTACGATGCACCCAATCATCTCGAAGATTATGTACACCGCGCTGGTCGTACTGGGCGTGCTGGAAACAAAGGAACAGCCGTCACCTTCATCACATCGGATCAAGAAAACTGCGCACCGGGTATATCGAAAGCTCTTGAACAGAGTGGCCAGCCCGTTTCGGAACAATTAGAAGAAATGCGGAAAGCCTTCAGAGAAAAGGTGAAGTCCGGCAAAGCAAAGGATCAATCAGGCTTTGGGGGCAAGGGCCTGGAGCGTCTTGATCAGGAAAGAGAGGCTGCCCGTCTTCGTGAACGAAAAACACATAGAGCTGAAGGCGAAGAAGAAGAAGATAACAAAGAGGAGAAAGCAGCCGATGATAAGAAAACTGATAAAGCCGCTGCCGCCATTCAAAGCGCCTCATCAGGCATCATCAGCCGTGATGCAGCACCAAAGATTGATCTTGAACCCAAGTTTACCATCCATAAGCGAGAAGATCCCACACCCTCATCATCATCTACTGGAGGCAATAACCCCTTGGATAAGGTATCGTCGGCAATTAATGCCATTAACGCTCGCTTGGGCCGTACTGGTCAGCTTCGACCTGGCCAGCCCATCGACAATAAAGGCCCAGATGCCGGTGCTTTCCATGCTACTCTTGAGATCAACGACTTTCCTCAGAAGGCACGCTGGGCCGTTACCAACAGGACGAACGTGGCTAAGATTTTGGAGGCCACCGGCACGTCTATCACCACTAAGGGTAACTTCTATCCACCAGGCAAAGAGGTTCAGCCCGGTCAAGAACCTAAACTCTACATCCTCGTGGAGGGTGATACAGAGCTGGTTGTAGCTAATGCAATGGCTGAATTGACACGCCTCCTCAAGGAGGGTACTATCGCGGCAGCGGACGCCGACAGCAGAGCACCAGTCGGTGGAAGATATACTGTCACATAAAGATGTCTATGCTCACTGTGCCCCAACTAGGGAGTTCTATTGGGTATTCCAGCAAAGAACAGAAGCGGCAGAGATTGCTCGTACACCATGGGTTGTGGTTTGAGTTCCAGAGACACAAGAGGGAGGAAAGAAAATAGTAGGTGTTCACAGGCGATATATATGTATATGGAGGCCAGAGTATTCAGTCATGTATCGTTAGATAGGGCAATATCGACGGTAACGCTTGAAGAGCAGCTCAAAAACATTACGATCTTCCCGGTTGTACAGATTAGTAAAAAGTAGGCTGTACAATAACTTCCCAGCAGATAAACTGTAGTCGCTATGCGATCTTCAGTTGCATACATCTAATTCCAAGTTTACTTAATTATGATTCCGTGCCTGTGCTGCTTCATCCGCATCGCGCTGCCGCCTCTCATTGTTGCTGATCTCCTGGAGCGTCTCATTTCTGGTTTGTTTCTTCTGGGCGGCCAACTGCGAACCTAGTTTGCCTGATGATTTTGCTGCTGTAGCTTGAGCTCTCGCCTGCACGATTTAGATTCAGAAAAGAGTCTTTTCCTACGTTATGATGAAAAGGGACGGCGCACACAGAAGTAGCGGGTGCGAGAGAGAGGGCGGCGTCAACGAGGTAATACAAAACAATGGCAGAACAATGACGAGGAGATGCATAAAGCGCGCAGGGAAGAATATACAATTGTATTGCAAGATTTGTACCATGAAGACGGATAGTGGTTACATACCTCTGCTGCCTCAGCTGCACGTGTCCGCGCGTCGTCTGCAGCGGCAGCCCGGTTATCCCCCTGAGCTTGAGCTTCCGCCAATGGTGAAGCACCCCCAAGTGTCCGCGGCGGTCCTCCAACGTGGGCTGGCACGGGCACAGATTGCGGCTGGGGGGGAGCGGATCCAAGGACCCGGCCCGGCTGCGAGAAAGCCTCGCTCTCGGACTTGCCGCATATATTGCCCATCTTCGCTGACCAGGGCCGGGGCGGGGCTGGGGGTAGGGGAGGCTACAGAGCAGCCGTGGCGAAGAAAGCAAGAAACTGGTTACCTAAGGTAAGGAAGGGTCGTGTTTTGTGGGAAGCAAAGTGTATGAAAGAAGATGATGTTCGATGTAGGGACGCGGCTGTATGCACATTGAGGCAGTGCTGCTACTACCTACATGTACTCCGTACCTAAGCTAGGTAGTAGTATTACCAGGCTCGCCAGGGTCCAATGACTTCGTTCTCGGCTCAGGCTGGATATTGATATTGAGATTCAAGAGCCTGCGGTCGTACCTGGAATCAACTGGGGGGATCTTGAATGCCTTAGTCTGGCTTTAGTTACCTACGTCTAGGATACCTAGGTAATCTTTGGTATTTCCAGTTGGACGTTTGCGGTGCGGAGATAGCAACCAAATCTGCTGGGACCGAGATGGATACCTACGGGCCTACCTACCTACCTACCTACCTACCTACCTACATGTACTCACGTAGCTCAGTGCCGACATCGTTCAATTGCAAAGGTGCTGCTGTTTCATTGGTGCATCATCCAACTTCTGAATCATCTCTCAACAGTCGAGATTTCTACATATATCACAGCTACCTAGGTAGTAGGCATGTGCCTACCTGTATGAAATACAGGCAGAGTACCTAAGTAAGTAGAATTGGGAGTCGAGTCCCTATCAGCTGGCCTCAACTGGCCCCAGCTGAGGGTCGGTTCAGATTCTACGAAGCACTATGTACTGCTCCCTACGTCCCTAGGTAGGCATTACCTACCTAACCCGTTGCTACCAGTAGGTAGGTCATGTAACGAGAACCCGGATGGCCAACCCCACTACCTACCTAACCTAGGTAGGTAAGCACATAGGTACCTATGTACAGCAGGTACTGGTCAAATACAGGGGTACAGTACGTGTGCTAGGTACCTAAGCGTCAGTCAACCCCTACAATTGGAAATGTGTACGATGCACCTGACGAACCCCTCGACCCGAAAACCCCGAAAGCCCGTCGGATGCGAACCAACTCAGATACCAACTACCACGCACGATATAGCACAGCACAGCACAGCTTCATGGCGCGCGACATGCATCCTGCGTCGAATTCTTGATTCCAGCGTTACTGCTCATTCTTTCGATCTGTCTGTCTTGCGCCATCTTCCTCGTCCCGGTGATAATCGCAGAACGGCTCGACAGTTGAACTCTCCACAGCGCCGGCTCCATGAATCAGAGTGTCCATCAAGGTTCTCAGCGCTCAATTCCAACTCCACCACTTTTTTCTCTCCTCTCGCCAGTCTCAAATTTCGCTGCCCTGATATCAACATGTCTGGCGCCAGATAGGCCTTTGTAGTTGTGCCAGTCTATTTTTCCAGTATATACTCAAATGAACTGTAATCGGCTGCTGTCTCCAGGTGTCGTTGTGCGCTATATCATGCTACAATAGATCCGTGTCTCTCTTCGTGATCACCTTTCACCCACTTCAAGCCTCTCTCTTAGAGCGATCAGGAAACGACCTGTGCTGATGCATGCGCCCACTCACTTTTTACGTATAGCGCCCGCTTTTTGGAAATTGTTCGTTTATTACCGTTCCATCGATCCTCCTGCCGATCACCACCACCGGCATCGAATTGCGGTACCAGCCGATATGGATGGCCACTTCTTCGACGATGGCTTTCCCTATGACAGTCCGTTGGACTCTTCTCAGTCTTTTTCTGGGATACCGGGTGCTCCTGTATCCAATCCATCCCAGCCCGAAGATACCAATTCCCAGTTCGATCGAAACCTCTGTTGGTGGGATGAATCCTTCACCTTACAGGATCTGGGTTCTGAAGACCTTCACGCCGATGATATACAGGCAGATAGCTTCCATCCGTGTCAATTCAACCCGCACGACGGAATTTTCACGAAAAGCTATGTTAATAGCCAAGGTACTCAGACACCACACCAAGCAGACTTCCTGGCCGTTCCGAATTCGAACAATGTCCGTCTCCGCAGTAATTATCCATGGGCGGGCTTCTCCTGCCGCCACAACATGGAAGATTATCTTACACAAGAGTCAGGACGCTCTATGATGTACAGGAATCCTTCGATATATGGGCCTGAGTACATGCTGCAAGCACAGCATATTCCCGCCTTCGACAGCGACTCCAAAGGCGGTAGTGACATCTCAATCCAGCCTCCAGCAGCCTCTGTCCAGTTCACCGCAGCAGACCTAGGCACGTTATCACAATGCCCGAAGGCAGAGGATGCATGTTCTCAGACCTCGTGTGATTCGAAATGCACCTCCTCCGTCTGTGAGGATGAGGAATGTTCGGCAACTGGGATACCCTGCGATGATCCATCCTGTGTGGAAAGCTTCTCGCAATCACAAATGTTGTGCCTATCGCATCCAATACACACACAAATGGCGCCGTCACCTATGCCTTTTCACCAGATCCATAGTCAACCGTGCAATCATACCGAGTCAGAGCACCTTGTTGCGAGAACTCTAGGGGAGCTACGCGCGCCTACGGACTTATATACTCAAGAAAAAGCACCATATACCATCCCGTTCGACCCTGCTCTGGCATCTCGCACTGTGGAACATCTATATGGTGATGATTGCCGACCTTATCTCAGTCCTCAGCTTTCCACAGATCTTGAGAGCTCAGTGCCAAACCTTACACAGATATCAATACAGCCAACGCCTTCAACAGGCGCCACCTCTTCAGGCATACATACATGCCAGTGGATTACCAACCCTTCTGCGCCTCCAGGTGAATCGCGGGTATGCGGTGCGCAATTCACCGATACAAAGGAGTTCCATGACCATATGTGTGAGTCCCATATAGACAAGCTGACGAGCCAAATTGGCTTTACATGCTTATGGGATGGGTGCTCTCGAAAACATGATAAGCCTTTCGTCACGCGTGGCAAACTTCGCCGCCATATATCCACACATTCTGTTTGTAAGTGTTGCTTGAGCATTCTGTAAGTATTTGTTTTACTAACAATTTCTTCCAGATAAACCTTTCGTTTGTAAAGTTTGTAATCAGGGCTTTTCTGGACACCAGGCTCTTCAGCAGCACGAGAGAATTCATACCGGCGAAAAGCCTTTCAAATGCACTTATAAGGGCTGCACTATGGCGTTCAAGCAGAAAAGCGCCCTGAGTATGTGTTTTCAAGTTGTACATTGCCCCGAACCTGGTATTTGCTAACATCAATAAAGCGATGCATTCAAGAGTACACACAGGTGAAAAACCGCTCAGCTGCGAGTTCTGTGGCAAAGCTTTTCCCGAGTCTTCAAACCTGTCAAAGCACAGAAAGATCCACATGAAAGATTCAAAGAAGCATGTATGTGAAGAGATTGTGAACGGGAAACGGTGCGGAAGAACATTTAGAAGGCTCGATCAGCTACGCAGGCATCATCAGACCCATTCGAACCCTGAAAAAAAGAGAGCAGGCCACAGCCGACGAATATCCGCTGTATCTAGTATGTCGGAACAGTCGCCTACTGTTCCTACCACTACTCCTACTACCACGTCTACCCCTTCTTTAGTGTAGCAGCAACTTAGCTTCAAGAGTCACTCGGCTTGAAAGCGCGACATGTTTTGATAACATTGTATGAATTTAGGAGAGTGAGCAGGACATGTGTATATATATACCCCTTTAAGCGATTATCACAGCAATTGAAAAGAGCTGGTGGAGATCACCCTGCATTAGCAAAAAATACTTTATAAGTTTAATTTTCTTTAAGATGCAGTGTCCGAAGTTCTGCCACTTTTGTATAAATTGTTACCGTTGCACTTTGTCATATTGAGGGTGAGAGGGGTACTTGTCTGAGGCAACCTCGGTAGAAATTGTCAGCTGTTTAGGCCCAGGAAAACAATGAGAAAGCAAATTATTTGAGATTCTGTGGGGCTATATAATAACCGTTAGACTGCTCGAACGTCAAACGGCATCGTTTTTAACGTTCGAGATTACATACTTACAAGATTCGTTGTGCTTCCATTTCAGCTTCGTTGTTGTGTAGTGATCTGAAAGATGTGATTAGGTGTAACAAGGGCATAGATACTGGGCTTGGAACTTGAGCAATCCAGATTATAATGAACAACTAGGGCTACATGAGTCTTTGACCAACCAACTCCTTCTTGGCTGTTAGTGGCTTGACTCGACTCTATATACAACTAGTCTACCAGCCCAGACCGCCTAGGTCTCTAGGGTCTATTTCAAGAAGCGAAGTCTAAATAACCTCACTTTCCAGTATTACCCAGTATTGCCTGCATGTCTTGGAAGGTCATGAACAGCCTGCAATGGTCCTTCGTACGGCCGAAGTGCAAGGCGAACTGCATGCTTCAACCGGTACAGAGGTTACACGTGTAACATGAGCAATTCAGATTATAATGAACAACTAGGGCTACTTGAGTCTTTGACCAACCAACTCCTTCTTGGCTGTTAGTGGCTTGACTCGACTCTATATACAACTAGTCTACCAGCCCAGACCGCCTACGTCTCTAGGGTCCGTTTCAAGAAGCGAAGTCTAAATAACCTCACTTTCCAATATTGCCCAGTATTGCCTGCATGTCTCTGTAAGATCATGATCAGTCGAGGTTGTTATGAAGTGTGCTATTTCAGGCTACGAAGTTATAACCCTTTGTGAGCGGAGTTCTCGAAACGTTCATTATGTATCTAACTGACATAGATTGTCTGCCCGTAATAATGGGTAGGAGGGTTGGAGAAGAACTTGCTCAGAAATTGTTTACCAGCACCTCATGTTCCCGTGACTGTGCCAGAAGAGAACCCGTAATTGAGGGTATCCGCAACACAATCATTTGTTGTAATTGTTCGTCCCTACACGGTCTATGCAGATTTCTGAAGTCCGCGCGCTAAGCCCGTACAAATGTGTCCGGCCCGTGTAACGTGCTATTAGATTTAGTATGGATCAACGTTTTACATCAAAGTTCCGCAGATGTGAGGCGAGTGTAGATTTGTACGCATAACCGCCTCTGCCCTCTCAAATGTGGTATGCAGAAGAACGACAATAATAAGGGCTGATGACTGGGCTTCGAATTGAAGATATGCTACTACAACGGCCCTGGTCACCAAATTCCCTTTGGCCTTGGTAACTCATTTGGACTCCTTCTACAATTGGTTCAACCTTTGCTAGCCTCCAAAGCCCGTCAACGTGTCTCATACCAGCAATGAACAACTTGTTGTGAGACTATATTCCTTGGTGGATTGCATGTGCAGCCGTACGTGTGTGTAACTCAGGCTGATTGGTATCCTATGGGATCGTCTTGTATACTACCGAGGCTCTCATACCATAAGAGCAGCCATTGAATTTAGCAGTAATATTCACAGCACTGTATCTAGGACAACCAGAGTAATTTTCTTGGTAATAACGTGGGATCTAGTCAACTTTGTATGCGCTTGCGACCCGAACATGCAGCCTCGTATTAGAAAGTGAGGTTGTATAGGCCTCATCGGCAATGAGACATCTGGGGCCTTGAAGACTGCCAGAAGCCGAAGCAAAGGCCGCACCAATGTATAATATCAAGGTCGACCATTAGGGTCAAAGAGTGAATATTTTGGTCAAGGACCTTAGTAGCCCTAGTAGATTATTGTATTGTGAATACCTTCGATTCCAAGCGAAGTCACCTGCTCTCGTTATATTAACATTTCTAGCGACAGCCAGCATCATTTGATTTTAAAGCAGCTGATTATGATATTTAAGACAGCATGTATTGACATTACATAGGATTACGATAACAAATCGAGCGGCCTACTTGGTAAACTCCAAAATGCGTGTCACGGTCAAACAGTACATTCAATGATCACCTCCAACTGCGATGGCCTTTCTCTCTGATTTATTACGAATATCACCACTCCCACCAACGCGGGCAATATATAGATGCGACCTTGTGCATCCAGGCTGTAGCCACGTCTTAACCATGCGAGTCGAGATCCACTATAGGTAATAGGCACCACATCTTCTAGAGTGCTAGCTCTATTATTATAGTCCTGACGCCAGATAATCGTGGAAGATGTAGTAGTCCTTGTGAATATTAATAGTAAGCCGAGTCATATTCTGGTCCTACATAATATGCCTAAAGGTGATAAGTAATCAGAGTGAGCTATGGGATTGAACAGGATCACTGATGACTTTCATGCGGAAGATGGGCTGGGTTGAGCCATATAAAAACAATTTCTGGCTTCCAATGGGTTAATTAGTTGTGGCCTCGGCGCCTTACGCAACAAGTAGGACTGTATAGTCTATCATGTGCCGTATCTAGTGACAGATCCAATGGCTCAGAACTTCGTTCAACCAATTCATTTGCGTTGAAAACCAGGCGCATGCATCACGTATCTTCGTTGATTTCGAGAACACTGCATGATGATTGGTTCAGAGCCCGTGGACAATTCTCAATTTTTGCGCATTGGGCAGCGACATTGGCTGCAAGTGACCTCATAACACCTATGAACCGAAAAAGCCGTGTGATGCCATGCAAATGTCAGATTCCGTTTTGGAATAACCACGCCCTCTACATCCGTACCCGATTCCCTCCAAAGCCGAAAAATTCATCTAAGCCTATAGCATTTTACGTCAGCCTAGGTCCAGAGCCATTGCCACGTTTGCCGGAGAACAGTGATCCATGTAGTAGTCCACGTAGTGGCCCGAACTTAGCGTACCTTGACGGCGTATTTGCGTTGAGGAAAATGTGTGGCCCTCTTCTTTGTCTTCTCTAGAGTCTTTGACTTCTCCTCGGGTGAGAGGCGGCGACGGATGGCGCGAGTCTGCTTAGGTCGGAGGTCGAGGGGAAGGTACTTCTTGTTTTTGTAGAAGAGACGGAGTTGCTGGCGCTGCTTGAGGTTGACGACGGTCAGGACGCGGGCAATTGACTTTCGTAAGTCGTGGCTGCAGAGAGAATGATAATATTAGCTCGAGTTCTACCGCACAGAGCCGTAGAGGCTAGATTGATCTCTCATCGTTGTGCAGCTCATGTTGAACTGATGTCGATATAAGGCCGGTGGGGTGTAGGTGGTCGAGGGGTAGCGGGTGGTGTTCTTCTTGCTAGGGATATAGTGGACATACATCTTGTTCAATTTGCTGCCCGAGGATGTTATCTTTTGGATTCGGAGCTGGCCAAGCTCGCTCTTGAGCTCGCCGAGCTGCTTCATCAAATCATCCTTGCTCTTGTTCCAGAGCTGACCGGTCTTGACCTTTGACGTCGACTGCGAGAAGGGAAGCTGTGTTAGCGATAGGTTCGAGTATGCTGGGCGCGTAGAACGAAATAAGTGTCGCGCAGTCAACTTACCATCGTGAATGGCGTTGGGCGTGGAAAATTGGCGGTCTCCGAGTTGTCGTCGTCGTTTGCGGATGAGGTCGTGTCGTGAAATTTCGCCAAATTCTTTTTAGGGTCTTGAGAATTGGAGAGTTGTGTGGAAAACCAAAGCCAGCACAGACCACCAACTGGACTAGCGGGTCTAGGTACCTACTATGGGTCCTCCTCGTACGCTAGTCACCTCTCCAGCCTCTCTACTGAGGTATGCAGGTGGCTCTTTGTGGCTGTGGTTCTATTGCCATGGAGCTGTGGCTGATGCTGATTACATAAACAGAGTACCTACCTAGGTACCTCGGTACCATTTCAAGGACAGTAAGATTTACAGTGCATACAATACCGAGCACAGTATCTGCATCGTCCCATTGCCTATGGGCTTGGCTCTCTTACCACTTACCAGGAGAAAGATGACGAAGGGTCTGAGAATGCGTTGATGCAATGCACGCCACGACACGACTTGTGAAGCTTGTGTACTCTGCCGCGAAAACTTTCTGTGTCCACGCCACGACCTGCCGTGTTCCTCCGAGATCATTATTTCTATTGTCGCAATAAGACACCTTCGCTCCAAAGCACAAGTCACCTGGTTTCTCTGGCCAACATAGTATTTGATATCCGTTCAAAGATGGCAACGACTACAGGAAATCAGGGCTGGGCGCAACTTCGACAGCAAGCCCGAGGTCTTGAGTCCCAGGTAAGATAATGCACTTTGACAATTACAATAGTCTGGCGCTAATGCAGTGTCCATTATAACAGACTGAGTCGCTCTTCCACACATACTCGCAGTTTTCTACAGTTTCGAATATCCCGCCGAAGCCGACTAAGGAGGAGAGGGAGACAGAAGTAAAATTAGAGGACCTCTTACAGAAAGTAAGAGCCCATTGAGTCTAACTCTAGACCTCCCTTGGGTTATTCGCCACTGACTTGGTTTTGTAACAGCGAGAGGTTGTCATTGACCAACTTGGGCGGTTGCTTGATTCCGAAGCAAGCTTAACATCTTCAGCCTTGAAACAAAACAACTTGTCACTTCTCCGTGAAAAGCTAGCGGAACACCGGCGTGACCTTGGCCGTCTGAAATCGAAATTACATGAAGCGCGCAACCGCGCGAATCTGCTATCAAACGTGCGGGATGACATTGAGAGTTACCGCGCCAACAATCCAGAAGCGGCCGAGGCCGAATATATGTTGGATGAGCGGAACCGAATCGACAACTCTCACAACATGGTGGACAGCGTATTAAGCCAGGCGTACGCTACAAACGAGAGTTTCAACTTGCAGCGTGAGACGCTCGCTAGCATCAACCGCCGGATTACATTAGCCGCAAGCCAAGTCCCCGGGCTCAATACGCTCATTGGGAAAATCTCGGCGAGAAAACGTCGCGATGGCTTTATTATGGGCGGGTTCATTGCGTTCTGTTTTATAGTCTTTTTCTTTTTCTTGTAAGAAAATACTCGTCCTGAGATGGAAGAAAAGGTTCTCGAGCTCCCTATTTGTATGATTTCTGGCATTGGGGATGTTTCATTTGAGGCGTTTGCAGACAGCATTGTTTATTCTGCCAGGCAAGGCGTTGTGGTGCGGTCCATATCAAAACAGGGTATAATATTGAATTACCAGCCAAGCCCATGAGGCTACTCACATATGCATTCACGCAAGAAGAACTATAATCATCGTGTCCGTTTTTTCATATTGCTTGCTTTCTACTAGTCACTTCCAGTCCGAATCCAAAGGCGCATAATTCATCCATTAGGGTATGGGTTTATTGTAGGTAATGGCTGTTCAAAGGAGATAGACTGGTCAACGGAAGACAAACTCATCGATATCATGCACATGTGTTATACAAGCGGGTCTGGGTATCACTAGTCTAGCCATATTCATACATTAGTCGATACAAAAAGAAGAGCAATGATGAAAGTGTCTACTACTTCTTCGTCATCACCTCTGCCAGTAACCGCTCAAGGCCCTTCACAAGGCCTTCACGCTCATGGTCCTCGCTCGGGCCACTGCCGGCCCATCGTATCCTGCAATCGGGATCCAAGAGGTATGTGTAGCCGACCTTGCTATTCAACAGACCGATACCTTCCCTGATCTCCTCTGAAACGCCCTTGCGGACAAGGAAGTAACGTCCGAAATTCTCCTCACCTCCAACCTGGCGTCTTATATTCCCCATCCATAGTTTGATTAGAAAGGCTTTTAAAGGGTTCTCCTCGATATTGATTCGTACATGCTGCGCCCTACCTCCGCTCTGAGCGATAATCCTTTCGACGGCGGGATTGCTCTCCCTAGACACAAACGAATTGCATTGGTTCTCGGCCCACACGCTGCTGAAGATGCTGACGATGGAGACCTGTCCTTGCAGCAGGGGAGTCGTGTCCCGAGGCTCCTTGTCCGTCTTGAGCAGCGTACGCCCGTAGAAATTGGGGAAGAATAGAGATAGGTCGCCTTTGAAGACTCGCGGTGGCGCAATAAATGTTTTGCCCTTGTGGAACTGTAAATTGCCCCAGTCGCGGAAGTATGGACGAGCCATTTTATTCTTTCTGCATGATCATGAAAATAGGCCGCAGAGTCAGCCAAGTGAACCAATTTGCAACTTGAACATGAAAGTTTCGGTGTGCATGCGTGAAGAAGACACCTGGGGAGAGATGAGAAGGTGTGGGATCGTTAAGATGGAACATACAGCTGCTGTCGCCTCTCCAGGTGCTTGTCGTAGTTTACGAAGTCATCCCGTCGCTGCTTCAGCGTCCGGGGATCTATACCCGTATTCTGACCTGCTTCCGGTGGGTAAGGAAGGCCGATAGGTCGACCGAGCGGCGTCGGTGTAAACTCTTCCACGCGCTTGCCATAGGACCTTGGGGCATCGACGAGTGGAGAGGGTGCAATGAACCCAGGCGGGTGCGGTGCGGTTTTTGGAGTGGTTGCATCAGCCGCGGGCTTATCTATACCCTTGGGCGTGTGCCCAGCCAGAAGGCGGTAGGATGTGCTGAAGTCGCGAGATTGACATAACCGGCAAAGCAATCTTGATCGCCGCGTGAGCAGCGACATGGTAATTGTGTTTCACTTGCGAAGCTTTGCGCAACATGTGGTTGCCAAAATGCGGCGATTTGGAGATGCATTATCAGATGTCAGCTAAGATAAGATAAGTAGGTTATCCTAGGTACTACTACCCCAAGCGCTTGACCCTCCCAACCTTACTGAGGTACATATACCTATACCGAGCTGCTGTAGGGACACGACATGGGCTGCCGCACAGCTACGTATCTACCGCGTAGAGAACGGGCTGTTATCGCTTATCGATAAATGCATGCTTATCCGCCCAGAAACGAAACTCGACTGGTGAATACTATGACGTAAGCATGCATATTGTAGATTCGGTACCTGAGGTATCCCGCTGCAGCTTTTGGTGGGCAAGTTCATAGACTCAACGTACAAGTACATATCCTTTCATGGGGAGCTGATAATAAGTGCACTAGGAGGTAGAGTGAAATCGGAGATTACTTAGCAACTATCTGTTGGGACCAGGAATACCGTTGTCCCCGCAGCTACGGCACGGCCACCGTCGGCTTCCCCAGATTGCGGCTATAAGCGGGCGAATGTGGGGGAAGGAGGCCAGCAGCTGTCATTTCTTCCTTCACCTCCCGCGCTTCTAGAGAAGTAATTGACCGTGTCCTCTTGCGTTTTTAGATCCTAAGGACCTATTCTAATTTCTATTATTTGGTAGCAGAACTTACCATGTTTTTACAACGCGGTTCTCGAGCTTTGCGCCGCCAATGGCGAACTTGCCGAGACATGGCTCGAATGGCGGATCCCCAGATGCGAGGGGCGTATTGCGCCGCTATTGCTAAGGACTTCCACTCGACGAGGAGGACGCAGGCCATCAAGCCTGTCCTTTTGGCTGATATCGGCGAAGGTACCATAGTTTCCCCTGTGATATAACTGTCAAAGTACTCAAGATCTCACCTAGGTATCGTGGAATGCGAAATCATACAATGGTTTGTCGAACCTGAAGCCAGAGTCGAAGAGTTCTCACCGTTGTGCGAAGTCCAGAGCGACAAAGCCTCCGTCGAGATAACGAGTCGGTTCGCAGGTGTCGTCAAGAAGCTATATTATGATGCGGGAGAAATGGCTAAAGTCGGCAAGCCGTTTGTGGATATCGATATACTGGGCGATGCTAAGAAAGAAGACTTGGAGGCCTTGACCGCACCGGTGCCCTCAACCGATGGTATCTCAGAGCCGTCGAATAAAGATTCTCTCAAACGGGTGTCTGGGACGCAGGAGTATCCACAGACCTCAGAAAGCATGCCGCAATCCGAAAACAGTGTGTCCCAGTCCTTAACTCGGGATAAAAACATATATAAATCATTGGCGACTCCTGCGGTGCGCCATCTATGCAAAGAGTTAAATGTCCAGATTACTGACGTCGTTGGGACGGGGAAAAGTGGCAGAGTGCTGAAAGAAGACATATATAAGTTCGTTGAAGCTCGCGATGCTGGCAACAAGGCTGCGCAACCCACGAAGACTACCTCCGAAGCACCGTCTACCCCATTAACCACCACCGAGAGACAGATGGAGACCGCTGTCGCTCTAACTAATACCCAACAACAAATGTTCAAAACGATGACCCGGTCTCTGAGCATACCGCACTTCCTATATGCCGACGAGGTTGACTTTTCCCAGCTCTACGAATTGAGGCAGCGGTTGAACAAGATATTATTACAGTCAGCTAAAGAAGGAGAGATATCAAAACTGTCTTATTTGCCCTTCATTATCAAAGCGGTATCGCTTGCCCTTGCCAAATACCCGATATTGAACGCACGGGTAGACAACGATCCCGAAACGTCTAAGCCGGCGCTAGTCTACCGCAGTCAGCATAATATTGGTGTGGCGATGGATACACCTATAGGCCTACTTGTACCGGTTATCAAGAACGTGGGGGCTAAGAATGTATTATCAATTGCAAGCGAGTTGGCAGGCCTGCAGTCTAGAGCGGCAGCTGGGACGCTGTCGGTGCAAGACCTAACTGGAGGAACGATCACAGTATCGAATATCGGCAATATAGGAGGAACATACCTGTCACCGGTCATTGTTGAGAAGGAGGTAGCAATACTGGGTATTGGGCGCATGCGCACAGTTCCTGCATTCGGTAAAGACGATGAAGTGATCAAGAAGCAGGTGTGCAACTTCAGTTGGAGCGCAGATCATCGTGTTGTCGATGGAGCGACTATGGCCCGGGCAGCCGAAGTCGTTAGGCAAATTGTGGAGGAGCCTGCAGCATATATCCTGCATCTGCGGTGAGCAGAAAAGGGTCGTCAATACACCGCCTCCCCGCTCTCTGGTTCTCATTCTCGGCCGATAAAAACCGTGAGCTGTGAGCTGCACACTATGTCACCCATACTGAGTAAAGGATTTGAGGATTTGCAGATTGCTCACCACATAAACATGGTCCGATGAGGGGAGACGCTGGCCAGAGGCTGGCCATGCTCGGCCATGGTAGCTTTACCAGAAAGAGAAAGTAAAAGTGGACCAAGGCTGGGATAAGCAACTACTTCGTAGGAGTGTAAGTGGGATTTTGGGATTTACTGGGATTTGGCCACCGGCTTCCTCCAGGCGACCTACATGTGCTGTAGCATCTGACCTCGGTGATGTAGTGTACGGCTGTGCGAATCTAGGCCAAGAGGTAGAACTACCAGTAGGAATTCAACGCGGTCCTTGGTACTCTAGTCGTGCCTCGTGCAGTCCTTGACTTAGCTACGGTACCTGACCTAGGTACTGTAGCATCTACTCAGCCTGCTTTGCCTGCCTGGACCGAATCATGCCTGGCCGCGGAACCGACAACCGGGATCCGAGAGTAGCAGTCACATTCCCGTCGCATGGACTGTAAGAGTGCCGTGTAGGGCAGACAATAGAAACATGCATGGTGCTCGATTTGGCGACCTGAGGTAAGGGAAAAGAAAGATGGCCACCGGATTCCTCCTCATGCATAGTATACACACATGCTAGAGAATACCATAGCAGATCCGACAGGTATATAAACGTTGAAGTATAGTTAGTAGTAAGCAATGCAACGTGGAAATGTCTACGCCACATACAAGGTGACGGGATGCGAGGGTTTGATTCGCTGAAGTTCCTCCGGGAAAGTCCAGGCATGTGTCTCACATACATCCAACGAACTTCAAGGTCCTATTGCGAATATATGTAGGTGACTGTACGTAAGCTTGAGTATCTATCTTTGATGCAAGGGTAGAGAAAGTCTGCCCACTTATCCTCCGAAGGTGAGGAAAAGCAAAAGGTGGTATTTGATCTCTCTATCCAAGACTAGTAGTGTGACAGAACAAGTTTGCATATTCATGCAGTACTGTGGCTGCCTCGGGTGAATCCCGGGACCAGTGTAATATCAATGATACGCAAACAAACCTTGCTGAACTCCTTTCTTTCTCTCACTTGATTCGAGTCTCGTGACGAACTCGTCATGGCAAGTGAAAGGTAACAGCTACCCTATCCAAAGACCACAAACCTCCCTGATGTCAACGCCAACGCACCTGGATTTCAGGGGAAAAAAAAAGCAACAGTAAAACACTTGGTCCGTTTTCTCAAGTGGCGGAATCTCAGCCGCTGCTTGCCCCCAACGGGCACTGATCCCAGTTTGCCGTGAGAATGCGTGCGTACATGCATACTACCTAATAATGCCGCCGTTTCTACTTAAACGGTCTCGCGCATCTTATTTGACGCCTGGCTCAGTGCTGCACTAAGCACCTCGGACATGGTACCGCTCACGTCGATGCTGATCACATCCGTCTCCTCCGCCGTTGGTGGCTCTAGTATCTCGAATTGGCTCCGCACCATGTTCGCACCCATGTAGTGTCCCTGTCGCAGCCCAACACGCTCAAGAAGCAGGGCTTCTGGTGCGTGGAGGTAGATGAAATGAAGCTGTACATCATGCGTGAAGTATGGCGCCACTCTGATAACGTCCCTGTACTTCCGCTTCAGCGCCGAGCAGGTTAGGACCACGCCTTCAGCTCCCGATGTCAGTTGTCTGAGCGATTCCTCGCGCAAGAGTGTAAGCCAGTCCCACCGGTCAGCGTCTGTCAACGGTATTCCATTGGCCATTTTATCAATATTTGCTTTCGGATGATACTATGAGTATGATCAGATCAGCATTAAACAATTCCTCGAAGCAGCCGAGACTAAACCTACCGCATCACCCTCGAGATATGGCAAATTTAAAGACTCGGATAAGTGTCTAGCAACAGTTGTCTTGCCGCACCCAGCTGGGCCAGTGACAAGCCAGATGTGGTGCACGCGTGGTGCATGCTGGCCACTGACACTTGCAATGGTGTTATTCGACGTGACTGGGGTATTTTTGGTATCAATGGGCTGTGGATTGGGCCCAAGAGGGTCCATGGTAGATGACATAAGGTTGACTACTGGAATTTCCCCAGCAATTGGGACCGAGGAGTTGTATGTTAACATTAGCTGCTGAGGCTTTTGGTACTTGTATTTTCATGAACTGATGAACTAGGATATAAAGCCTGAGATTGAACTCGTTCCTTTGTTCGGTTATTTGTTGTTTGTTTCAACGTAGCATCTAAGTTGCGAAGACTAGGGTTGTGATTCAAAACCGGTTGACATGAGGAAAAGTTATCAAGAAAGGTTGACAATAAACAGGAAGTGAATAAAAGATAGAAGTTAGTGGACAATGCTAGTGAGGGTGTAGTTATTTTATAAGAGCAGGAGAGGATGAGTAAGGAGGCCAGGTCTAGATTAGGAAATGGGACTTTTCTCAAGACAAGAATAGGCCCCTATTCAGTCAGAATCACCACCGGCAAGTGAACCGGACCTCTCACCGCATTCAAGACGGACAAGGCCCAGCCTGGTTGAGTGACCTTAGCCACAGCACAGGTGCAGAATTGCGCGGAGACGGCCCAGAAGACGCTAGAGACCAAAAAACCGACCCGTCAGGAATGTCAAACAAGGCAATTCTGGAGCATTCGAGCCAATCAGCCGCCTCGAGACGCTGTGCAGTGCAGAACTCGGCTTGGGGTCTAGTGTAAGTCAGATAGTTTCACTCTTTTGTACTTCCCGTGTACATATAAGTAGCATTTGCCGAGCTGAGTTCACTCACGCATGTAGCGAAGTTGCGATGCGCAGTTACCGAATACTGCGTTGCTGACAGAAGTATTAGGGAAGCTTGTTATGTAGGCAATATAAAAATTCCATTGGCACTGGCGTTGTGTAACAGCGTGTATCGGTCAGAGTATGGTCCGTGTGCCCTGACTTGACTTGAGGTGTAGTACGTCTTATATCATTCGTGACTCCCTTTTCAACATTTTCTGACCTACAGGAAGAACTGCGCCCTATCCGCTGTTCCGGCATGCCCTTTTGGCCCACAAATCCAATCAGATGGGTATCCGTCATCAGACAGGGTAGATATGGGGAGCCATATCGTTGGCGGAAAAAGCTTTTATGGAGAAGCTTCTTTTCCCCGGCGTATTTGCCGTGAAGGAAGCCTTTCCTATTAGGCGAGACGGCAAGCACCAAGTTTCGCCTGCGCAGCGGAAGTTAAGCTTGTTACTGGAGGGTTACCTGGGCCAAGCGCCTGAATGCAACCCGAGTTAAAGAGACTAATCGAAACGCAGGGAAATGAGTATAGGATTGGGGGACATAAACTTATCCAATGCAGCAAAAAAAGTCGGGATTACGTGGGGGGCAAAGACTTTGCGGAGGTCAAAATCGGCGAAATGCTTTACATACGCATACTCTGAGAAGTATGGAGTTCACCAACGTGGGGGTCGAGGGGGTGTATGAGTTCTCGTATGAGGTCAAAGACTCCATTAGGCTTCCACGGGCTATTAAATTGTGGAGGGCACATGGCTCTTAGCCCGTAAACTAGCCATCTAGTATCTTGGCTATGCGTATGCGTTCCCAAGCTTCAGTGTGCTGCAAGTGGTACTATTAGGATGTGTACAGTAGATGACTACAGAAATAGTCTAGGTAGGTATAGTTAGAAATACTTACCACCCCGGTATTCTGTTGATAGGTAGGGTTTCCATGGCAAAGTATGAAGACCAGAGAAACAAAATAATGGTGTTGCCCAGGAGCCTTTCTGTGCACCTATTCAGTCCGCCCCCTTCTATTCCGTTTCGTTGGCCACTAAAGTCTGCTATAGCTTTCTTCTTACACACGGATGGAGGCGGATCATGGAGTGAGAAGGCGTGCATGCTGCCTCTTTCAAGGAGCTGACCTCGAGTACCTAGTATATGTCGTATCGGTCCGGTGCACTTCTGTTGCATCGCAGCATAAATATCGAATTCTCTTATTAGTTGTCTGGAGGTTATAGCACGGCAGACCCCAACGGGAAATTTTGATGTTACCTGGAGCTTATTGGCCATTCACAATGGAATGCAAGCTGATCTTGTGCCCATCTGCACCCCATGTACAAGAATTCTCCCGGGGATGTGGACCCCTCCTTTTCCGGTTCATACGGGCTCACAAGGGGTTGTTGTATACCGGCCGTCTGCAGTCCGGTAGGCCGAAGAGACTAGTAGAGTAAAAACACCCATCGACGGCTCTTGTGACCCATTTACGACCCAACGACTGGGCGAGCATGACGCGAGATGGTCATCTGTTTATACGTTGCAAAGTCAGTCAATGCCCTGCGATTCCTAGCACGATGGGCTCATTAGGCCCGTGGCTGCGTGCCGCCTTTGTCCCACAATGACGCATCATCACTCAAGGGTCATCGTACTTTCTGCCTGTACGCAACCATCGATGCTGGCTTATCTAGATTACGGGATATTCTGTAGACATCGGTGGGTATGCTCACGTGGTCCGATCGCTTTTAGTGGAGGTGATAACAGTCAAGCCTTGCTTGTGTGCCAGATGTTCATGTGGCCTCGTACGGAACGTGGTACCTGGGCTTGTTGCCATCGATATCGCATCTTGCCCTGGTTACTGCTCCAATTATTTTTAGCTCACAGGAATGCTCCCCTAGTATTCTCCGAATCACTATCCCTGATTGCAGCATGACGTAAAGTGAAAGGTGTCGGCTTTCATGATGTGCCGAGAATGGCTCACGCTACCTAAAGCGAATTGATATCGTATACATGCCATTGATGTATCGGCTGGTTACCAGCATCCTTGTTGGGCTGCAATAGACTGGGTGGCGGTAAGATGAAACGGGAAGAGTGAATGGGATGAGTGTGATCTGGTTAGGCGTCAACTCAATAGCGGCTTCTCGGAACTTACCGAGAAAGCTTCATCGTCGCCAGGTAAAAGGACGTTGCCTCATACTGACGCAAACTGAAAGAAAGATGCTAGGCTATAACTCGGGGATTATCAGCCAGCACTCGTTAGTGAGCTCGTCAATCCCACGGACTCGGTAGTTCCAGATAGAACCTTACCGCGATGGATGACTTGGCAGTGTTGACACCAGCCTCTGATCCGGTAGTCTAGATAAGTATACATGAGCGAGATTGGACGACCTCAGACTCCTCGACTGGCATCGCCTGGCTAATCATGACGCAGTGAGGTTTATAAGAAGCCTGGCTACCGGTGTTGGCGAGGATGCGGCAGGGAGCGGATGGGAGCGGCAAGGGGAGGGGGTGAGCAGCGACGATCACGAGATGAACTCCAAATTTTCTAGAAGAAATCGGTTGGCAACAGATACCTCTACAATGTGCTACCTACATATGTACATATGTAGGTACTTGTACATAGATACATAGATACATTGGCCACATGTCATATCACGTACGGTGCACATGGCCATGATAGGTACCTGGTTAGGTAGCGCGCATACGCATACTACACTGCACTGGCCTCTGGGTTGGGTTCCAAGGTTGAGCTGGACAGATGGAACGACGGAACCGAATACAATACCTACAGCGCATGAAAGACTAGATACTGTCAGATGCACAGTACCAGTCCTACCTACGCATTTGAAGCAAGGGCTAAAACCTGGGGCAGGCAGACAAGCCCTATTAGTGGTTAAATGCTGTCCTACCAATCTATGGTACTGTTGTACCTGAGGTAGGGAATTCAGTTTCCTTTATCCATCAATGAGATAGATACCTAGTTTATAAAAAAGGGATCATGTATCGATCATTATTTATAAACCTACATACGTCTACCACAGGCATAGAATAGAGTACCTACCTATGTACTGTAGGGAGATACTGCTATATGTATGTAGTATAGATAGGTATCCCATAAGTACATACTGTCTACCTATGCAGGGCTTCTGCATAGCATTCATAGGGCACGTACCTACTATGTATATAGTACCTACCTAGGTAGGCAGGTGGAGAAAACATGTAGATATAGGCATACCTGCTCACTACGTCTGTCTCCCTCGAATTCTCTGCGAGCACTGGAGTACCTACTAGGTAGACACTAAACTTGCATTCCCAAGGTCTACCTAGTACTGAAGCTATCCCCCGAGGCAAAATATCTGAGGTAGTCAACATCAGGCGGAAAGCTTGCGTCGGCCCTAAATGAGACCCCTCTCCTGTCTGCCCATTGCTTCGAGACTGGGAATCTCCAAACCACGACACTTCGTTGCACTTAGCAGCATACGCCTTGTCTTCCACAAGCCAGCATATTCAAAGGTTTCCGGCTTTCCGCGGTTTCACCACACCACCACCGCTACTATGGATGCTCATGATTTGAAGCACTACCTGGCTGATGCCCCCCCTAGCGTTGTAAGACTGGAGGTCGAGAAGCATTTTGAGCCCCTGGGCGACAAGCAGAAACGTTATGCCCATTTCATCAGCAGGTTAATCGGCCCTGTGTTCCGACTTCATGTCACATCGAGTATCGCTAACCTCCGCTGAATGCAGAGCTTCCTTCCAGGGCACTAGGGTAATTTTGAGGCAGGTGTCGCCCGAATCGGAGCCAATAGTATGTTGGGCTTAATTCAAAATACCACTGTTTATGTACATGGCTATGTGTGCGTGTTGACTGTGGCTTAGTTCGACTTCATTCTCGCCTTGTATCACTCATCAGGTGGGGACTGGAAGAGCCTCCAGTCCAAGGCCGGTATTTCGGATGTTGACTTGGATCACTTTTTCAGCTATGCCGCCCAATTCCTCGGAAACAGTGGCAATTACAAGAGCTTTGGAGATGCAAAGTTCATTCCAAGATGCCAGGAGTCTGTATTTGCCGCGCTTGCTACAACCTCCCCCGAGGCACTGAACTTCTACAAGGCCACCTCCGGCGCCATCTTCTCTGCCGACAAGCCTGGTCTTCTGCATCTAGGATATCCTGACCAAGGTCACATGACAACGTACTATCCAAATTCCCCTGATATCACACAACCCGAAATCGAGGCTGTCTCAAAGTGGATGGAACAAAGGAAACTCCTCCCAGAGAACACCCGCCTAGTCAAGTCACAGGGAAACACATTTGAGATACTAGTTGCGTCGGCCGACACTGCTATTCCTAGCGAAGGGGGCGATGCTGGGAAAGAAACTGAGTTCAAGATCGATGACGGCATTTTAGCTGGAAAAACACTGAAACTGGTTTATGGAGATTATTCCCATGAGATGACTGCTATCGCCGCTCACACAAAGAGAGCAGCAGAAAACGGAGACAATGAAAACCAACGGAAGATGTATGAGGCATACACAAAATCTTTCAAGGAAGGTTCACTTCTTGCCTACAAAGACAGCCAGCGTTTCTGGATCCGCGACCAAAAACCATCTATTGAATCTTCAGGTATGTATTGAACTCTGCTATATCGGTTATAAGATTTGGTATTGGTGGAAAGATCGATTATCTTTCAACGCTAACGATTGCTACAGTATGTGAACTGTTGATCGCGAAATGCGATATAATTCTAGAGACTATGGAATAATGAATTGGACTAACTAACCCATTTTCATATGACAGATTGGATTTATTGAGACTTAGGTATGTGCAAAGACCTGACACGCCGGTTGCGAGATGCTGTGTTGGTAGAAAAATCCAACTGTCTGTCCAAGCTAACTCTTAGTTCAGTAGGTGAAATTCTCACCCATGAACCAGGTTACCATAGTCTGTGTAATTCTCAAGGCGTGTGTAACAAGATGATATACTAATGTGTGCTTCCTGTGCTAGTCGAGACCCGGCCGGCATCAGAGGCGAATGGGAGGGATTTGCTGCCGTCGTAAATGTTGAACGCACGCGAGCATTTGGAGCTCTCGTTGATGCTGCTCCATCTCTGATTCCTCTTCTGCCTTGGGGCAAGGATTTTGAGAAGGACAAGTTTTTGTCTCCCGATTTCACTTCGTTGGAAGTGCTCTCTTTCGCTGGTTCGGGAATTCCTGCGGGTATTAATTTACCCAATTACGACGACATTCGGCAAACAGAAGGGTTTAAAAACGTGTCACTCGGCAACGTACTGAGTGCGAAGGCTCCAAACGAGAAGATACCCTTCATTGCTGAGGAAGATCTCGAGATATACCAAAAATACCGCGATGGCGCTTTTGAGGTCCAAGTCGGCCTTCACGAACTAACAGGCCACGGTGTAAGCTTTCCCCTTCTTCTCCACCCTGTTCTCGCCTATTGTGGAGGCCACAGTGTTCTATTGAGGCGATGTGTGTGTCTTGAAAGCATACGAAACTTCTTACACCAGCTCCCATTATACCTGAAAAGAGTGACCACTGACTCTGACGAACCGTAGTGTGGGAAATTACTCCAAGAAACTTCACCGGGAGTTTTCAACTTTGATCAAGCAAATCCGCCCATCTCCCCACTGACACAAAAACCCGTTACTACATGGTATAAGCCTGGTCAGACTTGGGGTTCGGTCTTCGGAAGTCTAGCAGGTGCATATGAAGGTAGGTACGACGGTGGCAAAATTTGCCTGTTTTTTCCTTACAAAGAAAGTTGCTAACTTTCGTAATACGTAGAATGCCGTGCTGAACTAGTTGCGATGTTCCTCAGCTGCGAGTTTCCCGTTCTTAAGATATTCGGTTTTGGAGATGGGTCCTCCAACATTAACGGCGAAGCAGGTGACGTGCTCTATGCTTCATATCTTAGGGTACGTATCAATACCCTCTGTGCCAGCTTTAAGACCTAGTATTGATAGAAAGGTCTATTGTTTTCCAAAGCTAACTATTGCCGCAGTATGTGAATCTTTGATCTCAACACGCCACTACTATAATTGTATAATTCTAGAAAGTATTTAGTAAGGACCCGGGCTAATACGTTTTGATATGACAGTATGGCACGGGCTGGTCTATTGGCATTGGAGATGTTTGACCCAAAAAGCAGGAAATGGGGCCAGCCACATTCCCAGGCACGATTCAGTATCCTGCAGTGCTTTTTACAGGCAGGTGATGACTTCTGCAAGCTTGAGTACCAAGGAGACAGCTTAAAGGATGCCGTCATCAAGCTTGACCGATCTAAAATTACCACAGTTGGTCGCAAGGCTGTTGGCGAATATTTACAGAAGCTGCACATCTATAAGTCAACGGCCGATGTTGAGGCTGGCACAAGGTTCTTCACCAAAATGACAGATGTTGACCCTGAGTTTTGGGGCAAAAAGGTACGGGATGAAGTCCTCGCAAACAAACAGCCCCGGAAAGTGTTTGTTCAGGCCAATACATTCCTTGACGAGGCTACAGGCAAGGTTGCCTTAAAACACTACGACGCTACGCCCCAAGGCATGATCCAGAGTTGGGCTGAACGTCAAGTTTGACTGCAAGCCCAGTCATGCCAAACGAGGAGCTTGTCATAAATGTTGATTGGGATTTGAGCCATATACCTTTACTTCTATCCCAATATATTTACGGCCAACTGAACAAATGATAAGATAGGAGAAACGTGACAGACAGTAACATCTGATACTGGAAGAGCCAAAGGAGCATTGATTATTAGGTAACCTCTAGCTACCTTAAAAATCTAACTAGATGAATCAAGTGATCTGAGGCTGTGTATGCACATTCTCTAAAGCTTAATAGCATATAGGTACTCGCCGCGACCTTTCGCTCTTCATGCAAGCCTGATTCCCCACAGTAACACCGTAATCAAGTAAAACGACCGTGATGCCTTTGTAGTCCTTTTTTATTGACTAAAAACCTCAATTACAGACGCCAGAATCAATGTGACCGATGCCTCAACGTCCAGATGCAATTGGCAGCCCAGTTCCCGCGATTCGCCATCCGCAATCTGTGAGTTTTCCCTTCTAAAGCATCATCATAACCGATCGAGAAAAGCCCATTCCGTCGTTAGGTTGATTTACCACTTCATCTCGTGGGGCTTGTCGCCCTTGCGAAGGCTAAAAGAGCTAGCGAGGTAGCTAGCAAGCTGGTCTACTTTCTTAATGTTGGCAATCAAGGCCTTATCGATGGTCTTCTGGTCCGCCGCTCGGCTACTGCTGATTTCCTTCTTCTGTAAAAGCCATGGTCGTTAGTTTTAGTCCCCCAGATGATTCGTAGCAATTCATATATCCATACCTGTGGCTGCTCTCCCTGCTTGAAGAATGCCTCTTCACTAGCCTTATCCTTGGCAGCATCGCGAGCGAAGTATTTGGGTTCTGAGACCTCATCGATCTTGGCCTGGTCTACACCGGCAAGGTCGATCTTCTGTGAGGTGGCGATGACATATCGAGAGTTGACGCGTCTCAGAGGGACACCGTTGATCTTGAAGGGGCCAGTAACAAGCAGAACACCCTGGTCGAGCGTCTTGAGAAGCACGACACGCTTGCCGCGGAACCGCCCAGCTAGGAGGATCAAAACGGTACCGGGGGTAAGAGAGTCGCGGGGAGCCCAGGGGCGAAGGGTCTTGCGAACCTGTAGCGAAATCCTGTCAGCTCTCTCTTCCTGCACTTTAATGCTTAAAGACATCCGCTTCGCTTGCTGCCATCACACCCAGTTCGATATATGGAGTTTTTGTCATTGCCCATGCTATACTCCCAAACATAACCCATATATATGGACCAAGAATGTGCAGACAAGGCGTTTTCGCGCAATTTCCAAATACTAGCTCGGCGTGGTATGAATGCATGATTGATCGAGTCGGCGCACACTCACCTTCTTGGGCTTGGGCTCATCCGTGGCAGGGTACCATTTCTGGACCTTCTGGGAAGGATGAGGGACCTCCCGGGTCGACTTTCCGAACTTCTTCTGTGTGCTCGGCTGCGACATCGTGACGTTGGTCGGGAGTGGTTGGTGGTGGAAGGGAATTGGCGGGCTGTTGGTGATGTCGAGTTAGTCAATCAAAATTCCCGTTGCGCAAAAATGGAAGATGGTTTTTGGTGGGTTTACCGAGCCCTGTGGGTGCCACATAATGCTGGGCGTTATCTCTGTGGCTGATCCATATCTCGATGGCTCAGCCACATCTGTACAAGGGGAGGTAGGTACCTCCACCATGAGCACAAGTGGGTACCTAGGTACAGAGGTACATCAAGGCTCCCATCATGCCCCACTAATGACACAGCTCCGATAGTGAAGTGGGAAGCTGCGGACTGACTAGCCTTGGATACCTCTTGCCTGCCTACTGTGCTTCGTACCTACTAACCTACCCGACTTGTTTACGTAGCGCCTTCCCGCATTACTGACGAAGCTCACCTGCAGCCTTGCAACGCAAAAAAAATAAAAAACACCGTGACTTGGGGAGGGGTCTTGTCATCTCATTCATAACTCGGGTTCTACTTGGGAAAAAAAAACAACCATTCCAACCGTCCGTATAGCTAAGTGACCCAGCAGCATCGCTTCTTTGGGTCTCACTCACAAAGATGGCCTCAACATCGATAACGCCACTCATCAGCTTCAAGGCGGGCAAATGTGATCTTGACGTCTGTCGACCCTACAAGGCATTCTGTACACGCTAGGCGCCCATGCTGATGATGAATTAGACTTCTGCAAAGCCGTATAAAACCACGCCTTTACCGGAACCTGGCTTCATATACCTGTATCTTGAAGATGGTACTTACTCAGCAGTCCCATATACCTGGGTAATGCTAATACCACACTAGATCTTATTCACTTCTGCTGGCGGGAGCGGAACGCCCCTCTACACGAGCCCGAGATAGACCTCGTCATGGTTCCAGCAGATGGCCACTTTGTTCCCTACGAGGCGCCTAGCGGGCGTCGACCCTATACGAACGGCCGAATCTTTGTTCTCAAATTCCTTTCGTCATCAACGCGCTATCTTTTCTGGCTACAGTCAAAACCCCAAGGCACTCGAGGCAGCCAAGACCCGAGCTATCTGAGCCCTCGAGATCGGAAAATCGGCGAGATCGTTGATGCTATGCTACAAGGCGAGGAGGTTGATGTTGTCGCAGAGCTACGTCAGATTAGGGAAGATGGGCGTGGTGATGATGATGATGATACGGCTATGGAAGACTCACAAGCCCACGGAAGCTCAAATGAACCCCACGGCGGTAGTGGGGGTGCCGGAGCCGATGCTACGGGTGGTGATGTACGAGAAGAAGGCGAAGATGCTCGGGAAGGTGGAGCGGATGGAGCCAGAGCGTAGGTCATTATCCATTAACAATATCATGTCATATCGGGAAAGGGGGGCGCCGGCGCACAAGACCGCGTAGTATTCTTTTGCAGAAAGAGAATCGAGAGGTGAGCATGTCATTGGTGACTGCCCTCTAAACTGCTGTATACTATTAGATGATTCTCGATGGAATGAGAACTCGACAATTTCTCTCATTGCTGCATACATACACATGCCTCCCAGAACCACTACGCTAACACGACGTTAGTGCTGCCTCTGGGGTTCCTGATGCCGCCACGGCCGTTAGGAATTTCCTGGATTCATTGAAAGGAGGCGGCCGTGCATCAGTAAATCAGGGAGAGGGTAAGCTTTATCCTCTTTTGTCGGACCTTCTCACGCCACCTACAACTGTACCCATGGCACGAACGGCAACGGAACAACGAATAGACACACTTCTAGGTTTTCTTCCACCTGCAGTACTCGTACTTTCGCAGCAGAGCGACCATGGAGATAGTACTGCCGAACCAACTGCGGGTGCAGTCGAAGCTGCCAAGGCTGCCATGAGCCTCGGTCAGAAGAAGGCGCTGGTCGAGAAAGTGCTAAGAAGCCCTCAATTCCATCAAAGCTTAACTAGCCTTACAATGGCCCTCCGAGACGGCGGTTTGCCCACCGTGGCTGATGCACTTTCGATCAAGGTCGAGAACGGTGGTTACATGAGAGGAAGTCAGATGCCTTTGGGAGGTGGGGACGCCGTCGAGGCTTTCGTTGAGGGTGTTAAAAAGACGGTACAAGGAAAAAAGTAGATAGCGATGTTATTAGTGTATGATTATGATTAAAATGCAGTTGACAGTATCTCCGAGTCGTGATTCTATTGATTCGAGCTAAGCCGTGTCTACTAGGGAAACATTGGAGCTGGTAAAGTACCCGAGGTTGCTAGCTGACACTTGCGGAAAGATTGCATGCGCTATGGTCACTGCTTTTGCAGCTCATTCCTATACCTCATGTCTATCTGATGTTTATTATGCGTCCATATGTGCTGTCATAAATGCATGGACATTAGGAGATGCTATAAGTCTCAGCCAATACGAGACTCGAGGCAATTTGTAAGTGATGTGGTGAACAAATTTCATTCGTGAATGTAACAAAAATTAACACCCGCAAGTTTCTCAGTGTTATTAAACGAATTGACTCGAGAGAAAGAATGATACACCACGCCTTGTTTCCAAAGATGGATATGTTCCCAGTCCGTTTTACCCCCCCTCCGCCCTCCTTTAAGCCGATAGGAAACATAGTACCCCTGACTCCCTGCTATAATGCTAGGATGCAAACCCCCCCCTCAAGAAGAAAAAAAAAAGAAAGGATGAATATTCAGTATCCGGCAAGAGGTAAGGCAAGAATCATGCGAAACCGAGTAGTACCCTGTAGAGGTAACGGCCCTTTGAGAACTAATCAATACCATGGTAACTTCCGTCTCCACATCTCATCTTCCTCTGCTAGCCTTGCGCGCCGCGCGTTTTCCATGAGCTCGTCTTCGGTTAATAGGCGAATAGGGGTTTCGCAACCACGTAATCCAATGAAGCGGCCAATCTTGCGGCGTTTCTCTTCAAGCGGCATGTCTGAAGACCACTATGAGAAAGACAACATTAGTATGAGGTACTCCCTCTTTCATTAGTTAGTGTGTTTAGAGGCTAGTTGTAGTAAGGAAAGGAATGGGTTATGACGAAGGGGAGAAACAAGTAAGAGAACTGGGGCGAGAAGAGCTTACGTTTATGGGCGACGGATACTGGGAGGTATATTGACAAGGTGTCCGCTGGTGGTAGAAGTGGGCGAGCTCTTCCAGCTGCGAGTCCGTCAAGAGCCAAAAGTTCAACAGTGTCCCTGGGAATGCCGGGTGGACTTCGCCTGTCGTGAGCTGAACCAGTGGTGCAAGAGGTAGGGCCACTACAGTTCGTTGGAGTTAGTAATCACTCTATTAAGTGAGATAGGATCAGCTTTCAGGAGTCATGTGTACTTCCGAGACATTCTTGTAGTGCTAACAGGCAATTATGACCTCCATGGGCGTCTAGAATACGAAGGAAATGACTTTAGGAGTGGCATACTTTGCTGCAATTTCTGCTTGAAGGCTGCGTTATTGGCTGCGCGCCGCTCGCCTAGCATAGCGAGTTGGTTACGAGTTTTATCTTCCATTCTAGCTTCTCGTGAGTCCTTTTGCTGTAGGTGGAAATGAGATTGGGCCGGAGTTCCTTTTGGAAGTTTTCCTTGGATGCACTCTATGTTGCCGTTGGTGGTTTCCGTTCCTTGCCTTTGCTCCCCTTAAAGTCTTGATACGAGTCGAAATAATCGGCCGGAGAAGTGAAAATGACAGAAGTTTAACGGGAAAGCGGGTTTATGTTTGCTTTTGGGAGTCGAGCCGCCAGCAGCTACAGATAAAACGAAGGGAATCAACACAAGAAAATGAGAAAAAGGAAAAACTGTAAAACAGATATGTTTATCTTATGAGAATGAGAAAATGAGCACTTGGGTCTATTATAAGCTACAGCTGCTGGGTTATGAGACGAGGCAAGCGAAACCTTGAACAAGCTCGAAAATAGTGGGCGGTTGCGCTGACCTTCTTGTACCTGCCAGGTTTGTGGCGGGTTTCTTTGTTGGGTGGCACGGGAAAGAAATGGCTGTTAGGACATCTTGAGCACGCTTTGTCACTTCTCGGTTTTCTTCTAGCGTTATGAGCTTTTGTCTTGGACACAGACCTTCTTTCATGCCTGAGAAATATGATAGAAAGACTGAGAGACACGCGTGAGAAGGAACTTTGGATTGGAATCAACGGATTAGGAAGAGTTATTACGGCCTGTCTCGACCTCAACCCAAATAATGTGTCGATGACACCTTGAGCGAAAACAATAGACTGCATCTATGACTGTCTAATCACCTTTATGGACCGGTTTGATTCCTTGTATGAGGTGCTGTCTCGACAGGCTGAAGAGTGTCACCTGCGTGCCAACTTCCTGGGTTAAAGCCACGCTTCGCCGCACAGAGTTGGTTTCTTTCCAATCCTATTACATGTAATGAGGATCAAAAGAAGACTGTTAAACATACAGTGCCTTCTTTGTTCAAAGACCTTTCCAAGCGAGTTTGGCCACGTGGTCGGCCTTTTTTCTACTTTGCTTGACGAATCCCATGGCCTTTAATTCGGCCAGTGCACGATAGAACAAGAGAAGCGCAGTTTGCTCATCTAGCCCCTCTTCAGTATCCTCGCCCACAACTGCATAATAGGCTGACCAAAGGTCGGCAGCATTGACAAGCGAACCAGTCTCGAGATACAACTGATACAGTATCGCAGTTGTCGGCAGAGTACAAGTAATCTGGTTCATGCTAGTCTTGCAACAAGAGCAGCCTAGATAGTCATGCGGCCGTGATAATGCTCGTTCAAGCACATTTCTTGGTCGGGGGATGAAGACGTCTTTATAGGGAGCTTTGGAGTCGTAAAGCCAGACTTCATTGAAAGGTATGTCAGGCGCTCCGTCAAGACGCAACGTAGCCTCTAGGTACTCGAGCAGGCGGTGGATGAGGTCGGTATAAGATTTATCGTGGTCTGTAAGAGTCGCCGTATCTTGACTAAGCTGCACCTTCTGAGCTACAACAGTGGTGCGTAAAATCTTGCCCTGGCGGCTGTATCGGCTGCGGAGAACGTGCCCCTTCTCACTAGCGTCGATCCGCAACTGTTTAATGCCGGCGAGAATCTCGGATAGCAGAGCAAAGTTCGCTGGTGTATCATCTATCCAGGGATTCAGGCCAAGACTTTCATCGCCGTGCTGCACCGTGTCCAACAATCCACTTAAGTATCCCTCGCTATCACAAGGTTCCATGCGTTTTATTGAATCGAAGAATTGGCCATACTGATTTGAAATGCCAAGTCCATTGTAAGAGATGTCCATATAAAGATCAGCAAAACTAGCCGTTATGGCCTTGCTAGTAGAAAGAATAATAAGGACACGGAGTAATCTAGTGATCCATTGATCCCGTTGCCTAAGACAGTCTACTAGATACTCGACGAGCCCCGTTTTGTCCTCTAGGAGTATTCTAGCTTGAGCGATGTTGTTGTTTTTGACAGCGGCTTCTACAGCTCGCTGAAAAGAAGGCAAACACTGTAGAAGCTCAATATGATCGGGTTGAAGGGCACCTGAGTTCAGCCCATCAGGTACCAAGAAGCTCAATGGGTTGGAATAGAAATGACACATGTATGCGTACTATTGACTTTAGCCTTAGGATGGATGTAGAGATTTTCGACCAGCTCACCTTTAGAGACTTGATAAAGTCTGGTATGCTTGCTACTTGTTCACGTTGCCGCTCCAATAGGCTACTAAGAAATCCAGGGCCCAGTAGAATTTTTGTTTGAGAGTGAGCAATAGCAGTTTTGAAGATCTTATCAATGATAGAGGCAGTTTGCTCAACGTCGAATTGATCTCCATAAAGACTTTGGCAAGTCGATTTTAGGAGTCGCGCTTCGAACAACTCGACAGAGGTAGCGATTCCGAAGAGAAAGGCGAATGGTATACGGTCAAGCCAAGAGCTGCGAACCAATTAACTTCCGAATGAGAGCGTCCAGGCCTCGTCATAGCTTACATTAGAAGCGAGATTAGATCTGATAACAGACCACTATCGAAGGCCTCGCTGTCTTGGAAAGCGATGACAACAAGACTTCTTTGTGGTGTTAGCTTGAGATGTGAATATAGACCCTCGAGGTCATAGTTCAAGAATTTGCGACCCTAGATTGTCAGTAAACAAACTCTACTATCTACCGATCGGTCATCCGGAGACCTACATCTTTGCCGGTTGTTGAAATCAGCTCGTCTTCAGCAACTGAGCCCTTCGAAACAACGTCGTGTATGATCTTTCGCAGCACAGCTCTAAGATTTGAGGCATCGCCAGAACGCAGGCGAACTGTATAGGCATCTGCTTCATGTTGCAAGGTCTCGGAGAGTTGCTCGAACAAAAGATCAACAGATGCTATATTCGGGCCGGTGATGATGAAAGCCGAGGGAATTTTCCCTGCTGGTGTGTAGTCAGGGGCGTTCTGTAAAAACCGCAAGACATCCCGCAAAGTAGATTGGTTTGTCTCCCGGAGGATACCATGAATCCGAGACTGTATGACGGACCATAGCTCCTCGAAGGTCTGCTCTCTCAAATCAACAGCCGACTTTGACTCAGCGCCTCCCAGAAGATGCTGGAACGAGTTGGGTATCTCATTGTCTGAGCTTTCAGAGGTGTATGTTTTCTTGGATACTCTCCTCCGCTTGGCGGGACGAGCTGTGTCGTCAGTGTCTCCTAAAGGGTCAAAGATATAAGCAGCCTAGAAATCAACATAAGCAGAGGCCCTGAGAAGGAAAGAAGCCGGTGGGCTAACCTTATGTTGTTTGTCTTCGTAATCTTCTGCGGATCTTACAGGAGAATCCATTTTCATCGAGAAAAGTTCAGCTGTCGCTGTAGATAAGTCCATGTGCCTAGGCCAGACGCGACGAAGCGCGGTGCCTGCTCCCTGTTGAGGTTGTCAACAGACACTAAAGAGGCTTACTGGGGGTGTCCTGGTAGGGGGAAAGCCGCTTAGGTACTCATGATCCTATCAAAACTCACATAATTCAACATGACATACCTTTGAGAATTCGTATATAACTTTCTGAAGAAAACTCTCAAAGCTCAAGGTTATCCTTCTCAAATGCCTTTCAAAATCCACTTCTGCAGAAAAACTTCATAACATTCTTACATGTATGAGATAGGTAGGGTACTATAGTACCTGTAAGTGGGAATGGGCAGGACAGAGGTATTTCTGTAGCACCCAGTAGGTACATAGGTACATAGGTACTTATGTACTAGTAAAAAAAGGGTACCTACGTATACTGGGGTGATAAGACAAGATCCGATAAGCGGCCAAAAATAAATCTACCTCCCTGAGCCTTTTCTCTTTGATATGTATAAGCACGGCACCAAGCTCTAAGATTTTGCCAGATACTTACTTCAACGAGGTGTCATGCCTCCTCGGCCTCCACTTTTCGAGTTTGGTAAACGCAATTTTGTTTGTAATTCTTGTCTTTCTGCTCTTCGAAAGCGGCCCACTGCCACACCATGGCCAAATCGACAATTGTCGTCGCAAAGCACCAATTCGCATGCGCTCCCTCGAACGAAACGCCGATCCCCGGAGCAAGAAGCTGAGCGTTTGAAAACGTTAAAATCCCTTGGCCTCATAAAAGATGATTCCAGCAAAGTGGCCGTGAATTATTTCGAGCAAGGCGAAAGTGGTAGGATACGCCGCTTACGGGACGAAGATGAATTCAGCAAGGAGTTGATCGACCCTGGTGGTGAACTGGATGCTCGCCTCAAACAACTCGAGGACCAGCTCCAGGGTGTTACAAGCCTAGCTAAAGCCATAGAGGAGATGGGCGGCAAGGAAGAAGCCGACAAGCTCCGAAGACAGTTTGCTCATGGTGCGGACGGCAACGGTGACGATATGGTCGAGGAAACCGACAGCCCCTCGCTTTCATCGTTGGCAATCCCCATCGGCGGCTTACAAGGCCATCGGCAAGATCGCATCCACCGGCTGAACAACTGGATAAGGCGTTGTGTTAGGCTTAAGGGAAAGAACGCTGTCACATCCAGGGATATTCTGGGTCTCTGGAAAACATATTCGGCTGCCCGGACGATCATGTCTGGACGATGGCAAGACGTGCCAGCCATGACATGGGAGGTACTCTGGGAGACTCTTTCGGCCGAGTACACCTTCAAAACAAATCGCATGTCACACGTTTATGCTCTTGCCAAAGATATGCAGCAAGCCGGCACGCCTTTGCGCCCTGACCAACAGATCCTAGCACTTGAGGCTATGTTTGTTGACGGCTGGGAGACCGAAGCAATTAAGAACCACCGACGGCATGCTTCAACTCTTGGTAAGGATCCAGAGACATTTATGTCCTTCTGGCAACTGGGATTGCAAATGTATTGTCGCATTGGGGATCTCGAGCGAGCCGAACGTATAGCTAGCACGATTTTCGAATCGCCCTACAAAAAAGACCCTCGATTCATACTACCGCTCATTAAGCTATATGTCGAGACCCCTGCAACTGTTGGAAACGGCTTCAAACGCTACCGCGATCTACGCGCTAGTCTTGGCGATTCAATGACCATCGAAGACTACGACACGATTACTTCCTACTTCTTAGCCTCTGGAAACACAGAGTATGCCCTCTATGTCTTCGTGGATATGATGAAGTCGGGATCTGTTGACCTGCTAGGAGTCCAAGAGTACCCCCCTAGCATCGCAAACCCTTTCTTCTTTGGCAAGTGGCTGAAGCGACTAATTGGGGCGGGTGATCTCGAAGGTGCATTCAATGTCCTACGGTTTATGAGGTCCCAAGGGATTACACCACGGGCGATCCAAGTTAATGGGCTCATCGGTGCATGGCTTCGATCTGGTGCTGCTGATGACGCCCAGAAGGCTGAGGATGTGGCGTGGGATATGATCAACACACGCTTACAATATGTGGAAATGAGAAGAAGAAAAGAGTTGTCTGGTATGAATCTTTACGTATCGGGCGATGCATGGCCTCGAGCGAATCTAGAAACGTTCAGCTTACTTGCTGAAAATTACAAAGAACGTGGCCTTACGGCGAAGATCGGTCCCTTGTGGCAATCTTTTCACCAAGCTGAAATTGCGCCTAATTCATTTATGCTGAATCAGTTGCTTTTATCTCTTCTTCAAGATGGAAAAGGTGAAGCTTTACTTCCTATGTACCAGGAAGTAGTCGAACGAGTCAACTTGAAACCAGATTCACACACCTTCATGGCTCTTTGGCAAGCTTTGCCTGTGAATCGTTTCACAAGGATTCCGTCAGGAGATTTGGATGCCGAAATCTCAAGCACTCGTGCTTTATTTGCAGAAATGATGAAACGTAGGTCGAGCCTCAAGTCAAATGACGATTTAGAGATGTACACTTTCCTAGCGAGGAATATATTGCATTCATTCCGGAAACTTCGAGACAAAGCTGGTCTTCTCCTAGCTTACCGAGCACTTCGACGAATATTTAATTATAACCCAACCGACATGGTTGTGTTTGAAATGTTGCTTGGGACTCTAGATTTACAAAGACTCACTAAGCGCAGAGAAGGATCGAAGCTTATAGCGGCGAAAATGAGCCTTGACAATTACCTGGCACATCGACACCGAGAACTTGTGAAATCAGGAGATGCCAAGGATGGCGAGGACATGCCAGCAAGGATAAGGACTGAAGAAACGGGCAATTTCTTAGAGTTGCAGCTAGAGGCAGCCTTCACTGATATGGAAGAGAGCGATGCACAACAACTGGTTATACAGGCTGCCGAAGAGATGGGCCTTCCCACTCGGGCACCTGAAGAGGCTGAGAGTCACCACGACCCTTGAAGCGTGACTAAGTGTATAGAAATCACTATATATGTATTATAAGCGATAACAATACCTTTCTCAGTCACACTTGAGAAGCAATAGCACAGATTAGTCCAAAGATGATAACCTTCACAGTGCTAGTGGCTGATGATGATGGATACACCTGGCCCTTGACTGAGATGGTCGACATTGAAGATAGTTAACTGCTTAGGCAATGTTTACAAGAAACGCCACAGTGTGTGTGGCTGAACAAGTGTCTGGACCACAGGTACCTCCCCTAGGTACTTACGAAACCCACCTGTCAAGCCCTAAATTGGAAAAAGTGGGACACACAAAGAATTACCAGTAATTTTCGGGGATCATTTGCGACTTCAACTTTTCGCATCCTCACAACTCTCAATTACCAACCACAGACACATTCAGCTGGCTTTAAACATCCTAACTTCAAGAATAAGAAGACATGGGAGCCAGCAAGGAAAAGAAGGCGGAATACGTGCGTTCAGCTTAGCCCGACCGACATAGATTGTATCTTGCTGACCGAGCTGCTGTTATAGTTCCCCAAGCTCAAGGCCCTGCTTGAGGAGTACAAGTCCGTCTTCATCGTCACCGTCGACAATGTCAGCTCGCAGCAGATGCACGAGGTCCGACAGTCCCTCCGCAGTGAGGCTGTTGTTCTGATGGGCAAGAACACCATGGTATGTGACCGATAGGCTTTCGCGTACTCCGCAACTCCAAATAATACAACCATGAAATAGCTAACTAAAGGTTTACATATTTAGGTGCGCCGAGCTCTCAAGACCTTCATTGCCGATACCCCCGAGTACGAGAAGATTCTGCCCCACGTCAAGGGCAACGTCGGCTTCGTCTTTACCAATGGCGATCTCAAGTCCATCCGTGACAAGATCCTCTCTAACAAGGTTGCCGCCCCTGCCCGTGCCGGTGCCGTCGCTCCCGCCGATGTCTGGGTTCCCGCTGGCAACACCGGCATGGAACCCGGCAAGACCTCTTTCTTCCAGGCCCTCGGTGTCCCCACCAAGATCGCCCGTGGTACCATTGAAATCACCACCGATCTCAAGCTCGTCGAATCCGGCAACAAGGTCGGTCCCTCTGAGGCCACTTTGTTGAACATGCTTAACATCTCCCCCTTCACTTACGGTCTGGGAGTCGCCCAGGTCTACGACGAGGGCAACGCTTTCTCCCCTGATGTCCTCGACATCAGCGAGGACCAGCTCCTTAAGACCTTCACTAGCGCCATTACCACCATTGCCTGTGTGTCTCTGGCTATCAACTTCCCTACCCTTCCTTCTGTCATTCACTCTGTTATCAATGGCTACAAGAAGGTTCTCGCTGTCGCCATCGAGACCTCATACAGCTGGCCTGAGATTGAAGAACTCAAGGACCGTATAGCCAACCCTGATGCATACGCCTCCGCTGCTCCTGCTGCCGCCGCCGCCGAGACCAAGACTGAGGCTGCTGCTGAGGCTAAGGAGGAGGAAGAGGCTGAAGAGTCTGGTGATGAGGGCTTCGGTGGTCTCTTGTAAGTCCCACCCTTGATCAGGTACTCTTATTTATTTACTAACTTGTTTCTAGCGACTAAATTATCTTGCATAAACATGGTGTTAAGGGGCTGGCATGAAAACGGGCTTCGAGTAGGTTCACGAGATCTGAATGTACGAAAAAGAACGGTACATAGGTCTTTTACTGGTCAATCGAGGCACTTTACGTGTGACGAACACAATCTATTTACTAGCAATGTTCGTTGTGAATGTGACATGCTGCTTGTTAATCATGCGCCCAGTCACTTGTTTAAGAGGTTAGTACAGTATCTTACTTTTTATCTATGACATCCGCCATGTGTTCTATGATTATATAAATAATCAAGAGCTTTTTAACCCTGAACATCCTTTGATGACTCAATTTATTCAACAACACCATATGAGACACAATGCCAACATCCCCCCCTACGAGACAGTCCATTCGAAGCCAGCAGAAAAGCTAACTCGGCCTTCGATTATTATAGGTCCTATACACTTAGTCGTATACATTGCCAATAAGTTACCGTCATTCACGTAAAATATCCTTTGCCACCGCAATGGTTGACTCGGGAAGTCCTGCAAGGCGCGCGACTCTGAGCGCATGGCTCTGTCGATTTACGCCCTTCCTTAGCTTATGTACATAGACGAAGCCACCCGTATCGTCGTCTTCAACATCCGTGCAGTACATCTCAACGGGGCCTGTTCCCTCGGAACCGTTATGATTACTGCTGACGTGTAATCCATGTTTGTGAACGAGATCTGCGAGCTCGTGGAAATGGGTGGCGAAAAGTGCCCGACATTTGTTCACGGTAGCGAGGTGATGTAAGCAGGCGAAGGCAACAGCCTCCCCATCTTTGGGCGCTGTCCCGCGTCCTATCTCGTCCATGATGACAAAAGAGCGCGGCGTCGCGTTGCGCAGGATCTGCGCTGTCTCGAGCATCTCAACCATGAAGGTACTTTGGTCACGGTATAGATTGTCGGCGGAACCAACACGTGAGAAAACAGCATCTACGATGCCCAGGGTCGCGTGCGAAGCGGGAACGTAACACCCTGACTGTGCGAGTATCGTTATCAGTGCGTTCTGCCGTAGGTATGTGCTTTTTCCTGCCATATTTGGGCCTGTGATCAGCCAGAGACGTCCTTCTGAGGGCGTTGGAGATCCTAATGACGGTGCACTGTCTTGTTTCGATTCGGCATCCGCATGGACAGTGGGCGAATCCATAGTAGAGTGGGTAGTTAGCCCTACGAGGCAATCATTCTTCGTGAAAGTGCGTCCCTGTTCGCGCAAACCACCCTCGACCGTTGGGTGTCGTCCCCCAATGATCATATGGGCCGTTGAACTATTGAGGACAGGCCGTGTCAGACCCTGCTCGATAGCGAGACGTGAAAATGACGTTGCGACATCTAGTTCGTCTAGGACCGATGCGTTGTGCCGTAACTTAACCAAGTTTGCTACGACGCCTGCTCTCAGTTCCCCCAGAATGCGTGCCTCTTCAGCCCCAATTTCGAACCGTGTCTGATGAATTCGCTGACCCAGCGCCGTCCATTCTGCCACGTGGAAGGTTCGGGTGCTACGGCTCACGCTCACAGCGGCGTATTCAGTTACGCCCGTAGCCCTTACATCTTTGCCCTTCACGTGGCAGAAATGTCCTAGGTTCGGCGTCCAGCGAAGTGTCAGGCTAGGAGTGCCCAGATGATCACGTAGTGTATTTGCCAATTCAAACTTTTCCTGTAATAGACCCGTAAGTTGATCATGTAATTGTTGTAGGCCCAGACTAGCCTCCGGCTTCATAACAAAGGTCGTGTTATCATCTGCGTAATGATCTCTAAGCGAGACAACCTTCTTCTTCCTCGAACCCTTGGGTAACGAGGCTGAGTCTTCTTGTGTCCCTTCGGCCGCGATGGTCTCTTCAGCTAGGTTGAGCAATTTATTGGCCTCGTCGGCCTGGATCTGATGTTGGTGGACTAGTCCCTCTTCGTCAATGGAATTGCGAATACGATCAGCTAGTTTCACAGGCTCGTCAAGCTCAATACGCGAAAGTAGGTCCTTGAAGCAAGAGGCCGGCTGGGTTTCAGCGCCATTATCTACATCGGAATGACTTTCAGTTGTGCTACTGGACCCAAGTGAGACAGTGGTTCTAGCATCCGTTGTGTTGGTCAGGGTGTTGAAAATGTCTTGTACGGCGCGAATAGTATTAGCCAAGCCTATAAGATCATCTGCATCCCCTCGACCAAATGCAAACTTCTGCACTAGCCGTTGTGAATCATGGCTCCTTCTCAACAAAAGCACAATCTCATCTTGAAGGTCTTCGCTTTGTATGAAAAACTCAACTAAGTCATGGCGGGCCCTGATAGTGTCTAAACACGTCGACGGTGCACTCAACAATGTACTGAGCAGTCGAGCGCCGCCCTTTGTGACGGTTCTTCGTACAGCATGGAGCAGACTTCCTCTGAAAGCGCCATCTTTGATAGTCTGCTTGATCTCTAGGGCCCTCATGGTATTCTTATCCATAGCTAAGACCGCAAGGTTTTCGTGTCGTAGTGGTGGCTGCAATTTCATACTGATCCCTTGAAGGCGATCCTTTACGTACTGGAGCAGCAAACTGCCTGCTTGAGCTTCATTGGCGGTGATGTTTGCAAGGGTCTGTGCAGGTATTTCGGATTCTAGCATTGGGTCCCATTCTGATACTGGTAAAAGATCACCTCGAGGGGCAAAGGTGATCAAATTTTTGTCTTCTGCTAGAGCGGAGAACAGCTGGCTGTCTCGCCGCGACTCGAACACTTCATCAACTACGATTTCTCGAGGTGCAATTCGAGATAGGATAGATGAGAGTGAAGTTATAGGCGCGACCTGCGTGTAGAACTGACCGGTGGAGATATCTAGCCAAGCCACTCCTATCGGTGTGGAGGATGGGTCTTGGCTATTGGTAGATAGGGGGGTATCTGTGGAAGAGCAACAAGCTTCGTGGTCGTGGTCATAGTCGTAATGGACCGCCAATACAAAATTATTGGCATACGGGTCAATAAAATTTTCATCAATCAGGGTACCTGGTGTGATTACACGGGTAACTCGACGGTCATGCATGAGCCCGCCGGACTTTACCTTGTCGCCAGGGTCATTAGGAAATTCTTCAGCTACGGCTACATAGCAATTGAAATCGAGGACCAAGATTTTGAGGAATCTTTCCAGCTGAAAGAATGGGAAGCCAGCCTACAAGGCGTATCAGAGAGGTCATGTTCGGACAGGACACAAGAGAACGGCGAATGCAAACTACGGTACCATTGGGACGGGGCCGGCATTAGTCTTCTTCTGTGCTACTTTGAGGTTCAATACCGGTCCATACTCCTCGGCATGTTCAAAGTAGAGCTCATAAAAGCCGCCAACGCGTGTCAAGAGGATGCAATTCTCAAACTTTTGCATGTTGTGGCGGGCCTGCAACACGACGGTAGGATAGGCCGGGCCGCCATCGTCTTGGACATCAGGCAAGGGCTCCGCGCTGACTAAACCTTGAGGAAGATCAGCTAGTCTGACAGACGACTTCGTCTTCTTCCCCCGCGATTGCGTGCTAGCCAGAGACGAAACAATAAAGAGACGGGGACGTGTACTTGACCGCAGTTGGGAATCACGTGCGGGAGCGTGAGTTTGGAAACGACGAGCAGGGGTACGATAGTAGCTGATGATACATCTCTTTATTGCAGCTGAAGTGATGGGCTGTACCGCTCGAAGACCTATAGCGTCATGTGGTAGTCGACAAGGGCTGCGATAAGCGACTAACGGAAGAAGCCGAGGACATGACGACGAGCCAGTCATCTGGGACAAATAAGGATACACAAGAGGGTAGTAGGCGATGGTCGATGGTGGTAGACTCGAGCTGACTCAATAGACAAATGATATTAAGAGGTTTCACTCTAAATGACCATGCAGTAGTCAGGTAAGATAAGACAAGACGACAAATCGAGGCCGAAGAAGAAAAAGGGATCAAAAAGACTAGGTAGGTAGTCAAGGTCGTCGAATCTCAGGCTGCGATGGCGCGCGGCGATGGGTGGAGGAGGAATGAAAAAAGATTTGGAAGGGCACGATGATCATTGTTGCGCCGGCAGTCAAGGTGCTGGCCTAACCCCGGTCGGTCCTGGGGCAGACCTGGGTCGGGATAACTGTGTGCGCACTGTGCGTACAGGTGCCGTGACACTGCAACGATCCCGAGACAGACGTCGACGCTGCCCTGTCAACCGCGACGAGCCGCTAAACTGCGTGGCTGTCTCTGGCTGTCCGCCTACCTTCGGCAGCCTGATACAGTGTGAGATCTGAGACAGCCGCGCTCGCATACTGTCAGCTGCGGCGGCTAATCCCTGTTGCTGACTCTTCCTAATCAGTATCATCAATTTGATATTTGGAATCTTGATCCAACTTCGTCCTTTTCGTCTTGCAGACAGCAGCAGGTACACGTGTGTATAATGCACTAATGTACTACTCTACTGTACACAGACAACATCGCTCGCTCGCTCGCCGTCCCGATGGCAAGACAGAGTATCGCGTTCAAGGCCACGACGATTCTCCTTCGTTCTTTGTTTCGTTGCAACCTTTAAGTGAGCATTTGCGGGTGTGTGTGTATATATGTAAGTATGTATGTGTTATGTACACTCGCACGGACAAACTCCCCCCCCTTCCCCTCGGACGGCGAAGTGGAACTCGTCTCTTTTGACCTGCCTAGACAATTACGGTACAAGTGGTGATTCAACGAACGGCTTGTCGCCGATTTGGAATCCATGACCGCCAGCCCGGTCAGTCATGACAAAATCAAGATGGCCTCCCTACTGACGCCCTATGGGGGCAACCCCTTCCCGTCGCTCTGCGCGGTCTCTCTTCCAAGTTGAGCCTAACCTCCCCCCGCCCTCCCCGGCTGTCGTTGTCAAATCATTGTGTCTAGCGTTGGCTGCATCTCACGGCGGACAACGCCCGCTGCTTCCACCCGGTGGTTATGCTTAACTTGTGCCATGTATGCTGCTGTCCCGTGCCCATCGCCTTTCCATTCATTGTATTCCAATTCCGGTGAGGGGTTGAGGCGATCGATGCCAGATCCTCCTCTCTAACTTTCACTACCGTGTTTTACATGGTACCTTGTCTATCCAAACACCTTGTTCTAACGTTTGCTGTTGTTCATGCCAAATTATCCCTCTTGACCCCGGTAAACGTGAGGGTGATCCGTCCTTATTCTCAAATGCTTCCCCAGTCTATCTCAAATTTCTCACTTTAAACACGTGGATACGCATTCTTGCCTACATTACCTTCTTGTGCGTTCAATGACACCTGGCTTGGTATATATCAAATTCAATCTGTATCTGTCGCCAGAAGGGTTCCTGACGGGAAACGCCCAGGCAGATGGGAGCACACAGCCTACCTATTAATAAACGATCATACCCCAGCTTCACTTGCTTGTCCGCTTACCTATTCACTCCTTACTAAAGACCAAGTGCTAAAACGGTTCTCTCGTCTGAGCTAGTCTGTCGTCTTCGGTTCTACTCTTCATTCAATCTTTTTACGTTGTCCTTGCTTGTTTCTCTTGTGTCGCCGAGAGACTGGTGCTCTGACGCCAAAGTGAAATAAATCATCCTATGGGTATGGAGCCTTTGGGAATGCTTAGCCAAGAGGTTATTGGGCATAGCTTTATGATGAACCCGGTAAACCCGGGGACGCAAAAGATGGCAACCACTCACCATGTGCCGCCTGCCGGACGACAAGCTCGCCCTCGGCGGAAATCTCTCGAGCAGCTCGAAGCCAAATACAAGGCTCTAATGCGGAACATGCTCATATATCAACAAGTAAGGAAACGGAATATATGCGGAGGATCGGCAGCTAAAACTGGGACGGGAACCAACATGAAAAGCGAACCGGGCACAACAGGGCGAGTAGACGAGAAGACGCACCAGCAGCAGTTGATGTTCCAGGCCACACAGACGCTTCCCACTCCATCATCGTCGGTCTCGCCCGCTTCTAGCACGACGAATCTGGAGGCAACAAGCAATTCGAAGCAGAATCAAACCCAGCAACAATCAACACCACAGCACAATCCCGTTCCATCCTCTACTCTACGTGAGCATCAGCGCGAGCGTCCGCCACAGAAAAGGTTGCAGAATGCAAGCAACGGCCCCAAACCCGCATATGACAGGCGAGAAACGGGTTCATCTGCACGGCACAGTAGGCCCATGCCAGCCGCGATACAATTAGCATACGAGGAGCTTACCTCAATGCAACGGCACCAGACGCCGCAACCACCACAGCAGCAACAACAGCAACCGCAGCAGCACCAACACCAACACCAACAGCATCAATACCAGCAGCACCAACCGTCGCACCAACCGCAGCAACACCACCACCAAGGAAGCCCCCCAATTTCGATCCCACGTCCAGCAAACATACAAATTCCGCCTCACTACCTACAACAGCAATACATGCATCATGTATCGCCCCAACTTCACCCACATCACCAGCCGCTAGCTTCACCTTTGCCAGCTCATTACACCGCCCATCACAATGTCCAGACGATATCGGCGCCCTATACTTCTTATGATGCAAGTGGAATGCCGCCCAAGCACCCCTATCACCCTCACCAGCAACAACACGGTTTACCTTCATACGAGCATAACGGCAACGTGGAGGGAGACTTGTTAGACTGCTTCGTCTCCAACATAAACGAGATATAGAGCATCAATTCACGTAAAAACGCTTAGCTGGATACTTGGGAAGCAGACCAGAGGAGTCAGGGAGGGAGGTTTACGGTTTGTTTGTATAATCCACCTGATTCAAGGCAATGCGCGGGTACATTCTTCAATTCGTTCAGCTAGGTTGGCGGAGTTCAACGGCAGGCCAAGTGAAGCAAAGCAAATCGGAGGTTGGGCGGTTCACACATATCTAGGTAAACTGACGTATATAATCATACATGCGATTTATTATGGGGATCAAGTTATATGGGGCTCGGAGTTACGCTATTAGACGCGCATAGCGAGTCTAAGATTTGCTAGAAAGCAGGCGAATGGAGGCATGACGGGGATGGGCACGTTTGTGTACTGGTAGTAGTGTGTATTGGTATGAAATTGGGATGGAAATCAATAAGAATCCCAGGTTATGGGACTTAACTGTCATGAACTATAATTATTACGCTCTGAATCCGGTGATGGAATGCAAGACCAACAAAAAGGGAAAGAATCCCATTCTCAACCAGTCAACCAAGACGTAATCTAGTATGTATATGTCATGTTGAAAACAAGAAATAGGAAATGGAATTCCGCTACTCGGCAAACTGTTTCGGCGCTACTACGTCCAACGAAGGTTCTGCTTTATGCAATTACTCCCAAGTCTGTCGTTTTGTGTGGATTTTGCCATCACTATGCCTCTTTCGACCTTTACTGTCAGCTGTTTGCCCGCTCATCCTAAAAATGCCACCCAGTACGACATAGGGGTAGGCGTGTTTTCATGCCGTTGAACCAAGTTATTTGAAGTTTAGTTGCACAGAAGGAGGTGAGGTGATTATAACTGTAACCGATACGTAGCTACCTCAAATGGGCGCAAGATAACGGGGAATGACCCGTTCTTGATCTCAATGTGCTCGCCATCGTCCTCCAGGGCATTGGTCTTGAACACTCTCTTCACATTCCAAGTCGTTGTGATGGTGCCTGAGCTGAGCCCCCCAAGACTATCATAAATGCGAACAATGATGCTCTGGCCCTTGCGCCGGGGGATAGTGGTGTCATGAGAGACGTCTTCATCGTCCTCGCCACGCTTGACACAGTCAAGGATTAGAGACTTGTCACCTTCGAGTTTTACGGGATGAGAGGAGAAGGAATTAACATCAAAGGTAGAGGGTGCCTTGAGAACCTTCATTGGATTATTGAACTCATACCCGGCGCGAACGGTTGTGGGTCCTAGGCTGCCTTGGTGTGGAAGTATAGCCCATCGAATCTCATGTTTGCCCATGTCTGCATGGGCATCTGGTGCTTTGGGTGACCGTAATAGAGAAAGTCGCATTAGATTACCGCATGTGGCAAAGCCATACTTGCTATCGTTGAGGATAGAGACGCCATAATTACTCTCAGATAGATCAGCAAACTTATGGCAGCAGACTTCAAACTTGGCCATATCCCAGGAAGTGTTATAATGAGTAGGTCGCTTGATCACGCCGTATTGCGTCTCATATGATGCTTCCGTATTTCTCATATTTACAGGGAATTCGACCTTGAGGAATTTCATCGTCTCGTGCCAGTCAACCGAAGCAGTACATTCGATGTAAGACTGGCGGCCCTCGAAGGCGACACCTAGACTCAATATGGTCCTGATCGAGCTGTCTGCACTGATACGTGCTTCGGTAACAACACTGACTCGGTGGTCAGTATCTTCAAGGATCCTTGTCTCGCCATACGGGATCTCGGCGCGTGTTTCTAGATGGTAAACTTCAACATCCCAGGCTTGCCAATACAGAGGTTTGTCGTCAAAGATAACCAGCTGATTGGCTTTGCCGTCCTTGGAGATGACCTCTCGGCCTTTCTGGCGATCAATTAGAGAAGTTATGCAACCCTTCTCTACTCGAACTGTCAACTGGTCATTTTGTAAAATGAATACGCCCTTGTGGGTCTCCTCAACAGTAACTGCTTTTGAGGCCGAGCTCTTGAAGCGTTTGACACGGATAGTATGGCCCGAGCCACAGGCGACGCCAGCACTGCCATCTTCGAGGCTGACAACTTCTTTGCGGTGCCATGGGAGGGAGTTCAGGGCCACGGCTTCTTCAACATGCGTTGGTCGTATATCGGATACGCCAAGCAGATCGTAAAGGTCTTTGAATAAGTCTTTGCCGACACTAAAGACTTTGTCGTATAGCTAAAAAAGAATGTTAGTCATGTATGATTGATCGGGGAATGGTAGCAATAGTAACAACTGACCTCGTCCGAATCATCGTAGCACATCTCAATAGAGCTTCCAGGCAGGCAGTCATGAAATTGACAGAGTAGGACTGCCTCCCACATGAAGTCAATCTGCGCTTTGGGATATTTATAAGTGCTATGGTTTATAGATGCAATCGTGGCGAGTAATTCTATGTCTCGAAGCATGGTCTCTGCTCTGCGGTTGTTGCGTTTATTCTTTGCTTGGGTGGTGTATGTACCACGGTGAAGCTCAAAATACAGCTCACCATACCAGGTTACAAGCGAGCTCGCCTTCTCTTGAAGCTTGTCGAAGAAGTCATCTACGGTATTACCCATGTGCACTCTAGGCAAACGGCCGACTTGGTCGCTAATACCTCGACAACGGCGAAGCTTCTCGATATGCTGCCACGTTGGACCACCACCGCCGTCACCCTTGCCGAAGACAAGGAGAGAGGTATGGTCTTGATCCATGGACTTATGCTGTGAGATGCTTCGTTTGACGTCGCCAAAGTGGGCTTCTGCAGTGTACGTCTCGGAAGGTGGCATATGACAGATTACCTGACTACCATCCAGAGCGACCCAGTTGAAAGTGGTATGGGGAAAGTTGTTTATATTGTTCCAGCTAAGCTTCTGTGTGAGAAAGCGGTCCATACCGGCCAGGCGGCAAAGCTGAGGGAGTTGGCTGGAATATCCAAAAGTGTCAGGGAGCCAAAAGGTTTTGCAGCGCTCTCCGAAGTGGCTCTCAAAAAATCTCTGTCCATAAAGGAATTGACGGACCAGTGATTCTCCGCTCGGCATATTGGTATCGTGCTCAACCCAGCTACCACCAATAGGGTGAAACCGACCCTCCTTGACCTTTTCCTTGACGCGATCGAACGCATAAGGATAGTAGGATTTTAACCACTTATATTGCTGGGCCTGAGAACAGGCGAAATTGTGCTCTGGGTAACGATCAATCAAGTCGCATTGGCTTGACCAAGATCTTGCTACCTTCCTCTTCGTCTCAGCCCAAGGCCAAAGCCAACAGGTATCGATATGGCAGTGACCGATACCGAATACCTGAGGGTTGGTGCCGCTATCGTAGACTTTGGAAGTATCAATTTTGGAGCCAATATATTTCTGGGCAATCTCGCGGCCCTTTTTTATGGAAGTAGGATCACCTAGGACAAAAGCATTAATGACATCCGTGACGACGCTAAGAGCTTGATGCTGCTCCCAGGAGTCCTCCGGGAACTCTCGGGCAGCGTCCCCAATAATCCAAGTATCAATCCAAAGCTGCCGGGCATCCATGTTAACAGCGCAAATGTCAGCTTTCACGAGCTGAAAGTATTTGTTGGGGTCAGGTGGTTGGATGGTGTCACCGCCCTTAGGGTTGCCGAACATGCTGTTGCAGGCCATCTCGATGTAAATTGTATGTTCCTTACCATCGCGGAATGAGTCTGGGAGAATCCATTCGACACGCTCGCCGCCACCAGTCAATCCTTGCAATGGTTTCCCGTCGTCAGTCCATACCATCCCCTCGCTGTTGGAATCCCATTGAAACTCCAGATGCTTCTTGTCCAAGAGGTTTTCGGGAACGCGAATGACTACTCTGAACCAGTGAGTCGCCCACGAAGGGCCAAAGGCATCACCAACTTTAGCTGGCTTGTAGTCGCCAGCCATGGCCTCTTCAAAAGACGGACGGGAGAGACTGGGTGCGGGCCAAGTCCATAGCTGAACATTTGGAGGGCCGGAGGCGACACCCTCATACATCATGGCCAGGAGGTTCTGCTTCTCCCATTGCCCCCGTGAGTAAAACTGCTCGATGCGTTCCTTGTAGATTCTGCTGATGCGCTTGCCAACCGGGGCCGGCGCTCGGGTTGGATATGCGCCTGCGATAGGCCTTGGCACCGTTGTCTCGCCTCCCATGGTGATCTGAGCAAGGTCGCTTATTTTTGGAGGATCGATGCCACTAGAAGAAATGGAGGATGAGTATTGGTTGTCTAGAGCCTGGCAAGATGGCGAGCGTATGAATTATAGTGCCAAACTAGGGAGACGGGGCTCAAGCGGTTCCTGAGTGAAACCGGTGACTCGGTCAACAAGACAGCTGGTGGTCTATGAGGCAAAGACTTGGGAGATTTGATGAAGTTTTTGTGATCCTTATTGTACAGACAGGATGAGGGGAGAAGCAATTGTGCACAGCGAGAGATGGAGAGGTCGAATAGGATGGCAGCTTGGGTAGAGGTAGGTATGTCCTATAGAATGACGCAGGAGGAGGCGGTAAACAACCCGTAAATACATGTATGTAGGTAGGTACGTACATATTGGGGTTATACGTCCCGTACATCTATGTACCTGGCTCACCTAGGTAGGTACCTACTGAGGTAGCGCCTGGTTAGTGGAGATGTAGCAGGTCCGGGATCTGTGCCAAGCGTAACGGGGGGTTCCCGGGGGCAGACGGGGGGTCATGAGGGGTTCTGTCGGCGCCATGTGGTTTGCTGCATCTCGCTGCATCACAGGGCGTTCAGGGGAAACACAGGCAGACACGGGGCAGCCCACTCCCAATGCAGCTAGAGGATAAACCTGACGTCGCCCCAGCGTCCCATCCCGCTCCCATCCCGCTTCAGCAACAATGCGGGGAAATAGGGAATACCGGGGGATGGGGTCATGCGGTAAAGAGTGCTGGCGTTCGGCTGATGGACATCGTGATGTAGAAAGGGGCAAATAAGGGGTGGTAGTTGACATACCGCATGATCGACTTCCTGAAAATGTTCTAAAGGCTGCCGAGTAGGGAGGGTATAATTATAGGTCGACACTGCTATCTAGGTGGTGGATGCTAGGTTGAGTGATTCGGATACCGGTACATGGCTTGGTATCTACCCAGGTATTGGACAGTGGCAGGAGGATGAGCTGCGTAGGCCATGTACTCTAGGAATAGTTATGAGTGAAGGTAGGGTGCGACAAATGACGGTCCGGATGATGAGTGCAGGGAAGATGACTCTCTCGACTTGTAGCAGATGGCTTGAGCAAGACGCCGCCGCAGTGAGAGACAGTGTGTCGCCGGGTAACGAACCCATTTCGCACCTCACTTTCCTCTTGAACTTATTCTTCTTCTCTCTGACATCGGCAGCTGCTGTACAGGTCTCATCGGGTACCTATATTTCCCATTGGGTGAGAGCCGGTCCTAGGGCTCGCAACCTCTAGCAAGAACTGCCCGTCTTAGTACTTTGATTACATGTTTCAAAGAAGTCTTTGAGATAGAAACACAAAAGTCATACAAAATACAAAATGTCGATGTCGTGCTACAAACCCCCCGGACTCAACACATTTGCGCGACATCGGTTCTTGACCAAACGACGAGGTGAGCTTGAGACTCCTGGTTCGCATGTCTTATCTACGTTATATGGTAATTCTTGTAGATTCTTCTATCGCTTAGATTGAACGTATTATCCCAGTCTGCCCGTCACCTATAGTTACTCTAATTTCGTTGTGAATCTAGTTGCTGTAGCCAACACTGTGTTCACATTCACCTTTACTCATTTCTTACCACAAAATAGAATAATGCAGAATATTATTAAATGTTGACAATGATGATGATGATGATGACAATAATAACAATAATAACAATGACTATTCTGTGTGGTATCATCGCTTGCAAACAGTCATACCCATGGCCAATGATCCTGTCCAACGCCGAGAGAAGCCAACAATTACGATATGCGACTCATCCTATGTAGACTTATGTTCATCAACCGCTGTATGAAACGGTGGTCTCTTAATCAATTCCATCTTCTTCATGTTGGCCCTGCACTACTGTTAAGCAGTCAACTTGGCTGGGTGAGGGGGGATCTAAAACGCGTCTTCTAGAGGGCAATCAATACTGTCATGTCCGTCTCGTTCGCACATTGCGCACCACTTAGAAGGATCGACAATTCCGCTTTCTTTGCCCGCAAGGGGGCCAGAGTCCTGAGGATTAGGGAGAGTCCGCACTGAGACGGGCGCTGCTGCTAACGGAGTCTTGGATCTCATGGGTGATAATGGTCTTGGTAAGGCCTCCGCGTCCATGGGGACTTCCAAGTTCCGAAGGCCCTCGCGAACAGCGTCCTTGCCCGTTTTACTTGTTGGTTGATCATCATGGATAGGCCGACCTTGTTCATTTTGGCCACCAAACATATTGGTACAGGTGAGAATGTCATGCCCACTTGTCTCGCATATCTCACACCAGAGCGTGCTATTCTCGGTGGCCGAAGACAATGCGTCGCTTTCAGGCATAGGATCCAGAGTCGGATTACGCTTGTGTGTCTCCTCCGGTAATCGCACGTCGCGAGCTAGGACAACGGTTCCTTTAGAGTCACGGTAAGACGATCGATCTGCACTCCCGGTCGTCATGGAGCTTCCACGATGGTTGACAACACTTTTACGCCGTAACGTCTCGATTTCACGTTCGAGTTCCTCTTCCCTAGAGTTCTTTGTCTCTAGGAGCGCGCGTAGCTCATTAAGTTCCCGTTCTAACTTATCTTTAGGCATGCGATCGTCAGTAGAGTTATGTCGGGATTTGGCGAGCGAGGTGGTTCGCTGTGCCGGATTCGAAGTCTTTTCTAATGATTCAGAGCCAGGGATAGAATCTCTGCTAAGGGAATGAATGATAGCCTTGAGACCCCTGATCTCGTCTTCCTTCTGCTCTAAGTCCTTAAACATGGACGGACGCTCTTCCGCGTTGCTGGTCCCATTCATGGCGGCAGAGGCCTTCTCGCGCTCGCGTCGTAATTCAGTACGAGTCCGTTCAACTTCTCCACGCAGAAACTCAACCTCTCCCCTGGCCTCTGCTTCACCGCGGCGAGCATCCTCAAGTCCCTCTTCAAGCTCTTGAACAAGTTCCTCAAGTTGCTTTAATTGTTGTGCTACACTCTCGACGTCATTATGTTGCTCTTGCGCTTCTTGGACTTCCTGTTCTAGCTCTTGAATCTTTGCGTCGTAGACCCTTTGGGTTTCTGTGCTGGCCATCTCAAGAGTATCGATGGTACTTCGAAAATCAGCTCGATGTGTGTCAAATTCAGCTGTGAGCATGGCAATCTTCTCGTTTTTTTCACGCAACATAGCTCGAAGCTGAGACGTATCTTTACCGTCTAGACTACTTGATCGCATGCGTCCATTGTCGGATTGGTCTATTAGGACGGTGAGTTCAGAGAGACTGCTTTCCATCTCAGCCAATGCAGACGCCTGTTCTTTTAATTGCCTATCCCGATCCTCAAGTTGCAACTTGAGGCGCTCTACCTCCTCCTCGTTAGCATGATTAGCGCGGGATGCAGGACGTTTGAAGCCCATAGATGACGTTATGGACCCTATACTGCCGTTGGTCTTCCCATGTGTGCCAATAGTTGCAGGTGGAGGCATAGCATCGTCATCATCAAAGCTTGGTAAGGTCTGCCCCAATGCTGATGCACTTCTTGGAGCTATGCTCGGTTTTCTTTCTTGGCGCACAAGTTTATTTGGATCACCAGCTGTTCCCCGAACACTAGACGAGAATTTGGGGATACTCGGACTACCATATCGGGACGGTGGTTTTGCAGGAGTCGCAATTGTTGGCCGGGGAGCTGGTGTGAGTTGTAATTTGCGGACGGGCGAATCTGGCCGCGGCAATGACATTCTGGGACGTTTCCCCTGAGGACTTGGTGCCCGACCAGGTCCAACTGACTGGCTAAATTTTGGTAATGAAGGTGTTGGCGGTGTATGATTGGTGGTGTTTTGATTTGCGGCTCTCAGGCCAGCCAACGACATCCCTGATGGTGTCTGAGGGAAAGAAGGAGGCGAGTCCCGTTTGATTAACTTGTTGAGGGGGACAAAAATGCCGGACCCGGGAACAGAGGTAGCAAAGTATGAGACGCTGGTGTAATAAGAAGTGCTAGTTAGCCAGTGCGTCTTACTGGAGGGGTAGTGTTGGCACACGTAGAGCGAGCCACATACCCATCAACATCGCCGCTGTTCTTCCCGCGCAACGCGTACTCGGAGTGTAACTCAACCCCAGCAAAGACGCCCTTCCTACCCGCAACGGACCCAACAAACCGCACAGTTCCGACCATATTGCCGGGGACATCAACTTGTTCACCCACGGTGAAATCGTCCACAGGCGCCACACCTCTACCGGGGGTCAGAGGCGGCATTGGGGGCATCTTGCGCGCCGAGGTAGGTTCGTTCAAAACACTGTGTAGGGCGTAGCTCTCAGAGTCATCCGGAATCGAGGCGAGGGAGCCCGGGGTCAGGGCAGCCAGCGAAGCTTTACGCGCCAAAGAACCAGCAGCCGGAGTAAGTCGAGAATGGGCGGAATAAAGCGCGTTTAGATTGGGCGTCGACGCGGTTGCGATAGCACCAACGGAGGGTTTCTTGGTTGGGCGAGACAAGGTGGGCGGTTGCCTCTGCTGATAATGCAAGGAGGAAGAGGAGGAAGAGAGGGTTGCTCCCGACGACGCCATGGTGGGCAACTTTTCTCGTCTCGAGCCGTCCCAGGTTCGGGGCCAGCCAGGATAAGTGCTGTAACGTGGTGTCAGTACCTGGTACGGCCAACCTACGCTACGTCTGACTACGGCACACCACCTGCCCACCTACTGTACGTACTCGCAATAGCGCAACAGCGCAATAGGGGCCCGTGGTTGGCGCTTGGTTGGTCGCGGGAGCTGCTGAGAGATTCTGACAGGCGGCTTGTTTATTACCTATTTCCTACCTAAGGTTAGGTACCTCAGGCACTGGGACGCCCGTGTTGATTGGCCGATGGCGATGCGGTCCAATCGTCGTCGCTGTTTCGCCCGTCGGGCCCAGAAAAGGGTGTGACTAGAACGGGTAGTGGTTAGACTCGCGGGTCGCGTGGGACAACAGGTATAAGCGAAGCCCCGGACACAGAGTTGTCGTCGGTATGGCACTTACTGTGCAGATACAGTTTATTTTGCTGCAGAATAATTAAGCAGTTGAGGTTAGCTAGTTGTGCCGGCGATTCAGGGTGTTGAGTTACAAGGACAAAAAGAAAGAGAGAAAAAAAAAAAGAGGGCGGGGGAAAGACAGGGAGAGGGAAAAGGGAGCAAAAGGTACATAGTAGACAGCGTGCCAGGTTGAGACAAAGAACTTATGTATATATGTCAGAGATTTTAAGCACGACAGACCCAATAAGGTGGTGAAAGTGAAAGTAGAAGTAGATAGTCGTCAAATTCAACAATGTCAGATAGTTGATGCACTTTGGTTTTGGCTGGATTCCCTGGACCGATGAAGAGTTGGTATAGAGAAAGAAAATTACATACCTCAGCGCATACATACATACCTTAGGCTAGGTAGGGGTACACACACAGAGAATGGCTCTTTCTATGAAGAAATACATGGAGAACCACACCGCTCACTTCGTCAATGAGGATCGGCTTACCTTGACAATAAATAAATAGTAGTCGCCTAGGTGTTAGGGTTGTTCTTCCGTACCACTAATCTACCATACTACACGGAATACACCATCGCATCGCCACCCGGGATACCAACTATGACGCCCACTAGGGTAACAGGAAGTGAGCCCCTTACATTGTACCTTGCTCAATGGTTCGACAATCGTGACAAGCTGTTGAGCTGTGTTGGCGCTGCAGTAGCCAATGATGTAGCTAATCATACTACCTAGGTACCTGGGTAAGCTGCTTGCTGGCAGGGGTCCGTGAGCGTAGCAAACCATGAGGTGTGGCGAGCCCTGAGAAGCGCTATTGGTAGATTCTCATCCTATTTGACCAGCAGTAGAGACTACTAGGTGCCACTATCGCCGCTGTCTCAGTGCCTTCTTTGTTTACTTTCCAAAGAGGAAGAGGCAGAAGACTACGCGTTGACGCGAGTCACCATCACCTCCTGCGAGTTGCATGCATGCTGCATACATATGTACATACCGGTACCACCTATGTAGGTACGAAGTAGGTACCTAAGCCGGTCAAGCTCAGGCCATATACCTGCTTCTCATCTCAAGGCTGTATCCGGGTATATGGTATCAATATAATCGCTCATTTCTGCTTATGAGACAACGTTACCCTCATCCTCTCGCAGACATGCCGCAATATGGAAGGGATCATATACCACCACACTACAAGCAAAACCAGAGCAATGTGTCAGTGTCATCGTTGGAGAGCAGTGCTAATCGTTCTATTGTACCCCTGATCTACGGGTACTGAAGTGGGGGTTGCATTGGGCAGAACCTGAGCTTTGATAGCCAGGTGCGAGCATAGGTATCTAGATTTAAGAGTTCAGGGAATGCCTATTCCTCAAGGCATCGTTTATTTATGATGCTCCCATGGCCATCTGTTACTAATAGATAGAGAGGAACATTAGTTTCACAGGTCACGACGCAAGGAATAAGCCAGGCGAAACATCTGCATGTGTCCATCCCTGGAGTTCACTTTTTTTATACCTACCTAGGTGCTTACCAATATACTATTTACGTAGGTATACGGCGGGCGAGGTGAAATGCCTAGTGCGATTGTCGACAATGCATATCCTTTGGTCATTAACAGTTACAAAATCTTGAGACCCCCATATTGCCCACCTGCATTGTGCCTGCCTGGTACAGGGAAGGGTTCTCGATGTCGGGGCGAGGGCTTTTAGCATCGTAGAACGTGATATCCGTACCAATCTGCGACAGCTCATTGGGAAGTCTACCTGGCTGATCTCGCTAGTATGGCTATTGAGCGTCTGTCATCGCCGAGGCCATTTTTCAACTATTGGAGTCGTGTTCTCGCTCAATTATATCGCCGCGCCCTAATGAATGCGTTCCATCGTTCAAGACCATGGCTTCTCGGTGTCGTCTACGTAACCGTTGCTCTTCGACACTCTGATCATTCACCCGAGGTACGAGTTCAATCTGTGACGTCTCAACGACACTATCCTCCTCATTTGCCATACTAATCTCCAAGACAACCTTGATATTTGCAGATCGGTCTCTTTTGGGTTTCTTTGATTTCGTAGTTAATTTTGCTTTGACAAGCGCTTTCCGTCCGGCTTTACATGCCCTCAGGTGCAGGCATATGTCGCTAATCCTATTCTTCTTGCGATCCATATACATGGCGAAGTTTTTTCGTCTCGCCTCGTCCGTGTCGCCCCATGGCTGTTTGGCTAGCCACTTCTCAACGAATTGGGCTTCAACTAGTTTTACCACGCCATGGTGGTGGATTAATACTGAGACTAGTAAGAGGCAACGTTGTTCGCCTATGTCGCGCAGGAGATATTCATCGTAGAGGGGATCGTCGAGCACTTCATGCTCGACATCGTCAAGGCTTAATTCTAAGGATCGAACGATTGCATTATAACCTTTCGTAGTATTAAGTACACGTACCAACGAACTCCTATAGGAATCTGCAGACCCTTGTTAGCGAATGGAGATTGAACACGCAGGTAAAGCCCATACTGTCTTCTAGAGCAAAGGTAAGGGCGCGTAGGCTTCCCATCCGTTCATCATAGTCCCGGCGAGTGATACCCCAAAGCAAATCATTGATGGCTGACTGGTCATTTACGGCGCGACCAGCTACTATCCTGAGAGTCGTATCGCGTATGGCAAAATTATAATGATGCAGGAGTGTGTTTAGTGTGCTCAGCTTGAGTGAGTCTTCTGTGGCTTGTGTAATGTATTGCGTCTTGGGCTGTGCAGGCTGGATCTCGGCTTTGTCGCGTGAGTGCACAAGAATGGCGCGCATGGCAGCAATACAGCTTACTGTCGCTATGCCGAAGCCGACAGCGACGAGGCGCTCATCTCGCATGAAGGAGAAGAACCCCATGCTAATGGCATTTCTGTGCGGTAATAATAGACCGTACGCTTCGCATCGTGGTTCGAAACAAAGAGATGGGGGGCAAAGAAGAAGTCGATGTTAGGTGTGGTAATAGAGTAGGTAGATCATCGGCGCCGGTTCCATCTCTACTTACTAGAAAAAGATAAGTTAATGCACAATTACATAACCTACATAAGTAAGTAGGTACGTAGGTACATAGTACAGTAAGTTAGCGCAAGTGGGGCTATGCCGATAAGATAAGTTAACTCAAGCTCCATTAAAAAAGTTCGAAGTACCTCGCAAGCAAGGCATCGTGAGCCCCTCTAGACACCATCGACAATGCACAACCATTGAGAGTACGAGAATGCCTGGCTCCCAGCTTAAGAGGCTAAAGGCCTCTTTAAGAGAACAAGGCGTGATTGGCCCACAACAAAGCAAAAAACAGAGGCGAAAGGCTGCGCAGAATGGAAAAGTTAACACAAATAAACGGGCTGCCGCCCTAGAAAATATCCGAGACGAGTTTAACCCTTTTGATTTCAAGCACAACGCTCGAGGCCCAAAATTCCAAGTAACCAGCAATCGCCCGACGTTAGGAGATGCAGCTAAAGGGATTACGGGACGTCCAGGCGACGCGAAAGCCGTGGGCGAAGAGAGAGTATGTTTAAAATGCCCGGGTGGCAGGCCGAGGATGATGGTGTGCATAGCTAATAGAGATGCTGTAGCGGCGGCAAACACTCCTAGTGGAGATGAATCGAAGGAACAAGACCGGCGGCATACGCGACCAACGTTTTGGTGAAAACGACGCCTCGATGACTTACGAGGAGAAAATGGCCCAGCGTTTCATGAGGGAGAAACAAACCCACCACAAAGCCTCCATATTTGATCTTGAAGATGACGAGCCTATGGATGGACTAACCCATATGGGCAAATCTCTATCTTTTCCCGATAAAGACGATTTTGAAGAATTAGATCTCCTCGACATCCAGGAGAGTGATTCTGACAAAGATTCAACTGCCGATTCGCGCGGCCTAAAGCGAATTCGAGAGTCAGAAGATGTAGAAGAGCAGGGTGGCCCAAGTGTCGAAGGAGAACCAGAAAGGAAAAAAACGAAACAAGAGATATATAAGGAAATTATTGCAAAGTCTAAACTGCACAAAGCCGAGAGACAAGCACAGAAAGACGCCGACGAGGATCTGAGAGAAGAGGTAAGCTATTTAAATCGCATCTTCACACGTTACAAACACTAAATGTAAATTCCTTGGCAGCTCGACAAAGAGCTTTCTGGTATCCAAGCTCTTCTGTTTCAGAAACCTAAATCGATTAGCGGTGAACACGATGAAACACTTACCAAACCAGACGAATCTGGTAGAGAAAAAATGGAGCGCGACTACGATATGCGGTTACGACAACTCGCTATGGATAGGAGAGCGAAACCTTCAGACAGGACACTAACAGAAGAAGAGATTGCTCAACGAGATGTTGAAAAACTGAAAGAAGTAGAAGATAAGCGGCAAAAAAGAATGCGAGGCGAGCTCAGTGATGGCGAGGATGAAGAAGAAGAAAAAGACGTTCGTGATACTCAGTCAAATGCAACTAAACCAACTTGGCAGGACGAAGATGAGGAGGAAGATTTCAGGCTTGGCTCTGGAATCCGCACTCGGCCTACCGCGACAGAGCTTGGCTTTGATGACGAAGACGATTTCATTGTAGAAGATGATTTGCTGGCAAGTGGATCAGACTTGGAGCCCATTGAATCTGAAGATGAGGATTCATCTGTGGAAGAGGACGAGGATGATGAAGAAGACGAATTTACGAAAGGTCTTCTTAATGAGACGGAATCCCAGGATCCAGCTTTATCGAAAGAATCCAATAATTCGAAGAATCCACCGAATAAAATTAACAACTGTCCCGAAACCCTGGAACAGCTTTTGGATATATCGCGTGCTCTGTCGCCAGAGCAGATTCCGATACTTATCCAGAAGATCCGCATATTGTACCACCCGAAACTGGCCAGCGAAAATAAAACAAGACTAGCGGCCTTCTCTCGTGTGCTTGTTCAGTATCTTTTTCATCTATCAAATACAGCAAGTCCCTTGCTGTGGGCATCTCTTGAGAGTATAATACGGCGTAAGTGTAGTACTTCAAAACTTCTACGAGTTCTGTTTCTGTTTACATTTCTATCTCGGTCCTCGCTGATATTTGGTACCCCATAACCCATGAGATCTCGGATACTAACCTTGTCTGTTGCAGATCTCCATTCACTCGCAAAGTCATTCCCTGTCGATATTTCAGAAGGATTTCGCTCTCAAATAAACAACTTTGCAACCAGATGCCTTAGTCCTACTCTAGGAGACATGGTGATCCTCGTGGCTGTTGGAACAATTTTCCCGCCCAGTGACGCTTTTCATCCCGTCATCACGCCCGCAATGTTACTAATCACCCGGTACTTGGGCCAGAAGATACCTAAGACTACCACAGACTTTGTCCAGGGGGTTTTTATGGGTTCTCTAGTGCTGCAATATCAGAAACTATCACAGAGATATTGTCCAGAATTCATGAACTTTTCTCTTAATACATTGGCCTCTCTTGCGCCGTCTCAAGCAATAAAAAGGAAAGGCAACTTTCCTCAACATGAACCTGTTTCAGGCATGCGCATTGCAGGCGCCAGTAAGATCGGGGTTCGGAAACTCAAAGCCACAGACTGCGTAACGGAACCTACCTCAGAGCAGCTAGGTTTATCAATAAGGGTCGCCACCTTGGATACGACTATCCAATTGCTAGATACAGCTACACAATTGTACGCCAACAAGCCTGCGTTCATTGAAACATTCGAACCAGTCCTCTTCACGCTTCGTCATCTGACAAAAAGTTCATGCAAACCACACCTCCCCATGGTCTTGATTGATCGCGTTGTGAGGCTACAAACAAAACTTCAAACTATGCTTGCCATATCTCAACTAGCTCGACGGCCACTCGAACTGCATCATCATCGTCCCCTAGCGTAAGTCTGAGTGCTTCCCTCAGTGTAATCGCAGAACCAAGAATAGCGCAAAGTGCTAATAGTATACCATAGTATTAAGTCAGCAGTTCCCAAGTTCGAAGATCAATTTGATCCTGACAGGCATTATGACGCCGACAAGGACCGAGCCGAGTTGGCCAAGCTTAAGGCAGAGCATAAGAAAGAGCGCAAGGGTGCCATGCGGGAGCTACGGAAAGACGCCAACTTTATGGCTCGTGAGAAGCTTAGAATGAAGAAGCAGAAGGATGCTGCATATGAAAAGAAATACAAGAGGCTTGTAGCCGAGATTCAGGGAGAGGAGGGACGAGAAGCAAACGCCTATGAACGAGAAAAGCAGGCAAGGAAGCGAGCAGCGAAGAGATAAGGCTAACTTTCACCGCATATGCATCCCTTCGCGAACATTAGCCTATCATATTTTTATGAATCTTGCTAGACTGCCTGAAAAAGGTACCACAAATAAATATATAATCAATATTCCCAATGTTCAGAATTAAGAAGGGGTGAACTAGTCACTAATACCATTTTCCCGTCTTATTTTAATATCCACGGTTAGAGGGACGTAAGACGCATATCTGTAGAGATATTAGCCTTAAATAATCGGCATAGGTATCAATCTCAGACGCACTCTTCGTAAACCCCTGTATCAGAGGTATTTAGATCCATCTGCTAATCATGTGATGGCCAATAGGTTCTGGCGAATGGGCCCGAACAAAAGAGGCGCAAGTATTGTACTATCCCGCGAAGAGCTTTCTGTCGGTATTGTCAAAGAGTGTCCCTTGACGGCCATGTTCGACAGCGCAGCCTAACTCTCAACCTCTTCCAAGCCATGATTCCCAGTAACGTGACACGCGAGCCACCTCGTTGTTGATAGCTCTGCTCCGTCCTCTTCATCTTCGGGCCCAAAGCTCCAATCTTGTATCTTTGCTCTTTCTCTCCACATCCCTCTTATTTTGTTCTCGGATACCATCGCACCCGCTGAATTATAGGCTCGGCTTGCCGATGTTCATCTCGATCGTTTGATGGCGGGTGTCCTGCTGCCACAGCTCCTTTGAATTCTGCTCGGCGTACTCGGAGGCCATCGAAGGCTTTCTGTCGCTGGGCACCACTCACACATCCATCCAGTCCCCTGCTTTCAGCTGCGTCTTGCGCAATCATGTAGGCTTCAGCAAACAAGAAGTACGCTCAACCCGCTCAAAAACTTGGTTGAAAGTCTGCCGAGACTTGCGTCTAGCAGGGGCGTCTGACAAACATTACATGCCAAGAATTCCGCCTCAATCTTATGACAGGCAATGTCCGCAGACCTGAGACCCAAGCCCCGTATATCATCTCTCGGACTAGTTGCGTAAAAGAGTCTTCCGGACTCACAGCAAATGCGTTCGGGAAATCGATGGTACTGTACTTCGATGTCATTAGCCGGGCTTGGGCCGAGTGGCAGGTCATGTCTAGCTGCCTTGTCCAGACTAGCCAATAAGGGCGTCAGTCCTCTTAGGAGCATACGGTTCAGGGTAACCTCCTTGTCTGTTGCACAACGTCTTCACTAGATAGTAAGTGACCTGTTGATGTGTCAGAGACTCTAGAGACCAACTACCAGCTGTCGATTATCTTCATACCTGGTAGTGTGCTCGATCGTGGGACAGGGACCTGGTAAGTATTATAAGTAAGATCAAGGGCATGATCAGCTGCGGCAGGTTGCAAGGCGCTTCTCTTCTTCTGTAAGATGGCCAAGATTTGTTGCTGTTGGTTATCATCTAGTCTTGAAAGGCTCTGTAATGCGTTGATCATGTTCGAGTCATAGCCCGAATTTGGATTCGGGAAACTTGTGACGCTACTGCCTGGTAAGGGATAGGTGGTAAAAGGATCACCCATAAAGTCCTCGTCGAATGGAAACATTGGTGTAGATGGCATCGGCGATATGGGTGGGAGAGATGAGACGTAGCCAGTGCTCATCCCGATTGCTGGAGTGTTAGGGTTGTGTGTATGGGTGGCCAGCCTCTCGGCATCTTGGACGTAGTCTTTCACCAGGTAACTAACGTAGGCATCTGCATCGTGACTTGGGCCATTCGATGGCAAGGGCACTGATGGTATGGCTGGAACAGTGGACATAAAGTACGGTGTTGGGCTATGTGACGAATTCCTAGTTGCACGGTTTGATTCCATCGTACAAAACTCGGGCGCTGGTGACTCTGTCTCGTCCGAGACGGAGCTCATTGAGTCAGGATGGCTATCTTTCAGGATCTCATCTAATAACGCTAGCTTTTGTCTTCGCTTTTCTCCTATTCTCGTGTTAGCCAGCATCGCTCCAATGAGACGGTGGGCACGCCCACGGAGAACATACGATAGGCTCTGGATGCTATCCTATTCTGTTCCTTCCGAATATCACTATTCCGACCTCTCCTCTTTCGAGGCTGGGTCTCTGATGCCCGGGGGCTGGTTGTAGTTTCCATGGTACCGAGTATTAATCACGAAATGTAGGTTGGAAGCTAACAGCTAGGCCTCCCTAGAGTAACATCAAAGTCAAGGCTCACTAAGTGATGGCATGTATCGAGAGGAGAAGAAATAGGTCTGCCGGTAATTAGGCGGACTTATTCGAGTGAATGGGAAGTCTGAGGGGTCACGAGCATTAGTTGATGTGCATGAGGCGTTTATATTGGTAATTGCCGGCCTAGGTCCCCGAGAAGATGGAATTTGGAACCCTGGTCTCCCTGATGGCAGACCATGCATGCATCTACCTCAGAAAAAATGCAATAGCTCTTACTCCCAGTTCGCGACCTTATGTCCAGCGTAAGAACCTCCTCGATCAACTGGCTTCCGCGGTATGATGTGGGCCAGGGTCGCATCGTTGTCCGCAGTAGCGTAGCACTCGTGCTTCGACCACGGAAGCTTAGGTAGGTGGCTTCACCTCTGGGCTTCACTACCAAGTCCCTACTAGTCGATGACTGCACAGGAATAGGACTACCGATGTCATACCAAACCAAGTAAGGGTGATGAGTCTGGATCAACACTTTCTAGCCGCGTCCTGAGCTGCGTACAACACGAAGCACCAGCCTTTTCTCTCTCGGAGAAGGCCGAGTCTAAGCTGCTTAGCTTTGGCAGCAGTATGTTCCACGCCTAAGTACAGCACAGCTTTCTTCTTGACTGATACGGACAGTATAAACGGACAGTAAATACTTCTCATCATGCCATGCTGCTTCGATTGCTGATAGCGTTATGTAATGCCCACCGCCATCTGTACTGGGTGTTTTTAAGCGACCGATCGACAGGGCCTTGATGCCAGTACATGTTATTATTTCCAAACCCCGAAGTTAGGCCTGTGGTAGACAGGGCATACCATAATAATACATAGGACATTGCTTCTTCCTACTCTCCCGTGCTCCTTTTCTTTCTTTTCCCTTCCTAAATATTATCTCTACTAAAACGATGTTGTATTCATGATATCCATAGTTCTAACTCTAGGGCTACTGAGTTGCCATCTAGATAGCACGACGACTCTTTAGATCAAGGGGAATAAGGCCAAAATAATGTAGACAGGACGTATCTCTTTATCATGATTCACACTTCGCTACCCAAGCCTGTACCGAGGCTAAGGTCTCCTACCTCTCGTATTGAACTACTCCTCCGATATCAGTGGCCCAAGCTTGTCGCACCAAGTCATGCCACGGCCATATCAGAATAGACCTGAACCCTCGTTTAACCACTCCGTCCCTCCGCTAAGCCTTATGGGATTACTGATGACCCCTACGTAGTAGCCTTATGATTAGTTGGCCCTGCTGCTGACTGATCGTCTTTGTAATTGCAGGTCGACGCCCAAAACCCTGCTAGAACCAAGCTCTGAACCAGCATGATAGGAAATTCTTACCGTCAGATCACATGACGCTCTTCACACTATGTGTATTCTAATGGAACGCCTCCTACTTCAGGTTTAATCCCCCAGGATCTCATACAAGCAGTATGTAAATATAGATCATGCTACCGGTCTTCCTAAATAGTAGACCTTGTTTAACTGTGCGATAGGTGAGGTAAGCCCTAGTTAGGTAGGTGCCTCACAGATTGGGTTTTCGGATGGCCTCCAACGCTGCCAAATGGGATTTACTCAAAACAGATAATGACCGTTTTATGTAAATGGTCTTTGGAAATGGCACTGCATTGAGACTGGAAATGTGCAATTCCCAGCCGTATAAACTTGGGGCGTCATCCATTCTTATGGCCTTGCTGAAAGCCTTCTTCGTGTCATGCAGACTTGGGATAGATGTATGTATCTATAATATTTTCAGTTATTCAGGGTGCGTAGTATGAAAGCCTGGGCTATGGGAAGCTGAAAACCGGCATCAGCACCGGCGCTAGCCTGTCCTGCGTAATCCGATCGTCCACAGTCAGCGAGAGAGAGAGAGAGAGACGAGAGAGATATCCCCCACCATTAGTTAGCTAATGTGCTGCAAGTGCAATCCCCGGTTCTTCTACTACCGTACTCCCCCGTAAGCCTACCCGCGACCGAAGATGGTCACACTCCCAGTAAGGTACAAGGCATTTGATTCACTACACTACTCAGTACACTAGATGGTGTGATACCGAGATACATATGGGGGTATGTCGGAGATAGATCATCGATCAGACATCAGCTACCCCTTCAGTGGGAGGTACCCCGTCACCGGACACCAGTAGAGAGGCCATCGAGATCGTGTACTGAATGCCTAGGTACTGTGAGATCATGCGAGCCCTCGAATAAATGTTGATTAGTCATCGTCTAACATAGGTAAAATACTCCTACCATTTTTGGCGATGACATACTTTGATATCGGGATTACCTACTGTCCCCTCCTCTTAAGTCTTTGATCAGACAACTAGCTTAAACTATTATACTGCATGTAATATCGTCGCTGAGTATTTCTTGGAATCACAAGAACGCCCTTCCGCGGTGACGGTGCTTGTCTCTTCACTTTCTTCTTCCTCCTCCCCGAACCATATGTCAGCCTATACACTGGAGCCTAAGCAGTTTATGCGATGATCGCCATGGGCCGGCGTTGCATTGAATATTACTACCCGAGCGTCGCAGTCAATAGGCTATCCGGTGATATACTTGCATAATGCCTTACGCTTTGGAGGACTCGAGATACTATTAGCCTAGGCAAAGGAATAACGTGGAGAAATTTGAATTATGACAGACGGAGAATTGACAATTACACTGCTTGTACCAACAACTAGCATACCGGTATCTAAGCAGAAAAGTTTTCCGGGTGCGGCAATGACAGCCATTCGCCCATATGATACGAGAGAAGAAAGGCCTAGCCAATCAGGGCTTGGTGTGCTTGGAATAGAAAGATTAGAACACTACCTACACTCAATGAGACGAATTTTATAATATATCAAGTATACACTTACAAGTATTGCTCTCATGGCAAGGCATAAGTGACATGCCCAATACGAAGACATTTCATTCAGGATAAAGCTTTATGACACACATGGTAAGTTCTCTTGGCAAGATCTTCACAGGGTCTTGCTGAAGGTCGCTGCTGTTATGATATTAAGTGTTATGACTTTCAAGGTCATTCAACTAACAATGCAAGAATCTAGTTCTGCTCGGGCCCCATATCACAGCGTAGTTTTTAAGGAATTTCTACCTCTTCCTCAGACATATTGTATTTGTAGAAAATAATACAAATATGTTGTTATCCTCTTTGTGATCTGATGACACTTGCATACTTCGGCTTATTGGTGCCCCTAAATACAACCCCAAGAATCGAGAATAGTCAAAGAGTAACAATTAATAGCACGCTAGCTCGGGAGGACCCGACTCAGCTGATTAGGGACTCGGATACCCGTAGTAAGAAATCCAATGTCATAGCAGACCATTTACCAGGAAGGAGCTCATTGTACACAGAAAAGGGGCGTGAGATCAATAAACCCACAAGATGTAGACACAACAACGCCTGTCATCAACGGAAGGGTGCGAGACAGGGCTGATAAGAGTTCCGAAGAGAATTCCTAATCACTCCATATTGTACGTTGTTTGATTATCATGCTTTGGCAGGTCATGTTCCCTCACTAGGCAGGTACCTAACACGATATGCCACTGGTAGGTGTCCCCTTACCAGCCCCAGAGTCGATGACGGTCATGTTCAGAAATAACCGCGGTAGCAAATCATATTTTTGAAACACGGCCTTAATTAGGCAATTAGAATGCGTAGATGTTTGATCAAAAAGCGGCGTGACAAGGGATATATCTATAAATACCTAGGTACTTATTAGGTAAGTATATATGGAAGAAGGGGGTGGGTTGCCTTACCTACCAAACCTGGACACATGTAGGCATTCAGCTGCCAAGACAGTCTCAAGATAGGTAGAGCGAGTAGGTAGCTGGCATGACAAACCCCGAAACTCTAACTTTAATGGCATGGCGAAAGTATATAACAAAACCTAGGTACGAATTTGAGGATCGTGGAATTTTCCTCCCTCTCTCAGTCTTTTGGGACAATAGGTAAGCAAATGCCAAGCGAATATACTTTGATATCAAACCCTATAACCGGCCACTTGTATTAGTGGATAGGTAGTGGACAGCACAGTACGTATTGTCTCGTCGGCCTCGCTTCGATGCCTCCCTTGTTGTGGTGGAACAGCGATTTCTTTACCTCAATGTTTGCGTTGACACGGCCTTCGAAGGCAGAACTGAGAACCTACGTTACCCCTTCAGAGCGGCGCAGAGCAACAGCACCACAGGCTGGGTGAACCTTTTGAGGTACCTAGGTAGGTACTCGAAATGTTTCGCGCTACGAAGGGGGGTGCGAGATGGAGGGGTAGGTATTCACATGTACAGTACCTACCTAGGTACCGGTATGTACGAAGTAGGCATCGGCGCCCGAGGGGGGGGGAGGGCAGAGGGGGAGAGGGAGGGAGGTGGGAGGAGGGCGCTGGACGAACTCGTCCAATCCGTCACCGGAGTCCCCACCAGCCACTGTCCGATTTCACTATGGCGTTCCATTGCATTACCGGAATCAGTCACACGATGCATTAGCGTCAACCGAGTAGAAGTACCTCCAAGTATAACGGGGCTGGGCTAGTGTCTTCAGCAGTGCATTCCGCCGGCGTGGCGAGCGTGGATTGTTTGCCTCGTCGACCTCAGCCGCGTTGGGTACCGAGGGCTACATGGACACCCACGCCACGATTCCATCGGTTTCGATGGGAGTGTGCTCGTGGCGCATGGAAGTCACAGCCTTGGTCGCTGTGCGTTGTTGGGTTGGTCAGAGTTTGGTTGTAGATTAGGTAGGCGGCTCTCGCCCTGCATAGTAGGTAGGTAGGTAGTCCTGTTTGCTGTCCCTTAAGCTTTTACTGCTTAACCTACCAGACAACCTCCCTAAACCTACCAAGATATCTCCTGTACAGGGAGGCATCGTAAATATCTTCAGGTACCTAGTGTAGCGCATGCTATAGGTATGTCTGTCCCGCGCGCCTTGCCTTCCAGAGTGAACCAACCTTAGCAACTCTCCATGTCCCCCTTTCCAACAATAGCATCATCACAATCAACCTTCCAATCCCCACTCCATTCCTGCATTTCCAGTGCACAATCAGCCCTCTGTTTCCCCGTTCGCGGCTTGTCAGCAGGTGTATGACTTTGCCAATTGGCATCTGTGTATTCTCCGGCTGCTTAGGTTTCGTCTAGTTTGCTTCTCTTGACACGCCTCCATTCCAGATCCTTCTGGAAACCCGAGGCTGCCGGCACTGTCCCATACATCAACTGCTCTTCTTATCTTTTCTACTACAATCGTCCCTCAAGCCTCTCTTGATACCCGTCCGCAATTTCATCCGCCCATACAACATCAGCGAGACTCATTTCCCTGGGGTTGCTGCAGAGCCAGTCTTATTTGGACGCCTACTTCGTGCCGAGGACGATCCTAGTCATATCTCACTTTTCTTCTGAGCCGGCAACACTTCGAAGTAGTTAAGTTTGCGCAAAAGTTGGTAAGCACATTCAATCGTCCCTTACACTGACAATATCGGTCTTTTCGTCGCGTACGGGTCTTTTCTCGCCATGCCTCCCTTTCCTTACTACTGTTGCATGTTGTTTGCCGTCATCCTCTTTCTCCATCTACAGATACGGCTATAACTAGACATTCCCGCTGCCTGCACTCCTGTAGCGCGCATTTGTTCATTGTCAAAGAGGCACAGAAGCATACACCACTACACACGCTACTTTAGGCCCGCTACTAGTCTCTCAACCTGATTCGCATTTGTGGGGCTTGCTTCTTGACTTTTTCTGTCGCCTTCTACCTATCACCCCGGACCGCACATTCAAGGGTTCCCCACTGCTTTCCCATATCTCCCTGTAGTACAGATACGCTTGCTATTTCTTCAGTTTAAAAAGGTCAAACATCAAATGAGTTAACACAACCCTGGTGCCCTGCAGATTTTCTACTCTAGCCAGACTACTCTACCTCAAAACAGACGCCTGGTCTAACATTACCACTGTTCAACCGCATCTCGCAAATCGCCAAGATGGTCAAAGAAACGGGATATTACGACTCCCTTGGGGTATGCCTTAGGCCGGCCACCTGATTTTGTCGCTGGAATTCGATCGCTGACGCTGCCTAGGTCTCGCCAACCGCCACCGAGCAAGAGCTCAAAAAGGCTTATAAAATGGGTGCCCTTAAGTATCATCCTGGTACGTTTGGTGATGGCATATGGTTAGTCGCGTAGTATATGCTGAACATCTTGTAGACAAGAACGCCCACAACCCCGCTGCCGAGGAAAAGTTCAAAGAGATTTCCCATGCCTACGAGATCCTATCAGACCCGCAAAAGCGCTCTCTTTATGATCAATATGGTGAAGCTGGCTTGGAAGGAGGTGCTGGTGGCGGTATGGCCGCCGAAGACCTTTTCGCCCAATTCTTCGGTGGTGGCTCATTTGGTGGTGGCCTTGGTGGCATGTTCAGTGGCATGGGTGGCCAGTCCCGTGGGCCTCCTAAGGCGCGAACTATCCACCACACACACAAAGTATCGCTTGAGGATATCTACAGGGGGAAGGTTTCGAAACTGGCTTTGCAACGTTCCGTCATTTGCCCCAAATGCGAAGGACGGGGTGGCAAGGAAGGTGCTGTCAAGCGCTGTCCCGGCTGTGATGGCCATGGTATGAAGACTATGATGCGCCAAATGGGCCCTATGATCCAAAGATTCCAGACTGTATGCCCAGACTGTAGCGGTGAGGGTGAAATCATCAAGGAGAAGGATCGCTGCAAGGGCTGCAGTGGTAAGAAGACCGTTGTGGACAGGAAGGTTTTGCATGTCCACGTTGACAAGGGTGTCCGAAGCGGAACCAAAGTTGAATTCAGGGGTGAGGGTGACCAGGCTCCCGGTGTTCAAGCTGGTGATGTTGTGTTCGAGATTGAACAGAAGCCCCATCCTAGATTCACGCGAAAAGAAGACGACCTTCTCTACCGCTGTGACATCGAGCTTGTCACGGCCCTGGCCGGAGGTACTATTCACATCGAGCACCTGGACGACCGATGGTTGAATGTTGAGATCATGCCGGGCGAGGCCATTGCGCCAGGTGAGTCACCCGCAAACTGATGATATTTCTTTTCGATTCTTGGGACAAAGCTGACATGATTTGCGTATAGACGCTGTTAAGATGGTGCGCGGACAGGGTATGCCTTCGCATCGCCATCATGATTTCGGTAACCTGTACATTCAATTTGCCGTGAAGTTCCCTGAGCGTGGTTGGACCGACGATCCTGAAGCTTTTGACGCTCTTCGAAAAATTCTTCCCGTCCCTTCTATGCAAATCGTACCTCCGGCGGATGCTATGACCGACGTTGCAGATCTAGAGGACTTGGACAACTCTGGTCAAGCCAGAGGTTTTGGGGGTTCCGCAGCTATGGACGAAGATGACGAAGATGGTCACCCTCATGCGGAACGTGTGCAGTGCGCATCGCAGTAAACAGCTCAATTTTGAGACGAAAAGGCCGTATACCTTATATCTCCGGGCACACTGGATCCCCCGAACAGGCTTCAATAGTCATGCAAAACTTCAATTGCACTGATTAGTTGAAAACTGTATTTACGGCGCGACGTTTTGAAGAGACGAAGGTTCAACATCATGGCTTTTCACGAAGATCTACATGCTAAGGGGTTTTATGAGATAAAAGCGACAAGGGGTATACAGATTATATCTCTGCCTAAGAGCTTATATGATATGATTCTGTGGCGACCGCGCTCATCTTCTGAGCATATTCCTTTTGTGTCGTGTTGCGTTGTGAAGCAGGCGTTCAGATAGGACATAGAGGGATAGGGACAACTGCCGTTGTTTAATTGACATTTGCATTCTGAAACTGAAGTTGCTCAAAGATGATTGAAAACAGGCCCAGTTAAGTGGTTCAATAAGTGCCATGATGGCACCCTGCCATATTTATCTACATATTTCCGGTGGTTATATGTACATGCAAGCCATGTAACTACATATGGGCAAATTATTGGCCACCGAAATCCCTGTCATCTTCATAGCACTTTTACGAAAGGCATCGTTGGTTGACTTGCAATATCGAGGAATATAGACGCTTAGTCATAACATCGCAATAGAAGTCATGACGGCTAGCTTACTACCTAGATGATGCGCCAATATACCTCTGGTTCTAGCTGGTTCATGTACGACTCTTTCTTCAACGCTAATACAAAGACACAATTATTATGAACAGTGAGATGTTCGTCAGGCATACATGACCCTTCTATCGTAATTGTAATAGAACCAATCAGTCTTAGACTTGTTGACTAGCTTATTCCCTTGTTTCTGAGCTTTGCTCAGGCATCTCTGAGGTGCCTTCATACCCACCTTCGTCATTACCCGTTTTGCGCAGATTCTCAACTGTGTATATCAACTTGTCTAAATCATCACAGGAGAGAGGCGGCTGTTTGTTTGACGAGTTGGTAGTGTCATGGATATGTTGCCGAGGTACCCAGGCCGTTCCGTCACGCTCGAACACTGATATTTGTCCGTCACCGTCTGGTACATCTGTTGCTACTAGCAGAGACAGCTCCGTTGAGCCAATGGTCATGATATCTAGAGGATTTCCGTGCACTGTGAGCGTGAGTCTATGTAAGACGGAATTGTCGGCTTGAAGCTCATAGACGAAGATCGCTGGAGTCCTGATGTTGATGTTGTCAGCAGCCTATACTTGCTTTCCCCCCCCTCTCTCGTCAGCGCTAAAAGCCTGTAATGCTTACCGTTCACATATAGCTGCTACAAAGCATTCATCTCCCATGACGTACGATATCAGTTTCGTGACTGCGATCTTGGTTGCATCTGGCAGGACTTCGCGAACGTGGGCCAACAAATCAACAGTGCCTAGCAACTTCCCCGCCAGCCAGTCCCACACGAAGAGCGAGTTATCCCCGCCCCCAGATATCAAAACGCCAGGCCGAGAGCGGGGGTTACAGAGCGCTGCGACGAAGGACCCGTGCCCTAGACAATACGTCTCGATGATGTGAGACTGGGGAATGCCGCGGGAAACACGGATGTGCTCGTCGCGGTCGGCCGTGATAACGTATGGTCTGCCTTGTGCGTCTTTTGCGGTCAGGACACACGTTAGCAGCGACACGTGGCCGAGCAGAACCTCATGCGCAAATTGAGGACCGTCCTTGGGGAGATCTCGCTTTGCGTTGGCCTCACGTTGGCGCTGCTGGTCCTCGAGCGCTCGTCGATTGCGCTGTGAATGCACCGTCAAGACATTTGCCCCACGCAACGGTTCAGGGGTAACCGGTGCTGGTGTTGAGGCGGAAATAACTTCTTCTGATTGTGCGATCAGAGGCAATGCGTAGACGTCACCAAATTTATCAGCGCTGAGGATTGTCTGTCCATCAGCGGTGAGAGTGAGAGAACACGGACGCTTAGGCATAGCTCTGAGTATTCGTGTGAGCATGGTATATTGAGGTTGGTTCCTTGGATCAGAAATTTAGGGGTTGTTAATCATACCGTTGACTGATTTCTTTAAGTGACCCTTTGCCGTCATGCTCGAAAACCCAAAGCGTCTTGTCTTGCCCCGTCACTGCTATCACATGGCTCCCATCTTCGGTTGCCGTCAGAAGAACTACGAAGGGCATATCTGGCGTTGGCGGCTGCCGGTTTGTTCTGCCTTTCTTCTGACTCTTGCTCCCACTTGTTGGCGCATCTGGCTTTCCCTGGCCAGTCTCTGCGGCGCCGTTCAACTCAACATCGTCACAAGCTAACTTGCGCCGTTTTGACGGCGGCTGCTGCCCCGTCCGTGTTCCATCCTCTGAACCGTCATGCGCATCTTCGGTCTCGTCGACATTTACAGCTTGTTTTAAGGACGGGTGAGTCCATGAAAACAAGGAGTGAGAGCTCACGCCGAGATCGTATGTCTGAATGCTGCATCCCCTCGCGGCGCAGAATAGCGTGTTCCCCCCCAGCCGACTAAGGCACTGAAAGGGCAAACCCATGTTGAATTGATATGATATTGAATATCTAATCACGACAAAATGTGGCACTAACAGGGGGTGGAAGGCGAGATCTCGAAAATTTGTTACCCTAGCGGCTTGTTGGAGGGTACGGAACTAAACCATTCAAGGTTTATCAAATGCGAGAAGAAGCTGAAAGAGGCAAATGTAGATTTTATATCAAGGCCTGTAATTTGAGACAAGACCTGAATAGTCCGATAGTATGGATATGATTATACGATCCACGAATTGCCACCTTTGCCTGCGCGGTTGAGTTGATAATTTTCGGCAAGCAATATGTCACTTGTAAGTAACTTGATATGTGCCAAGGTATATATGTAGAACTTGAAGTATACAATATCAACCTACATACATGTACATATGGTATATGGTACCGGTAGGTAGGTACATACCTACATATCCAGGTATCCAAAATAGAATTATGGAGCACGCAACCTTTCCGAAGCACCGTCTGCCCATTAAAAGCGCACGCAAAGACTGTGGCGCAGCCTAGCATCAGCCCCTTTGCCTTGGTCTCACCTGGGCAGTTGCTTGCTGGCTCGCGACAGAAGAAAGTCAATTATAATACGACATCAAACGGCTTTAGTTAAGACACCCGTAGCCATCGATGCGCAATTGGTGATGAAGTCCCCGAACAGCTTTATTTCCGAGCTCTCCTGATACCTCGACGGCCTGAACCCATATTACCAATTGTATGAAGCTCCGACTTAGCGTGTCTACGTCGCGCGAGCTTGCCAACTCGATCAGCAGCAATTTAGACACCGGGAAGATAACGACATCCCTACCATGGCGCAGCTACTACAAGATCTCATATATTCTTTCGGGAATTGCTTGAACTGCTTTCCAGGGTCCCCAACTCTCAAGATCAATAGCCGCTCCTTCAAGATCCTGCGCTTACTCGGAGAAGGTGGCTTCAGTTATGTTTACCTTGTACAAGACACGGCGACAGCCGAGCTATTCGCTCTAAAGAAAATTCGATGTCCTTTTGGTACCGAGTCCGTCCAGCAAGCCATGCGTGAAGTCGAGGCGTACAAGACGTTTGCGCATACACCTTCGATTATCCATAGCATCGACTACTCAATCGCGAGCGAACGGAACGACGCCGAATCAAAAACAGTCTATGTGTTGCTGCCATACTATAGGAGAGGAAATTTGCAGGATATTATCAATGCGAATCTAGTCAACCACACCAACTTCCCTGAAAAGGAACTCATGCGCTTGTTTTTGGGTGTTTGCAAAGCTATGAAGTTCATGCATCAATACCGCGCTCCACGTGGTGGAGAGCGTATGGAAATGGGGAATACGAAGGCCGGCGAGGAGGATCAGAACGGGGGGGCCAAGAGGAATCGAGCCTCAGCTGCTGCCGATGCCGACGATGAGACGGAACAGGCGAGGCCTCTAATGGTTGAAGAGCAGGTTGTAGCGCCAGGCGAGCAGCGATCCTGGGCACACAGAGATATTAAGCCAGGTAAGTCGTTTAAACATGAAGCTCGTAGGTCGACCAGTCTAACCAAGGGCCCGCTAAAGGCAACATTATGATTGATGACTCCGGATCGCAACCAATCATTATGGATCTAGGCTCAATTGCAGAGTCGCCAATAGCGATTACATCACGGTCTTTAGCCATCGCCACACAAGACACAGCGGCAGAACACAGCACCATGCCTTACCGCGCCCCCGAGTTATTTGATGTGAAGACGGGGACGGTTATTGATACCAAGGTAGACATTTGGTCGCTGGGCTGTACATTATATGCTTGTCTTGTAGGAAAATCGCCTTTCGAAATGCGTAGCGACGAAACGGGTGGCACTCTCAGCATGTGCGTCTTGGGTGGCGACTGGCGGTTTCCCGACGAAGGACCACAGAGAAACAAGAAGGGAAAGAACACGGCTAGTGCAAATTCCGGCTCCGAGAGCGGCGTAATTAGTGAGCCTATCAAGGAAGTAGTGAGGAAATGCCTGAAGATTGAGCCCAGTGAGCGGCCGGATATTGACGAATTGATAACGATGACAGAGGAGGTTATTAGCGAGCTACCCGACGACGAGGTATAAGGTCGTCTCTTCGAGGCCCGGCGGTTTTCTTTCTTTCTTTTATTTTCTTCTAGGGCTCATTTTATTTGTACTTTCAATTTTTCGTAGGCGGGTTCTCATTGTCATGATTGTTTCTACCTGCTAGCGTAGAAAGGCGTACAGATCTGTTGGTCACGATGTCACTTTATAGACATTGTATTTTCTAGGCAAGCTTGCTGAGCTCTAAAGCCAGTACACCTTTAAGTTGTATGAGTATAATATTTCTATGATACCATATACCTCAGGTCACGCAAGTTAGTTCAGTTCAGAGACCTGAGAGTCTGTGATACCTGCTGACCCAATGCTAGTAGTAGACATTGGTCACAATACCTACATTATGTACTTAGCAATGGCCAGTGCGCTCCACTTTATTTTGCCAATCAACCCAAGGCCGCATCTTTCACGCTCAACTTGCATTCAAACGATCAGTACCTAAGTTTCAATTTCATCAATTGAAAGCGTTCGTAAAATCACTTAGTGGTGTGGCTTCATTAGCTCATGCCAGAACACTGAATTTCGCCGCAATCCACCTCCTGTCCACGCAAATATAGCAAGTAGTGGTAGGAAAACGACATCAGTTAATATGGCGCCGGATGAAGATGACGACTATATGAACATGACCTTTGAGGAGTGCCCCACGACAATTGAGACATCACTACAGAGACGACAGCGACTGAAGCGCGAAGGTGAGATCAAGGGGCGCGTCAAGTCCAAGGTTGAACTGGCAGCCGAGGAGCGGGAGGCCCGCGAGACCGCCTTGTCCAGGAACATGCTCGAGGGCACACAAGCCAAGAAGAGCAAAGGTCTCGCCATGATGGCCAAGATGGGCTTCAAAGGCGGTGCGCTGGGCCGCAAGGAGAACCCAGACGCTCGTCTCGAGCCAATCCGGCCCGAGATGAAAGACGACCGCGCCGGCATCGGCCTAGATTCCGAGCGGAAGCGGAAACTGAGGGAAGCGGCGGAGAGCACAGAGAAAAAGGTCAAGGTCGATGAGGCCGAGTATCGCGATCGCGTGCGCAGGGAGCGCGAGGCAGTGCGGTACGAGCGGATGGCCTACGCTGCTATGAATACTTGTGAGCGCATGGACGAGAAGAAGAGGCAAAGCGACACCCCCACTACCGGGGTCGCGGCGAACTCTGACATTGAGAAGAAGCGGATACTTTCCACGAGGCCGCTGAAATCTATACCCGTTGTGTGGAGGGGATTGATTCGTAAGCGTGAGGAGGTGGAGCGCGACCGCAGAATGAAGCACGATCTGCAGCAGACATCCGCACCACGCCTGCCCGCGTATGAAGACGACCTTGAGGACGAGGACGACAGAAAAGCTATGGGGAAGACGCAAACTGCCTACGCCGTGGTTGAGGACCTTGACGAGGAGGACCCAGAGCTTGACGAGTTCAATGCCCATGAACCTGATGTCAGGTTGCAGCGCATCGTAGAACATCTCCGGGCGGAATACCACTACTGCTTCTGGTGTAAATTCGAGTACCCCGATGATACAATGGAAGGTTGCCCTGGTCCAACAGAGGATGATCACGACTAGGATTTGGCATACCTACCAACCACCCCACCGTAGGCTAGTGGCTTGTTGAAGATTTGAGATTGTATGTTTATCGGCTCAATACAATACGGCATTCAAGTTGACTGGCTTTAAATAACGCCTCCGTCCTTAATGATTGGCTGCTTATTGCTGTTTGATAACTTGATACTAGGAAATGCTGTCCCTTTACATAGTGCACATCTCAAGAGAAGGGACAGCTCATAAACAAGCTCCTCGCAGGAAAGCTGACTGCCCCTTTCAGATTCTCATTATCCTTGTTAACAACTTGCCTTATAACCGGCAGCTTGAATTAAGAATGGAAGCGGCACATAACATCTAATACCACGTATGCCCAAACAATTCTTTACTAAATCTTCTTGGAGGAGACTCCTTCTTCCACACCGATATCCTCATTCCTGTCATATCTCGTGCGTTAGCGGTTGCCAGAGATATGGCCATGTAGTCAATATATCCGGGGTACGCTCACCAGACTTCAGGCTTTTCTGCGATGAACTTTTGCATCAGCTCCCGGCACTCGGGTGAGTCGAGCAAGACCACTTCGACACCCCGCTGCTTCAGATATGCCTCGCCGCCCATGAATGTCCTATTCTCACCGACAACGACCCGAGGGATGCCGTATAGAAGGCATGCGCCGGTACCTTTTTGGGAGGAAAGGTCTCTATTTAGCTAAGCTCTACTATTTTGTTTACCTTCTTTTCTTTTTGTCGTCGCCGTCACCTTACACTCCTGCCATATACTAGATACCTTGAAAGAATGTTCTTTGTACATGCTAGAAATATGTAGGAAACTATGGGCCTTACACATGTCGCACGGCGATAGGGTCGTATACATCGTACTACCCCGGTACGCGGACGATGGCAAGCGGCCAGCATTCTGCAGACATGAGGTCTCGCCCTGGAAAACAGTCGCGAAGCCTCCTCAGCACGTCGCTTCCTCGTGAAGATACCAGAGACTTCGTTGAGAAGCAGTTGGTTCTCTGTAGGGGAAAGAAGAACAAGTGACAGAGAGGAGTCGGAACGTAGCTCACTCACGTGAAGGATCGGATTGCCGGCTTGTATCCTCATATTATGGCCTCGGCCGAGCACCCTGCCATCGGCAGAAACGAGGGCGGCTCCGATCTAGATGTAAGGACGTAATCAGCCGGACCAACTTGCTGGCTGTCTTTCGCCTTCCCGAAATTACACACCGCTTGACCACGTGGTGATACGTGCGACCTTTACTTACGGGTATCCCGCCTTCTTCATACCCCTTACGTGCTTCCTCGAGCGCAAGTTCGAGACCCTTATGATCGTCCATCGTGAGCTAGACACTAGATTGCTGGCAAGCAATACCTCGCACGCTTTTACTCAAAAATTATAAATTGTACTAGACACATACGTGTACATACGTACATGGACTCTGAAGCACTTGCACTACTATGTATGGTGGTATACTAGGGATATAATAGTCGAGGAGTGAAGTCGAGTTACATTTAGTCCGATGTGGGTAGTTGATTAGAGGTGGGGTCTGATGTTTGGTTCTACATAGAAGCATGCCGAGGGCCGCTTTCTCGGCACTCTATTACCACCGAGAGAAGGAGAGTAACCTCGACTATTACACCACCCGTCGTAAACCCGTTTCTCTCTGAATGCCCTTTTAATTAGCTGGTAATCTAGCTATTCACACAAAAGTAGGTCTCTACTCATACTTTTCTGAAAGCGCACCAAGCCCAGGCCGGATCCGCTCGCTGCAAGGACCGAAACTTCGTTCGCCACTTCCTGCTTCTTACATAGCGCATACATAGATTCTTGGTGGAGCTCACTTCCCATAACTATAGTCGCGTCACAAGGGATCATAGGTCATGTAGCGTAAGTACAAAATCTACCTAGGGACCCGTTTACTAGCACACTGCCTTTTCTGGACTTTCATACCTTGTGCTGTCGCAAGTATGTTGCCAGGTCAGCGGATATCTTCAAAACTCTACCTGCATATACCCTTCACAAAAAGATGTAGTTCGAGTTCAAATAGAGTGGAGAGTTGGTATCGTTTGAAGTAAGAGCGGAGATGAGGCGCACTGGCCTTATAATACATTTTTATACAGGACGCACCACTTCACCACTTTGCCCTTCTACTTCATGGCTGCGATCAGATCATCCAGTGCCCGAACTCGACAGTTCCAGGTAAGGGAGCCGTGCGTTTCGTCTTCGATCTTTAGTCGCGCATTCGGACCTAGTCTAGCGGCAATGTTCACACCCTGACTCGAGGGGACAAATGTGTCGTATTTTCCATACCACAGATGGATAGGTAGATCGTGCCGAATATCCTGGATTTGAAAGCCGAAGTTGTAGCTCTCCAGCTTCCCGTCGAGCGAGAAGCCATAAAAACCCTGGTTGTACGCTTCACGATGATTCCGCACTAAAAATCGGATTAGATCGGGATCTTCCATAGCCGCGGCGTCCTTTGGATGGGCCGTTGATTTAGCCTTGGACCATTCTCGTTGGAATCGATCGAACCGCTCTTGGTCAGTCAGGTCGAGCCGTCCAAATGTCTCTCGCGAGAACCACCACCGACAGGCCCATTGGAAATAAGCGAAGCCGAAGGTGAAACCCGCCCAATGCCACCAACCCACTAGATAATCTTCCGTTAGCAGGTGCTATTCAACTCACGATATGGAATTGTACTGGAAACCTTGGAGCGGCTTTGAGACAAGGTAACGGCCTAACCTAGGCGTGTTTAGAAAAAGAAGACATCTATATAGAATACTTACTGCCCTTTTTCCCGACTTCAGGCGGTCCTAATCCACATATAATGCACACTGCCTTGAGCTTGTCGGCTGGCAACGCTGTTACACACGCCGGAGTCAGTAATTGTTAGATAGGGGAAGGGTTCAGCTCATATTTCGGGAGCATGTAAGAGCACTGAGGCCCGAAGCCTGCTTAAGGGGGAAATAAATGATTCCAGGGAACTAACCTTTTGCACAGGCCAGAGCATATGGGCCGCCCCCTGAGATTCCAAGACAGCCATAACTATCTAAACCGAGGTGTTGTGCCAGGTATTCTATGTCCTTCACATGATCTAGAATAGCTCGGTTTGGCTGTGGTGAACTCAGACCGTAACCAGGTCGGTCCACCGAGATGATGCGGGCCCGAGGTGTGATAGCTGGTGCATCGAAGAGGGCACCTTCCAACCGCGAGCCTGGCAACCCGTGCAGAAAAAAGATGGCAGGCCCAGTCAGCAAGCCATATTGGGCATATCCCAGTGTCCGGCCATCAGGCAGAGTCAATTTAGACGAACTATCGGTATCGAGGCGATAGCGGTTGGGGGAGTTCTCATCCATGTTCCCTGATGCTACGCCTAGATACTGATGATTGACTTTTGTTAGATATTGCTAGAGCCCTAGGGGATGTGCATTACAGCTTTTACACAAATTGCAAATGATGGTGTCGGTTGGACTACCGTAGATATAACGAGTCTGCGAGCGGCAACGTACGTTCCTTACCCCGCAACCGCCAAGCGGGTTGTCGGCTCGATTCTGTAGAGGCAGCGCGTAGTCTTACCAAGTGCGTCGTATGGGCAGGGATCTTTGGAGCCTCCGTGGCATACCCTTGAAGTAGCAAGGCGCAGAAGGAGGAAAGAGGGCGACACACTTGATCCGGTCTGTCCGGGGCAGAGCGCAATGGATCACCGCCGGTCGTCAGGCCAATATCGTGGTCATCTCATTCTCGTCAACAGGATCGCCAGACTCCCTGAGGACCCGATTGGTCTTCTTCGCGCATCGCGACCACCTATTGGTGGTTTCAGGTAATGGGGTGTATTGAGAGCTCAATCTTGATATTGTTGAGCCTCGAGCTACCCGCAATTACGGATGTGATATTGCCACTTAAGTATAATACTGTCACTTCCACTTCGCGGCTGTGATCCCTAAGCTTCTCTCATGCTTGGTTTGAGTAGGCAGGCAGGTAGGAAATGCTCAGGAAGTAAGGACTGTGATCATAATCTTTAGTCGCGTTTTTCCCGCAACAATATTGATAGAGCGAAGGTGCTACTAAGTTCGTTAAGTACTACGTACCTACATCAGGCCTATGTACGTATTTACTAAAATAAAGAAATACCTAGGTATCTAGTAGGTACCTACCTAGGTAAGGTACCGTATATGCAGCATTGCCAATCTCACTACCTGCCTGTCTGAACGCCCTTGCCAAACGCCACGGACCGCACAAATGATACCGTACCTTTCAGTATACATATACCTACTATATACTGATAATGCTCAAACTCAGAACGATGCCTTTGCCACGAACCATGTTGCAGTTATAGATGTGAGAGTATAGAAACAAGCGTGCTATGCTTACCATTATTCTAAACCCTGATCTTTATGGTTTGGCCAGAGTCTAAATGACGGTTCCTATCTTGCTCGCTTTTTAATTCTGCGTGTAACATTCCACCTATATATTACTACCTATGTAGGTACCTACCTGGTATCTAGGTAGTCGTGCCCCTGGGTGTCGTCAGGTCCCATTCTGCTATGCACCCCTCACATGGATCTGCCATGGATCAGTCTTGCCTAGGTATGTATGTAGGTAGATACCTACATGGAGACGGGTACATAGGCAAAGGTAATAAACCTTGTATGAATAGACATCCATCAACTAATTTCAAAGGTAAACCTACATCTGACCCATGCGTGATAGTGTTATGTGCAATGCAAGTATTCCAGGGTACCTAGGTAGTGCATGTAGGTACCTGGGAGCATTGAACGGTATTAGTGGCTACCTATATGGTACTATGGAGGTTAGCCTGGTTCAACGATCGGCAGGTAATTGGGCGTAGGTGGCTCAAATAGGTCATGCTAGGTAAGTACTTGTAGGTACGTAATGAATATGCCCCCTAGTTGTACCTGATGGGGTAAATACTCTGTGAATGTACTAAAATGCATGTATTATATACATACCAACTGGTACCTACCTACTGTAGATATATCGATCGATCCCTGCGATGTCATGTGACTTATTCGCTAATTTCGACTGGGAGCGAGGATTTTGTTCCTTCCTTACCTCTGTGACCTGTAGCCAGCACCAATGTCAGGATTCTCTGTCTCAAGAACCCAGAACCACTGACTCGGATCAATATTTGTTTCATTCATCATGACAAGTAACATGCATCGTCCGTGAAGACAGTCGTGCTTCACTCATAACGTGGGAAGAATCCATAGCTCTGATTTATAGCGCGAATAAAGACTACATAATATTCGTTCTCAAAATGCTGTAGAGAGTAGGTATAAGTGTAGAGAGATTTGGTGGGGGATTCAAAGGAGGCGAAGGAGGGTATAGACACCTGTAGTTGGGTACATCTACGCATAGGTAGAAACAAGGGTGGAGTTGAGATGTTTCGTGTGCACATTTACCAAGCATTAGATCAGATTGAACACACTTGCTAGAGATCACTTTAAGTCAAGGGTGACAGCCGCCTATGCCACCGCCTTGTGACTTTCAAGACAGACAAGCACTCCCGTCCGAGGGGGGACCAGTGACTGGCGGATATGACGGGGCGAAAGGAAAAAATTGTTGGGGTCTTGCAGGCTGAACATACATCGAGCGAGAACTATTGTGTCGTCAGTACCAAACTCGCCAAATGCACCATGTCCAGATATACTAAAGAGGTAGGGTAAATATCATCTTCAGATACAAGCGACATAGAATACTCCCAGTATGCAGATCGTCTATTGTTTTTTTTCTTTGAATGAGAGAGAGAGGGAGAGACAGATATATCGTTGTCTTGTAACTATGCTTATCTCTCAAACCGGCCAGCCGCCGATCGTGGTCGCTACAATCGGGAAAACATGCAAAGCCTTGGGGCAAGATACGTGATGTACCTATTTGCCACCCACCCACTCAGAAGCATCAACAATAATCTAAGTTTCTACATCTTAAATGAATCCCATAGAATCACGAGTGCAGAATGAATGTCTCCCCAAAATCCCGAGCTGTAGGCGCTGTGATGGGGAGCGGCGGCAATGTTGGCTTTTAGATTGAGATGATGAGGTGAAGTCGAAAAGCACATGCAGGTTTGGGTGGAGAACAGGGGGGGAGGGGTCTTAGCGTGTCCATTGTGTGGTGGAGACGCCTTTGCTCCAAGACCACACTAGAAAAGCCCTGTCTCGCCTCTCTGCCTCTGTAGTACTTTACACTTCATAGGTAGGTACTGCATACAGGATACAGGACTCTATTAAGGAGTGCTTAGATACCTACCCACTGGACTTACCCAGAATACTTACGTCTAAAGTTGCATTCTTCGACTTGGGATGATACAAGTGGCCTAAACCAAGTGTACTCGGCACCGTGCCTAGTGTATACCTATGTAGGTATCTACCTTCATACATACATAGGTAGGTAGCATTGGAGGGACTGAAATACCTGCTGTCCTGCTGTCTATACATTCCAGTAGTGATCACTCTGAATACTCATAATATGTATTCATGTGGCAGTGAGAAAGAACTAACATTATCTAACGATAGGCAGCTTGGTAGGTAGGTAGTCTTAAAGGTGGGAGTTTATGTACATAGTAGTATGCCTCCCATGTATGTACATATGTAGGTAGGTAGGTACCTTAGGTAGGCACTCTTCGTTTGGCACACTACTAGTAGGTGTAGCGAAGTTGTTTATCTGTATCGTGAGGGATGGAGTGATTCTGTAAATGTGTCTCCTGCCTTCAGTCTTCCCATGCTCCTGTCACATTTCCTGACTGGCCTAATTGCTGTAGAAATAAATCTGGCCTATTACCGATGCGGCGTCACTAGGTACTTACTTATCATGGGTTTTTGCCTATCTGGGTAGCTATTCTCACATAAGTAGGTACTGTACTCGCAGCAGCAAATGAACCTACCTAGATAGGCCAGAGTAGGCATATCAAGCTTCCCTGATATTTCAGCAATACGCAATACGCTAATGGCCTATGCACCTGCATGCACAAGCGCAAGAAAACAGTGTCAATGGGCTGGAAGAGCAGAGAAGACTCAGAAGAGGGGGCGGCAGACAAAGCCATGTACACTACCTTGACATGGCCAACCGCGATATACATAGGTATATATATCCTACTTCTAATGCGATGCCTAGGAATAGGGACGATACCCTAGCTTTGATTATTACCTACCTACCTACCTACCTACATACGTGCGTAAGGACGTACGGACGTAGGACCTATCGTGGTGTTGTCTGGGACCTCAGCTGCGTTATGCGATGAGGTACATGGTAATAGTAGAAGTAGTCTGGAGTAGGGAAGGGCAACAGGTGGTGGACAGGCCATGTGGACCAGGCAGGGTAAGGCTATATAGGCATGTGGCAATATCAAATCAGCTTCTGGCAGTTTTTTTTCTCCGACGACCGACCCTCTTTCTCGAAATTATCCATCGCCTTACCCTCCTCGTATGTGTGTACCGTGTGTACCTGTCCTGACCGCATTAATCACTTCACAAGCACAATAGTAACTTACTTGGCTGATAAAATACTCTTTTATATAGCGACAAACGTGTGCATGCGTACCTCTTGTCAGTATCTACTTACGTACCTACCTACGTACCAATCATGCATGCACTATAGTTACCATATGGTGTATCTGAGTACATGTACCGGTATGTAGGTAGGTATGTATTTATGTATTTATTTATGTATGTATGTATGTAGGTGGGTATGTAGGCAGAAGTAGGTGGTAGCAGAGTGGTAGGCAGGCATGGAATGTAGGTACTACACAGGTGCGTTTCATTCATTCTTACAACCACACATCCTTGCCACACCGGCCAATACCGAGCCTGTTGACTCGGGAGACACGTCAATGGCATCAATGAGTGAATGAATAAAGCCCTCCATATCCACACTAATGCCTCCGTCGTCGCTTGTTCCCTCCTTACCGTCGCCGCAGTGCCTACAGGCCCGTCCACTACCTTAGCTTAGGAGGTACATGTATGTATGTATGTATGTAGGTAGATAGGTAGGTCTATATCAAATGAAAACCTACATATATAATGGATATCGTACATACCTGCTAGGGACGGGCACTCCGCCTCTAGTTTTGAAGTATTGCGTGAAATCTTCCAATGCCATGTATGTAGAGTAGGGCATGTCCTTATCCTTTTAATCTGACTACCTGCCTACCTATCTATCTACCCAGTAATCCGCTACCTGAGTAGGTAGGGCTGGAGCATCTTGCAACGCAGAAGAACAAACACGGCACAGCCTAACGGTAAGCGGGCACTTGATCTGCTTAGGGATTTCGCCGACTTTCTCTTTCGAGATATCAAAAGGGCAGTGACTAGTTCGCTCGGCCTAGAGTTACATGAGTATCCACCGGAATTGCTAGTCTGGTGGCATTGAATCTTCTTTCTCATCCATCTGGGCCTGTTCGCTGGCTCGGTGCTTCCACGACTGACCCCGGCCCATTACCAGCTGCAGACCCTTCTTCTCTGCATTGCATATTCGCTCCCATCATCGTCATCGTCATCATCCCAATCCCAATCCCAATCCCAATCTCCATCGCCCACGCCAGTTGCTACTATAGGTAATCCTGAGAACTGTGCTCCATGCTGCTAGATAGGCATACTTACAAACCACCCTTACCCACCCACCAGTCCCTCCACCCATCCGCCCATATACCTTCGTACGCCTGGCCATCTGCCCACCTGGCTGCTTCGTCTTTCCATATCATACCTTGCCTCGCCCACATACTTGTCAAGTTGCCCTTCGATTCCGTGCTGGGCCAAGGTGTTACTAACTGTGTGTGTGTGTGTGTGTATGCGTGCGCCGTAGTGAGTGAGTGAGCGAGCGAGCGAGTGCGTGGTAGTGTGGTGTGCGCTCTGGTCTGCGCGCGCGTGTGTGGACCTTGGACCGTAGGCAGACCGTGGACCGTTGGACCTTGGATGCCGACTTTGAAGGGTTGGCTTGTCCCGCCGCCTCGACCTCCCCCGTCAACATTGATGCTTCTTTTAGCTAAAACTACCTTTCATCCTCCCCGTCCCACACCATATTACGTCTCTCTCTCTCTCTTTCTCTCTCTTCCTCTGCCTCCCTCACACTCACACTCACACTCTCACACACATGCACACGCACATATACTTTACTCATCCAACTCTCTTCTCCCATACTTGTAATCTTTAGTCCACACACTTTCCAACTTTTACCCACACTCCCTGTCCCCCAAGACATTTGAACTGCCGGCTCGTTCTCTCCCTCGTGTCCATTGTTCCATCTTCTGGGCTATATCCTATCTCTGCTTCCGCATTTTGCATCCCTCCATCTCGTTCTCACTGGTTTTCACTGGCTGCCACAACGGTCCCTTGATATAGTCCGGTGTGTTATCGTCTCAGACGCGCCGGCTAGCTTACTTACTCACACCCTGGTGCACCGGCTGGCTATCGTGTCACTAGCAAAACGTCCACTCTGGCTTCCAGCGCGTGGATTCTTGGCCCGTCAGAGGGGATTCACTTTGCCATTGTTCTCTGTAGTTATTGCATTTGTACTTGTTCTGGGACCTTATGGACGTAGAGCTTTACTATTCCTTGTCATCGCTACGCCGTATCTCCTCGGCGTTTCCTGTGTCACATTACATGCGCCGCGTTCTGATCGCCCACCATGGCACAGAAGACAAGCGACTCCGATGATCAGCCAAATCCTTCGTCATCCTCGACCAAGGAAATCCCTGGGTCCGCCGCCGCCCAAAAACAGACAACGTCTCACACATCTAGTAGCCCTGCACCTGCACCTCCAAATGCACCCACGCCTACGCCCCAATCTTCTTCATCCACCATCACCACCACCACTAAGCCTCTTGACTTCAAGCAATCTGGAGAAAATGCCGCCAACGCCAACACCCAGCCCATGAGCAAGTCCCACTCGGCGGCATCGAGCACATTGTCCAAAGACGTCATGGCTGGACCGTCACCGTATGGCACCCGTTCTCGAAATCGTGGTCAGGCACGGCCCAACTATGCCGAGGACAGAGATCTGGATGTTGAGATGGAGGACGCATTTCCCGAAAAGAAGGATGAGGAACCCAAAAAGGGCGTACGACAAACCAATACAACGATGAACGGGACGAGCGATACTAGCAAGACTACAGCATCAAGCTCGCGCAAAGGCGCTGCAGCAGACGATTCCAAGGTTTCAAGTTCTCACGGCTCTAGCAAAGACGCGCATTCCACACCTACGCCCGCGAACGCGACCGGCCCCGCAACCTCCTCAGGTACATCTAAAAAGCGTAAAGCCGCAACACAAGCATCTATGAACAATATGCACAGCCAAGCTAGCACGCCAACACCGACGCCGACTGCGTCAGCTGCTACAGGTACAAGGCGAGGCGCTGCTCAGGCAGTAGCGCAGCCTAGCGCAGGATATAGGGAGACCAACATGCTCAGCTTTGATAAATGCGGTGGAATACCAAAGGATGGCAAAATGGTTGCTGATGACGGGACCGTGCTAGAAGCAAATGGTAAGATGGTGATGTGTGCCTAGTGTTTTTGACTCGGCTGGCTGACAGAATCCGCGCAGACCACGTGTACCTGGTGTGCGAACCCCCCGGGGAACCCTACTATCTAGGGCGCATCATGGAATTTCTGCACATGCAGAACGATCCAAAAAAGCCAGTAGATGCATTAAGAATTAATTGGTATTATCGGCCAAAAGATATTGGCAAAAGGGTCAATGATACGAGATTGGTGTTTGCTACCATGCACTCGGACATCAGTCCGCTGACATCGCTACGCGGCAAGTGCCAAATCCGCCACAAGGCCGAGATTGAGGATATGGACGCTTACCGAAAAACCCCCGACCGTTTTTGGTATGAGAAACTGTACGACCGCTATATTCAGAAACATTACGATGTAATTCCTTGTTTCCAGATCGTCAATGTGCCGGAGAAGGTGAAGAAGGTGCTGGATGAGCGATGGAAATATATCGTCGTTGAGCAGGGCCGTGGCAAGGAGTTCACGAGTGCTGTGAAGCTATGTAAGCGGTGCAACGGATACTGTGCCAGGTACGTTTCCAGCAAAGGGCGGCGCCGCCACCTCCACTCCCTCGCTTGCTCGGGATCTCACTCTGGGCCCCACCCCCTAGATTATACAGTGATTATACAGTGGGGAATCCTCAGCTCATACTGGCTAACCATTGGTGCATAGTAATGACTCGGTTGATTGCGCGGTTTGCCAGCAGACATATCACATGAACTGTGTTCGTCCTCCCATACTGAAGAAACCATCACGCGGGTTTGCTTGGGCCTGTGCTGCCTGTAGCCGAGCCCAAGAGCGGAAGCTGGAGGCTAGGCACACTCCAAGCCTCTTGGATCCGCATCACGAAGGAGAAGAAGAAGAGCTCTGGGACGAAGAGGATGATGCAATTGACACCAATCGCACAAGCCCTTCTGACGGGATTGATGACTCACATAAGCCTGCCACCGAAGAACAAATGTACCACGCTAGCTTATGGCCATATCGCTACTTAGGCCAACACTGCAAACCAGAGGATGCACTTGACTACGATGACAGGATCTATCCACGAGCCGGGTCGCGTCTTGGTCCAAAGCATCAAGCGACTGTACTGCCATGGCCGGGTCGGCCTGTTAAGCTGGTCAAACCAATTGAGATTAAAAGAGGCAGCAAAAAGGACGCAAAGGCAACTAAGGAGGCTCTTGCAGCGGCGGCCGAATCGGAGAAAATGCGTCGTGAAAAGCGCCCATGGATCCAAGATGAGCCGCCGGGATATGTTCCCCGAGGAGAAGATTTCGATAATGACGACGCGAACAACACAGCGCAATTGTTATGGAAACCCTGTGATGATACAACCATCGTACCTTTTGCAGGCTTTCCAAAATCTAAGCATGCCATCAGCACAGTCGCTACTAAGTCCCCCATAAATAACTATCTTCAATCGGCAAAATCCAAGATAATCCCGGTGCTTGGTTTACCAAAAGAGTCTACGAACTTCCTGGATGTAGCCATTAATACTCTTTTCAAGAGTAATTTCAAATATGATGCGGCGCTGAGAATGCTTGATAGAACTGAAAAATCAGCATTTAAGGAACCGGAATTAAGCGCTACAGAAATTAAGAAGTTTGAAGAGGGGGTAACAAAGTTTGGATCTGAGCTCTACCTCGTGTCTAGGCATGTCAAGACCGCGAAGCATGCACGCATAGTTCGCTTTTACTACGCTTGGAAGAAGACGGAACGTGGAAAACAGATTTGGGGCAATTTTTCTGGACGAAAAGGCAAGAAAGAGGCCAAGAAGGCAGAGGCTGATGCTAGCAAGCTGCAAGATGACGTTGCTGATGATCACGATGACTCCGCGTTTGATACGGATAAGGCCCTGGAACAAAAGCGTTGCTTTATGTGCAAATTTTGTGCAACGAAGTCTTCCAGACAGTGGCGGAGAGCACCAAATTCTGCATCTACAATCCTCAGTGAAAACGGTGGGAAAGGTGCTAACAAGGAGAAAATTCAATACATAGTTGCTCTTTGTCGGCGTTGTGCCGAGCTCTGGCGAAGATATGCCATTCAATGGGAAGATATGGAAGATCTTGCCAAGAAAGTTGCCACAGCTGGGGGTAGATCCTGGAAGCGGAGAGTTGATGAGGAGTTGTTGAAAGAACTGAGGGCTGCTGAGGACATGATGAATATGACAGTCTACAGCAGCACGCCAACAAGACCCAGTCCTGCATCTCGAGCAACTCCGCCAACTACGAATGCCCAATCTACGTCCACTGATCCGCCACCACGGAAAAAGCTTAAAACCATTGCTGATAAGCACGCCGATCAAAATAGTGGAGATGTTGCAACATCAGTACCAGTACCTCCACCGAAAAAGAAAGAAAAGCCTGTTGAAAAACCACTCCCGCCACCTCCTCCGCCAGCTCCAGAGCTGCCCAAGTTACGCACACTTCCATGTGCGGTTTGTAACCAAGGCACCATTCTCGGAGAACAGGTCATCTGCTGTAGGGAATGCCGGTTGACTGTTCACCGATCATGCTATGGAATCCCTGAAAGCCGTAACAAGGACAAGTGGACCTGCGATATGTGCATGAACGACAAGATTCCGCAAGTCTCTATCGTGAGTTTCCGAAATCCCTCTGCTATCAATTACCACCATAACTAACCAGCATTGAAAGGCACACAAGTGCATTCTATGCCCTGTAGAGAAAAGAGAACATGACTTCATGGAGCCTCCAAAGAACACTCACAAGAAGAAGACGGAGAAGGACAGGGAAAAAGAGAGGACTGACCGAGAACTAGCCTTGAAGGCGGTGGAACTCTATCAAAAAAGGCAGGTTGAGCTTAAACGGCCTGTAAATCCAAGGGAGCCTTTGAAGCGAACAGCAGACAACAACTGGGTTCATGTTACCTGTGCTATATGGACCCCAGAGATCAAATTCAGCAGTGCAAAGGCACTATGTCTCTCCGAGGGTATACCATCAATTCCTCGAGCAAGGTATGAAGAAGTTTGCAAAGTCTGCAAAGACACAGGTGGCGCTTGTGTGCCTTGCCACTGCTGCCGTGCCTCAGGTAAGCTTTAACCAGATCATTCATTTGGACATCCTGCTAATATAGTATTTATCAAGTTCATGTGGAGTGTGCCCACAAGAGTGGTTACCTCCTAGGCTTTGAAATAACACCTGTCAAAGGTTCCAGGCGAGATCAACACAATATAGTCACCATAGGAGGGGAAACTGGGTCAATGTCAGCCCTTATCTGGTGCAAAGAGCATATTCCTCAAAAGACAGTGGTACACCGAATGCATGATATTGTCAAGACTGACGATGACCAGCACAGTCACGCCAACGCTCTGCAGCTCTATGTGCGTAACTTCAAGCAAGCCGACCTTGCCCTCACAGGCACAGTTCGTAAAGCAAACCTACTCAATGTCGTCACAAAGGCAACATCGAACACTGTACCAGCAAGTCAGAACAGAAGGCATTCATCGGCGCTGCCATGCCAGAAGAGGTCATGGATCGACACTGAAGCTTTTGCACTCCTCCATCAAAGTGGTGATAAAGCTTGCATCACATGTGGCATTGATGTAAGCCCTAAATGGCATAGAATTGATGAAGCTCAGGAGAGGATTCTGACCAACGGGTACGCTGGCACTGTCGGAGACGATGTACGAATGTTCCTTGCCCAACGGCATTTTCAATGCCACAAGTGCAAAAGAGAGGGTCGGCAGCCCGCCCCCCATGTGCCACCGCAATCCGTGGAACGGCCAGCAGAAGCAGTGGAACCACTACGTCCTCCGCCTGTCATTAACCCAAGCGCTGCACCGAGCTCTCCCCATCATGCAACGCATGCAGTGACTAGAATGACCACTGAGCTTGGGAATCCTTGGCCCCCACGGCCAACATCAAGTGTGCAGCCACCTTTACCTCTGGGACAAACTTCATTGCATGGTCCGCCTGGAGGGGCGCCTCAACCTCCGCCATTGACTGCGCCGAGAACCGGGCCAAGCCCCATTGCTGCACCGGGGCCTCCGCCGGCACCTGCTCACACCTATTCGACTCCGAACAGTTCATACAGTGAATGGCAGCGCAGCTCAGCACAGTCCTCTGTCTCCTCTCACCCAATAACTGGGAGCTCCGGTGGGCCAAGTTCTGTGCACCATAATCACCTACGTGACCTGCGACCGCCCCCTATCACTCCCATGTCACATCATCAGGTTCCGCCGATCCAGCATGGCTTGGGACAACCCATGATCAATGGGGCTCCACTCTCACCTCGACGGGGGCCGCTGGCTGTTCACAACGGGGGCACCCCCTTTGTGAGTCCGTATCATACCCCAACTCATCCACCGTCTCTTCACAATGTCACAAATGGCGGACAGCCGTCTCGCTCGGACTTCTCGCAAGGACTGCTGTCTCAGCGTCCGGCATTTCCAGCAACACCGCAACACAGGAGCCCACCAGTGTCTCATGATGGTGTCTCTGTGAATCACGAGCCCAGTATCAATACCAATAACAGTAGCAATGCTATGCTAACGGCTCCAAGACTCAACGATGGGCGGCCTGCCAACGGTGCCAGCGCCAGTCCATCTCTGCGCAACCTATTGATATAGCTATGAAAGGGCTTGGTAGTCTGCTTACCAGCAGAGGATTAGTTTTTGGCGTTTACAGGCAAGGTTGTATAACTAGAGGGATATACCAGGGCGGCAATAAAAGGCTTTTAAGGCGTTATGTAGGGAAAGGGACTGCATTTTAGCATTGCGTCTTGAGAGCATTGTACAATAGGCTACTGGGGCTTCAGTGGTTCTCGGAGTTAGTGTACCGTGGTCGCCGAACAAGATCGGTGCACCATGCTATGATTAGATGGTATGAGCTTGTAATCAGGTAATGTCATAGATGTAAAAGATGCTTGGAATCTGGGTAGCCATTTCCATAACACTACAAGCCAAACAGGTGATATTTGGTGTTAATCTGTGTTTCCCCGTAATATGTAACAAGAGTTGCTAGTGCAAACAACGGTACCTAGGTATGCATACCTGTATAGCCGGCCTATGTATCTACATATACTCTGTATGTGCATATGAAATTAAGGAAGTACGTATGTACCTTTATGTGCTATCAAGCACGCGACTTCGTGCAAAGTTCGTGTCAAAGCTTGCCCCGCCGAACTAAGCCTAACTTTACTTATACGATCCACCCCCCTCCAACAACCGATGTCGACTTTGATTCTTCTTCCTATCCTTGTCATACATAATACAAGGAGGTAGCGATGGGCGACCATCGCGGAATCTTCCACAAGACCACAATTGATTCTTTGCAACACGGAAACCTCCATATAAACACCCTTGCTGCTGGCTCGAAAAGGTCATTTTCTGATACTATCGGCTCTCACCGCACAGAGTCAAGCAAGCAGGTCCGGTTCCAAAGGGCTTCAAGCATAGGTCTCGAAGCACCAAGACTTACAGCCAGTGAGATTATCTGTCATGACACTGGCTCTGGTACACTCTCTTCTGAATTTTCTCAACGCAAAGTGATATCCGCAACCCCTACCTCAACTGTTGACCGCGCTCTCTCTCTGTCCTTCTACAGATATGGCTTGCCGGAACCTCTGATAAATAATCTAAATTCGCTTGGCATCCACTCGCTACACCCGTGGCAGAAGCAGTGCCTTCTTGGCCCTGGCCTTTTGGATGGCACCAATAACCTGGTATACTCTGCGCCCACAGGCGGTGGGAAATCTCTCGTTGCCGATGTTCTCATGTTGAAGCGGGTTCTCGAAGATAGGAATGCAAAGGCTTTGTTGGTTCTTCCGTATGTGGCTCTCGTACAGGAAAAAGTGAGATGGCTACGTAATGTAGTTCGTGATTTAAAGCGAAAGCCAATTCAAATCGACGAGCCTAATGGCAAGCCCCAGGTTTGGCAGAAAAGGCCAGACGAGGATAACATCAGGCTTGTCGGATTTTTTGGTGGTAACAAAATCAAGTCAAATTGGTCCGACTTCGATATAGGCGTGTGTACGTTTGAGAAGGTGGGTTTGTCGATATTTCGACTTGCACTTAACGACGAGACTCTGACTTGCACAGGCAAATATGCTCATTAACACAGCTATAGACGATTGCAGTATCGCAAACCTAAGGACTGTTGTCCTGGACGAGTTGCACATGATTGACGATGATCACCGCGGTTATCTAATGGAACTAATCGCTACCAAGTTGATGAGTCTAGATCATAACGTCCAAATTATTGGAATGAGCGCAACGTTGGCTGTGAGTCTTGTGGTGATGGCGTCCTACTATCGATTACTAACGCCTTCAGAATATGGAGCTTTTGTCAACATGGCTCAATGCTCGTATATACAAGACCTCTTACCGGCCAATTCCTGTAGAGGAACACCTTGTCCATGAAGGCAAGATCTACTCAGCACAAGACACAACCACACTGAAAAAATCTAGCCAGCTACAACAGAAGTCTTGTAACATTGCCGACCCAAGCAATCAACCCATTAGGACAATACGAACAAGTCAGCATAAAGAGTTACAAGATCCTGTGTTGAATGCTGTCGTTGCGCTCACCAATGAAACTGTGAGGTCAGGCTATGGTGTGCTTGTATTCTGTGGCAGCCGTCAGGGCTGCGAATCGGATGCCCGCGTCATTAGCAAGGTCCTACCACAGCCTAATGAAGTAGATTCTACTATTCTGGAGAAGCGCTCAGATCTATTGGGAGATTTGCGGAGTCTGTCGATGGGCTTAGATCCCAACCTCGCCGAGACCATTCCAGCGGGAGTTGCTTTTCATCACGCTGGGATGACAATAGAGGAGCGCGACTTGGTGTCTACTGCTTATGATAGTGGTGTACTAAAAGTCGTAGTAGCAACCTGTAGCCTTGCTGCTGGAATAAATCTACCGGCGAGAAGAGTGATTCTTCATAACGCTCGCAGTAGGCTACCCCTGAGGTGGGGGGGGGGGGGGCGGGGGGGGGGGGGGGGGGGGGGGGGGGGGGGGGGGGGGGGGGGGGGGGGGGGGGGTGGGGGGGGGTGGT